GTAAAATAATTAAAATATTTTATTAATTATATTTTAATAAACCTTAAAACGAATAAATTTTAATTTAACGTTTAAAAATAAATTTTAAAAAAAAAAAGTTAATATTATACGGTAATAAATATTATATTTCTAATATATATAAAATATAAAACTATTAAATTAAAATAATTAATTTATTAATTATTAAAAATAATTATTAAGTTATTATATATATATAAAATTAATTAATAAAATATTTATAAGCACTTAAAATACCGAAACTTAAATCTTAAATATAATAAATTAAACTTAAATAATTAAAACGATCCCCTTTTAAAAAAAAAAAAAAAATTAAGGACTTAAGACCCTTAAAAAATTATTATATAAATTAAGCTTATATTCCAAGCTTATTCCCCTTATCACAAGCATGCTCTCTCCGACATGGTAACTGTTGATTCAGGATGTGAAATTAGCTTAGGTCCTTTTGAAAATAAAACTGGCAGATGAAGCTTCGATTAATTCTTACCGAGGATGCTGGTCGGCTTCCAACACGACAACGTCAATTCCCTCCTGTGCGAGGGCTGTGGCAGCATAGGATCCTGCGGGACCGCCTCCGATTACGAGGACGGTGCAATGCTCGGGGATAGACATGGCGAGTATGACTAGTAGGCAGCTTGTGACGGCCTTTATATTGAATACTTGGGTAGAAAACGAGCAATTACCAAGGCAACAAAAAAGACGAATACAGCGTATTCTTTTATCATTGGGATTATTATTTATTCGCACTTACCTTAGTACTCGGCATATTTGTTTGTGGTTACACTAAGTATCCCGTATACTACTTCCAATCAACCAATCAGCATGTCCAATTCTACCCGATTAGGCAAGCAAACCATCAGAAATGAACCGGGCGAAAAGTGATTGGTCAAAGATAGACTTTGTTACCAGTCAAATAAACATCATGCACCCGCACATGTACCCATATACCAAGTAATCAACTAGATATCAACATTGATGTTTATACTACTAAACGGTATCAATGCCATTTAGCTTAGATACATACTTACCTATATACGGATGATGACGGTGAGCTTTTATGGACACAAACTTGCTCTTTGGCAAGTTACACAGCTTGAATTTTATCTAGGGGCAAATAGTTACCTTATTTACTTTCGCATATTGATTTGACCGAAACGCTTCATGGGATAGATTGCCCTTGATCTGGATATTTTCAATTTGATGTATTATTATCAACCTTAGCGAGACTTCTTGCCATGTCAAGAGGCAATATTAGCAGTTCTTTTCGGCCTCCCCTTCGGTTTCATATTATAATTGTAGTCTGGGAACGCAACAGTGTGCTTTTTTTTATCAGTCACAGCCCATTTCTGGTATTGGTTTCGGATCGACCGTGATTCTATGTGCCAACTAATACTGCAAGCTCTGGTTATATACCGAGGCAAAGAGAGACTTTGATCATTTCGAATAATCCTAGTTTAACTAGCTCTCCCACCAATGGTCCGTACGTTTTGCAATACAAGGAAGATTGGGTACCCGGGCCCTTCACCCGACCTTCCTTGATATCCTCCCTCCGCCGTTGCCAAGCACCACGTCTTACGTAAGCGGCCAAGTCTTAGATTTGCATATGCTTGACATGCTGTGCTAGTTGACTAAGTAGCTCACTTAGAGGCGGAACTTCGAGTTCACTAGTTCTCAGGTTCTTAAGTAGCATTGAATTTTCCTCATTCCCCAAAGTTTCATCTTTCTTATCATTCTTATCATTATTAAGCAGCTCCTTCAGTACATCAAAGGACAAATTATAGTGTTAGAACGAATTAGAGGAGTAGTCCAGTTCTGGTTTCTCTAGGGCCCGATATGATAAAGTGAAGGCGTTTGTATACGGGCTAATAGTTGAATTTACACCCATAGGACAGTATCTCGAGGTATCCACCCTTCTCGCCTGATTAAAATTCTGTGGGCTGCGGGCAGGCAGCATCAATCGCATTGGGTGTACAGTGTTATATCCTTGGAGTTGAGGCTCACATGGAGATGGTCCTGGAGTTACGAAGCTCTGATCATCGTAAGGGGGAAGCCAGGTGCGCATCGCGTTTTGAACAAGCTGCCTATCGGTATAGGTTCCAGAGAACGGAGACATACCAGGATTCACAGTAGCAAAGCTTGAATTGAACACAGGGCCGTCAAGACGAAATCTATTCGCCCATTTATCGAAAATTCCGAAATCCATCTTTGTCTTGCTTAGACTGTGAGTTCGAGACTAGATAGCACAAAGGAGTTTGGCAGAGAAAGTGTTTAGGATTCTCAAGGATTAGTGAACAATACCATTGTTCTTTTCGAAAGCCGTCGTTGGCGGTTATATCACTATTGATACCTATCTTGGTCTTTGCGTTCAAACATTAATGTAGTAGGCGAATGGATATCTATACTATTCCATCAACGAAACTTGTGTCTGTCACTCAACCAAAGGAATGCGGATCAGTCTGAGAAGGCCATGTTTGGTGATTTAATCAGTACTTATGGCCGAATTTATTGCTATAGACTCAAATGCAGTATGTAAGATCGGAATTGCTGGCTTCCTAATTCGCCATTTGCTACTGCTATCGACATAATCCCAAACCCTAGTCTCAGCAGCAGCGGGTTGAAAGGTCCCAGGTCGCTTCGCCTAGGCGATGATAGAATCTTACAAGCCGGTTTGTAGTAGGATTTGATAGTAAGACATACCCTCTCATTAGTAGTATACGGTCTCCATGTATAACTCATCCTCAAATTCTTAACCTCACATGTACCATTCAACCTACATCTACCACATTGACGTAGATTACTTAGAGAGGATAAAGGCGGAAATTCCTTGGGCCTAGAAAAGATTCCTCACGAACCGAACGACGCGGCAGCGGCGCCAAAGCTTAAGACACTTGTCAAAAGAACAAAGAGCTCGCTAAAGTACGAGGCTAACATCTGGACTTTTTTTCCATGCACAATGATTTGTTCTCGCAGAATGTGCGAGGTGGGTAAGTAGTTATGGGGCTGGCAATGTGAAGAGAATGCAAGAAACTGCAGCAAAATACAACCCAGAGTCATTCAATGCTTGCAGAACAATAGCTTTCTTCAGCGAATATCTTAAACCACTTATTGATTGATTGTTTCGACCCGGTAAATATTGTTTAGATATGCAGATAGGCGAGCAAGCGAAAACTCACATCTTGGTAAACGCAGGAACTAGATTTAGGTGACAATTTGAGGCTCACGAGGCATGAAGTAGCCCGTATGAAGTCGATTTAGGGGCTCAGGAATAAAAGTACCAGGTCAGCACTGCGATACTGCAAGATGCATAGTTCCTAGAAGTGCCGTAGCTGCATGAAGAGCAATTGAGATCGAATAATCCTTTCATGCTGAATAGATGGCTACGACTCTGCTGAGGTAACAGTGCAGGTGTGCAGTAAGCAAGCGCAGGTACTTTCACCGGCTGCAGCGTGAAGAGGTCATAGCGGCTCCTTAGCACATGTCTTATGGAGCCAATCAGGCGATAGAATTGGAATATGTGCATACGGATATCCAATACTTTGCATGATGCCCAACTATACGGTGCATAGGAACATAGGAACATACAGGATGCATCGAGCAAGAAATCAAGATTTCTTGATTCCATCTAAGCCCTAAGCCCCATTCAGATTTCCCCTGGAGCGGCCCTCTGCGGCAAAGAGAACGGCTGAGCGAACTACACTAGTGACCCGGGAATTAGGGAATAGCAACGAATTGGAAGGAAGCCCGTCCACCATCCGAGTGGAGTCGCTGTGCCGCCCTACTATTGACTGACAGATTTTGCGGCACCCGATATGGCAGAGTTTGGTTCGACGAATAGGAAGGCGGCGCATATTCGGCAGCGGATCGTGGGCTAGCAGCTAGGAATTATTCATTCGATTTGTCTTAGAGTCTTTTTGAGATCAAATCCCGAATTTACAGATTGTGGGTGTCACAAAGATGCATACCGACTAATATTTCGCAGAGATAGGAAACCACAGTATATCTACCTCGGTGCGTTCGTTAGCCGCCTTAATCTACTAGAAAACTCATGCTAAAGCCCTACTGCCATATCATGGTGGTAGTCCCCTCACGTGCCTAGACTGATATATGAATGGTGACTGGACAAAGCTTGTGGCTCGATGGATCTATTGTATTAGCTGGCTTCTACACTATATTCTTATTTTTTCCTTTACACTATATAATATATTCCAACCGGTGAAGGCGTCTTACAACGAGGTATTGTACTACGATGCCTACCGTTTTCATAAAGCCGTAAGACATACATAGTGTCTTGAATTTTGTCTGTCGCCCGGATAGCCGATATTGCCGTGTAAAGCCAATTCCGTATCACCACCAGCGTAGCACGTGGTCCTAGTGATTTCTTTTTGTGATAATATCATCGATAATAGTGGCAAGGTTGAGGTGAATAAGATTGTGCACCATCAGACCGCGTCATCTTGGGCTCTTGGGCTCAGGAAATCTGGGGGAGCTAAGCCCTGTTCATTCTGTAGAATACCACGATCCCCTCACGCTATGCCAGAAATCGTCTTCGCGTCAAACAGCGCGTGGTTTCTGCAGGCATGTATGCAGGGGAAATGCTAGCGGCAGAGCCTGGACTTCAACAGGGGTTAGTAAGCCAAGAGAAATGGAGATGATAAGTGCTGCAAAAACTCCTTGATTTCGAACGGAAATTAATATTAAAAAAAAGGTACGATTGATAACTGTCCAATGATGTGGATCGCATGTGTGGGGGACTATTCGGCGATTTTCAGCACGTGTAGTCTTCAAAGCACTTCCTCGGTATAGGCAGTAGTCTAAGACATAGAAAATTGTTCAGATGAAAATCGAAGTGGACGGCGTAGTAGTTGGGGTGGCAGGGAAATTTTGCAATTACTACCTATGTACATCAGTCCCCGTATAACTCTTTTCAGCGTTTTATCATGTCCGTAAACGTAAATGAATGGCGCGATTTCTCGTATAGAATTTCAGAATATTCGAGCGCTATGTTGCCGGGGTTTGGACCCAGGGTCTATCCGCTCTGAAGTCATGTGAACCTCCACCGTCTTTTGAATACCAAAATCCTTGATGCTACAGGCTGCTGCTGGCATGGGTGATGAAACTAGCGGAATAGCATCGATGCTAGACTCCCCTCCGCTAATCGAGCGTTCGATATCATTTGTATGCCGTTGCCCCTTGGGATGCGGAAAGCTCTGCTGTAGGCTATGAAGGCTGGATTCAATGTGTACGCCGGACTTGTTAGTGGCGAGGTCTTGACTTGTCAACTTAATTTTTGCTGCTCGGAGGAGAGGTCCTAGAGTAGGAAGCGAAGAGCAGATCATCAAAATATATCCTTCCGACATTCCTAAGATGTCGAGGTGTGGAACGGGAACTGCGCAGGGTTCGTAAGTATTAGATGATCATCAATATACTATATTTAGAGTAGGTAGGAACTCACGTGTTGGATCTTCTGCCGATATGGCGAAGGCTTCCCCGAGTGCTGACAGCTTGATGACTGACGCAACGAATGCAAGTGAACTCAGACTCAAGGCTGAGGCGACGCCGATGCGACTCCGGAGCGGCATATTCAAGCGCATAATAAAAGGTATCGGGTAGAAGGCGAAGAAGATATCGAGGAACGCCGAGTAAGCCGATGTGAAGTAAGCAAGGTTGATCATGATGCGGACGTCCGCACAAGTTCCCCCTTTGATACTCTTGTCCCACCCAAACTCGATGGGATCGCATTGTTTAAACCACCAAACTGAGACGGCAAAGATGCAGGCCTGCGAAGTGATGCCGAGTGTCCAGAATAAAACTGCTGTTCTCGTTCCGTAGTTGAGAATGCGCTTTAGGATAGCGATGATCGCAAATTTCGGTAGCGAGAACTGCCATATCAATATGGCGTTTATGATCACGTTATATTCCAGCGCGATCCTCCTTTGGCCATCTTCTAATTCGTATGAATGCCTTCCAAGGCCATACCCAGTTGCTATCGTTATGAGAACGGTCACGACTAAGCTGAGAATGAGACAGAAGATGGTGATGTAGTCATCCAATCCTAGCCCTGTCCGCTGGAGTCGAGCGTAGCGTAAGCGGCAAATGACCCTAAGCACAACTATAACTGTAGAAGGGGCTATGGTGAGAATTGAGCTCTGTGGACGAAGGAATATCAAGCATACTAGTTGTGATTGCGAAGAGAGACCATAGTATTCGGTTGGCGAAGACGGCGTAGTCATTCCGGCCGAGCTCGATCATGTTGGGACGTAGATAGGTGCTCTTGTGAGCTGACCGCACCGCGCGGGTTTCTCGACGATGGCTTCTTTCTTAGAGCTGGCCCTTATCGTGGTATAATAGAGCATCGCTAGACGGAAAAACTCTCAGTTGCCTGCAGCGCGCCGCTGTCCCAGGCGAGATATTTAAAGGTAACTTTACTTACTGATAAGTAAACGCAGGAGGATACGTAAGGAGGACGACTTACGATGATATCTATAGTTTACCGGCCCACAGAATCCACTTCTGACAGCATCGTGTAATTTTGAATAAATAGAATAAATGTCAGCCGACTAGTTTGAAGCCGTAAGCCCCTTTCCTATAATCAAGCCTGGAATTCGACCCTCGCTCTCCTGCCTATTTCGTGATAGAATTCCGATCTAAGGCTGAATCTCCCTTCGAACTAGAATTCAGGTTTAAAATAGTGCAGTTAGGTAGTCTGGCGTCGATGTTAAAGTATTTGACTGATGGTCAGTCCCAATACATATTAATGTCCGCCAGTCACATATTAGGTAGCAATCAAAGCACCCGGTATGCTTTAGACCGCATCGAGGATAGAACGGGCGGATGGCACGACTTTAGACTCCGGCAACCCGACCGACTAAAACCAGATGGGGATCCTCCCGATTAGGTCTGAGCGGCATTTACCATTCATACACACTAAGTAGACCAGGTTATCCATCCAAATGTGACCTAGAAGTCTGTCTAGAATCAGATTATTTCGTAAATGGATAAAACTCCTTGTTACCACGCAAAGTGTTGCCTGTGAAAGACATCTCATAGATTAAGGTAGACTAGATGTTTTGACAGGTAATCAATAGTGCACCTTAGTCTACGGACGGTGTACGATGTAGTGTCATGAGCAGATAGATACCTTCATATGTCAACATGCTGGATTGATAACGAGAAACAGCGCAGGCCTCTTGTCACGCAAATTCTGGAGCGTTTACCACGGACGCCCTTGCATGAACCCGCACGTCATTGTAATATCTTATGAGGTCCGACTCTTTGGTAGGAGGCACATGGCGCGGCACCTTTGTCGGTTTATGGTGGGCGGATCTATAGGAAACCCGGCAATAACATTCTCGACATCTGCTTGTGAGCTTCACCCTCCAATAGAACTAAACGGATTTACGTAAAGTGAGAGCTCAGGGGTTCCCGTTCCCAAAGTGTTAGCGCGTGCGCTAAGAACCAGGTACCGATAGCCGTGGACTTGGTTCTAGTAAAACAAATATCACAAGGTTGCAATGCACTCTTGATACCGATTAGTCAATTGATAAAGATTACCACTACGCACCTGGTGTGCTTGGTATGTATGTCTTATCTTTGGGAGCCGAGACATGATTGGTGTGATTTCTAGAATGACTAACATATAGAAGTGAATATTCTAGATTGGACTCTTTTTTGAAGTTTGGAATTCAATGGTGAACTTCTATACGGAATATACGCAGTTTCAACTCTTTGACATACGGGACTTCTGATCGTCGGATCGCTGCTGGGACTACTACGTTGACATTCGACGAAAATCACTTCCTTTAGAGTATAAGGCACCCGTTAGGCCAATTGGACATTTTATTCTTCACCTTAACTCGTCCCAAATTCCCTAGTTCCTGTCGATCACCTCCCGAATATCAGAGTGGTTCGTACGACACTAGAAACGAAAGTGGTTCACTTAGGGCGTAGAAAATTGAGTTGACCAATCGAAGAACGCATCGAAAATTCCAAACCAAAGATCGTCCCCTGACTGAATCCTACGCTCGGACGGGGAGACATGCGGTTTAGTTCCCACTCAGCCCACCCATTCCTAGTCTTCGAGAAAGAAAACAAGATATCTGGGTCAAACTTCTAGGGCATGAAACAGACCGTAAGAGAGGATTTCGAAAGTAACGAGAACATTGTAATCTCAACGAAATGACCGTCAAGGCGACTCACGGTAACTTATATCTCATCCAATATAGCTTTAAATTCTTCATCGCCGCCCAGAAGTTCTGTGTTTCGAAAAACCTATCTTCGCGTACGTTTACCACATCGAAAAGAAGTGCTCCAATGAGATGCAGATCGCGTGTGTGATATCGGAAGGATCCCGATGATTTTCTCATGGGATTATGGGGTAATCACGGCGATCCGGAAACAACACGAGGTAGATGTACATAGCCGTATGAAGATAATTGACTTTCATAACACGAAGCAGTGCAGGCTAACATAAGAATTAGATAACTTCATATATTTGAATTTTGGCCAGAACGCATCCGAGTAGCCATGATACATACTACTTACCTAACCTAGTTCTAGTGCAGAAACTGCGTGCCATAACCAGTACCAAGTCCTCGGCACGCGTTAACCTCCAGAGCATGGCCGTACGGGCAACCACCCCAGAACCTCCCCTCTATCACAGGGGGCGGGCGTTCGATATCGGCCTTCTGGACCCTCTCGACGCTCGCCAAGAAGCGGTCCACCACCGCGCCGTAATTCTCGAAAGTCAGCTTCCCGTCCCGCTTCCTGAACTTGCCGTCCACGAGCACGTGCTCGATATCCCCGACGTTCGCGTGCAGGATGACCGCGGCGACCGGGTCGCGCCACCCCAGCATCCCCGGACTCCGGCCGTCGAACACGACCAGGTCCGCCTTCGCGCCAACACGGATCACGCCGAGGTCCGGCCGCCTGAGGGCCAGCCCGCCCTGGCGGGTCGCCATCAGGAAGACCTGGTTGACGGACATGGGGTTGTTCTTGGGCACCTCCCACCGCTCGAGGACCTGGTCGTAGAGCCTGCTTCGCGTGCGCTGGAGCCAGATGCGCGCCTGCGTTAGCAGATCCGTCGAGAAGGTGTGGAAGGTGTCGACGCCGAGAGAGGCCTGGTCCTGGATCTGGTGCCCGTTCGGATGCGAGAGCCCGTAGTGCATCTCTGACTCGGGCGTGACCGATATAAACTGGTTGCTTGAGCGAAGTAAGATTGATCCCATCGGTGTTACGTTCGAGGCGTGCGAAAAGACTACGGCCATATCCGTATCAAGGAGCCCGTACGTTTGAAGAAGTTCGGGCGAGTTGTTGGCTGGAGCAAGCCCAAGCGTGTCAGCACTTCCCGCAAATTTTCAAATGGGAGGCGTGCTTCTTATGGAAGGACATACCCATGAATGCACCGCCCAAGTAATGCGTGGTCAGAACCGGAATATTCAACTCCCTTTTCCTTATTAGTTATCATGCCAAACCTTAACTAACGGGGTCATTTCCTACTTAGTCAAAGCAATCACCGCCTTAGTATCTTCGGGCGGGAAAACGGACCATCCATCATAGGCGACACCAAGGGTTGTTAGACTGTTTGATGTGGATATCGACTTCGCGAATTCTTTGAAGTCGGCAATCTGGTCCGAGCACGAATATGTGGGTGTGCCACCAAAGGCACAGTTCCAGTAAACTCTCGCGCCGCTTTCATGAGACGCCTTGAGGCCAGCCTCTGATGTTTCCTTAGACCAGATGTGGTGAGCATGGTCAAGCGAAGTCGTGACGCCGGCATTGAGAGCCTCTAGAAGACCTGCAAGTTGCCCGATATACACATCTTCGGCAGTATAATAGCTTGCAGCATTGCCCCCTGCATATCGGGACATGTAGTCAGGCATCGTTGTGTTAGCGGTTAGGGTCTTTATAGCCGTCTGCCAGCCATGTCGATGGGTATCGACAAAACCAGGGGAGATAATCTTGTGGTTGCAGTCAACGACCTCAGTGCCCGCCGGTAAGTTGCTAGGATGTGCGGTGTCATAGATCCCTGCGATCTGATTGCCGGTAACTAAGAGCGCGCCATCTCGAATCACTTCGAGAGATTCAGTCTTCTCGTTGAAGGCTATGATGGTTCCTCCAGAGAGAAGAATCGAGCTTGGAGTTGTAGACATATTGCTGATAGTGGTGTTGACAAGTGAATATCTACTAATAATCTTCTTAGTCTTTTCACGATCGAACTTTCAACTTGAGTGCATCGCCGGAGTTCATAAGCTATTAAGAAGATTGCCCATCGTCGATGTCATATGTTAGTCATCCTATTTTCAGCTTAGCGTAAAGGAGGGGTTCCATCAACCATCTGCAACCATCTGGTTACCTCGCCCTTTCGCGATAATGTACTGTTCGTAAGTGACGCAACTCGTAAATCCAGTCGTATTTAAGACTATCTCCGCATTTGCACCGCCGTCTTCCACCCGGAAAATTTGATTATCTCCTTTAAAGACCGTGGGTGAATGGAAGGCACATAATTAGTTGGACGCTATTACCCCGAGCCTGCCCGAGTAGTGCTTTACCCAACCAATCGATCACTCCCCGCGCCAAGAAGCCGCGACCGAAAAGCGAATGTGGGCCTCCGTACCCACATTTCCGACCCGGGGCCCTTGCCGCTAGAGCAACGCGACGGCCGAGGCCGAGGCCGTTGGAACGCTGTGCAACTTACATGAGGTTATGCTTCAATTTGTGGATGTGTATTTTCATGATATGTTGTAGTTTAGGAGCATGAAGTCGAAAATAGCTGTTCACTCCTACACTTACCTACTACCTAGTCTTATCCCTTTGGTTGGGCTAGGACTACGATTTCCACAAAACCGGTAACTGTACATTGATGATAGCGCAGCTCGTCAAACCTGTAGGTATTGAGGCTCTTACAGTGATCTTCAGAGGAGTTTAACCAACTAGAAGTGGATACTTTTGTGGGTGCCAGTGGAGCCCAGGGGCTGCTGGCAGTATGTATAGCTGCTAATCGTGGTGGAGTTGTAGTCTTATGCCAACTAAGGAAATACGGAAGCTTTTTTTATAGAAAAATTTGTGGGAAAATGTGTAGGTAAGTTAGGTAATTTCAGTGTGGTACGTGGGCGTCCAAGTATTACCACAAGTTCCTGATAATGATGAGCCTGCTTACTGGAGACATATGGCAGAGGAATTCTTGAAAAGAGGCCAACACCACAATCAACTAGAGTCTCATAATACCAAGTTCTGATTTAGTCATCTTACCTACCTAGGTAGGTAGTGCGATATGAGGATACTTGGTTTTAGAAATATTTCTACAACTAGCTCAGGGAGGTTACTTCAGAAGCCAACTATTATTCCAAGGCTTGACAAATATTCCTTAACTCAGAAATTTCTCTTTCCTCGCAAGTTCTAAAGCCAACTACTCAGAGATATCGACTGCGTACTCCTTATAGTCGAGATCGACGGGGCGGCATTTGTAACCAACGTAACTATTTCTGACGTGAGGGTTGAGGTCACCACCACGGGGTCTCGATCGCCATCAGGCCACGCCATGGGAACATATACCGGCCTCGACGTGAACGACGCGGGGTACGTATAGCTTGGTGTCGAAGACGGTGGCTCGTAACTAGCCGCTACCGTGACCGCAGCTCTCTTGCCTCTTTCGGCATGAGAACCATACTCTCTGGTTTCTACAACATCCCCAAGTTCCCGCTTCTTGACGTCAAGGCCATGGCCGACACAGGAGAGCTGGGGCCCGCCGGCCGACGCAATTGCGCGCTCGATGCACCCGGCTTTGAAGAAAAAGTCTATGTTAAAGTAGACTAGTGGGTAGCTTGAGGGGGTTGCGGAATGCCAGTCCCAACCAGTTATAGCACCGCATCCATCCTCTTCACTGTGGAGTTTTCGGCCGCCGTCCGTGGCCCAGTAGGCGATGTTGTAGATTTCTTATACATTCGCCACACTGAAAAAGTTCGACCATTTCGGCAACAATGTCCTGAATATCGGTATCCAAAGCCTTGAAGGCTGTACAGTCGTCACCGTCGTTTCTCGGAGTGCAGTTTATATGGTAAGTGGCCATTCTGACCACAATCGCCTTGACAATGGGTTTCTGACTCATAGAGCACAAGGGTCACTTTTTTGAGAGCCTAGCGTTCGCTCCAGAGGGCAAAGCCCCAGACACCGCCTTCCAGCAGAATTGCATCAATTTCATCACAGGCCAAGGCCAGACTTGGAGGACAAGAGGAGACAGCTTGGATCCAAGTCTATTCAGTGGCCCTGCCGTCGCCTTTATCATGACTCCTCGCCAGGATCAGGACGATCCTACGGAGCAGAATCCAAATCCGCCTGTACCGGGTGCCGACACGCAGCTCTATGGAGACAGGATGAGGACCCTTTCCCAGACTCTCACGAATTTGATTCCAGGGATCACAATAGTCTACTACAACTATATCGCAATCAACATCGAGGAGTATCAACAAGCCTACCAGGGCAAAGCGCTGTTTGGATATGATTCGAACGCGGATGGAGCAGGTAACCCTAACTTCAGGCTCTGGTATGAGCAGACTTTTGAAACCGGGATTAATCTAGGGCTTCTGTGATGATCAAATGTTTAAGCGGTTCAGGGAACTGCCGGTACAAATGGTGCGAGGAAAAGGAGTAGTAAAACCATGTATCGTCCATGCTATTAATTCTAGGCCTAGCCCACCAAGTTATGTGAAGTTGTATTTTACCTCAGGGCTACCGTCAGTTAAAGGGATATTATCATGTATATTTTGGGATAATAACACATGTATACGCTAGCGAAGTTGGTTAGTCTAAAAGGACAGAAGCTGAAAGATATTAATTTATTTTTTTTAACACTTACTAACCTTGAATACTGCGCCGAGGGAGTGTTACACGACCAATTCCGTGTTGGATTTTCAGGGGTTCCACAGTCCCCCAAATCGTCCAAGGGGCCAGATTTCAAAAAATATCTTCATTTCGATCTGATCGGGCGTATTGGTATGTATTCTTACATCAACTTCTTGCCGAAAACGGAAGATCCATAAACATCCCTAGATTACTCTCATTATGCGGGTATCTCGGTCGCGAGCACGTACATACATGCATGATCAACCATCCTCCGAATTGTCAGATGCAGGGAAATCCACCGGCGAGTTCAGCTCAACAAAATCATAAACCGCCTGTCGAAGTGGTCCATACTCCCGATACTTGCTTTCACACCAACGCCTCCTCTCCCCAGATCCAAGCGGTCTTCTTCGAGTGATGCGATATTGAATCGGCTCCTTTACGTGATCCATCTGCCGTATAAGTGTACTCGGTCCCATGTTGATGTCTTGATATCGGAATTTAGGGCCGCCAGGCACATCGAAGTGTACGAGATCAATACCCTCACGAATGTCGTCGAGATGATAATATGTGACGGGAGTTTCTGAGAGTGTCAAATATTCGAAAATGGAAGTGTATGTCCCTGAAATGAGGTGAACATCTGCCATTGTCAATGCTGCAGGATGGACGGCCTTGACAAATTCGAGAAGTTCGTTTTCAGAAACATACACGCCGCGCAAACTACATTCTTTGAGACGTGCGAACTTTGAGTGGCTATTATTCTTCAGGGAAGTCGTGGATTGTACTAGGGTTGGGGGCATGTTGCTTCCGACATCGTACCAATGTAAATCGAGACTTTCCAATTCTGGCATGATGCCTGACATCTGCAAGATGCTCTGGCATAGACCTTCCGGCGCGGTGGTCGCTGTGTTGGTTAATTGCTCCGTCGGATACGTGTGGGATGACGACAAGCTCAGCATTAGTTTCTTCAATGATCTGAGACTGTCCATTGAAGGAAATTTCTCTGTGAGAGACAGAAATGCACCATACGCCAGGCTGCAGCCTATAGTACCGCCAAATACATCCAGGTACTCGTCCACAGATGTATGGGACTCATTTAGCGCTAGCATTGTGACATCGAAAATATGTAAAGCTGTAGTCCAGATATCTCTCCATGCGTGGAAGGTCTCTGGCTCGCGGAGGCCGCCATCGGAATCTTGGGCACGCGCAATAACACGAAGACATAGCGAAGCAAGCCTGCCCCTCGGAGAAAATTTCTTTAGGTTGAGGAATGCTTCAGTTAAAAGACGTGCGTAATCATGAAGATCCAATGTCGTAGCCACGTACAATCCTGAGATGCCAGTGATGGTACAATATCGCAGTTGACAGCCTAGACGACCTCGACTTGTAACGCGTACCATGTTTTCTAATGTGTTCGTACATAGCATGATATTCTTATGGTAAAAGAATGTGGTGAAGTAGCCTTGGGAAGCCTTGCTCTCAATATTGCGGTTTGTTAATCGGAGAGACGCGATGTCCCGGAGGTCCAAGAGCGTCACGATGCGCTCAACTAACTCAATCGGGAGAGCTTCCAAGGAGGATTTCATATTGTGATGTGAGTTCTTAGAGAATATTCTTAAGTAAATGTAATGGATATTGGTGAGATGCTATGCAAGTGTCTAAGATGGGCATCCCTGTGCGTGTAGGCCGGCTAGCTGTCTATATCACGATAGTGAATATCGGTACTGGAGGTAATCTAGAGCAGGTAGCCTGATTATTGAGCTGTCAGATGAGAAATTAGGATATAACAGTTGGATTGGAATAAAGATGCAGAAGGGAAGTTGCAGTTACAGCGCCCAAGCCTTGTAAGTCATACAAACCGCCAAATCCCGCCAAATAAAAAACGCCATTCGGGCATACATATTCCTGTATTGCATATATGCATATAAGTACACAGTAAAGAATATGTACGCTTCAATATCTCGAATCTGCGACGGTATTCTTTAGAGGTTTGGTTCAAGTGTGAACGAATGAGAGGAGAGGATGAAAAAGGGAGGCGTCGGCGATAAAATAATCTTCACTACATAAATTATTCAATCAAGTGGGAAGACTAGGTAGATATTATCATAAATTATATACTGCACTCTGAGTCTTAGATAGGTAGGCTAGTTTCCATTTGAATGTTTTGTGTCTTAGAATCTATATGACTACACCATAGGATCTGTTCCACTTTAACTTCTGCACTTCACGGCCTATCGCTTCCAGGGTCCGAAGACCGAGTACGCTCGCGATCAAGATAGCTTCGAGCGCCAGTAGTCCGATCCACAACTCATCCAGAGTTGTCACTTCATAATTTCCCCACAAGCTCTCGAGATTTTCTTTTAGCAAATTGTGGAGTTTTAACTGTAGCATTAAGATGCGAGAATGTGTTTCGAACTGTTGGAAGTATAAGGCCAAATCAATCTGGTTGGTCAATATTATATCTACGATTGAGTCTGATTGGATGATCTGTGGTACGTACTCACATTCTCAAATCCAACTGGACCGTATAATTAACATGCCTTTACCATGTTGAGGAGCAGGTATGGTAAAAGCTGTCTTATCTATAGGTATTTAGACGGCAATTGCGGAGATAAGTATGCGAAGTCTCATAAGGTCAAGCAATTCGCTCTGAGTTCTTTGATATGCGTGGGGAGATTGGTGAGCTATCAAGAAATCGTAGTAATATCTTGGAATTCGACATGAGGGTTTAAATATGTGAGGGTTGCTGCACCTTACTTCCTCATTTCGTAGTGGACACGTTGGAGGTTCTGTCATGCGGAGGACCATCGTGATGAGATCTGACCACGTCATGCGAATCTCAAAATACGTACAGCATCTGCGGGGGAATGAGGAACCTCAATATATCGAGGACGACATCCATCTATGATAAGAATGTATTAATATATATGTGATCATTTACTCTAAAGCCAGTTATATGCGACTGGAACGAGACAACGAGAAGTGTCAGGTTAGTAGCAGAGTGCTAAGGACTTATCCGGCTTACTAATATTTATACTTACGGCACTCTGTGAGAGGTCGAGATTATTGTGCTTATGGAATAATAGGGATCAATTGTGTATCCCTCGGCTTACCAGCTTGGTCTATGTACCGATCGATGGACCGGCGGATCTTTTGCTGGAGACTCATAGTGTGGTCTAGACACATGGTTCATGGCACTCTTTCCTGCGAAGAGGAGATGATAGAGTCTGTAGACTAGTATGGTACAGAAAAGCAAAGGTACTTCGTGAATCCGAGGGATCGTGATGCATCGCAAGATGTCGCAGCATGCCCAACCCCCTTTACAATGCACCCTGCAATGCAAATCCAAACTCCGGTTTCAATTGATGTGTTTTATTTGTAGCTGTGGTTGTCGGTATATTTGTCGCATCACTTGGGCCTGTTATGTTTCTCGCGCTCGCGCACGTCGCCGCCTATCGCTCTCCACCATACGTCGCATCCCCATCGCAGCGCCCTCTCAGCAGCGCCGGTTGGCGTGAAGGCCGGTCGAACGTCGAGGAAGAATACTGGCTCTCCAGTGGGTTCGGGTGGTCCGGAATAGTAATCGATAACGTATCGGATTTCCTTTCGTTGACCATTAACATCCCGGGATACATACCAGTCGTGTCGATCAAAAGGTGGCTCGGTACTATAACAAGTATTAGTGTCATCTTCTCCAACCAAGAATATAGGCACATTGACTTACGCGAAGGCCCCGGGATACAGCCAGCCCATAACTTGGAACATAGCTGCTTTGGGTGTCATGTCCTGCGGCCGACCTTGGAATCGGACCAAACTTGGGCTCAGCTCTTTTACCTCCTTGTCATAACCATATTTCTTCGCCATCTTTTCAAAGTTCTGCTCACCGCGACTACACATGCGCCAGCCTTTGTAGAGGCCACCGGAAAATCGCTTCTCCCAGTCCATAATCTCGGACCAAGCACCTTCATTCAAGAAGTTGTGAACGCTCACCATGCTGTCGACTGCGGTGACGTCTGTGTCTGTGTAGCCCTTGCGCAGGAGAGCGTTGTACATTTGTTGCGGGGAGGGATATTCCCAATTGCCGTCACCATCACCTCTGGGAATGGATGATGGTTCTCGCGAAGTAGGAAGAGAGTAGGTCTGGTTAGGAGCAGGCTCTTGTGACAATTCGCGGAACATGTAGTTCAGAGGATTTAGTTTCGAAAAAGCAGATTGCGAGTCGCTTTCTCCTTTCTTGTTTCCTCCTTTCTTGTCGCACTTCTTGGCTTCTTTCCCAGGTTCTACAAACTCCTTATGTTCCTTATGTCCCTTCACATAGGAGCGAGATTCGCGAGATTCGAAAGGAGATTCAAAAGCAGGAGGTTCATGGTCGGCCCGGGAATGTTTCACAGGGCATGAGCTTGAAGAGTTTATCGCGTCGGCAGACTTTTGATGTTTATGCATCGGACATCCAGCCTGGTAAGAGAACAATAATTAGTACTTTAAGAGCATGTAGGTCGATTAGGTTCCGAGACAAACTTACCGGGGGCGATCGCGATGCATTCTTGTTAGGATGCCGTAAGGTCTGCGGAGTGTCTGCCCAAAACCAGCCCATGACTTTGATCTACTTGTGTACGGTGGTTGAATGAGAAAGATGGACTTAAGTCTAATAGGTATTTTGGGGACGATATATTGAGATCGAGAAAGTGTACGGAGTTTTGTTTCCTGGAGAGGGGTTATCGTAGATTTTCTTGTCTTTAACTTGTTAACATTTTTTTTATTTGCCGCGGTCAGTTCTTTAAGGCTGAGTCAGTGGAGTAAATGGATGGAAAGTGTAAGGCGAAACTCAGAGTGGGCTATTAGAATCTATTACGTGATGACTTCCTCGGTACTTAGGTACATGCAGGTAACCGCATGTCATATCGATAGTGCAGCTACCGGGATTTTACCGTCCTCGGTTTAAGCCGAATCAACTACGTCACATCATTGACACGCGATCTCAATTCTTAGAGATTCACCATACACCATCAACCATCAAACACCATACACTACTATGCTAATGCTACGCACACCAATAGCATAAACGTTTGCTTGCACACAGTTGTGAAATTGATTAACGCTAATATAGAAAGATTCCGACCACCATGTCAATCAATTGTTGCTCTCCCTTCTACTTATAGGTGTGAACAGAGATGCGACCAGCCATCTTACTCGGCCGGTTCTGCGTTCGCCGATATTTCTTTCATGCTCCCAAGACTGCTACGAATCTTAGGCAATTGCACACGACTTTTCGATCCCGGCTTCTCGGTCCTTCACCATGGCGCAGCTCCCAAAACAGGGGTAGGGGGAGGGTATTGAGTGCTACAGCTCACGCAGCTCTCGGGACCGCCGCGTTTGTCAAGCTATCCGAAAAGGATGACAAGGATACGGAACACACGGCCGAAGATCGCATGCTAAAGGTATCGCGAGAGGAACTGAAGAAGATCGTCGATAGCGATGCAGGATTTCTCAACCGTTTCGGTCATAAAATAATCATCTTCCTGGACCTCTACTTTTGGGAGCCCCTTTGCACTGGAGTGAGATTTGTCGAATTAGTCTTCATATTCATACCAGTCATATTGGCTGTCCCATCCATATGGCTTGGGTCCCGCCAGCCTGGTCGCAACAATGAGAGAACGGGCACATTGTGGTGGTATTATTTCCTGGTAAAGTCTATGGAGGCGGCCGGCCCGGCATTTATCAAGGTGTGTCAATGCTGACATGACGCATAACAATAATATGATAACTACTAGGACACTAACATTCGTATGCGCGGACAGCTTGGTCAATGGGCCGCTTCGAGGACTGATATTTTCCCTACCGAAATGTGCGATATAATGTCGAAGCTTCATTCCAATGCTCCTGCTCATTCCTTGGAGGCGACGATGCGAATTGTCGGAAAGGCTTTTGACGGTAGAAGATTTGAAGATATTTTCGAAGAATTTCATGAAACTCCTTTGGGTGTGGGTGCTATTGCGCAGGTGTATAAAGCCAAATTGAAGCCAGATCTCGCAGCACCGGGCGATGTCGATGTCCTAGACACGCGCAGCAACCTCCGACGGAATGTTCGTCGAAAAGTAGATACGGTTCTGAAGAGTGTGCCAAAGCGGGTTCCATCTTCTTACGTTGCCGTCAAAGTTCTACATCCAAAAGTTGAACGAACGGTTCGGCGTGATCTACGCATCATGCATTTCTTCGCCTCGGCTCTAAACCTAATACCCACTATCGAATGGTTATCTCTACCTGACGAAGTCGCTCAGTTTGGAGAGATGATGAGGCTACAGCTTGATCTTCGTATTGAAGCTGCTAATCTAGCCAAGTTTCGAAGAAACTTCAAGGATCGCACTACAGCGTGGTTTCCGTTCCCATACCTCGAGTTTACAACTCGAGAAGTACTTATCGAGGAGTTTGCGCAAGGCATACCCCTAGCTGACTTCTTAGAAAACGGAGGTGGTGTCTTCCAAAGGGACATCGCCCAAGAAGGACTCGATGCTTTCTTACGCATGTTATTAATTGACAACTTTGTTCATGCTGATTTACATCCGGGAAATATTATGGTTCGCTTTTACGAAGCATACCAACCAGACTTAAGTCTACGCAACACGTCTAATGGCCACAAACCGCATCCCGAAGATCAATCCGATGTTACTGAACAAGTGCTTGCACGACTACGTCCATTCCGCAAGAGAAAAGATTTTGCCGCTTGGGAGGCAGAATTGAAAAAGATCGACCAAGAAGGCTTTAGACCGCAACTAATATTCATCGACACTGGTCTCGTGACAGAATTGAATGCAGTAAATCGCCGCAACTTCTTAGACCTCTTCCGCGCCATTGCCGAATTCGACGGATATAAAGCCGGCCATCTCATGTGCGAACGTTGCCGACAGCCCGACGCCGTCATTGACGAGGAAGTTTTTGCATTGAAAATGCAACACCTCGTCTTGAATGTGAAAAGTTCCACTCTCGCTCTAGGTAATGTCAAGATCGGCGACATTCTACAACAAGTTCTTGATATGGTCCGACAACATCACGTGAGGTTGGAAGGCGATTTTGTCAACGTTGTGATCAGCATATTGCTTTTAGAGGGTATTGGCCGTAGCCTCGATCCTAATGTGGACCTTCTAAGTAGTTCGCTGCCAATCCTTAGACAACTAGGTGCTCAAGGCGGTGCTCAGATGATGAAGGGAGGCGATTTCTCCATGTTGTTCGTTTGGGCTGGATTAGAGGCGAGACGGTTCATGCAAGCTAGCATCGAAGACGTGAGTTTAATTCCTCTATTGTGACGCACCCAACGCTAACAACTAGTATAGGTGGAGAGGTGTGTAAAATACGATTTGTTATCACCGAACATTTAATTCAGAGATACGGTCACGGATAGACATAGAAGAATTGCATATGCAAACATTGATAGATGGGAATGAACTCAGGAGTAATACCACTCTTCAGGATAACGTTTTAATTATAGATGAACGTCAACTCGTACTAGCTAGGGTCGTTTTTAGCAGATGATCTGAAACCCGTCTCCCAGCTTCCATGAAAACGGACTCTTAGGCAATCTCGTTATCTCTCTAACTAAGCTGCGTCGCGAGTTGCGTGACCTGATCAAGCAAGTCCTGGGCCTCCTTTGGTGCGTTCTTCAGAACCTTGTCTCGGAGATGGTCGACCTGGAGACCAGCGGCGGTTGGCGGGTTTCCCTGGGCCGTCTGGATGCGGCTAACCTGCATCTCGAGAAAGAACTTGGGCACCTTGATGGCGAGCGAGCCGCCGACGCTGCGGATGCCGGCCTCAGTCGCTTCGTACACATTTAACTGGTCCTGGAAGGTTTGCAGATCGGTGCTGGCGAGCGGGCTCGCGGTCGCGAACTTGGAGAGTGCGAATTGGAGCGGCGTCTGGCTCGACTGGCTGAAGTCGACCGAGGAGAACGTCGTCGACCCGGAGGTCACGTCAGGCACCCCCGAGATCGTAGTCTTGGATGAGGAGCATGTTACGTTCGAGGCGAGGCTCGCGGCCACGTCGGCCACTTCTGCTGGGAGCGTGGTGGAGCCGATCACGAAGCAGGCCTTGGCGGCGCTTTGACGGGCGACGACGACAGCGGTATTGGTGTTGCTCAACGTGATCACGTCCGAGGATGCGACGAACGGGATCTTGGGCAGAGCTGCGGCGGCGGCGGTGCCGGTGAGGGCTAGAGCGAGGGGGAAGGAGGCGCGCATCTTGTTTTTAGGATGGTGGGTATTATTGGTGGGTTGGATGTCAATGGTATGTACAGAGAACGAAAGTCGAGTGCCAGCCAGGAACAGGAACGAGAACGAATGGATAAGTGAAGAAACGAAAATCCTTTCCCAGAAGGACGACAAGATTCAAGATCTAAAAAATGTGAGAAATGAGAGATGGGCGGGAGAATATCGATCATGCTTGCTGAGGATCTTTCATGCTTTTATCAACGACTAATACGAGAGACGATCCGGAGAAGCGAACGATCAGGCGTTCACGAATGCCAAGATGTGGTCTTTCGTCTCATGTCTGATGGGTTTTAGTCTGAGACCCGGCCAAGCAGTTCCACGTTCCCCAGAACATCCTCTTTCGGCACGATATCCATCTTGTTCCATTTGTTCCATTGGTCGATCATTGGTCAACCAGAGAGTGTCGACAGCGGGTAGGGCGAAGAGCCTCAATGGCGATCTCCTTATCAGGGGGAACCGGGTTTCACTATAACCATTGACCAATCAGAGAAATTTATCTTGTGTGATCTGCGGGATCCTTGTCACATATCAACCCCACTATCTTGACCCTTCTATCTTGACCCTTCTATCTTTTACTCTATCTTTCCAGTCTCAACTTCACTGTCAAAAAAGGACAACAGTTTCAATTACTCTTATGAATCTCAGACACAATAGATCATGGGAATATGTATATTCATCACTCATTTGCCTAGGGCATCATGAGAAAAAGGCGATGAAACGAAGACCACCACTATCCAGACTATCTAAGACGCCAAACGTGTATCTCGACGCCAGCAACGGTCGTTTAAGCAAATAGCCGACCCTTCTAACGGAATGGCCACCTAGGTACCCGTTGGTTGTTTAGGGGAGGAGGCCGACAAGGCCGAGACCAACGGCCTTGAGAAGGTCATCGGCGATGAACTTGACGGCAATGAGCAGGCCATCGACAACCTTATCAAGGGCCTTGAGAGTCTGGGTAAGAGCAAGAATCAAGGGAACCAAGTGGATTAGCACAGGGCCTATTGATATGTCAGTTTCGCATCCAAAGCTCTGTCACGGTAGGTTCGGCTTACCAAGACCAAGCTTGATGAGGATGAACTTCACAGTACCGAGCAGCTCATACAAGATGAGGCTAACGGTCTTGAAGATGTCCTCTTTGACGAATCGACCCTCGAGAATGGCGCGCTTAGCAATGCTACCAGCCTGATCCAAGAGATCTGAGATGGCTTCTAGTTGAGGAGCAATAGTGTCGGCAGCGGCTTGAGCCTCAGCCTCTGGAGCGGCATCCTGAACCGGAGTTAAAGTGGCATCTAGTCGCTTGTCAGATCAACATAACTCCTATTTCATTTTCTATATACCTACTGATCTGAGTAGTCTGCTCCTGAATCTGAGTGAAGAGCGTTTCTAAGGCAGTCTCAATGGCATCAATGTCCTGACGCTTTTTCACGCTAGTGTCAACAACGACGGGGCTAGCAATGCTAGTGACGATGAAGCCGCCAAGGGCAAGAACACCGAATAATGTGGTCTTCATGTTGAAGATATTTCGAGGCTAATGGTTTATCTAGGGCTTGAAGTAAAGAGGGAATGATGGAAAAGGCCGAGTCTGTTGCTGTCGCTAATGAAGAGCAAACAAATAGCATCCTACAAGGAATCGAAGCTTCTATTTATACCTTCTCACGGCACACTCATCCCGTTCTTCGAGATAATTCTGGTTCCATATTGCGTGCTTGGCTCCAAGGTATTAACTTCAATAATCTTTTTCACTCTCATCCTCCTGCAGCCTCCTATCGGCTGTCATACGGACCTTAGGCTAACAACCTGCAAGATGACGTCGAAGTCGCCGACCAAACTCAGTCCATCGACTATCTTCCATATGCATCTTTAATGAAGCAATCTAATATAGGTCAATGACATCTATCCGCCGGAATACAGCCCCCTTGCTGACAGGCACGTAGGTGAATTTCTCATTGGATGACTAAGTCAGGCTCTGTTGCTTCTTGACGGATATCATATCCGGAAGCCAGAGAGGAACTCGAGTATCGGCAATCTCTTTTGCGGTGAATCGACAACAACGTGGTAGAGGAAAAGGAAGGCCTATTGCGACGAAAGGGGGGCGACCTGCCTCCTGATTGGTCATCGTTTTCCTGCCCCTGACATTGCGTGCTGCTGCGCAATTTTAGCAATGCTCAACATATGTGCTGAGAATCGACAATACTAGTTAATAATCTAGCAATAGCCCTGGGTTCTTGGTATTATAGTATTGACGTGGCATTCATTGCATTTATTAAATGCTAAATGATGTCAGCACTCTTGAGAGGAGGATTTCTTCAATTCTTAGGCGACTTTGGCCATGATTTGGACCTGACGATCAGCGCTGTCACTTTTAAGCTTCTTTCCTCCCCACCGACGATCTCCTCGATACCGGTAGATCAATTTGCTAGTAGACTCGTGTCGGCTAGAGATTATTTTATTCAGATTCAACACCGCAAGCTGACGAGGCGGACCGATCATCATATTCACAACACTCTCAAGAAGGATTGTCTTTCATCCATATTGTTCGTGCTACTACAGCAGCACCTCAATATCGCGATTTCTTAGTTTCGCCACTTATAGTGGCCATCTCCGGGCCGCCACTGAAGACCACTCTCGAAATGTAGCTTCTTGCTGCGCTTAATAAATCAACGGCGCGAATCTGATACTCGCGCGCCCCTAGCTACTATGGGTCAGATTCGTATCATATTTGCATCGAAATGAGGAGTCCAATACGTAACAGATTCAAGGGATATACGACTCCCGGGAGCCGCATATTAGCTGTCTGCAATTTGTACAATTTATCCAGCCCCCCTACGACCTAGAAACATGCGGGGTGCGTCAGACCTGAAGGTAAAAGCAACGTCAAAACAAGTTACACCAAGTTGAAGCTGCAGACCGGGTTCAGTCAGTACTTTGCCGTACCGTTATACGTCGATTGTTGGTTCTGAGCACGCCTTGCCGCCACATCATTATACCAATTCCATTGGCTCAGGCGTTACGGCGAACGTCAGCCGAGAGAGCTTAGAGGGGCATTGCGCGTTCTACAAACACGACACTCAAGCCAAAGATGATATGCATCAAGTCATGGCTGTTTTTATGCGCGCCATCTAGTTCTGGGCGAGTTGGTCGGAGTCCTTGTTCACAGATATATGAGTATTGCTCATTGCCTCTCAGTAAGGTACGGCGGCTCACGGTAAATACGGCAAGACACGGCTAATAACCGACTGAGAGGGTAACCCACTCGGTAGGTCTCACAACCATTCGATCAATCGATGAGGTTCAATCTGACAATCATGCCGATTATATTACGCTCACAGGGATTGCCAATATAGCCTTCTCATAGTTTACAATCAATTGGACTGGTCGATGTTCCTGGTATAACGAATTCAGCCAGCGTGGAGCGTATAGTCTGCCTATTAACTCAGCCCACTCGACATCCAGGCATAATAAAGCAGCGTTCCATCATCGACCACGACAATGAACGATCTCAGAACTTGGCGGACTCAGATTCCCATAACCATCAACTGGTCCTCCAAAAGTTACACTGGGAAAAGTAGACAAAGCTTCCATATTCAGTTTTATCCGGCAGGCACCAGAAATAGCATCAAGATCTTGCCATTGAGGATCTACTTCGGGCTCGTGGTCACCTAGGAGGGTATTCCGGTTCTCCCGGAACTTGGGCGTCATAGCAAGATGAAAGTACGATGTGATACGAAACACTTGTCGAACATACAGTAATTTGCCGCGTAGGGCGGATCAGTCTTTACAGCGGATAGACACGAACACGGGTGTTTCTTTAATGATAGGATCATGAAAACGAAGGCAGCCATGATCATCACATCGAACGATGTGTTCAAGCCAATACTTTCTAGGCGCTCTACATACATCAACAGTGTTGTATTTGGAGGGATATTATCACCCCGGGAGCATCGAGCCCCTTTTACTACAGAAATTCAGTGATCTTTTGATTTTCACGCGAGGAAGATGATACCACCATGATCTACCTCAAAGTTTCATTAGGATTCAACTTCACCACGGAAATCTAGGGTGGAAAGGGAGTTAGATTTATACTCTACCTTGAAACATTTACATGGTTGGTTAAACATATTCTGGAGAATTATAACGCCTTTTAACTCCACCAATCGAAACTACCTTGAGTTACGGCCACTTACCATTTCATACAGAGGTTGGGACGTTAGTACTTACTCTCTAAATTCCCCATGCTCCAATGCCCACATGCGCATCCACCATATCGGTGTAAAAGCCCTAATCGGCTGTGATTGATTACCTCGTGCCCAGTCTATCAAACGCGCCACATTCTCCTTCTGCTCGAGGAGCAGCGTCTGGGCCTGCTCCACGTTGAACTGCGCATGCTGCATCTGGTCGTGCCCCTTAGGCCAGACCTTAAACAGATCGCGATACACAAGGAACTGCGTCTTAGCGTCCTGCTCGAGCGTATACAGCTTCTCGCCCTCGAGGAATAACTCCTCGTCCGCCCACGGCATCCGCCTGCGGTTCTCGACCTCCAGGAGGTCCTCGCGCCACGTAGCCGGGTACCTGTTCCACAGATACGCCTCCGGGTGCCCGAAGTAGGAGAGCTTCTCGTGGCGGTGCTCGAGCACGAAGTTGACGCACTGCTCCGGCTCGCAGTGCTCGTCTATGTCCTCGTCGTCGTCCATCCCCAGAGTGCCGCACACCCACGCGTGGAAGTCGGCGCAGAACTCGACCTCGCGTACCAGCACGCAGCAGCTGTGGTACTCGCACGTGGGGAAGGGGCTGCCGAGGAGCCACTGGCCCGGCAACGGGCGGCTCACCTCGCAGCGGTGGAACCGGGTGTGCAGCGGGTTGGCGTAGACGGGTGCGTTTTCGGCGGCCGGGTCGAGGAGCATCGGGCTGCGCACGTCGTGGTGCATGTAATGGGTTAGGATTCGCCTACACATTTTTGTACGGTTACTGGGTAAGTATCTGCTGTTACTATTCAGGTAGTCGGGTGTAAGGAAGGTGCTTCACTCAGCTAGATAGATGTATTGCTACGCCAAGACCCGCTTGGTTCGAACGTTGGTTCAGATGGGATCCTGAGGCTTTTAGTTCCTGAGGTTGGAACTAGAGCTATCTAACCCTAAGTTGCCTTAGGTACCTAGTAGGTGCTAATGTATGAATACCTTATTTATGATATAGTTAGCGATCTAGCGAGGAAGCGAAGCACCAGGAGTCCGGACTCGAGGAATATCGAAGAGAAATCCCATTTCCACACTGGATAAGGCCTCGTAGATATTTATTAGGATTTTCAAGCACAATGGCCTTGTGCCAGCTTTCTTTCGAAACAGGTCTAGTTGTTCTGACTCTATATTCGAATCTTTTTTGTCTAGGTCGTTGAGCTTTCTAGGGTTTCTGAATTACAAGGGGATTGTTATAAGGGGCGCTTTGTTAGCCAAGGTTGGACTAACAGTAACGATAGATAAAGCGCTATATACTATTGTGAAAGCGAAGGTATCACAATTATGGGTGCTTCAGTCTCAAAGGCTTTCTATCGGAATACCGATATGATGATACTTTCCAAGGTCTTTCTGCGCTGTGGATCAAGATCTGATTTTTGGCTATGAGTTCCGTGCCTTTTACAAGGAATTGTTAGGTGCCGAAAAGTGTATTCACATACGTTCTGAAGGTTTATATAATCACGCAAAGTAATTGAGTGAGCATTTTTATGAATTGTGATATCTTTATTCTTAGAACGTGGGAGAGGAGGGAATATCAAAAAGGGGTAGTTTTAACATATGCCATGTTAATCCTAAAAGGTGATCGTTAGCCATATCCAGCCTGAAACCCTTTGAATTCTCCACAGTGCTTACCATGAAGTTCCCTGTGAAGAGAAGAAATTGGCAAATTGAAACTGCTCAGCATCCGCGTCGGTAAGTTGTTGCGAGAAGGAGGCACGGCCGCTCGTAGAAGCCCCGGGACCGTTGTTATGGTACTCGCCGAAGAGAATGTTGTCCGTTCGGGGATCAGACTTCCCCCAAACTGACCAACCTGCTGCTGATATCGAGTCGTCTAGATAGGTATAGATATATGCAACCCGAGAGTACTCATTATATGGCCGACCGAGGAAGATCGAGCCCGCTGTGACGTCCTTGGTCGCCGCAATAGTACATTGGTCAAATACGAGGCCACCGGCGGCGGTGCTAGAATCTCTTTTCATAGCTGCTATGCTGCCACCGTCCGTATTTGGTACGATCGTGGAGTTGAGGAAATACGCTGTTCCCGCACCCCAGATGAAATCAATCGACCCTTCGACGAGGGTGTTATACGCAAATACGCTGGTCCCGGTGTTCATGTCGAAAGTGTCTTGGTTACCAGTAATCTGGCATCCGTAGAAGGATGTATATCCGTTATTACCACTAGCAAACCCGAGGGACGCGTAGTTGTGTGTCTGCCCAAAAACGTTATTCATGTTGATATTGAAAAGCTGAAGGTTCTTGGCCCGGGAGTACAGTGTCGCCGAGTCTGAGTTGCTTTGGTCGGCTTGCGTATCAACCCCAACACTGTTTTGGAGAACGACTTGGTTTTGCGTGTTGTCAGATGGGTTCTCCGAGTAGCCACGGAAGATGGTGGTACCAGATCTGCTAAAGACGATCTGTTCTTTGTAAAGACCGGGATATATGAAAAGCGTTACAGTTTCGTCGCTTGAGATCTTCTGGATAGCTTCTATTGCTTCAGTGAAAATTGAGTAGACGGTTTTGCCTTGAATAGGGGTCTTAGACACGATGTAATCACCCGCAGCTGGAGAGGTGGAGTTTGCCTCAGAAGATATAATAACAAGCTCTTCGATATCACTTCTTCGTGTCAGAATCTTCGAAGGCGTGCTAATACTATTCCAATACGTCGAATCAATCCAGGAAGTCGAGTCCATGACACTAGAGAGGGTATAGGTATCCGATGTCAACAATGTTGCTTTACCAAAGCCCTCACGCGCGGCAGCATTATTCTCCCAGTTCCCCGGGCCGGTGTTATTGAACTCAGCGAATAATATATCGTCTAGTCGAGGGTCTGATGAACTCCATTGCTCCCAACCAGCCGGTTGAACGACAGAATCCAAGTAAGAGTCCTTGAAAACGACTCTCGCATACTCAGAATAAGGTCTTCCTAGATAAACTCCTGATTTGGTCGCGGACTCATAACCTTCTGCAGCAGTTACGAGGCACTGGTCAAATACATATATCCCTATGCCAGACGAATCCTGGCGGTTGTGTGCTGTAATAGCAGCTCCCGTCTTCTTAGCAGCAATGGTGCATCCTTTGAAATACGCAGCAGAATAACCCCAGATAAAGTCGATAGCTCCGTCTATGTAGGAAGACTCGTAATACTGATAGCCACTGGTTGACCCAGTAAGAAGGGTGTCTTGCCAGCCCGTGAAATTGCATCCGTAAAATCCGATGTGGCTACCGTAAATCGAAGCAGCCAGGGTTACATAATTAGCAGTAGCCCCGTCTAGGTTGTCGGTGTTAATGAAGTTGACATTGTAGAAAGCAACATTGGAAGACGCAGTAGAGATGACGGCTGTCTCGGGATCTGAGTGGCCTGCAGGGAGTGGTGATACGGAAAGACCACGGCTGTATGAGACAGTCACCTGGTTACCGGAATACTCCTTGCCAGGGTTTTCGGTAGTGTACCCAATGATAACAGTCTGACCAGGTCGGTTGACGGAAACTTGTTCAACATAAGTTCCAGGCTTCATAAAAACTGTCTGGCACGAAGAGTCGCTAGGTAGCGACGCCAGTGCAGCAGTCAAATTAGAGAAAGAGCCAGTTGTTGAGCTGGTTGAGTCAACGACTATGGCGCCTGATGGAGCGGTAGAGGCGCTCGTGGGATGAGCACCGCATGATGAGGCAGCTTTCCGTCCTTCATGGTAAGTGACTTGATCATTGAGAAAGTTGTAGATTTTACTTACACGTGCTATCCGCCGTAGCCTCAGCACCGAAAACAAGCGCAGGCAATAGACAAAAATGGCCCAAGACGAGCGCTAACCTGGATGTTAGCATCTTGAAGACTTGCATACCTAGGTAGGTATGTTCGAGATTGACTCGAACATGCTGAAGCAACGGCCATAGGAAAAGAGCAGTTTAATTATTGATAGATAGAGCATTACGACAACCCTTTCCACTTAAATTTAGATTATCCCACGAATCAACGCGATTGTGGGTCGTGGGCAGTATGTTATGAAACATTGGTGCATTTGGATTTAATCCGTGAATGTAGTCAGATAAATGATCTCTAACCTCCAAATCGAGTGATCGCCGATGATGCCTCGTAATTACCTACCTGTTATCCAGCTACCTTAGTCGACCTAGCACAATTAGGTGATCGTATATTTTATGATCACCCACAGACACTTCCCAGTTCATAGAGAAAGATGCAGTGTACCTAATCATTCTGTTAATTTCCAAAGTCTTCAATTGCGAGGCCAACTGACTGAATGGTGAAGGTGGGTACCAATACATGAGGGTGGTAACACAACATCTATTGGCAATACTCGCGATATGAGCTCAGGCTTAAATTATAATGGCATCGGTATACAACAAAGTTCTAGAAGCTCTTGGGCAAGTGGGCTTCAGACGATGTTGCATCCGGGCTTCTAGGATGCATATGTGGATAGCTGGATAGCCTAAGAATCCACGAATTAACGGGCCATAACAGCTGGGGACGTTTCATCCCCGGTCAACATATCCGCATGGTGGTTTGAACCTAGGTATTATGTCGTAACCTTCACTTTGAGGTCTAAGTACCTATATAAGAATGGTGTCACACAGTCTGTGGGTGCCGGATCTCTAGCATAGTGAGCGGAATGATCTATTAAGTAAAAGAGAGCTTTGCTCCTATAGAAAGGAGTGCTAGATATACCCACGCTCAAGCTGAGGTAATCAAGGGCTAATCCCTATAGGGATGGATTACCTAATTGCCCTATAACAAATGGCAAAATGGAACACTTGGCACGAAGGCGCCGCTGACTCATTGTGGCGGTGCGACGGTGCCGCCCTCTCCTCGTAGCCGCCGCGTCGCCGGGCCTTTTCCACTGTTGGTTCGTAACACTTCCTACTTTCTCTCTCAGTACGACCCCGGCAACCCCGCCATCCTCTCTTCCGCCAGCTCCGCCTCCCTCATAGCAATCTCCCTGTGCTTCTCACTCCGCGCAACAAGTCTGTATTTCAGCGCCGCGGGGTAGCTGACGAGACCGTAGCTGAAGTCGTCGGCGTCCGGGATGTAGGGTTTGCCGTTTTCGATGACGGGGAGGACTTCGAATGCCCAGAGCATGCTGTTTGGCGGCGTCAGTGGGAAGTCGGGTTTGAAATTAAAGGTGGTGGAGGGGATGAGGGAGAGAAGGAAGGCTTCACTTACCGCGCCATAGCAATATACAGCGACTGCAGCGCAACATACATGCCCGGACAAATTCTTCTCCCAAACCCAAACACGCCGAACTTGTACGTCTGCAGCCTTGGGTCGGTGACATCCAGGAATCTCTCCGGCTTAAACGCATCGCCATCGGGGAATACCGCTGGATCTCTCATCATCATCCTACGAGGGTTCATATTCGTCAATCACTAGACGGATGGATGAACTTGTGATTTGGGGTTCAGGGAGTACTCACGTGCCATTAGGATAAATCGCTGTGCCCTTCGGAATAAACATGCCCTTATACGTATAATCCTGGATCGAAGAGTGCGCAATGACTGTTGGTGTCACGAGGCGCCATCTGCATCAAAATGCACGTCAGACCATTGCTTTACGGGCATATGGGATAGGGAGACATACCTCATAGTCTCCTTGATGAAAGCTTCTAGGTAAGGCAGGTTTTGCTGGTCTGCAAAAGTAGGCATACGGTCTCGTCCTACCACCCTGTCCATTTCCTCGTTGACTTTCGCATAGGCTTCTGGGTAGTGCAAGATGGCGACTACATAACACGGTCAGAGGTCCACGCTCCCTGGAAAATGAAAAATGAAAGGCATCATAAAATCATTTGAGGGGCTAAACATACGGATAGCGATCTCAATCGCAGTAGACACAGTTCCAATGCCCGCAGCCCACGGAGAAGACAGCGCATAAGACAGTTCCAGGTCATCGAAGCCCAATTCCTTTTGTCGTTCGAGAGCCCATTGGGTTGTGCATGGGATTTGCGTGCCCTCTTCCATTCGCTTCTTGACGTCGTTCATCACGGTCATGTAGAGTCTTGTGTTGGTGTCTCGGCGTCTCTCGGGTTCCCAGCTGAACCACTGCAGGGGTTTCCGGAGGGGTGTTAGTGGAACTTTTGCTATGGCGAGGGAGAAGCGCTGCTTACTGGGAGCCATAGAAGTTGAGGCCACTGGTTGTTTTGGTGGTTAGTTCTAATTTCTGGATCAATGTTTATCGCTGCTAGAAGAACTTACGCTCTCGAGGAAGAAGCGGCCCGGGACCCTGATAATAAGTTAGTCCATACTCGGAGGTTGAGTCCGTAATTGACACTTACTTTGTACTAAAAGCAGTGTGAATAACCTGCGAACAGTTATCTGTTTATAACAGCATGGTTTCCGACGTACCTTTCAATATCTGTCAAAACGATCAGCAAAGCCCTTGTCGAAGTGGAAGAATCAGGTACTTACACTCCTCAACCTCATCATGCTCCATAACCAACGGATCCTCCATAGACGTAACCCTCCGTCCATACGCCATCTGAAACATCGTAGACGCCATATGCCTATAAAACCCATCAGCACCCTCTCCCCTCTATCACACCACCAATTTCCATCCCTCAGTACTCTTACCTTCTCAAAATCTTATGTTTCCGGTCCAAAATCCCATCCTCCGCCTTATTCTCCAACAAATCCTTAATCAGCACCGCCGACTCATTCTCCTGCATCGGCTTCGCCGCCGGCGATGCCTTGGCGCTGAAATGCGAGTTGTGAATCTATTGCGTAACACCGCCTCCATTAACCCCCTATCATGATTTGGCTTTTCGAAATATTCGAAAAGAAAACAAGAAGACTAACCGTGCGCCAATTCCGCCATTTTTGGCCGTAGACCATGGAGAATCCTCGGAGTCGAGAGAAGAGGAATTCGCTGGTCTTGTTTAGTGTTTGAGGGGGTGAGAGGAGGGGGGATGGGCGAGGATGTTGATCTTACCCCATGACGAAGTCGGGACGGCTGGAGAACGTCTCGCCGGCTTTTTCGAGGAGATCTATAGCTCCCTCCATAGTCCCAAGCACTAGCACCCATCACGTCAGTCACCCCTTCCCAGGCTCATCACTGCTCACTTCTCCAGGGTCAGGTAACATACAAACATTCAACTGCGGCCCCGTGTAAAAACTCGCCACATTACCTATCCCCCACCCCATGTCAGCAAACCACACTTCTCTCTACACAGCCGGGACAGGAGTAGACATACCATATTTCTCATTCCACGCCTTAAACACATTCCAGCGATCAGTTTGCAAGTACTTCGCATGATCACTGCCCGGCGGACCAGGCGGAATTTTCGGTCCTGTTTTGCGGAACGCTGCCTGTCGGATGAAGCGGACCAAGAAGACGATGATGGTGAAGAAGACTGCTAGGACCAGCAGGTTGGGGAGGGGTGCTGTTTCGAACAACATTGTTGGGGATGTGTGGCTGTGGGAAGCGGTGGTGTCGTTTCTGGGGATGCTGACGGTTGAGGGAAGGATGTGAAGGATGAGGGAAGGATGTGAAGGATGAGATATAAGGGGATTTGAGTTGGACAAGAGGATGTATAGGTAAGGGGGTTTATATAGGAGATGGTATTAGAAGAATGGGATGAGATGGGATGGGATGAGAGAGCTTGATCTGCACATCTGAAGGCGAATCCATACGTTTACCATGGTCAGCTGACTGCAGCAAATGCAACAACAACTGCACTCCTCCTTTACTGCACCTCGTTTACATCTCCTCCTATACATCTCCTCCTTTACTTCACCTCCTTTACGTCACCTCCTTTACTTCTCCTTTACTTCTCCTTTACTTCTCCTTTACTTCTCCTCTTTTACTTCTCCTCCTTTACTTCTCCTCTTTTATTTCTCCTCCTTTACATGCTTACCTGCATGCATACACCCCATTCTAGCCTCATCCTTCCTAACGTACATGGCGTTGATTTTGGTTTAGTGCTTGATAACAGGCTTCTGTTCTGGCTATGGTGGCGATATGTGCTCCCTGCATGCCGACGAGACGAGAGTCGAACAGGAAGCTGCTCATTCACGTCTAATTCCCGGCGTTGTCGTTGGCCGATTCCTTGGCCGAACCCTTGGCCGATCCTCAGGGCCTAGGCGGGCATTCGCATCCTCCAAGCTACTGCGACATGCACAGCGCCAAAATATGCGCGGAAAAGATAAGTGAAAAGATAATAAATAGCCTGCATCTCGCTTAGAGACTCCAGAATCAAGCTCAAAGGAGCGTTAGGCTTGCACAATTCTCTACCTATACTGAGCTCGTATTATCAGGTTTGCTTGTATTATGATGAAGAACGGAGGAGCGTTGCTTTGCGGGTTGCACATGTGAAGGGTTTGTGGGCGAGCCCATTGTGGTAAGAGGTGTGAGGTTGCTGTTGGAATCGCGTGATGAAGCATTCATTGCAGTGGATGAATTAGAAGTAGTGAAGACAAAGGAGGTAGTAACTCGCGTGAGAGCTGGCGCCATCATGAATATCAACATAAGCCGGAGTTTCCAACCCCTGAGGCTCTGACATCAGCCCCCCGCGCGCCGTACGCGCCCAGCCACAAAGCCAGATAAATATCCATAACATGGTGTAACATAGCATAACTTTGCGTAACATGGCATAACATGGCATAACAAAGATCCCCTGCATAGGCTATCAAATGCCACGAGTTTTTATTTTCCTAATTCGAACCCCCCCCAGGTAATTAATTCAAATCACGACACATCACCACGATGGCCTCTGTACACGCGCCGGTCAATGGTGATATGGAGAGTGTGAGATTGGTCGCCTTTTCTGATGGAGACCCTGAACGCGCTGCAAATTGGAGTACAGTACGTGGAAAAGTCGTGTTTTACCATCATATTCAGCTTCTCACCTTCAACAGAGCAGGAAAATTCTCGTCCTGATAATCGGACTTGCACTCGCATCTAACAGCACACTTGGTTCCTCACTCCCAAGCGGCGCTTCTCACTATCTGTCCAAAGATTTCAATGTATCAAGCGCCGAACAACTGGCATTGCCAAACTCTGTCTACCTGATTGGATATGTCTTTGGGCCGCCATTGTTCAGTCCACTCAGCGAGATGCATGGCAGAAGAATCGTGATGCTTTCGACCTTCTTCGGCTTTACAGCCTTCACCCTGGCATGCGCTTTAGCACCAACATGGCCAGCTCTGTTGATTTTTCGCTTCCTCTCGGGTGCCTTTGCATCGGCGCCAATAACAGTTGTGGGCGGCATTTTCGCCGATATCTATGATGATCCTGTGAGAAGAGGTCAAGCAATAGCCCTAATAGGAGTAAGTATATTACGAGGGAAAGTTTTGAAATGCTAACGGGATTCAGTTGACTTCCTTAGGTCCAATCATTGGACCTATCATTTCGGGGTTCGTATCACCCATCTCGTGGAGATGGACGTTTTGGGTCGGGTTGATAATTGCCGGTGCAACTTGGCCGCTTGTTCTTGTTCTCCCAGGTACGATATTTGACATTGATTTTGATGAGATCCACCTGACATATGCTTCAGAGACATATCCTCCAGTCATCCTTTTGCGGCGTGCAAAACGAATGAGGGCAGCATCGCCTAATCATGCCCAGAACGTATATGCGCCCATCGAACTTGAGGACAATGGATGGAAGCACACCGTAACAGTCAAGCTCGCAAGACCAGTATGTGATAGTCCATTTACTATAAAGGTTAGCTAACCATCTAGGTGGTGATGTTCAAAGAACCTATCGTTATCTGCACTTGCATGTACTTGGCTCTCCAATTTGGAATTTTCTATATCTTCTTCCAAGTCTACCCCACTGTGTTTCAAGGTAACTCCCGGTATTCACTGGCTGTGTTTGGATGTTGACTCCTTTTAGGCATATACAAGTTCAATGATGGACTTGCTGGTGTAGCCTTGGTTCCAGGTGAGTCAAATGTCCAAAGGTAACTGAATTGTGTATTGAGATTTTAGTCGGGGTTGGCGGCGTGATCGCTTGTGGCATAGCAATCTGGTACGACACATTTCTCGAACAAGCCAAAGAGCGCAATGCTTCGTGGCCAAAGAGTGAGGAATACCGTCGACTTCCTTTGGCGTGTATCAGCGGGCCATTAAATGTATCATCGTTATTCTGGCTGGTAAGACTTCCAAGACCATCTCGCGGGGGGATCTTAAGCTAATTTAGATGTTTTCAGGGTTGGACTGCGCGATCAGACATCCACTGGATTATCCCCATGCTTGCAGGAGTTCCATTCGGCATGGGTCTCGAATTGGTTTTCATATCCATGCTGAACTATCTCGCAGATGCATACGACATCTATGCGGCATCGGCTTTGGCATCGTCAGCGTTTAGTCGTAGCATTTTTGCTGTTCTGCTTCCATTGGCTGCTAGTCCGATGTATGAGAGACTCGGAATTCCATGGGCGTGCAGTCTTCTAGGCTTCCTCAGTCTAGCCATGGCAATCATACCGTTTGTCTTTCTCAGATATGGCACTTGGCTTAGAATGCATAGTCCTTACTGCCAGGAGCTGCTGAAGCTGAAGGAGCGCGATTCGGCAAATACATCACAAATTATGGCGGAATCTAGAAACGCAGAATAGATAACTTAAATGCAACATGATTACTCGATGCCTACCTTGGCTGGGCCAAGATCGGCAAAGCTTTTGTTAGGTACCGATCGACGGAACGGGTATACAATTTGCGTTTTATACCCGGAGAAATGACACACTGTAGATACGCGGGATCTATCCGGAGCCAAGTGACCTATCAGATATCTGACAATGAGATAGTCAATGGCTTTACTTGTACGGATGTAGCAAGGTCAGTAACTAGGGCACCGGCAGGGCCTAGAAGGCCAGTGACACCTGATTTCCTCGGAATTACTATTCCGACAGCCATCAGGACGCCCTTTGGAGGTTAAGATTTCCTCCGAAGTAGTCGAAAAGTGGCTTCTGAACATCCATCACTCCAAGTGCCAGTCCATCGTCTCCTGACAGTGTAGGCCAGCAAAGCCTTAGATCTAAAGGACGTACAGATCGCTGATTAGAACCCCAAGATGAACGATTGAGGCTTCAATCGGCCAAAAAGATGAAGCAGGTACGTAAAAAGGACAAAATAGCACCGAATCAGAAGTTTGTACGTATGGCAGATGTGCGTCGAGCCAAGCGTAGACTTCGCGGTCGCGTCATCTACGAAGACGAAGACGAGGCCTTTAACGTGCCAGGAAGAGGCACTAGGTACGGAGAACTACGCCCTGAAGATGTCACCGAAGCGGAGGATTGTATAAATATCAATTAAACGTAAGAAAAAACCTTCAATTGAAGTGGTTGAAGTTGGGTGATAGATGGGGCGACACGGGGTGGGGTGTAAGGGGGCAATCCATCTTATCACACATAGTATCTTGGTAAGCAAAGACTAAGCATTGCTCAGATATGTTTTGTATCGCCCGATGGGCGCTCTGTCCTCCTAGACAGTGTGTGTAGTGGGCTAAAGCCAGCACTACATTGATGACGCCCCAGTCGATGGGGCTTCTTGTGTGGAGGCTTTGGTACCATGAGCGAACCGTCTGGAGAAGGGTCGGAGCATGAAACAAGGGTAGTATCGTGTTAAAACTAGATAGATAGATCTACATGATTTCTAAAACATCTCTCAAGGGAGGTAGGTCGCCCAATAAAGCGTTCTCATGAGTTGACTGTAAATCGTGACTCATGGAAGCCGACACCGAGTTTCGATTACCCGTCGTTGACAAGGCCGACAAACTCGGGGCGTACTTGAGAGTGTAAGGTACAGTATTGCCTGCTTCCAAGCTGTTGACTCTTGCGAGAACACGAGTGAGCTGGCTCTCGAGGTGTTCGACTCGAGTATGCAAGGCATCTTCGCGACATTGACGGTGAGCAGCGGCTTGCTTCCTCGACGGCAATTTTCGACTGGCTGCCTTATGCGTGCAGTCGCAATCGTAGGTAATACAAGCTGAAGCAACACGGCTTCAGGGCGTCACATTTCAGCTTTCTCGAGCAGCATAAATCGCACGCCTTGACAACATGTCAGTCGATAAACTTGAAGTCGCGGACTAGGAGCTATCTGACCTTTCAATTCAGCGGATACTCGCCGTCTACATTGGCGTTTAACATGCTGGCCATATTCAGGCGACGCGACTGCGCGGGTGTTGTGTCAGGACTGAGACAGAAGAGCAACTCTTTGAAATTCGACATCAGTCCGAGTCCTCGAACTGAGCGATGAGGCTATAGAATACTATAGTCTATAGTTGACATATGCCAAGAATGATATCCATGGAGTTTATAGGACAACTTGTAGAAACAGCTGTCAACTATTTTCTCTACTTCCCCTGCACGATCGGTCCGCGCCAGACCCACGCCTCATTCCCCTGAGTGATTCCGTGGAGGTTCCGCCGACACTGGTCGGAAGCTCGAGGTGGTGTTATGAGGGCCGAAATATTTCCAACGTTTGTAATCACAGCTTTTCAAGCTTCTTTGAAAACGAATACAAATCTCATTGCCGTCTACTGTTCATGATGGAGCCAATCGACATTTTTTCTCGAGGGTTCCTCCCAATATCACCGCCGCCACAATGTCCTCGACACCGCCCACCAGCACCATGGATACAAACATGAACCATGACCACTCTGCCAATGCAACATTTCCTGGTTCCAACACCAGCGACTACCAGGGCGACATCGAGAAGAATGGCCAGGCCAATGGTGAACAGGACCTGACAGAGTCACCTCCCGTCACAGAAGATATCAATGGCAGAGACTGCAATCTGCTTCGATATCTAGGTATACCACCTGTACTTTGTATGGCCTTGACACCACCGTAGCCGCCGATATTCAAGGGTCCGTAGTCGATACATTTGGCGAGATCGGCCAGCTCGCCTGGGTCGGCTCTGGGTTTCCCCTGGGCTCTGTTGCCATCATTCTGCTGCTGGGAGATTTATACAAGAACTTTAACACTAAATGGAACCTTATCATCACCATCCTCCTCTTTGAGGCAGGCTTTGCCTTGTGTGGCGTAGCGCCCTCCATGAATGTACTCACCGTCGGTCACGTCTTAACTGGTATTGGGGGGAGTGGCATCTATCTCGGCTCGTTAGTCTATTTCACTTCTATGATGACTAAAAAGGAACGAGGCTTTTATGTTTTGGTTCGTAGGGGCTTTCTGGGGTTTAGGTGCCGTGTTAGGACCAGTAATAGGGGGGCGCATTTTCCCAGAGCGCGGCTGTTTGGAGATGGGCCTTTTATATCAACCTGCCGGTAGGATTACCTGAAGCTTCATCATCATACTTCCGTGGCTAACAAGATGTAACTATAGGTAGGGCTTGTGACTATACCGTCGTTGGCCATCTGGTTGTCGGTCTCTCATCCTATCCAGGGTGTCAGTATCACTAAACGACTTGCTGGCATCGATTAGGTCGGCTTCCTCTTGGGCACCGGTATATGGGTTACCTTTCTACTCGCAATAACGATGGCCGGTAACCAATGGCTATGGAGCGATGGCAGAACTATCGCCACATAGGCTGCCTTCAGCGTTGTCATTATTGCCTATGCAATCCAGCAGACCTTTTGTATCTTCAATACCCCCTCCCAGCGCCTCTTCCCTATCCAACTACTCTGTCAACGAACACCAGTCCTGCTATTCATCGCGACTACGTCATTCTCGTTTTTTACGCTATCGCTGCCGTCTTTACTATTGCTGGCAGTGGTTTATTGGTTGTTAATCTTAACCCCAGTTCGCCAGCGTTCTTAATCTATGGTTTATCCGTCTTGGTAGCTGTCGGAGCAGGTTTATCCATGACCATTGCCTACCCCCTCGTATCATTCACCTTAGAGCCTCAAGATGTCGGCCCCGGAAACGCCTTTCTCAATATTGCTCAGATAGGTGGCCAAGTGCTTACACTTGGATATCTGGGTAGATCTACCAGTCCACGGGAAATCGTAACCTCTCTGCTTTATTAGCAGGGCAAGGCTACTTTGCATCGGAGATCAATGGGGCATTGGCCGGGGCAACTGGTTAGCCAGGCTTCCTCTCTAAGGCGAAAATGTCGTTACTCGTCGCTAAGGGCTCCACGATCTGGTCTTAGGGTAATGAAGTCGGGGTTGAAATTGATGGCTGGCTTTGATTGATTTCTTTAAAAAAAAAAAGAACAGAATGTATTATCCTATCGTCCGCTGTCGCTACATAGATACGCGGTGCAGCTGCATTTTATCCGTTTGACATGGATACTGCGACCGTCTTGACCATTTCTGACTGTTATCTTTCCGTTTCGCTCCCACACTTCGCGCCACACTCATCGCCTTGTATAGGTATTAATAGTAAAGCTGATTTGAAGGTCCCTGTCTTTTCCGGATGCCAGAACTTCCAGTCCTTGAGGCCTCCATACCAACACTTCAACCTTTGTATGCAATCTCTAACTATTCTTATTATAACTCACTTAGGCCATACTACGGTAGCTATTTATCTACCAAATCCAACCTTTCTTCGATATTAATGCAAGATTACCTACCTAGATTCATAGCGACTTAGCCTCCATGCAGAATTAGGGGGGCTATAACTGCCAAGACCTAAGATCGAGAACGCCGCCTCTATAAACCTCCACATAGAGACTTCACGAGTTCCTGAGTACTAACAATCAAACGAAGTTTCTTCCAGTTTTAGTTACCGTACAAGTAACGCTTGTAGCAAGGTATCAGTTCGATACCTACCTAGGTACCTATTACTCGAGTCCATACCATCACGTTGGCATAGATGATTGAATCTCGCCAAAACGTATAGCCCGTAAAGAGATTCGGATCCGGAACAATGGCTAATAACCCGGATCTGACGAGCCATGTAACGCTACCTCGCAGCCAAGCAACTCAATCTCAGCTCCCCCTCATCCCACCGTACATCATAGATGTTATGAACTTTTTAAGACATTCGGTTCAAGAAGGACCGAGATATTCCTAAGAAAAGGAGAAACTTGACTGAATTGTTTAGATGTCATGGAAATCATAGATCATGTTTGCAGATATCTACCTATAAAGCGATCCTATATAGGACGTAAAAAGGGGTCAATATTAATGTGATTGTACCCAGCAATGCTTTTTTTCTAATAAGACGAATCACAAACCTACAAACTCCCTAGAAGATGCTCTTCATTAATCCAATGGTCTCACTGAAGGTGCTAACTTTGTCATTCCTTGCCTGTCAGGCAACGGCATTTCTGAACGCTACTGAAACTAGTACTCAATTCACTCTTCAGAATGACGACTTGCTGGTAGTTATAAGTAAAAGCAGTGCGGGGGTTTCTAAGATACTTCTAGGAAATGAAGATCTTCTAGGTTCAAGTGGAAGAGGGCCGTACTTAGACTGCTCCTGTGTTCCTAGCGGTTTCTGGGCCCCTGGAGCTACCGCCAAATTCCAGCTCTTCAAGGGGACCGACGCAACCGGAACACCGTACGGAGGCGTCGTGATGCAAGATACTTACGCATCTACGAACCAGACACTGGGACAATATTGGTTTCTAAGAGAAGGCGAAACCGGCTTGCATGTTTTCTCCCGGGCCACCTACTACAACGAGAAGACGCCTTTCCTTCGAGGTCTTGGTGAACTACGGACGCTGTTCAGGCCGAGCACGAACTTGTGGACTCATCTTGTCAGTAGCGAAGGCAATTGGGCGCCCTTCCCTTCCTCCCAAGCTACTAGCAGGGCAATCACCGTCCAAGATGCGACGACTTATCTCGGCAATACGACTAGCGATCCCTATGTAGAACAATATTCAGATTACTTTACCAAGTACACCTTTTCTGAGGTTTGGCGTGACCATGATGTTCACGGACAATACTCGGATGGATCGACTAGCTCTGACGGAAACACTTACGGCGCCTGGCTGGTGCATAATACGAGAGAGACGTATTATGGTGGGCCGTTACACTCAGATCTGGTCGTTGACGGCATCGTGGTAAGTCCTCCCTTGGTCCCTTCTTGCTGCTGTTTTGGAGGATAAAAAGAGTTCACATTAATAACCTGTGTCCGTAGTACAATTACCTGGTATCAGGCCACCATGGCGCTCCTACCCCTAATATGACAAATGGCTTCGATCGAACCTGGGGTCCGCAATACTATCACTTCAATAGGGGCGGGAAGGATTCTACACTCGAGGAACTCAGGGCCGACGCAGCGCAGTATGCTAATCCAGAGTGGAACAGCGAATTCTACGACAGCATCGCTCAGCATGTTCCCAACTACACCCCAACGTCAAAGCGCGCCACATTCAAGGCCACCATCGACGTACCAGAGGGCGGAAAGCGGCCCATTGCCGTCCTCTCCGAAAACAAGCAGGATTTTCAACTGAACGTCTTCGAAATGTCTAGTCTGCAGTACTGGGCTGATATTGACCCCAGTACTGGAACAGTGGAGATCCCCATGGTGAAAGAAGGTACTTACAGGTTGACCGTATACGCGGAGGGCATCTTTGGATGGTTCATTCAGGATGATGTCGACGTATCGAAGACCTCGGATGCATATAACTTCCAATGGAAGCCAGAAAGTAAAGGCAAAGAAATATGGCGAATCGGCACACCGGACAAATCAGCGGGAGAGTACAGACATGGTTATGCGCCGGATACGTCGAAGCCCTTGCAGCCCGAACAATACCGCGTCTACTGGGCTAATTGGGATTTCCCAACTGACTTCCCAGACGGTGTTGTCTTCAAGGTCGGAGAAAGCAAGGAGGCGGAAGACTTCAACTACATCCACTGGAGCGTGTTTCCCGGACCTTCCAATTACTTCCGGTCGCAGCCATACTACGAAAATGTCAATAATTGGACCATCCAGTTCAATCTCACCAGTGATCAGCTTACTGGTGACGCCCAGACGGCGACGCTGACAGTCGAACTTGCGGGTGCCAAGACAGCCAACGGCAACGACAAGTGGGCATCGCTTCCCAACGAGAAGTACTCGAACCTGCCCTACACCGTCGCCGCCAACGGAAGGGATATCAGCACGTGGACCATACCATCTTACCGTAGCGGTTCGTGTGGTGCCCGAAGCAGTGTGGTCTGCCAGAATTTCGGCAACGAGTTCTCGTTTGAGGCGGCAGAGTTTCTGAAAGTGGGATTGAACGAATTCACCTTAAGCCTGCCGTTCAATGCGACAGATACCGAGACGGCCTTGTTGCCGGCCACTGTGTACGTACAGTATGATGCGTTGAAGTTTGAACTTAGTTAGAATAGGGGGTTTGTTTGAAGTCACCCACCGAGGGATTAACTACCTACTTTCTTTTAAAAGAGCCAAGAATTATATAAACTTCTTGATAAAATGGTAGTAGTTGGCGATCCATTGGCTTAGTCCAAGCTTACTGCTAAAATAGGGGCATATGTCCACTAGATATTAGGTGCATGTTAGCGTTGAACTGTGAAGTCCACTATTTATAGAAAGCGGTTGCATTATGAAGATTGATTGGCGGCTAGGATATGCGGAAGCTTCCGTGGTTGGTGCGACTAAGCGAAATGTGGCTTATCGATAAGATCCGTCGTTATCCTAATCCGCGTTTACCGTAATATGACGCGACGTCACAACTTCAACGTCGATCCTTAATTCCTCACTTAAACTTCTTTTATTTTCCATACCTATGCCCGATCTACGCTCGCATTGTTGGCGCTGCGTTGTCATTTGTCTGCATCGATGCGGTCCATAAGACATTCAACTTTATTCACCCACGTCGAAATCAGTAGCCCTTAGCACCGGACATCCAACCGCTAGAAGAGTATAGCCGCGATAGTTCTAGAATAGGATTTGCCCTGCCTGGATGGATAGACGATTCCGACAAATTCGTATGGCCCCAAACGATTACGATGAGGTAGCAGTAATGGATGAAGACATAAAGGGTGAAAGCCATAATAATAATGGCGCAGTCTTTGGGATGATTGAGAGGACGCCCCTCTCAAAGACCAGAAGTTTATCGGATGGAGGCGGCACACAATTATCGCCCTCTCCCCACATCCTCGAAGCCTCACGCCGCACATCAAAGGACGATACCGATAGATCTCTCAGTCTCAGCAAGGATAAGATCCAAGATATACCGGCCATCGCCCCGACTCCCGTCACCCCTCGTCGACCCGACTTTCCTATGCGTGGTCTATCGCTTCAGATGTCACAGTGCGATTCCGTTTCCCCGTCCCAGACACCTAACCAGGTCAAACTCGCCCCTCTTTCACCGAAACTTGACCATTCCCAAATTTATGCATCCCCAACCAATATTCTTCCCAGGCGGTCCCGTGGACTAGATTTCTCTAGAGCAGCCACCAGTTTACATCACTCCACCCTTGCCGAGCAATCATCACCCGATTCGTCTCCGACCATTGGAGGGCGCGCTATGAACATTCCCGGTCGAGGTAATGGTGATTTTGGCCAGGAATCTGTCAATTCTCTGTGGTCTATGATGGGTAACCAAGAGCGTATGAATGTTTCTGGTTCGGTAGGAAGCACTAATCCTCTAGCTTCGGATTCCTCTTCGAGCTCTGGTGATGACGACTTTATGGATGAGGAAATGGAGGATGCTATTTATACTACACCGCAGATTTCCAAGAACAGCCAGCCTCTTGGAAACCCAACGCCGGGTACCGGCAACGTCGTCCCGTGGATGCCTGGATCATCATCTGCTATTAACAGCCTTCAGAGCTTCCGAACACGGCCCCGCAAGCACCCGCGGAAGAGACTACGCGGCCCAACGGGACTAGGTTTTAGCCCTGCTGGTTCAGCCGTGTTCTCTAAGTCACCACCTAACAATGTTGCTAAGGAGATTAGGGATGTTCCTATCCCTCATGCACGCAGAGAAAGCATCAGTTGGGCCGCCAACCAATTGCATATATCCGGTAGCGAGAACGAAGACAAATCCATGGAGGCTGGAGAAGTGCTGTCGAGAGATGGCCCTAGAGGTGTCGTCAAGCGGGTTGTTACGAGAAGGGGTAGTCTACTAGTAAGTCTTCCCGTTCATCTTTGCCCAAGTAATACTTATTAAACACTTCTCTCAGCCAAAGACGAAGGGTTTTGCGCGTATCCGTGCTGCCCTGGCAGAGGAAAGCACCCCCATAGATTCGGAAGTTCGCCGAGAAGCAGAAGTCATTCGCCAAGTTCGAGAAAGCGACATGGACCTTGAGCATCGTGCACCACCTGGTCAAACACCAGGTTTAGATATCCCGAACCTATCGACAGCACAGTCGTCCCCAAATCTCAATACTGCTCAAGAATCCCTTGACGATATTCCGGAGGATGATATGATGACGGACTCGGGATTGTCAGGTAGTTTCAAGCAGCAGGCCATGAAGAACTTGAAGAAGAACTTCTTCGAAACGTTTTCCGAAACAGGCAGTGTGGGTGGCAACCGGGTCACTCCGCCGCCTTCGTACTTCATGCCCAGAGGCTCCTCGTCCGGGATGAGCGAGGACGTTAACATGGATTCGCCATCGTTGTCTGCAGGATCTAGCAACGTTAATCCATTTAACCTAGGCCCCAGCATTGGAATGACGACCGGCGGCCCCGGAAGCGAGGGTCGAAAATCGGATACCCCGCAACCTGCTTCGGCACCGCTGTCGCAAGGAGGCAGCATTCCGCCAACCGCAGCGGAGATCACTCGTCGCATAAACAATAAACGCCGAAGAGACGACGACTTCGACCCACACAGCTTCAAGAGAAGGGCTGTAAGCCCTGGAATGAATAGCGTTCATAACTCTCCAATCACACAAAGTCCCCTACAGCGGGATATGCCGTGGGGCTCCCGACCAGGGAGTAACCACGGCGGGGATAAAGCATCAGGTACCCCGAGCGAGAACGGAAGCGCTGGTGGAAATGGGAGGCCTATCAATGGGGCCAAAGGTCGAGTGGGATTTCAAGGAATGGTCGATACCAACGATGGTCTGATGCGCATGAGCATCGAGTAACGCAGATGAAGGTACATGCAGCTATTGCAGGTCATGTGATGATCCGCGAAGCGAATATGACGGGAATGGTGGATGCTTCATGTTTAGGGTATAGCATAGGAGTACAACGGACGGAGTCTGTCGGTCTTTCAGACCCAGGTTAGCAAATTCGTCCCACCGTCCATTTTTAAGCGGTAGTTGCTAGAGCAGTGCTGAATACCCGAATGATATATGATCAATATTAATTGCATTGCTTGCATCGCTGCGTTTGCTCTAAAGCTAATAATATAGAGTTGAGTTACGGGACGAGGTTTGTTAGAGAATGATATGACTCCAGACTAAGCATACATGAGGTAAGAATGTCTGTGAGCTGGACTGAATTAATCGGATGAAGCATATAGATAGCTTCAAACTGACCCGCTCTCGTCATCCGAATATAAGCTCAGGAGAGTGGACGTGAGGTGTCAGCTACATTCCAATTCTTCGCTATACCATTGTCTGTGTTTTGGTATTGAGTACCAGAAATGTTCCCATTATGAATATAAGCCAGTCAATTTGAACTATACATGTATGGCCTAGACGTCATACGACCTTATTACATAGAGATTACGCTTCCGCGTTATGAAAGGTTGAACTTTCTAAGCTACGCCGCGGCACGGCTAAGTCTACTCGACCGCCTCCTTCCAAGCTCTGGCGAAGGCTCGACTGGCTTCTCCTCTTTCTTCGGCTTATTGGACTTGCGCGATGCTTTGATGGCAAGTTTTGGATCCTCCTCCTCCTCCTCTTCCTTCTTGACGGGTTTCGACTTTGCAGTTTTAGCCTTCTTGCTAGATCGTCCTTCCGCTTCTGCATCACTATTGGTCTCTTTCTTGTTCTTGTTCTTGCCCTTGAAGAATCGGCTCTCTGTTTCCTTTTCCTCTTCCGACGGCGTGGGCTCCCCCTTAGCGTTGTCAATGGTCGTGCGTCCTCTCTTCTTCTGTACGCTAGGAACCACGCAGCTTGTTCGCCCGCCAACAGTGATGTGAATAATCTTGTCGCCGTTCGGGAGAGTGGTTGGTGAATCTTTCTTCCCTTTGCCCCATCGGTGCTTGAATAGCCAATCTTCGGGAAACAGGTCCGAATCTCCTAACTTTTCGACCGCGGTCTCACATACGTATCGAATGGCTTTATATAGGGCGCCGATGTCTGCGTCATCGAAGTCATCGCAGTATTGCTCCGGGTGAAGTTTGGCTTGATACAAGACCTCATCGCCGACCCAATTGCCAATCCCGCTAATTGTCGCCTGGTCTAGTAGCAAGGCCTTGACCGGGACATGTCTACTTCTCATTTTCTGCCGTAAGAAGTTTTCGGTAAATATGTCCTTATCGACAACGGGATCCGGCCCGTTCTCAACCAGAGGCGAATGCTTTCTAATATCCTCTCCGGGACAATCAACTAGACGTACGCGGCCGAAGCGCCTAGAGTCGATATAGGCGACCTCGACTTTAGGATCATCAGTTTCGAAATGAAATTTCCAAAATTTAGGGGGCCATTGTTCTCCATTTCCCTTCGTCCTCTCGACATGGCGTGAGTAACCGGTCTGCTTGCCCCGAATTTCGACCCAGCCCGTCATTCCTAGGTGCAGGACGGTGTGCGGCGGCGCGGAGAATACCATCCAGAAGTATTTCCCCTGACTCCCGACATCTACTACCTTCTTCCCGGTGAGAGCCTTCTCGAACGCAGGGCCGCTCGTACCGACTTTACCGAAGATATTATTATCATCTGGGGCCAACACCTTTTTTATGGTCTTCCCTATTAGATTTTGGCGTAGGTAGTAAACAACGCGGGCAACTTTGAACTATTAATATCTTATGTTTCTGAGATGTGATATGCGCTTCACTCACCTTCGGCAATTTCAGGCATTGTCGGAGTCCGGACTTACAATTAATGAATTATTTTCAAAATGCCAAGTCTAAAATTGAATATCACTAATATTTTTGTCTAGAATAAGTGATGACATACGATATCTTGAAAAGTAAATAAAACAATCCCGTGGATGCCTACCTAATGTACATTACGTGCCGCAGCTTCATAGACCGTGCATGGGTTTCGGCAACGGCCGTCTGACTCAATCAGATCTGGCAGCCTTGGATTTCTGGCATTGAGATCTGACAAGTTACAGGGTACGAAGTACATACGTATCCATCTCTAAGGCTTTTTGAGCTTTTAAGAGGATTGCCTAGTAAAGTTGCAGATAGAATTTGATATCATAACTCATAATTAGTAATCTTGTAATGAACTTGCATTGAAGAGAGTAATGCCGACTTATGGATACAAAGAAACCATTCTGTGCTTTTAGCTCCAATGGCGATGCATCGAAAAGAAGGTCAGAAAAATGCAAGAAAAGCGGATAGGACAAAGCGGAAGCATGTACTACGTAGTACTATTGTATTCCGTATCGCGTGAAGTCGGCAAATTTAGGAGGTATTTGACCAATCACCTTCCTTCCCCGAATAAAGAGAGATGGCGGTAACCCACCCCCACTAGAACTACGGCCGGTCACAGGCCTCACAGGCCTATGAGACATAATCAAGGGTCGTTCTTGGGTCTTTCTTGGGTCAGAGGCTCACAAAGTCGAAGCTTAGTGGTTACGAGTTGCGGTTGCAGCAGTTGCAGAAGGTGCAGCGCATTGCTCCACTTGGCCGTTCTTGTGGTTCTGACGTTTTTAGTTCGCGGCCATTGCCACCCCATGCCACCGAAACCACCCACTAGCATCGCTAATAATCCTCGCTGAAGGTCCATTGAGGTCCATTTTGCGTAACCTTAACCGTAAACTCAGCTAACCCAGCAGAATTTTTTTTTTCTCTCGCAGGTGCCAGGTGCCACAGGTGAAGGGCCCCGCGGTTCAATTGGAAGGAAAAGACCAAGTCCCTCCAATCTACTTCAATCTTTCTTCTCCCTGTCGTGCAGCCAGCAAAGTTGCAACCAAACCTTGAAGATTTTACAATCGCGCACACTTTTCCAACAAATATCTCGTTATTTCGTCTTCACAATGGATCTTCTCTAGGATTTAACAACTAGGTCTCTTTGAGCAGCTCTCCATACATTCGCTTCAGCTTGAGACCAGTACTTGTCTCGCTTTCTTCTTTTGGTCTTGTGACCTGTCCATCCTCGGTCCAGAAGTTGCAGAGCTTGACCACTTCGACACTCTGACGTCGGCATATTTCAACCTACCGCAATCGGAGCAAATAGGAATCCCCTGCTGCAGCAACAACAAAAAATCTTGGAAGAAAAGAAATCGTCGTTGAGAACCACTTTGACTACAATACACCATCGAGCTACCTTCCTCGCCCCCATTTCTCTCCAAGCTGGTTTGTGTTCGTCTACCTAGGTAGTCAAAGAACAACGTTTCCTTTCGACACCGCCTTTCGTTTCCAGCAAGTAGATCGTCAAGATGGTTAGAAACATCGTCATTCTCTCCGGGAACTCCCATCCCTCCCTCACAGAGTCCGTATGCAATATGCTCGGAATTCCCAGTGGGAACCGCATATTGAGCAAATTCTCTGTCGGGGAGTCCCGTTGCGAGATTCAAGACTCGGTACGAGGCAAGGATGTTTTCATCATCCAGTCCGGAGGTGGTTCCATAAATGACCACTTGATAGAACTCTGCATCAGTATGTATCACTGGGAGGTTTTCTAGCTTATTGTATCACCAGATCTGACGAGAGAAAATAGTGATATCTGCCTGCAAGACTGGTTCGGCCAAGCGTGTCACAGCCGTGCTCCCGTTGTTCCCCTACTCTCGACAACCAGACTTGCCCTACAATAAGATTGGGGCACCACTGTCGAAGCCCCCGACCGAGGTTCCAAAGGACAAGTACACGTTTGAGAGTGTCCCGGCAACGCCTGGTCCTGGCATCATTAAGAGTGCTAGTTTCAACAGAGAAACGGACCTCGCTAGGGTGATGAGCAAGACCTCCCTTACTAACGGAACCGGGAGCGTGAACGGCCTTCAACGTAATCATAGCGAGAACTACATTAACGGCAATGGGAACGCCAACGGGCATAGCAGCGGGAGCACCAATGGAAGCATTAACGGCGACCAACATACGGCTGTATACCAGACCCATTCACGTGCCGGGAGCTATACGACTCACGACTACGAAAATCCCGGACTCATTTCAACGTTCCAGGCTAAACCAGGATATAAGAGATGGGTTGCGCAGGCTGGAACTCTGGTGGCAGATCTCCTGACCTGTGCCGGTGCTGACCAGTATGTGTCCTCCCTAACTTAAGGATGGATTCATTGCCCTTGTATTGGGCCTTCATCTTAAAACCCCCTAATAAATTAGTTCCGCATAGGAGCTAGACACGCGAGGACATTAGCTAACGATAGTTGCAGCGTCGTCGCCCTGGATCTTCATGACCCGCAATACCAGGGTTTCTTCGACATCCCGATGGATAACTTGTACGGCCGCCCCTTGCTGAAACGCTATATCCAGCAAAACATTCCCGACTATAAGGAGGCCGTGATTGTGAGTCCAGATGCTGGTGGCGCAAAACGAGCCACGGCAATTGCGGATAGTTTGGGCATGGACTTTGCCCTCATCCATAAGGTAAGATGATTGTGTTTTGTAGGTGTCTTCAAACTCATTCGGCCCAACTAGGAACGACGACCAACGCGAATAACGGATCGACAAAACGCGACGATGATGCTAGTAGGCAACGTTGCCAACCGAGTCTGTGTTATAGTTGACGATCTGGCCGATACCGCGAACACCATTACCCGCGCTGCGAAGTTGGTGCGAAAAGAGGGAGCAACGGCTGTCTACGCACTCCTTACTCACGGTGTACTAAGTGGTGACGCCATCGCCCGTATCAATGCTTCAGCTCTAGACAAGGTTATTGTAACCAACTCGGTTCCTCAGGACGAGCACAAGAGATTGTGCCCCAAACTTGAAGTATTGGACGTTGCACCGATATTCGCCGAAGCTATCCGCCGCATCCACCATGGTGAATCTATCAGCGTTCTGTTTCAGTATGACTGAGCAGCCGCTTGATTCGAAGTAGGATGGAAGTTATCCTACTACTAAGGGCCTCGCCGACCGTTCACGGTCACCACTACACGAAGGCAATCTGTTAGGACGCAACATGAAGGGACGAGTCTGATGGGCCACATTTCGCTTCCGAATGATTCCTTTGCGAGCATAATAATTATGCTTATGACGCATTTCCTATTTGGGGGAATTCTTTTGGACCTGAGCTTCGAAGCTCGGTTTTAATCGTCTCTCGTTTCATATGGAATGCATAGGGTCCGACGGCGACCACACTCAAGGTAGGCTAGATTTATTAGCTGGTTTGCTTTCTCCTGCGTCTGCCACTACGACCGGGCACTTCTGATAATGTTGGGGGTTTCTCGCGAAATCAGTCGCGTCTCATAGGCGTCTTATAGAGAGGAGTTTCTAGGTCGGCAAAGTAACACAAGCTTCTCACAAGCCTTCCTCATCGTAAATACCACACCGCCATACCCCAAGTTTCGTACTTGTGATTTGCGCTTTTGGACAGGCCTTATCTTGGTGATAAGGGACGCCAAGTAGCTGGTTATGTACTTACCTACGCGTAGGTACGGCTATAAGGCTAGGTCTAGTACATACTAGTCCGTCTGTCTATTGGAAAGCATGAGGTTTAATGTTGGGGTAGATTCTAGACTTTGGTGTACATTGATTGCATTACAGGTCGGGGGTAATTCATGATTGATTATGTTGGCGTGATGATGATCTGATAGAATAGCCCCGATAGACTATGAATATACTCGGGTATGTGTAATATATATCATCTATTGATATTCGCAAAAACACATGCAATTTTATAACTTCAATGCTGGGTCTGTTTAAACGTAGGTAGGTAGGTAGTTGAAAATGCTCCTGATAGTCAGCGAGAATCGGAGTTTAAAACCGTCTTGGGTTTCGATTTCCGTTTTGATTTCTGCATCACGTCATGTTATGCCCCAATCCAGTGGCATCAATCTCAGGTAACGTTGGGACTTAGTCCGTTTCGAGTGAGACGCCAACCAATGGTGAATCCCAATTACAGTCAGGAACCCCGAAACGGAATCGGTTTAGGGAATCACGTCCGGCAAAAACGTTGGCCAAAATTTGCCGGCGCAGTTCGGTTCGCCCTTTCTCCCAATCACTCGGTGGACCTCGGCATGTGCTTTCGCTACCTGTTAGTCCACCTAGGCATTGCCCAATTCCTCCCCCAGATTCCATGCATCCCGTCGGCTTGAATGAACGGTCGTTAATAGGTTACTCCCCGCCTCTTGTACGATAGCGATACTACATTCTCGTCGAAACTTAACTTTTACACAAAATAACTTGGTTCTTTTTAGTCTACTCAATTTTCTCTACCTATTTAATTTACATCGATTCCCTACGCACATTTAGGTCTACACGGCTTCCTTGCATTTCCGCGTAAACCCGTGCCATACGATACCATCCCTTCGATCGACCGCAATATTATAGCGCAAACCCTCACGAGCCGATCCGAAACTCACATTTCGTGTCCATATCAACGTTAAAAAAAGAAAAACGTCCCATCCCATCCCATAACAACCCCGCGAAACAAAATGGTCGCCGACGCCGTCGTATACCACCCCACGGTGGCGCACTACCTGAAGTTCGTGGCGACGACGGTGGGGCGCGACAAGCTGCTGCGCACGCTGCAGTACTTCTCGCGCTTCTACGCGTGGTACCTGTACCGGACGAACGGGACCAAGGCCGAAGTGGCGCCCTACGAGGCCATCAAGAAGCAGTTCGGCCTCGCGCGCAAGCTGCTGCGCGTCGGCAAGAACGTCGAGCACTTCAAGGCCGCGGCCCAGGCCGCCGACAACAAGGCCGGCGTGCCCGACGCCGTGCTCCGCTACGCGGCGGTGGGTAGGCAGTTGGGCTATGCTGGGTACCTTACCTTCGACGCGGCGACGGTGCTCGATTCGCTCGGTGTGAGGAAGTGGGAGGGCGCGAAGAGGGCGCAGAGGGAGGCTTATCGCTTTTGGGCTATGGGCCTGCTGTGCAGTGTCGTGGCTCAGGTGTATACTTTGTACCGGCTGAGGGAGCGCGAGGCGAAGGTCGATAAGAAGGAGGGCGAGGGCGTGGTGGAGAGTAAGAGGATTGTTTTGTAAGTTTTCTCCTTCCTACATACCTACCTACCTACCTACCTACCTACCTTCCCTAGTTGAACGAATGGGATTGGAGGGCTAACGCAGACATATATAGGGAGCGCGCCGCGAGCCAACTGCAGCTCCTGTCGGATCTCTGCGATCTGACGGTCCCGACGGCGGCGCTGGGATGGGTCGGGTTCGACGACGGGTTCGTCGGCCTGGCGGGCACGGTGAGCAGTTTGATCGGCGTGTATTCGCAATGGAAGAAGACCGCGTAAGGAGTCTCGCGAGGCATTGGATCAGACGGATAACTCGGTTAGAGCGTTTCCGGAAAGGAAGAAGTGGTCTGGAGAAGGGTATCAACGTATCCGGAGCCCGGGGGTGAAAGCACTATGATGGTGGCGGATGATAAGTGTTATACTACTCTTATAACGCGTATCGTCAAGTCACGATGTACAAAAATCAGACACGGATTCTTTTCCACAGCCCCAGCCAGCCAAGCGTGCCGGTTTCTAGAATACTACTAGCAGGTCGAGGTTTGAGCTTAGGAAGGGGCGGGGAAAAGGGGGAGGGGTGGATGAACTTTTGTGTAGGTAGGGAGTTTCACGGTGGATTCTTCTGATATTAACTCCTAATCGAGAAGCCGCAGGTTTTTGTTTTTGATTCGCCCGAGACTGGGAGTTTGCGTTTAGGGGATTCGTGTGATGGTAATATATATTATGTATCGTGAAAATCTCCGACTTGACGTGATGTGACGTGGACGGATGCTGTGGGGTTCGTAGGATGTTGATCTGTTGGTCCCCGAGGCTGAATGGGCGGCATTGTGGTGTTATAATTCGTGACGGTTTTTTGGCCTACTGTTTCTAAAATCTAATGGGGATATCGCGGAGGTCGAGTAGAATGGGACAAGTTGTTGATTATATCTATACTCGGCCCATCAAACATGTTTCAACCTTCATGTAGGTATATTAAACCCGAGCCGGGCAGGCCCCTATATGGAGAAGCACTGACGCAAGCTATTAGGCTTCCAGCACTCTTCTTTAAGACTACAGATAAAGCACAATCAGGATAATGATGGCGTTGTATGAAGTTATCACATTGATGGATGGTTAGACATGAGACGAGTGAATGTGTATGCCTGCTCCTTGCATGCTGATCAAGGAGAGCTAGCTAAAGCTGTATAGACTCCAATGACGTAAGACCTGTGATATGAATAGATAGCCTCAAACACCATAACATGGTCCAATACCGTCTCCTAAAATAAAATAGGGATTGAACTGAATGAAGACGAGTTGGGACGATAGCTTAAGTCGCTAAATAGCTTGCGTGAAAATAGTTGTCGAACTACCCACTTGCTGGTCGAAACGCCGCCTAGAGACATTAGTTAGATTCCCATCAACATCAATTAGTCGTACACCATTAGTAATACTATACCGAGTCTAAGAGTCGAAGCATTCAGACTAGGCTCACGATAACATGTGACATTAAGTCTCCCGACTAGATGGCTTCAGTTATGGTGTTTCGTCTCAACTGCCTAGCTTTTCGGCATGTTGCATGCGGAAACAACCTTAATATACAAGTAAGCCTATTGGCATCATTTTTCAAACCTTCGTGGCCAATGTGCGCGTCTCGTTATATATTTTAGATAAGAAAGGTTTCTTTCATAGGCGAATGGTGTAGTGTGTCTTAAAAGTTCGGCGTGGCCGAAACGTGGGAGACTCTTCGTAGGATTTTCGGCCCTAACACGATAATTCGTTAATTACGTATTGCCCACTATATTGCTAGGGCTCTGATGGGTCAGTCAACTTTTGAGTGGGTGCAGGTGTTTGCAAGATTTAAGCTTATCAAAGTCCCTCTACTTACCTAATACTTAATAAACCAAACGACTCTACATGTACCTAGTTAAGATGCCAAAGTCTTTTCAATGAGTATGGTCCATCATAGATAAAAGAGAACAGCAACAGTTCGACACGCGACCAAGGACGATCTTCACGTACCTCGCAGCTAACCACTGCAGCCAAGACCGCGTTACAAACAATAGGAATAGGATATTAAAATTCGGTTTCGCCGCAAATGATTGTAGTTCGGCGCTTTTGGGCCGGGGAGAAAGTTAAGCCTTCGAGTGGGAACTTGGCACGGGGTATATCCTTAGTCTCTAATTGGCTAGCCGTAATTTATATCTACCCGCATAGCTGAATATTCACAAAGCCCGCTGTACACATGTTGACGTTGGATGGCCAATTTGAGTTAGGCCTGTCTTATCTCTTGAGCAAGCCACTCGAAAATGACAAAACTCCCACCGAAGAAGGCAAGGAAGGCAAGGGAAGGGCAGAGGATTTACAGAGCTTGCCTTGGACTTGCAGGTACGACTTACACAGATAGGGAAGGTAGACCTTCGCCGAAGGTTTGTTAGCCTCACCTTTGTGCACATAACACGTGCAGAAACCTTGTCGAGGATGCGTAACCCAGCTTAAGCTTAGCTGAAAGATTAGAGGCTAGGTAAATATTTAATGTTATTCCTTACCATGCCAAACATTTTATTCTCGAACTTGTTGTCTCGCGCTTATCTAGCTGAGATTTGGTGACAGCTATACCTAAGGTATTGCTTCACTATTCAACTAGTTCCCGTCGCTAGGTCCTAGTGTCTATCTTGAATAGACTTCCTCTTTAATGGCCTTTTGTTGTATACATATATAAGTTGAGCATTCCCTTCAGTAGCATTGTCGTCGTCATACCGTCATATTGCTATCGGCTTATCTCGGCTTATCCCGACTCACTACAACCAACATTCTCATCACTGTCTCGACCGTCATCACAGTAGAAAATGCTTTGGGGCAAGAAGAAGGAGGACGAGGACCAAGAAGTGGTCTCTGATTCCATCGATACGGGACCTCCTATTGACCAGAAACCCTTTTGGCAAGTCATTTGGCCTGTCCTGGCTTGCGGCGCTGGTCTCTTCTCCGATGGTTATGTGAACAACGTACGGCTCACATTCTCTCATTCTCCTTCGGCGTTGCGCGCATGTCCGCTAACTTTTGCGCCACGTAGGTCATCGGTTCCGTAAGCACGACCTTAGGATTAGAATATGGAGATGTGTACAACAACTCCAACGCAGCCAGCATCGTACCGGCTATCGCGTTCGCAGGAACTGTACGGAGATACCCCATACTGTTTGTAGGAGTTCTATGCTCACATGCCTAGGTGGTCGGTCAACTGTTTTTCGGATACCTATCCGACAAGTGGTCGCGCACGAACTCTCTCCTCATATCGACTATCATCCTAATCATCTTCACGGCTCTTGCCGCTGGATCCTATTACCATGGCGATGCTGTAGGGTTATTCAATATTCTGACTGCTTGGCGATTCTTTGTAAGTCAATCTTGAGTCTTGAACAAAACTCTGAATATACCATAACACTAACTGAAAATACAGGTCGGTATCGGCATTGGAGGTAAGAATTCGACTAAGAATTAAATCAAACTAATAGTAAGCTAAATGTATGCATAGGCGAGTATCCGGCCGGAAGTGTGAGCTGCGCCGAGTCTAGTGGAGAGTTGAAGAGCGGTACCCGGAACACCTGGTTCATTCTATTCACGAACACTATGATAGACTGGGGCTTCGTCTTCGGCGCATTCGTCCCATATGTCGTTGCTGCTGCCGCTCACAATTCCCATTACAGCACAATCTGGCGAACAAGTTTGGGAATTGGCGTCGTGTTCCCGCTAGTACTGTTTGTCCTTCGTCTCAGGTTAAAAGAACCTGTGGAATACTCCCGGAACTCCATGAAGCAGTAAGTTCATCTCGTCTGGCTTATTCTTATTCTCCTATTTCCTACGGTCTACCTTTGCTATGCATGTAGGTCAATTACTAACAGCATATAATCCAGTGCCAAGACGCCATACCTTCTCATACTAAGATATTATGGATTCCGACTACTAATCGTCAGTTTGATCTGGTTCATCTACGACGTGAGTGTCTGCCGCCTAGATACTTAATCCGTCATCGTCTAACTTTCCCAGTTCTCGGCTTATTCATTCTCAATCTATTCGAGTTCCATTCTCGCCAACATCTACGGAGACAGTACGGTTTTAACGACTGTTTTCGGATGGAACACGGTTATCAACTTGTTTTACATTCCGGGTACTATGTTGGGAGCTCCGATTAGCGATCGCCTTGGTCCTCGTTACACCCTTATCCTCGGCCAAGTTCTCCAGGCGATCGTCGGTTTTATCATGGCCGGCTGCTACGCGAAAATCTCGCATCCTTCTGTTGTCGGCGCCTTTGCGGTGGTATACGGCATCTTCCTGTCCCTGGGCGAGATTGGACCCGGAAACAATATCGGCCTGCTAGCGGCCAAGACCTGCGCGACGGGCGTCCGAGGTCAGTACTATGGCATCGCCGCGGCTATGGGCAAGATCGGTGCCTTCGTCGGTACATACGTGTTCAAGCACATCAAATCGTCCGACGGCGACCCTGTTAAGTCGGCTCAGTACAAGTTCTACGTCAGTTCTAGCTTGTGCATCTTCGCAGCCCTCCTAGCTTTATTGCTTCCCCACATCGACCAGGACACCATTACCAAGGAGGACGCCAAATTCAGGGTCTTCCTCGAAAGCAAGGGCTGGGACACGAGACAACTTGGGCTCAAGAAGGGGGAGAGCCTCGAGGCTTTACCGGAGGAGTCAGAGGATGCTACCGTGCCAGTGGCTGATAAGGCCGAGTGATGTTGGTCTAGGCCAGTGTTTTGAGTCAGTTAAAATCGGGTTCAGTTGCATTGGATACCCCCCTTTTCCTTGGTTGGGAAGCGAGATGCCTCATATCATTATTGCATTTTGGATAATGAATAGACAATAGAGAACAGTATACTTCTATATCAACAGTGCTAGGACAAAAGTGACCTATAAGATTAGCAATGCCAATCTTGATAAAGCAATTTTGCTATTACTGTCACCGTCGTCCGGGTTTCCCGTACTCATGAATAGGTATCAACCTTTTCCCTGTTCTCTGACAACTACATACTACGTATGAGATCGTGAGGCGGGATGAGACGAAAATGCAAAGTGAAAATTGAATCATGATTGCGAAACTTCATTTCTTGCTCCTTTCTACTCAATTCAAGATATAGGCATACATACAGCCTGGAATGGGTATGGTCACGTCTTTTACACAACCGTCTAACCTTAACAACCCTGCGTAGCATCTCAATGCCATTCAACGCAACTCGAATTCATACATTTCATCTCATCTAATTTCACATATGATAGGTTCCAGTAGTTTTTAGAATACTATTATTTAACTTTCTTTATTCGTTCGTTCGTACGCCTGGGTATGCTAATGAAAAAAGAGATCTATGAATCATAATTTACAATTCATCGTGGCCTGAGGGCTCGTCATCATCTGCGGCACCTCCCGGGCCACCACTGTACAGCTTAGACGTGATAGGGTAAGCGACGTTCGAGAGCTTCTCCTTCTGCTCCTCGAAGTCTTCGGCGGAAGCCGTAGCGGCGTTCTCCTCGAGCCACTCGGTAGCCTCCTTAACGGCGTCAAGGATCTAATAGAGAATTAGTATGCGACTTCAAACTTAACAGTAGCGAGCATCAACTTACAGTCTCCTTGTCTTCTTCGTCAATCTTTCCACCAAGGCCATCCTCGTCGTTGACCTGGTTCTTTAGGTTGAAGGCGTAGTTCTCAAGACCGTTTCGAGCCTCAATGCGCTCGCGAGTAGCCTTGTCCTCCTCGGCGAACTTCTCAGCCTCGGCGACCATGCGCTCAATTTCTTCTTGGCTGAGACGACCCTTGTCGTTGGTGATGGTGACGGATTCCTTGTTACCAGTTCCCTTGTCATGGGCAGACACCTTGAGAATACCGTTGGCATCCAGCTCAAAGGAAACTTCAATCTGGGGAACACCACGGGGTGCAGGAGGGATGTTGGTAAGTTCGAACTTGCCAAGCAGGTTGTTGTCCTTAGTCATAGATCGCTCGCCTTCGTAGACCTGGATCAGGACGACGGGCTGGTTATCGGCGGCAGTGGAGAAGATCTGGCTCTTACGAGTGGGGATGGGCGTGTTGCGGGGGATAAGCTTAGTCATGACACCACCAGTAGTCTCGATACCGAGAGTCAACGGGTTGACGTCCATGAGGACAACCTCGGTAGCACCCTCCTCGCCGGACAGAACACCAGCTTGGACGGCAGCACCGAAAGCAACAGCCTCGTCGGGGTTGATACCCTTGCTGGCCTTCTTGCCACTGAAAAACTCCTCGAGAAGAGCCTGAACCTTGGGGATACGGGTAGAGCCACCGACAAGAACAATGTCGTCAACCTCGTCCTTCTTGATCTTGGCGTCATCGAGAACTTGCTTAACGGGCTTGAGAGTCCGCTTGAAGAGGTCAATGTTGAGCTCCTCGAACTTGGCTCGGGTAAGAGTTTCGGAGAAATCCTTGCCGTCAAAGAAGGCCTCAATCTCAATACGGGTGGACATCTGAGAAGAGAGGGTTCGCTTAGCCTTTTCGGCCTCACGCTTCAATTTACCCATGGCCTTAGGATCCTTGGTAATGTCGACAGAGTTCTTCTTGTTGTAGCTCTTGGCAAAGTGGTTGATGATTCTCTGGTCAAAATCCTCACCACCAAGATGGGTGTCACCGGCGGTGGCCAAAACCTCGAAAACACCATCTTCAATGGAGAGAAGAGAGACATCGAAAGTACCACCACCAAGATCGTAAACGATAATGTGACGCTCACCACCGGTCTTGTCCAAGCCGTACGCAATGGCAGCGGCAGTAGGTTCATTGACGATTCGCAAAACATTGAGACCAGCAATGATACCGGCGTCCTTAGTAGCCTGTCTCTGGTTGTCGTTAAAGTAGGCAGGGACAGTGACGACGGCGTGGGTAACCTTCTTGCCCAAGTAGGACTCGGCGACCTCCTTCATCTTGCCTAGAATGACGGCAGAGATTTCTTCGGGGGTGAACTTCTTGGCGGAGCCTTGGAAATCGACCTGGATAACGGGCTTGCCATCTTGATCCACAACCTTGTAGGGGAAGTGCTTGAGGTCATTCTGGACTTCCTTCTCAGCCCATTTTCGGCCGATGAATCGCCTGAAGTAGGGGAATTAGCAAATAGTTCTCCGCAATCGTCGAGACGAAGCCTAGATTCGACTTACTTGACGTCGTAGACAGTGTTTCGGGGGTTGGAGGCCGCCTGTTGTTTGGCGGCATCTCCCACTAATCTCTCATCCTCGGTAAAGGCCACGTAAGAGGGGGTAATTCGGTTTCCTTGGTCATTGACGAGAATTTCGACCTTTCCATGTTGCATGACACCAACACAAGAGTATGTAGTTCCTAAATCCTACAGGAGAAGATTAGTTAGCACTAGGCGGTTTTCAATTTCGTGGGGAATTGCAAGAGATCTCGCCCCCTCATCTGATAGAATTCAACTTACAATACCAATAACCGTGCCGTAATCGGCGACATCGTCTGCTCGCGCAGTTCCTACGAATGCGAGAGGACTAAAGAGGAGAAGGGTCCAGGCTACCATGCCGAAGCCGATAGCCCAGAAGCTCTGAGAACGAGCCATGGTGAAGAGGAGGGTGACGGCGAGGTATCACTAGGATGTCCAATGGATAGGGAATAGGAGGGGGAAATGATTAAATTATTAGAAAAAACCAAAGCGCCGTACAACCTCTCCCTTGGTTGGTCAGTCGGCACTTGAAGTCGTCAAGATTGTGTGAAGAATGGGAAGAAAAGCTTATGGGAGACGCAATGGTGCAAGTGCGAAATTCTTATATGGCTAGAAGAAAAAAAAAGCGTTCAAGATGATGTTGCCAGCTTGCAAGAGAACACATTGCAATAAAGTGTGGGTCAGGCGCCAAGTAGCCAGTAAATGCAAGGTGTTCAAGGATGCGTTCGCCCTACTACATTACACCGCTCAGCTACATACCAATACTTTTGCGTCGCTATATCCTCCGCCTTTTTATTCGCAATGCTCACTAGCGGCGTTGTACTCCTAAGTAGTCCCTTCCATAGCGCTTAACTGCATTAAAGGTTAAGTTTAAAAAAACCAAAGGGCTGTTTCACACTTGATGTCACTTGGTAGGCACTGGAACCTTCTTTCTTTTCTTACCTTTTTCGCAGAAGCCAGATTGCCCCAACCTTATTCTCCAACGAGAGCGGCTGTTTATAGGCCCTGCCCCACCAAGATGCGGGACATCCCTGCTAGCTTTTGAGGCAAAGGAGCTATGACAGTGGTGACAGCGCCATGTGAATAACCTCAACGTGGTAGGTGTCATTTAATATTGTCCACGCAGCCTTATGCTTCTTATTTAGAGGCCAGATCTTTGGCCACCACTCAGCACTTGTTATTAATAAATATTTTATTAAGGGTTCCTTAATGAGAGATCTGTCTTTTTTGTCTTCTTATTGGTTTATGTTGTTAGATCTCTATTTTCTATTTATTTGAAACGTACTTCTTTTCTTCGTTGACAGATATTTGGTTGCGACGGTTTGTTGTCTGACTCATTTGAGTTGACAAGATAGCAGGCCGTTAATTCGTGTCAAATTCGCCTCCTTTTACGAATAGACATATCAATTGCGGGTAGACAACGTAAATAAATGTGTCCTCATATCATAAACGTTTCCATACCCGACATCCAAGCTCACCTACATCGCATCCGTTCCGCCCCTGTGACCGATCAAGAGCGGGATTGAGCGCAACCGACCCCTGAAAATTCCATATATCAGTGGCGTGGGGCAATGCCGGTCCATCGACTACCGTTCCCCAGTCCCCCCTTGTTCCTATTGACGGCGAATAATCCACGTTATACTTTACCATCGGACGAACCTCAGTAATTGAGTCACTCTGACCAGATAGATACGTGGTCATGTCTTTCACGTACCTAGATCGGAAGCAATAGTTCGCATGACATAGTGCACTTCGAATGGACCTCACCGAGCGAACAACCGGAGTATTGCAGTGCACAGTGGCCCATCGGAAAGGTTCATCTTTGCCGTTGTATGAATAAAAATTTAAGCCTCCGTCTATCAAAAGATAGTAGGCGTGAGGCTTTGGTACGTATTTAAATAAAAAAAACGTCTCCGAAAAATAGTGGTTGCAAACGGCATCTTGCGTGCTGACTAGATATATATTATAAACGTTGGTCTCATGTGTCGTGAGTATGTCAATGAGCGCCGCGTAGGATTTAAATCGACAAGTACGTAGTGAAGCTGGAGGGTGTCACATGACCAAGAATAGGCCGAATATTAAAAGGGGTAGCGGAGATAATAATCCTCTTTTACCTATTTATCTAGCCATTGCAAAGTTCTTGAGCTTTTGTTGACATCCCACCATGACATAAGCTCATCGCACACACACATATCCACTCCCTCGTGACCACTCCCCTGGTCCCCCTAAGCCTTGCCCTTATCATTAGGCTCCCAGCCCGGCTCGGCCATCTCGAACGCCTCCATGGTGAACGGCGGCGAGACCGTGCACCCGACGAGGGTCCAGTCGCCGAGGCTGATGGCGTGCTGCCACTCGGCCTTCTTGACCACGATCTGCGGGCGCTCGCCCTTCGGGATGTCGGCGCCGAGGACGACGTCGCGCACGGGCTTCCCGTCGTCGAAGGATAGCGATAGCCGCAGCGGGGCGCCGGCGTAGTAGTGCCAGGTCTCGACGGACGTCATCACGCGGTGCCAGTGCGAGAGCCCGCTCTCGCCCTCGAGCAGGTAGTAGATGCACGTGCTGTGCTCGTCGCGGAACGTCTCGATGAAGTGCCCCTTCTCCGGGTGCGGGGACAGTTTGAGGGCGGCGATGATGTCCTTCGCCGATTGCTTTGGTGTTGCTGTTGACATTTTGAAGGAAGCAATAGCTGATTTTTCATTAAAGAACGGTTAAGCACTAATGATTGGTCAAGTTTAGAGAATGTTTGCGATCGATAGACTAGCTGAATGAGTGAAGTCAGACACTTTGATGGCAGTAGTGGGGAAAGTAGGTAAGCAAGATGCAAGGGCTCCCGGAGAGGCTTACACGCATTCTTCTCCTATCTAATGTCCGTGCAAATCGGGCAGAATTGAGTGGCTTACCCGCCGATCTAGAAGAGACGGACGACTAAAAATAGAGAAGTGTGTAACGGTACGGACATAGTAGACACCATGCCTGGTACTTGAATAACTTGTGCCGACTTGATATATCTAGCGATTATTTCTTACTAATTCGTTTATCATATATAAATATCGTATATAAAACGAACAGTTAATTAAAAATGACATTGACATCTGCAGACGTCTCTATCCCCTCTAGGTCCCCCCTGGGCAGCTTTCGGGAAGCCTCTGACAGAGTCTTACTTGTATTCAGGGGCCGGCGAGTTGTGTGACACAAACCTCCAAGAAAACGCCAACATTACGACAGGAGGCGTGAAGATCCATGCTCAGAATGCCAGTTCTGCTCGCACAAGACACCCAGGCGGACCGATAGACCATTTTATTCCTTCCAGCCTGCAGAAATTCTAAGACTCGTAATGGGCACAATGATGGGTCCATCTAATACACGGTTTCTAAGGATTCGCTCCCTTTTCTTTACTCTCCGGATCCCCCCCCCGCAGCTCAAATCTGCGTGAAGTAAGATTTCTTCTCTCCCGGGGCTTATGCCGTCATCACTATACCGCAATCCACGCGCGCAACATCATGAGCGTCGTCGACGATAACTCCTCCGTGGCCCTGGCCATGGCAGGTTTTGCCGGCGTGTCCTGGTGCCTCGGTATCGAGATCAACGTATCTCTGTTCCTGCTCTTCAAGCGGCGGCGCGGTCTCTACTTCTGGGCCTGCGCCCTCGGGATATGGGGTGTCATCTTGCAGACTTTGTTCATCGTCCTCGCGGACTTCGGCATATGGACCGAAAAGGTGACGCCCATCGCCTTGATCTATTTAACTTGGGCGATGATGGTTATTTCTCAGTCGTGGATCCTGTTCTCGCGACTACATCTCATATTGCAACAACCGAGAGTATTAAGTTGGATACGGGTAGTATTGATATTCACCTCGATTGTCGTCGGCACAATTACCATCGTATTAGGCACCGTTGCGGTATATACTATCTTTTATCACCTAACCTTCACTACAACTAACCATCTCACCCCTACCAGCAAACCGTCAACCACGCCCTCTTCCCCGCGAACAACATATGGGACCGGTTCCAAACCGGCGTATTCTTCGTGCAAGAGACCACCCTCAGCATCCTCTACATCTGGCACACGCGCCTGTATCTGCGCGACCTAGCCCCCCTCCTCCAAACCCGCGGCCCATCATCCTCCCTCACCAGCACGACCACGACCACGACCACAACCATCACCAACCCCTACACCCGCTCTTCCTCATCCTCTGACGCGGCCACACCACCATCCCGCATCACCAAGAAAAAAACAATGCTGCACCAGCTGCTCTACATAAACGTCCTCGTAATCTGCCTCGACGTCGCCCTCCTCGGCATCCAGAACGCCGACCTGTTCTACCTGGCCGGCGCCTTCAAGCCCGCCGTCTACGGCGTCAAGCTGAAGCTCGAGTTCGTCGTCCTGAACCGCCTGATCAAGAGCCTGCCGGGCCGCGCCGCCGGGAGCACCACCGTCGAGAGCCCGGCCGCGAGAGGAGGCGGCGGCGGCGGCGGCGTCGACGTATCTCGGCCGTGGGATGCCTACTATAGCCCGACGAAGCCGCGCGCAGCGGAAAGCGCTTTCGACGTGAGGTGTCTGGATGCGAACCGATATGCGCCCGCCTCGCTACCGCCACGTCTTGCAACTAGCGCCCAAGGATGCGTCGAGGAAGCAAAGGTTTGAGTTTTTATAGATAGACTTGTGATTTCTAAGACAAATTCGTATTGTTGTGTATAATACCCAGGTCATTAAGTCGGGTTCATTATGAAGGCATCGTACAGGAACTCGAGCAGGGTGCTAGTACTTTCTTGAGAGTATCTCTTAGTTCCTGCTTGTCTAGCGAGTTATTCCCACTATAGTCGAGGGTGCTAGCATTGTACCATAATCCACTGGACCTTTTTGTGGTGCTAAATGTCTAACCATCAGTTCAATACAAGAGTTACCCATTGATGGGTCTTCTTGAATTTCGTGTACATTCACTTTATAAAGTAGCAATTACTTGAAGCTTCCGAGGTTAGTTGGTAATTCCACTTCATATTAGGTTTCTCAACCAAATGTTATGCAGCTTGTCCTGATCCTCCATCACTAGAATGTCAGGAGGGCTTTCATCGCCAGGACTGCGTCTCTCATCCCGGGACTCGATCGCATCGTTCGCCTTGTTGCTTCTCTAGTGAGACAGCATAGTAATCTTTCCCCATTACCGCACTTAGCACCGCTGATCTCTCCCACAGTCCACGCAACTGAATAAATTTCACTCGTGTTTGGGTATCCGAATTTTTCACTCCAATAACCCGGCGGCGACCGTCTCACCTCCGCTTCTTAAAACAACCCGCTGACCCGCTTCTAGCGGCACCTTGGTTCCCATCTTGACCACTACTCTCGCGACGTTCCCCGGCTTCACGATTCTGGGCTTCTTCTTCAGCACCGTACCTCTGGTCTTATCTAAGAGCGCCGGTATCTCTAAAATTTGACCTGCCGCGTGTAGACGTCCCCTGTGGACATCTACCTGCATTGGCATCAGAATGTCAAATGCAAGAACTTTGACCGTGAATGTGTCAATACAAGTGATTGGTTGTTTCGTATCGCAGACAATATCACCGACACGCACGTGTATCGGATCGATATTGCTGAGGTGAATGACTATGTTTTGTCCTGCCACAGCCCAATCCACTGATTCTTGATCGAGTTCCAAAGATTTGACGTAGGCTTTCTCTCCACTAGGTTGGATGAGGAGCGCGTCTCCTGATTGCAATGACCCGGCATCTATCCGTCCGGAGATTGTAAGTGGACTTTGTGTTGAGCGGTAGACCTCGGAAACCGTCAAGCGCAAAGGTTTGTGCAATGCCCGGGCCATTGGCTCCGAACTCTCCAACTCCTCGATGAGAGTTTTCCCCCGATACCAACTAGCCGCCTCGTTCGTGGATCTCTTCGTTATGTTGTCTCCGTGTAAGCCAGAGACAGGAATAAAGCTAATATTTTTAAGCTGAAATCCTGTTGCCGATAAGAAGCCGGAAACTTGCTGGGAAATCTCGTCGAATCGATCTTGTGACCACCCAATTGTGTCTAGTTTATTGATGGCAACGATTACGCGTGACACTCCCATGCTGCGGATGAGAAGAGAATGTTCTCTTGTTTGCCCCTTGAGCCCCGCCTCGAATGCTCCGGTGGTAGCATCAACTACTAAGATTGCAAAATCTGCTTGGCTTGCACCTGCGATCATGTTGGGGATGAAGTCGCGGTGCCCGGGCGCATCAAGAATTGTGAATGAGGTGCTTTCTGTCTCGAACTTGTTCGTCGCAATGTCGATAGTTACGCCTCTCGAGCGCTCTTCTGACCGTTGGTCTAAAACCCACGCAAGTGCAAACGAGGATTTTCCTATACTTTCGGCTTCTTTACGGTATTTCTGTATGGTTCTTTGGTCGACGACGCTGAGATCGAGAAGTAAGCGACCCATTAGAGTGCTCTTGCCAGCATCCACATGACCTGATCAAATTAACATGGATATCATGGCTGTCATACTCAGTCATAGTCCTTACCGACAACTACAAAACTTGCGCTCTTTTTGCCTTTGCTCTTGTCGAACTCCTTTAGCACATCGAGATTCTTGCTTTTCGGCAACGGCGCATCATCGATTTTGAGGCCTTTCACGTTTTCTGTAACCTCATCACTCCTCCCTCCTGAGTCGGCTTTCTTCTTAGGTATACTAGCAGCGATCTTCTTACTGCTTGCTGATCCCAAAGTATTAGTATTCTCACTTAGTCACCTTCTTCGCCAAGAGCGAACCTTGGGATTGTGCCGTTAGGACTATGTCATCTGGACTTGGAGCTGAGAAGGCGTCAGCTACTGATGAAGTAAAATTCATATAAGGAAACGAAAAGTTTCTCGGCGCGATTGAAGCAGAGTTGTTAACAGAACCGAGGAGAGCCTGGGCAAAGGGGGATGGCACGGCCGTCTCAAATGGAACATCCATAGGCGACGAGCTAACAGAGATTGGCGAGTTGGCTGGTCTGTCCTTAGTCGTATCAAGTTGACCTTGGATTTGTTCGTCTCCAGTCTTTGAGTTTTCGCATTCGATTTGTTGGGAGGTGGTTATGCTGGCCCCGGTAAGAGCCGTTTTGTCTTTAGGGGTAGTTTTTGATGGCCGTATATTCTCCTTCGTCTTCGTGGATTCAGCTTGCGTCGAAGTTATAGAAAGACTGCCGAGCTTCTGTGTTGTTTCGTGAGGCTGTTTCTCTTCTGATTTTTGATTGTCTGCCTTCTTCTTGCGCGCGGCAGCGAGTGCCTGGAGCTTTGACATCTTGCCAGTTGTTCCGGTGCCCCCTAACAGGCCACCTGGAACCCGTGGTGGTTCGATGAATATTGTCTCTCGTTCCTTCGGTATGTTTAACCATGGCATGTCGCTGAAGAAATCGGCAAATGGGGATGTTCTGCCTTTCCCGGCTACATTGGCCAATGTCAGCTTGCCGAAGAAACCGGGTAGCTGCTTTAGGTACATTTGAGACGCACCTGCAATCGCGAGATGTTGTGGTCCTGGTGTTTTGAGTGGTTATAGTAGAATAAGGAAAAGTTGTACCTACCCGTATCCTTCTTCTTATTCTTATTCGGAGGGGCGATAAACTTAGTCGTTAAGTAAACCACAGATTTATCGACATCATAGTAATAATGCCAAAGCGCTTCTTGGATTTGTTGAGTTGTAACCTTTGACGACTCAGTTCCAAGGGCGGTTCGAACTTGAGCAGTGCCAGTGTCCATCTGGGCTTTTTCAACACAATTAGCAGGAGTTGATCATTGAATGCACTCGACCTTGAATACTAACATACCTCGGTCTTCTGGACTCAATTCTTCTTCTTCTTCTTCTGAAATCCCTTCGCCTTCATATTCGTCGAGATCATTCTCGTAATCGTAATTACGGTACGCTTGATGGCGGGACATTGTGTCGACTGGATGGAACGAAAGATTGTGAAAGCAACCTTTGGAACTGTTTGTTGATTTTTATCCCTGGATGCGTATAAAAGTTAGAAGACAACAATGGCCGGCTGTGTGTAGGAACGTTTATGTAAGGTTCTAAGGCTGAGTTTAATGATGACAATACATAGGCGGAAAGTAGCTAGAAGAGGGGCACGAGGAGTCGCATCCATATCAAAGCTTACATATAGTGGGTACCTGAGAACTTTGGCAAATGACGTAATGGCTTTTACTACTATGTACCTAGGTATCTACACGGGTGGCTACCTACCTATGTACATGTTCTTTATCATGGAGTTTCAGTTTCGGGTTTGTGCAAGTTGGTAGGCTTATAAGACAGTGATTCATAATCTAGGTCGGTCAAATTTTACTCATTCAATTATGAGATGGTCTCGCCAGTAATGTTATGAGCCTCCCGACATCCACGTTCTAGAACCCGCCCCCTGCACCCTGCCCGTGTTTCACCCTATAGGTCAATTAAGCTCTCCTCTATGATAGGTTGTTGAGGCGCATGCTGAGGAGCAGCAGGGAATGAATCCTGCGTATATCTAGAGTATCCAGCTCCAGTTGCCTGATACCCGTGAACCGCCTGATCTTGTTGCTGATGTTGCTGCTGTTGATGTTGCTGCCAATATGGTTGCTGCTGCGTTTGATGACCGGCTTGCTGGTATTGCTGTGGAGGTTGGGACGGTTGCGCAGGGATCGAAGCAGGTGTCGCAGGGACGGACTGCCCCGCGTAATTTATTGTGTGTTGGAGATTCGGATACGGTGAAGGTGCCACTTCTACCGGGATACTTGGTGTCGCGCGGTCATTATTAGCTTGTGGGTTGCTATAATAGTAAGAGGCATTGGGGTCGGTTGCCGACGCCCCAACTGACTCCGGAGCTTTACTCAGAGGAGTCTGTGGGGACGGATGAGACGTGTGGTTAGTTCGTGGAGGATCATTCGGAGTAAAGTTCACTTGATTAGGGTACTGAACTGGTGCGGAGGGCCCTTGCTGCTTCTGCCAACTATCGCTTCTCTGAACGCCATGTTGGGGATATTGATTGTTGGGAGGCATTGATACCGAGGCTCTCTTGTCGTAGCTCGAAAACTGCTGTTGAGAGCTTTGTTGAACGTGTTGAAGGTATTGGGGTACAGGCGTCCTACTAGGATCCGGAAGTTGCTCGCCCGTGTAAAAGTTCTCTGCCGATGCGGGAGTTCTACCTGCGGCCGATTGCACCGAAGGATAGGGGCCCGATTGCTGCGCAGGGGTGGGTAGAGTGTAGCCACCGATACTGTGCTGGCTATAAGCCTTTGAGAGGCGCTCCTCCAACATCCTATCATAATATCGAACAACGGTGGATAGTTTAGCATGTAGATCGAGAAGTGTATCTGAAATGCAGTTAGCTAAGGACGGTGACTCCGTATCTAGAAATTTAGGTAGAACTTACCATGCTTGCTCATCGTCTCGCCATATGTCCGTGCTAATTTAGGACGTAACGCTCCAATGGAGTCATAAAGCTCCTGGATCTGTGGCTCCCTCAGGATCGTGCCAGGGGGTTGAGTTTGCAATCTATCGACTAGGGTTGAGAAAAGGTTGATATTTTCAGCTTCTACAGGGGTGAGTTCGTAATCATTCTTCGGTAAGGCAAACGAAGTAGTCGACGTGCTCTCTGCCTTGTTTGTTTGTTGCTTCAATGCTGCAGAGTGTTTCTGCTTCTGCTCCTCCATGTCTGCCAAGGATGCTGCGATGGCAGCCTTGAGGTCTTCGTCCTCCTCCTCAGGCGCCCCTGCAGGCGTAGGTGAACCAACATTGGCTTTCACATGAGAGGCTGATGGAGTATTATCCGTAGGGGGAACATATCCTTTTGAATGTCCCTGTACCTCCTCTAAACTCATCGCCAAGGCCTTCTTAAGATCTTCGTCAAAGGCATCGTCGACTCGGGCGTTCCGGGGCTGCATAACAGACGAACTGCGATTTTTGTGAGGAAATGATGGGCTCGTAGGTGATCGCTCTTGTCTGCCAAAGCCGCCTTTATTAGATTTGTCTGTAAGTTTGGCGTAGCAACCGTCGTCGACTCGTACAGGCTGCATGATGCCTAGATGAGGTAGAGGGAGTGTCTTGGTAGAGCATTGTTGATCGAAGCAATTGCCGCAGTTACGGCAGTGGTGTTTACGGTTCGTGAAGGTAAACGGGGTGCGACATCGCATACAGACATCGGAGTCAATCCACTCCGGAGGCTATGATGACCTTGTTAGCTGTGCCCCCAAAAACAGACACCCCTAAAACGACTGGCCGGACGTGACACATACAGCGCTACTGTCAATCATGCTGCTCGCCACGGTAGTCCGAGGAGGGAATTGAAAGCCCTCCCTCTGTAGGGTCTGGTAGGTCTCGTCAATGTATTTCAAGTCGTAACGACCTTCGGTAGCGGCGGCCCAGGATTGTATCAACTCTAAGATCTTGGCTCGAACTTCTAAATTCACGGCGGCGGGACCAACTGCGTGGAGAAGAGAAACGAGGTTGTCCATGAACTCCCGGGAGGCAATCTCGACAAGGAAGTGGGAGCCACCATTCTTGACGCAAGTATCCGTCAACTATGCCACAAGTCAATATTGGGCAACAAGGTTTGATATAGACAGCTGGAGGAGAAAGGTCCGTACATTTAGCGCGCTTAGCTGAGTGTTGGGATTCTTATTGCCAATGCGGCGTTTCAGCGATCGCATGGCTTCCTTAGGCTGCACATTCTTAGATCTAATAACATCGGATATTTCGAGGTTGAGGGGAATATCCTCTCTGTATCCCGCATCATTAGTGGCCCTGCAGACAATACTATAATCGCAGTAAAAGTGTTGTTACTTACAAACTACTCCCAGTTGCTTTCTCGATCTGTTCGTCCAAGGCACTGTTGGCCGAGGAGGACCACCAGCCTCCCATCATTTTGCGAAAGCGTATTGAGAGAGACGCGCAAAAGTCGAGTAATCGCAATATCAAGCAGCTATAGACTCGACGCTAGACAAGAAGATACGACAAGCGGCTTGCTTATTCAAAGGTAAAAAAAGATTACGCGACAACCCGGAAGCGCATTGAAATGGTGGTTGATATTTGACGTTGGTAGTGATAATGATAACATGTTCAAATGTTCAAGGAGTTTTGATTTCATGCACACTTACATACCTAGGTACCCCTAGACGTATGTAGGTAGGTACCGCAGTTGTACCTAGAAGCTTAGGTACAGGAGGTGACTGCCTAGCTACTGTGGATACTTGCTACGTAGGTACCAACGTATTCGCATCCGAAATACCTGCAGCTGAGGCGAATGTGGCGTGTCTGTTTCTCCACACCAAGTACCCCCACCAGCCCCATGACCCCTCAATATACATCTGCTTACCTAAAAATGTGTTCAAGGTTCCAGCTTTGAAACCTTGAAACCCTTGGAACGCAAGTGCGTTAGCAGGTTAATTAGCTTCTAGCCTTATGTAATATCTTCAGATGATGCAGACACCAAAGAAACGAAGGTTAAACGTGTAAACTCCAAAGCAGGGTCCTAGGATGAATGCCTCATATATGTCAAATATCAACAATCCACAATCAAAATAATAACCTTTGCAAATGAAATTTACGCATTCGACCAGTAGACCGATAGGTCAAGCTCCTCTTTCCAATTACCACTGGGGACTGGTAGACTAGCATCTTTTTCTTTGTGCATTCACGATCTTTTTCATCCGAACCTCTTCTTTCTTCTTCCTCCGATTCTTTCAACCTTCCGTTCTCGTCTTCCTCGCCTCCTTTCCACCTCTAACGCCGCGACGTTAACAGACCTAGTGAAAGGATGCCCCCTTCATTCCAATCTCCGTCCTCAGGGTAATAGTGGTACATAAGGCTCTTGTCTCCTTGCCCCAATTTGTCTTGTCTTCCGTTACAAAGGTTTTTGATAGCGCATCCGAGGTTAACTTATCTCATAGTCTATATTCCTTCACCCCTCTTGCGCCCTTGTATTCGCATACTTTCTCGTCGCTTCCCACTCGTATTCACTTTCAACCTATTCAAAACTGTCTATATCCGATCACGGAATGGTACTAGGACACTAGGACCAGACTCACGATACTATGAGTTCCGTCGCTTACACGAAGACTTCATTTACCCCTGGGACCGGCGCACAAGGCACAATGACCTCCGCGATGACCAACGGGCATGCGCCTGGTGGTAGCTCGGGCACAGGAAAGGCACCATATCGACACATAGACGACTTGGTGTCTGTTGGCGTGGACCTCGACCCGCATACTCCGCTACGGAAGGTCCTCGAGCTAGGCGATGCCCACATGCGGCAGGCAATGACATACAACGATTTTCGACGTCCCGACTTAGCACTGCAGGAGTATATCAAGGCATTTACCATTGCTGTCGACAAGGTGCCCAGGCACAAAGATTATCCCTCCTTGAAGTCTGACCCGGGGCATTTAAGTCGTTTGTATAATGCCCTCAAAACGAAGATCACCGCCAATGGCGCAATCTTTGACAAGATCAAGGAAGATATCAAGGAAGATAACCGGCGGAGCGGTGTGGAGCCAACTGTCTCCTCAAAGATCTCCACCGAACTTACCCGTCCGATATCATCTAATGCGCCTTCGGGGATGCTGCCACAAGGTCATGTAAATGGTTCTACGAACATTCGGAGGAATGGGTTCCGAAATGAACTCGAAACCTCAAGCAGGCATGGCAGTACAAACGATTCTAGCGCGAATTCCAAGGCGGAACATAAATCAAAACCTCCAGTACAACCGAAACCCCAAGCATTACATGGAAATGCTATCAATCAGGTCCCAAAGGCGTCTCCGGAGGACCTTGCCAGTCGATTTGCGCGTCTGCGTGAATCTCAGAAGTCAGGGAATCCCCCAAAACTGCCTTCAGTAGATACATCTATGCCAGCAATGCCAAAACTTCCAGAAGCAATATATAGCCCTGCAAGGGGTACTGTGACAAGTGAGATCGCCAACCTTCCATCTAGCACCCCTCGCGGCATGTTCAGTCGGACAAATTCGATCACTTCGACCCCTAGTATTTCTGCTCGAAACTCGACGGAAAATGCCATCATGGCCTTCAGCAGGGAGCAATTTGCTACAGCTCAAACATTTCACACCTCCCAATCATCGGCAAAAGCACCCCAGGTTAGGATCCCCCAGGGAGAGACCATATCAGCTGCCACCCTTGCGAATCTTATGCACCAGGATATTGAAATCTTAATCATCGATGTACGCGATCGCCAATTTTTCGACGAGGGGCATATCAGATCCCGTAGGACGATTTGTGTCGAGCCCGAGATTCTCATGCGGGAGAACATATCCGCGGACGAGATCGCCGATAGCATGGTGCTGGCCCCTTCAAACGAGAAACTCGCCATCGAACAACGCGACAAGGCAGATTTAGTAGTTATTTATGACGAAGATAGCGTCTCTGTACCGAATAGGATAACGGGGGATTCCACAGAAATGGTCTTGCATAATCTACGACAAGCTCTGTCACATTACAGCTATAGTAGACCGCTCAAGAATAGCCCGAAGCTATTGAGAGGTGGTCTGGCCTCGTGGCTGAACGAATTTGGGGATATCTCTCTCGAGACTTCCAACACTACATCGAAACATACACCTCTAAGCGCGACGTCTGCAGCCAGGAGTCGGGGCGGAAGACGGTATCGAACCAAAACGAAGACCCTTACTCAAGATGAAATCAATCAGTTTGAGGGTATGATTCAGGAAGACAAAACGGGAATCTCGGAGTTCGACTACATTAAAAACAGAGATGATTTCATTCGCCGTTACCCAAGTATAGGAGGCGCTCCAGAATCGATGACTACTCCCATCAACCAGGAACTCCACAAGCAACAGCAGGAGCTTCTCTCAGGTATAGCACCGGCCCCTCCTAGACGACCGGCGCCCGCTATCCCTAGGACGAGATATAGTGGTTTGGACTCTAGAGATAACGACTCCGACGTTGGCGCTCTTGCTATGCTGGCCAACCCCATTTCGCTGAAGAATTCGGTCGGTACAGCACCGCGCACCGGGCTTGCTAGTGGCGGGAATGCGTGTTATTGCAATTCTACTATGCAAGCACTCCTCCACTCGCCTGGCTTTATCGATGAGATATTGGACCCCAATTGGCCCGAAGTCTGGCGAGGACCCGAGGATCATGAGCCTACCCAACCACAATTATTGTCCAAAATATTGAAGAATTTGTTTGAGTGGATGCACAAGAGACAGTTCAAAGTAATGAGGTGCACGACACTTATGGTACGTTTGTTCCCACTCAGTATTGCCGAATTTTGTACTCACATAGCCATAGCATTATATGCGCTCTATCCATCAAGGATATCAAGATCACGACGGGCGTAGACTTAAACTAGGCGACGACAACCAGCATGATGTCGACGAGCTGTGTACCTTTCTCTTTGATCAACTATCAGCCGAGACTAACGTGACCTCTCAATCGCTTGAAGCTCCGCCGAAAATACCGGCCGGGGTGCCCTCGCTCGTTCGGGTTGCGATTGAGAGAATTTGGGACTTCCTTATGTCAAACAAGAAAATCACGTTCATCGATAAGCATTTTCTATACAGCACTGTAGTCCAAAGAAGGTGCTCAAAATGTCGAGATACGCTTGTTTATGCCGATTCCACTACGACCACTTATTTGACACCTACACGATCTTCACGTCGCGGGCGGCTTCGGTTGGAGGATATAATGATGGAAAATTCCGTAGAGCACAACGCCCAAGGTATCTGCTCTCGTTGTAAGGCGGAAGATGCCGCGACTTTTCGATACCGATTCATAACGTTCCCTCCTTTATTACGTATATATATCAGAAGATACAGGGGGTCTGCTACCGATGCAAAGGAGTTGATTCCGATAGAATTCCCATTTAACTTGGACCTGGCTCCGTACAGTTGGGACAGCCAGATCCGAGGACAAGCCGCCGAGATTATGCCCTCGCCATATGACCAGAACTTCCTAGCTCCAAGCGAGTACGAGCTCTACTCCATCCAGTGCCACGCAGGCGCATCTGTCGTTTCAGGCCATTACTGGGCCCTTATCCGGACGGAGCAGGAAGACAGGTGGATCCAGTTCAACGACGACAAGGTCAACTACCTCTCGGGATCGGAATGGCGGGACGCGCTGAAGGAGATGTACGATTGCGACAATACCGTCACCCCAGTTCAGCTGATGTACAAGCGGAAGGATATACCGTATGAGTGGCAAAGGAGGGGTTGATGACAGGACGCGACGCCGGCTTTCTTCTTCTCTATTGACCTAGGGGACGAAGAGATGGCGGCTACCTATACCGTTGGTTCGAGAGAGGGTTTACGATATATGTGCGAATAAACACATGAGCTCGGTTCGACGCGAGACGTGTCGTGAAATTAGGGTCAACTGGGAGATATGGTCCATAGGTGGGGTACTATGAGCGAGAGCATGTACGGGCTACGTTAGAGGCTATGGCTTGGGTAGTTGGTGGATGAGCATTACCGGCCGGATACGTGGGGGGGGAGTTCCGGGAAGAAGTGGAGAGCATTTGGGGCTGGCCATTCCCCCTTTCCTGGTACATACATGGACGGCGTTGGATCCGAGGGGGGCGTAAGTCTCCCCCTATCACTATTTTCTCTTTCTCTCAATAGAAAAAAGGCCCGTTCGAGTTTCTTGTTTTTACGAGCAAGATTCCTATCATGGCTATTTTTATACCTGTAATGCGTAGGAAATAACAACTGTTACTATTATTTTACGAGAGCCTTATACCCAATGCATCATAGTGCTGTTATCCCGGCTGCGGTTTCATTTTGGTTGCTTGATGACTAGGTAGGTGATTATAACGTTTACATATGTAGCCGGCACCTAATGTTAGAGTGAACGTTGATGTGGCTACACATGAGCGACCTGCTCTAAACCTTTCTAGCTACTCGTCCGTGGGAGTACGTGAGGGTCTTTAATAACAACGCAAATTACTCACTCCCGAATAGTCCTTACTTTCACCAAGTCAGAGCAATATTGACATCAATGTATTTATAAATCTAGCCATGAAAACAATCCCGAGTAATAATATTATACTATCATCCCCAACATCAACTACCGTTAAGTAGACAGCGACACGCCATGACATTACTATACAGTGACCCAGTTTCAAATTCGTCCGAGCCAGTATCCGAAGCCGAAACCAACTTAAACACCCATACCCGCACCGTAGAGAAGCGTCTGTTGCGCTAGGTTACGTAGGTACATCGAGTGAAATAGGACCGGCCGGCTAGCCCGTCCGTTTAAAGCATTCCTCGATTTGCTTCTTGTAGTGGGTTCTTAAAGCCCTCCGGTTTACCTTCTGCGTTGCCGTGACGAGACCCTATTGCGTTCATTAGTATTTGACAAGAGATGCGGCAAAAAGGGGGAGCAGCTTGAACTTACACTCGTGGGCGTCCATTCATCCTCGACCAGCACAACACCAACAACCATTTCTAACCCTGTCAGACCAGCTTTCTTCCCCACAGCGACTAAATCCTTGTGCACCGCATCCGAGACCTTCGAATCGGTATGCGCGTGCGCGTGGTCGACGCCGAGCTTCTTTGCCAACTCATTCAGTGGCTTCTCGTTGGGGCTTACAACTGCAATAGCGCGGGGGTGATCGCTGTCACCGTAGATCATGATGTTGTGGACGTACTCGCTGCCGCGGTACACGGCCTCGAGCTTCTCAAGTGCGATGTACTCGCCTCCCTGCATTTTGACCAGATTCTTGACGCGATCGATGATCTTGATGTGTCCAACGGAATCGAATTCGCCGATGTCGCCCGTCCGGAACCAGCCGTCCGGCGTGAACGCCTTTTCCGTCTCCTCGGGGTTCTTGAAGTACTCCTTGCATACAGGCAAACCGCGGAGCAGGATCTCGCCTTGTGGCGGTGTGCTCTTCGCGTCGTACCCTAGATCTGGCAAACTGACAAGCTTGATTTCTAACGAAGCCGGCACGGGACCAATAGCATTCGGCGTCCACTGCAAGGGGCAGCCCAGGGCACCGTTGGCGCATGTCTCAGTGAGACCGTAACCCGTGATCATGGGCGCGAGCACCAAACTTACGAATCGTCTCGTGCCATCGGAAATACCGCTTGCGCCGTTGAACAGGAACCTAACTCTTCCACCTGTCATGTTACGAACCTGCTTGAATATTAGAGCATCGATTAATCCTCCGCCAGGCAAGCCGGCCGATGTGAGCATGGACTTTAGGCCGAAGGCACCCCAGAAAACGTTTCTCAGCAACATGCCGCCGTTGCTGACCTTCGATTCTATACCCTTCCTAATGGTCTCCCATATCTGGGGGACGCCAACCATGACAGTTGGTGCAAGCTCGCGCATGTCACCAGCGCAGTTGCGGGTTGAGGAATCGGCTAGCGTGCGTGGAGATCCGTAGCCTAATGTGCCTCCGATGTACATGACCAGATTCTCTACAGCCATCTCCAGAATGTGAGCAAGAGGAAGGTAAGCCAGGATCGTATCGCGGTGAGAGACCGTCTCCTCAATAACGGTGTACAGGCCGGTGATACCGGCAACAATGCCTTCGTGGGTGATAGGCACGCCCTTCGGCGTCCCAGACGAGCCAGAAGTGTACATGATACAGCACATGTCGGAAGCTTTCGGCGGTACTGGATCTATGGGGTTTTCCTCACCGAGAGCGACAAGGTCGGTGAAGGAGTATATGGTAAGGTGGGAGTTTGCGCTCTTGAAGTCCTCCAATTCCTTGTCGGAGATTGGGATATTGGATGTGTCGTTGTAGATCAGGAATTTGACATCCTTCGCGTTCTTCAATGGGCGACTGGCGGTTTTCAGGAGGTGAGGATCGGTGTACATTGCCTTCGCATTCGTCTGGGTGAGGGAGTACTCGACAGCGTCCGAGCCGAGAGTGTCGTAAGCTGTCGCGATTGTGATGGATTGCGAGGAGCAGCCGTGAGCCATGCATAGCCAATTCGCGCTACGTATACAAATTTAGTTTCCAATGCCTCTTTTACGTAGAGCGAATTCATTTCTACCTTGTGGTTGCGAAAATGTGCAACACATCGCCTGGCTCCAGACCCAATTTCCGTAAAGCAGCACCTACGCGTAGAGCCCGAGTCTTATACTCGCTATAAGTGAGGAAGGAGTATGGAGATAACTCGAAGTAAGTCCATTGCTTCTCAACTTCCTTCTTGACGCCATCGACGATCTTCGGCACCTTCTTCGTCTCGGTGTGAGTTTTAATTAGTTTGCGAGAACCTATCGCGTGTTTATCTCCATGCTTATTTGCGCTCTCGATGAGAATATCGTATGTAGTGGCGATGTGGGATGCAGGGCGGGTGAGAAGGCCATCCTTGGCCTTTATGTGCCTGTGCGGTTTCGTCTCTCCCTCGACCTCTTCAGCCCCTGGCGATTCGATCATAAACGGCGGCTTCTGAACCATGTGCAGCGGAAGCACGCCTTCGAATTGAGTTGCGAGAGCCATAATTACGTTTAATTATGGTTGGGGAGGGATGTGATGTCAAGCGTGAGGCACAGGGATGTATGGCGTTGATGTTGGCTGGGAAGAGAGTATGTAGGAAGCTGACAGAAAGTGAGCTCCAACGTTCAAAGCTTGAGCTAGATATGGCGGATATGGATATTTTAAAGTTGGGATTTATCGAGGCTACAGACGTCAGCGGGGCAACCTAAGGCACTCTAGTCGCCTATCAAAGCTAACCCGGCAACTGAAGACCGGGGTCTAGTTGAATACCAAGATAATAATGAACGTGTAATCCTTTTAGAAGAATATATTTAGGTTAGTACGTGCGTATCCAGATGAGATTTCTCGGCGTAACTGGAACTAGAAGTTGGAAAGGAGATAATATTATGGATATTATGGGAACGGTCTGGTATTAAATTATAATTATTCTTCCTACAACATTAATGAGAAATGAGAAAATTTACCAACTCGCCGGTTTACGCCGTGCCTCGGCACTCAATGCGAGTGTTCAGTATATTCGGTGCAATAATATAGGTCAAATGATGACTCTTTGATTCACTGATCATTCAACAAGTCAACCTGCATCATGCAGTCATGCAGGGTCAAGAATCCCACGTTGAAAAAGCAAACCTCTTTCCAGGTACTAGAGTATCTAAGTAATTGTTATACAAACAAGGTTGGAAACTTGAAAACTTTAATAGTCAATGTTACAACCAGTCATATGGGTCTATCATAAGAGACGAGTGCCTGATATAAATACCTAAGTACCGAGGCATTGGAGAATTTTACCCTTCAAATGCCGGTATGTTACCCCTGTAATAGTCGGTATATGCAAATTCTCATTATACTCACAGTACCCAGTCATAAAATAGAAATGTATTCTTTGATTTACTCTAGAAAACATTGTGCAAGACAGCAACAGCAAACATGCATGATATGCAGATGGATCAAACGTGGCTACGAACATTGATGCATGTGTGTTATATATGTACGCATAGTAGATTGACAGATATCTTTTCAACGTTATTGGCTCAAACACCTCAGTGCTCAAACTTGCAGCTTCCCCGAAACCCAAGCTTTCTATTGGAACATTTCAAGTTCCTTATGTAATACATGATAAGATAAGAGCTTTAGCGGGGTACTTTGGTACTTCAGTATTGTCGGCCTGGTGAATTTTCCGAATTAGACAAATGCGGGTCTAGATCTTTAGAATTTCAGAATTTCGAAGACAGGTACTGCTAGCAAGGCAGAACCCGACCAAGTAAACAGCTTCATACCACGCCACATTTTGCTAGATTTGACGGAGAAGCTACCCATTGTCGGAATTTACCTTATAACAGAAACACAAGCTCTCCTGAGCTACGGAAAGGGGTAAAATGGCGTTAAGTATGTCGCTATAGCCCCGCCATTCTGTTGTATCAATATTTACTAACATTCTCTTTTAGATCTTGACCTCCAAAATGGTATACGACACACATGACTTACATGACTTATGGAGTTATATATGCTGACGCCTGTTTCTTATAGCTGCTGTTATGAAAGATGAGCAAGGGCGACCTTTCATCGTGGTCAGAGAGTGAGTCCCATGATCAAAAACACCAGATCAAGAGCAAGATCTAACCACTCCTCCCCTTAGTCAAGGCAAGAAGAAGCGTCAGTATGGCAATGAAGCCGTCAAGTCACATATCCTCGCCGCCCGGACCATTGCGAACATCGTCAAGACATCCTTAGGCCCCCGCGGTCTCGACAAGATCCTGATTTCACCCGATGGTGACATTACCGTTACCAACGATGGAGCTACTATTCTACAGCAGATGGAGATCTCCAACCACATAGCGAAGCTACTCGTCGAACTCTCGAAATCCCAGGATGACGAAATTGGTGATGGTACAACGGGCGTGGTTGTTCTAGCTGGTGCTCTTTTAGAGCAGGCTGCCGAGCTAATAGACAAAGGCATTCACCCTATCCGAATAGCAGATGGTTACGACCAGGCTTGTGATATTGCAGTGGCGGAGCTAGATCGGATATCAGACACCATCGAGTTTAGCAAGGAAGACACACAGAACCTTGTCAAGGTGGCACGGACAAGTTTAGGAAGCAAGATCGTATCCAAGGCACACGACCAATTCGCCAATATCGCCGTGGATGCTGTTTTATCTGTCGCCGATCTCGAGCGAAAAGATGTCGACTTCGAGTTGATCAAGGTAGATGGAAAGGTCGGCGGTGCGTTGGAAGACTCCATTTTAGTGAAGGGCGTGATAGTCGACAAGGACTTCTCGCACCCGCAGATGCCGTCAGAAGTCAAGGACGCCAAGATCGCCATTCTCACATGCGCGTTCGAGCCACCGAAGCCGAAGACCAAGCATAAGTTGGATATTACCTCGGTCGAGGAATTCAAGAAGCTACAGAACTACGAACGGGAAAAGTTCATTGAGATGATCCAACAGATCAAGGACACCGGTGCCAACCTAGCTATCTGCCAATGGGGTTTCGATGACGAAGCAAACCACCTGCTGCTACAGAACGAACTACCGGCGGTACGATGGGTAGGCGGCCCCGAGATCGAACTTATCGCCATTGCCACGAATGGCAGAATAGTGCCTCGATTCGAGGACCTGAAGGCGGAGAAGCTAGGAAGGGCCGGTATCGTGCGGGAGATGACGTTCGGTACTACGCGGGAGAAGATGCTTGTTATTGAAGAGTGCGCTAACACGAGAGCCGTGACGGTGTTTGTCAGGGGAAGCAACAAGATGGTAAATTTTCCCCTCCCCCTTTTTTCAAGGCACTAGCTAATTCCCCCTAGATTATCGACGAGGCCCGTCGATCCCTCCATGACGCCCTGTGCGTTGTTCGTAACCTAGTACGTGACAACCGCGTGGTGTACGGCGGTGGCGCGGCTGAAATCGCCTGCTCGCTCGCGGTCGAGGACGCGGCCGTCAAGACTCCGGGCTTAGAACAGTACGCTATGCGTGCCTTCTCCGAGGCCCTAGACGCGGTCCCTATGGCGCTCGCCGAGAACAGCGGTCTGAACCCTATCGCGACTCTCGCCGAGGTCAAGTCGCAGCAAGTCAAGGCCGGCGACGCCGGCCGTGGTAAGCTCGGCGTCGACTGCATGAACGGCGGCAGCAACGACATGAAGCAAGCCTTCGTCATCGATCCTCTTATCGGCAAGAGGCAGCAGCTCATGCTGGCCACTCAGCTGTGCCGCATGGTGCTTAAGGTCAATAATGTCATCATCAGCGGGTCGGGAGATCAGGATTTTTGAGATGAATTGGTCTAAGTAGTATCTGCCCTAGGTATTTGTGTAGATGAGATGGGTGGATGGATGGATGGACTTCGATGTAAGGACAGTCAAAAAAGCCAAGATACCTCTCCTGCAATAGACCCCTGAGATAAGAACGAAAAAATCATCGTACGAAGACAAGTATTAGTACGACCGTCCAGGATATCTACCTATCTAGGTACATGCCTACATGTCTATTCATATTGTGAATGCAATTGTAGTTAAACCCTACGATCTAGAAGAACTGGGAAATCACGAAAGCATGATATTCAAAGCCTACTATTTATATGTGTGTATATTTTGAGCCGAAGCCGAAAGCGACCGCTCCCTAACTTTTAGTACCGCGAGAACGCTAAAAACGAATAAAACGACAGATATCTAGTATAACAAGAATCGCGAGCGGGTACCTACAAGTGTAGGCAGTAGGTAAGTAAGGGCACCCAGATGACGTACCCTACCTAATTTAATGTTTTGTGAAGGGGTAGGATGACGTGAGTGCGTGTTGTGTGTACGTGAGGGTTGAAAAACAATAGAAATAGAAAGTACCCTTGAATTTGAACCGCCATCCCGATATTCCATTCCATTCCGACCCGAGGGTGATGATATATACGAAAGTCAACGACGGCTGACCGAGATAGGAGCTGGCGTCCTGTGACCCGTCTCCGTCTCCCAACTACTGTTTCCAGCTCCTATCGCGAATCCTACTCATTTGCTATCTCAACACTTTTCCATTTATTTATTTTATTTTATTTTTGGTTGTCCGGGGTTATCCTTCCATCATGTATTCCAGAAGCTGTATCCCGCGATTTCCACAGCATTCGTTGGATCCTTCACTTCGACTGCCCACACATCACCTCCCCTATTGTAGTGTACCTTAGTTCACCTACGCAAATCCAAACCCCTGTGCATTCTCAAGTGCCATAGCGAGACGTTCGCGCAAGACCTCCTTATCTCGGTACTCTGGCAACAACAGCGTCCCGTAGCACGTATACGCGGTAGGCAGATGACCTCCCTCGCCCTCCTCGCCGTTCTTCTGGACCACGAACTGAATATTCGCCATCCCTCCTACTGGGACGCGGTCGCTTGCAGTGACGAACTCGAGAAGCTTGCGGCGCATACGATCGTCATATCTCTTAACGATACTCCAGAAGTCGCGCACGGTGCGGTGCGAAGCGTCCCAGCCCACGTACCTTGCCGCACGCCTCAGCTCGCCCACATCGATGTCCTGTGTGCCCTCGACAATGTTCTGGAGCATCGACGGCGTCAGCAACTTCAGCGATTTTGAATTTAGACATGTGCGGAACCCGCGCGCGAAGGCGTCAAACTGAGGCGCCACCGACACGTAAGTTAGGTACCGGATGTAGTCGCTAACGTAGGCGTTGCGATTGTCACCGGTCACGGGCGCTGCATCGTGTGGATTGTCTGCGGGTAAGGGGTTGGAGTCCGGGTGTGCGGGGAATTGAGGCCAGGATGTCCGTCGCGACGAATCCATCTCGCGAGTGATAGGCTGGTCGAACATTGACGTAGAAAATTCGTAGGTAAGGACGAATACATCTTCCACAGAACCGTCCTTTTCGTTCCACTCGAGGAGGTTCGTAAGTCCGTTGGCCAGTACCGGCCATCCGTCCGCGATGTGATGTAGTTCGGTAACCGGTTCTCCCAGAAGTTGGCGATACAAGGCTTTTGGGAATGTGATAGGTAAAGTGAGCCCATTATAAGCGGCCAATGATATGAGCATGCCGATAAGCTCGAACTTCCAGTCGGGTTGCATGGAGCCAGGCTGAAACCAGGTCATCCGCGTTCTCTCGTCTATAGTGAAGGCACCGTAGTCCGGATTCAGAGCGTCAGCAACAGCAAGGCGGAAAAACTCCTGCTGCACGCCCCCAGAGTCAAACCCCTCTTCTCCAGAATCTTCTCCGAGATGGACCTTCAACGGTCTCATCAATTCGCGTTCCTCGCGTCGCCAAAGTTGGTCAAAAGCATCCCGAAGGACATTCTTGCGGCTAATATCCAAGATCAAGTATTTAGAGGCAGGTACTTTTAAGAGGTCTTGAAGGACATTCTTTTGATGCGTCTCCGTAACGAGGCTGTCGGTGTCAATAATTGCGCGGATTCGACTTTGTAAAGAACTAGATCCCTCGTAGGAACGGCTCATGCGAGAAAAATTGATAGCCCTAAAGTATGACACTAAAGACGTCGGGTTGAAAAGGTAAGGATAGTCCAGAAGATGAACCCTCCGCTTGGTAGAGGTGAATGACAACCAAGCAACTGGCATTTGAATGGGATCAAGACGATCACCGAAGTACTCGCAGCGGAAATGGACATCACCTAAGAGGAGCGACTGACGTTTCTGGTCTGTTTGGTTTGTTAGCTTAAGAACCGCAAGTTATCGGGGCATACTTACACATAGCCGCAATGAGAGAGAGAGCACCGCCGAACGGACCATCTCCGGAAACGTCAGGCTTTCCCTCCCACTCGTGAAGCATTACAGCTCTCGCCCAATCCAAGAGCAGGATCGGTATCCTCCTTTCGTGCATACTTCGCTCGGCTTTTGAGAAGTTTATTGCTGACTGTGCCGGAGATTCGAGATATGAAAGTAATATCTCCAAGACGTCCTTTTCTTTTTCATCGTCCTCCGAGTCCAAGTCAAGCTCAATTAACTCGTCGAAATGCCGTCGAGTCGGAATAACCCTCAGCAATCTTCTCGCTAATCGAAGAGCCATGTCGTCTGTGAAAGTGTCCTCGTATTGCAGGCACAAGGACATCGGTTGCCTCGCCACAGCACCACCGCCCGCTAGCGACAACCCATGAGCCCTGATGCGAGACATATCATTTAATCGTCTCGCGTCGGTCACTAGCGGAGCTGCAGCTACCAACGCGTGGAAGCATACAGACATAAGTGACGCAGCCTCTTCATTCGTGAAGGACCTTTGAGATCCAGGCCCAGAGAATACCTTCATTATCGGCGATCTCATGGACTGTAGGGCCCTTGGCGGTGCAAAAAGTCCTGCTAGAGCCATCCAGAGACTATCAAAGACCAAGCTAGGCGCTACCCTTGTCAAGCGTAACATACAATACCACAATGTTTGCGAGTCCACCATGCCATTGGAATTGGTAAACGAGTCCAATAAAGCTTGAGGGTCACTTAATACGTGAAATATACTCTGCTCGACAAATAACTTCCATTGTAATTTCAAATCCCGGGGGTATAGAGTTTGCGATTTTCGTTTTCTCTTCCACGACTTAAGCTGATTAGACGAGCGTCTTCCAGATCCACTAATGGTTGGTGGTGTGAGAAGATGTCTTTCCAAGGTGGCATCTTCCTGAAGGACATCGCATATGAAGTCTATAGCTTGGAGATTTAGACGTGATAGAGACTGTGGTAGGTAGCTATCTAGTTCAGATGTCGACTCGACCTCTTCATTGGCTGCTAGGCCATCGTGACTTTCATGGCTTTCGTCTGGCGTATCTATTGATCGCGTAGTTCCGGCGCTGCTCGAAGTCTCCTCTCCGTTGACGCCATCCATCTGGGGACAATGCTCATCCATGTGAGAATGGGGACTCGAAGGTTCCGAAATCTTCCTTTCTACTATTGTATGAATGTCACTATCCGCTGCTGGCGAGGTAGCTCGCGCTATAGTTGATGGAGGCCGAACTAGTCCTTTCGACCCCTTCTCTGGTTGTGTAGTGTGAATTCCAGGAGAAAGGGGTCCCGTCTCATCTCCAATAGACTCGACTAGGGGCTCAGAAACGACCTTGGCCTGGGTCTTCGAAACGGAGGAGGTGCGAATTCGGGCATTAGAATTTCTTCTTTGATGTGATGATAAAGCTTGAAAATGAGGAGTAGACACCGGCTGGTGTTCGGGGAGTACCCGCTGATAGAGTTCGGGAACTTCGCTACCCGGAGACGGCCCTGGTGTAGCGTGTTGGCGGTCACTATGGGTATCTCTGATGCCAGCTTGGTCGTTCTGCTCAGGTATCAATAGACCAGATGCCGGACTTGTTGTTTCACTCTGATCGTCTAGTCGAGGTGAGATCGTCTGAGAACCCTCGGCAACCTCTGCAGTGTCCCCGACCATTTTAACCTTCTCAGACATAGCTTCCATATTGTTAGGTGTTAACCACTCCAGCATTCTGAACGCAACAGTCCCAAAGACATTCGCAGCAAATGAGCGGTAATCTTTGCTAACAGATTTTTCAGTGATACTTATTTCACGTGCCGTAGTGGGTGACGACGATGCCTCGGCCTTTGCAGTATCCCTAGATTCCTTACTGCAGCTCTGATCGCCCCTCCTCCTGATCGCCTGGACCGTAGGTGGGTTATTTGGTGATGATGCCTGTGCTCTTTTTGACGCCACGCGCCCTGGTGTCCCTTTAGCAGATTTTGCCATAGACCCCGGGCCGTTATAAGCTGAGTTGGCTTTATCGTTAGGGGATGTCGTGTATCTCGGACCAAATATCAACGACTTCATCGCGTCACTCGGGCCGGCCGGGGAGTTAAGGTGCGGACAAAGTCGACCGTCGGCGTCATCTTGACTGGCGAGAAATACGGCTAGGGTCCTTGCGCTGGTAGGGTTGTATCGGCGGATGGGGGTCTTGCCAGCGAGTCGTTTTCGACAACTAAAACACGATGCGGTGGTACAGGCGCTGAAGCCACATCCATAGCGCAGCTGGACAATGAACCTACGAGATATTGGTTAATAAGACCAAAGATGAAGGTATACATGGGCTGGGCTTGGACAACTCCAAAACCTACTTCTCAATTAGCAGCTGTAGATCATGGCGGCGGCTGGCGCGATAGATAGCGTAAACCCTTTTGGGGTTTTCGACATTGATGACAAGATCCTTTATCTCGGGCGGCGCGTCTGGAGGTAAGCGCGGGAAAGGGACTTGTTCCCATAATGCAGCTAATACATCATCCTCGAGACTATGGTGGCCAGGACCATTGTCCGTCGGCCGATTGTCTTCTCGCGTCATGACATATGGTACAAACGGGACAGAAGCGAATGTGGAATCGCCGTGCAAAGTGTTTATCGACACAAATTCGATCACTCGATTCTAACGACTAATGGCAGTATAGTCATTTGGGATTGTATCTCGGCTTGAACGGGTAGTGATCGATCAAAAGCGTTGGATTTGGAAAGGATGCTTGGAGATAGAATAGTTGAATAGTTGAATAGTTAAAGTAAAGACGGAACGGATAAGAAAAGATGATAATCGGAACTTCGAACTGCGATAAGGTTACGCAGTATCAGATTGTACGATCATCACGAAAAACATCTACAACCAACCTAGAAACTAATGGATGAGGCGAATATTCGATGGTCGGGCAACATGCGCAACGGAGGTACGTGAGGGTATGGTTGGGAAGTTCGGTACGAAGTAGTTCCAAGGTTGTGTAGTAGTATCACACAAGTTCGAGCCGCAAAGCAACCGAATCGAATGGGATCTCCAAAGGCTGAGCGCATAAATGGAGAAGGTACAAGACTAGGACCCGCATATCGCATACCGGACCTATCCCGGTCTCCTATTTTAGCGTCATGTACATATCTACATACGTAGTACATAAATCTACAACTGTACACCTGGGCAGCGGGTCAGCCTATAGTATTACCCCACATACAGCCCAACCCAACCCAATCAGATAAGATTCCAAAAATTTCACATATCATGTATAAGATGAGGAGGGCATCAATCGGGTTCCTGTGTAATTCTTAAGTGATTCATCCCAAAACCTATATAGCTGGGACAATATGTCTTACAAAAGTTGAGTCAATGTAAATCTATGTATTGGCATAAACAATAACTTACAATAATTGCATTGCAAGTAGCTAGATTAGTATTATGTGACTGCTTACAAACACATAAAATTACAATAAAATTGGACATTGAATTGAAGGCGGACGAATCAGCGTTAATGCTTATCGATTGTCGATTTGAATTCAAGCACCTGCCTCAGCGGCGATTACCTGAGCTTCTAGAACCGACCAACTGACGTATGAGTAACTAAAATCTTAGTCCTTTTTTTCGGCAAAAAATAAAAAAAAAACAGCCCCCCACCAACGCCACTATTAGATCGAAATAATGATTATTTCAACATTTTGACTAATTCCTTTCCCCGTTTATTGCGCAACTCTCGTGAAAAGCCAATTCGGCTACCTAGGTACTCAAACTCTTAACGTTACCTAGACTATTCTATCATTCGTAGAGACCGTTCACCCCTCTTTACCATAGAATCGTCCAGGTTTCGTTATCACAAATCATCACACAACATTCCTGGCGCTAGTGTAATCTGGTTTTCAAGATAGTCCAGGTAAAGCCTCACAAACCCCTCCCCCTCGTCCATCTACCTAAGCAAAAAAAAAAAACCTACAACAATTCAACGAACTGGGTTTGACGGCCTAGAAACTTTGTCGCCTCGGAGTTTCCGTTGGAAGTACCATAAAATATCCCCCACTGTTATTCATCGACGGTTGGAAGTAGTTCTCTACACTCTTCACTCTACCATCCGAGCCGTCCGGTAGCTTCACCATGGCTACCATCACGGGGAGTCGACCATCAGGCGCTGCCCTGTCTCCCGCTTCGGACCCTGCTCCGTCTACTCACCAATTCACTTGCAACACATGTCAAGTAGCATTCCGCTTCGCCGACACCCAAAAGGGTCATATGAAGAGCGATTGGCAGTAAGTGAATGTCTTTCCTTTGTTTCTCTTTGTGATCGCATGCCAAAAAATTACAAATCTAACATGTGCCGTGTCCTTTCTTAGTCGATATAACCTCAAACGCCGTGTTGCATCATTGCCTCCTATCTCGTCTGAGGTATTCACCGAAAAGGTTCTCCAGGCCCGCGCCGAGACCAGCGCCGAAGCAGACCGTGCCGGCTTCCAACAACTATGTGAGGTCTGCCAACGAACATATTATAGCGAGAATTCTTTCCGAAATCACATCTCGAGCCAGAAGCACAAGGCAAAGGAAGCAGCTTTACAGCGCCGAGGACCAAATCAAGATGATGCCAGCTCCGTTATGAGTTCTACCTTTTCCCTTGAACCTGTAGCCACGGATAACAAGCAAGTCGATTCTGAAGCAGAGGAGGAATTCAATGAAGTTGTCGAAGGCCTTCAGAAGACTAGCCTTACAGAACGTTCATCTCCATTAAAGCGACCGGAGAACCCTCATCCATCAGCAGAGGCTAAGCACAAGAGAGAACATCCCATTTCGGAAGCAGATGAGTCGGTGGATCCTAGCGAGGCCGCTTCCAGTACATCGACACCCATCCCAAACCTCACACTCAAGTCATGCTTGTTCTGTAACTACGATTCACCAACCGTCTCCCTGAATGTTGTTCACATGGAGCGCATTCATAGCATGTTCATTCCTGAGAAGCAGTACTTGGTCGATATTGAGGGTCTCATTGGTGCGTTGCAACAGCGGGTCCACGAATTCCATGAGTGTTTGTATTGTGGAAAGATCAAGAATACGGCTCTTGCAGTACAGACGCATATGCGTGATAAGGGCCATTGCAAAGTACCCTACACCACCGAGGATGAGCAGGTCGAGATTGGTGATTATTATGACTTCCGAGCCACGTACTCGGATGAGGAGGACTCGGAAGATGAAGTTGAGGATGGCAAACAGAACGGAGGTGCTAAGCTCGGAGCTAGACGTTCGGCTAAGGCCGTTGGCGAGGACGGTGATGAGGTTATGGAAGACGAGGGTTGGGAGACGGACAGCTCTACTTCGTCATGCAATTCTGAGGAGATAGGTTCTATTCCGGTCGATCAACATATCCACCAATATGAGCGACTCGATAAGCATCCTCATCACACATCCCACGATCCTCGACACCATCATCAGATGGACGGATGGCATTCGCATGCCCACAAACATCGGGCCATTTTCTACGATGATACTGAATTGCACCTGCCTTCGGGTCGTGCAGTTGGTCACCGATCTTTGGCGAGATACTATCGCCAGAACCTTCACAATTATCCTTCGCCCGCCGAGCGTGCTAAGACGCTCGCTATCGAGGCGGCATCGCCTGAGGGTGATGCTATGGATGTTGATGGTGCCAAGAATGGTAACAGTGAGGTTGCTCGACGCCAGGACCGTGGACGGAATGGCGCTGTTGTAAGCCGGGCGAATGGTGGAACCGGCATGTTAGGAGTGACGGACCAAAAGAAAAAGGAAGTGGTACGTGCCGAGCAACGAGGTCGTAAGCAAGAGCACAAGGCATCGAGACAGAAGGAGTGGGCTGTCAACAAGCAGGCAAACCACCAGAAGTACTACAACTACCAGATCTTGTAAAGCTCTTTACGAGATATTCGGTTCTTAGGCATTTATCGAGGACTGAAAGATTGCTATGGACAATTGTATGCTGCTCCGATTGCGGATCAAATTCGTAGTACCAAATAAGTCGGGTATATAATACCTAGAAAGCATCCATTGATATGCATTACTAAATATGTGGGAAAAAGACTCGTTGCTTTTATCTTGTCGAAACTCCGAACTGTGCCGTTATCAACGACCAATGCCTGCTAATAAGAATGAGTAAAACAGAAACTGCAACTCAAATTGATAGGTATACGCAACACTCAGACACGTGTAATGTCGGCCCGAGAAGAGGGAAGAGCCCCGGACGGGATCTAGGTAGTTAAGTCCATCAATCATTGGACGACAGAACCTTAATAAGCATAGGTTAAGCTTTTAGGTTCCGGCCAGGTAGGCGAAGTCTAACTCAATTGAGTCTTCAGTCGATTTGACTAACCAACCATATCCTACCTGCCTACCTATATTCTTCACCTACACCTGCTGTAGTAGAAGTGCATACGTCTCAATAGGGTGTTCACGTATCGAGTAGCAAAGACGCAGGCACGTGGGAAAGAAGTTGCGGTACCTAGATTTAATATCGGACGGATCGAACGGTCATCACTTTTCCCAGCTCGGCCCCATCCCGCACAGTTGGAACAGCACGACGCCTCTTATTGGATCGCTTGCCCATCCTACCCTCTTGGGCAATGGGGGTCTTGAGCGATCCTTTCAATTAGGATCTACAGCCAGGATCGACTAAGTATGTATTTACCCGAGGCTTATTGATATCAACGCGGAGTCAGCCGCGATACCTACCTATAAGAACCCAACATTGGTAGCTTCAATTTAGCTTCAGTTACCCTCACTTGGCACTCCAATCGTTACCGTTAGGTAGCAGATCCAAGAGGAACCCAAGATGCAGCTGGTTCCAGTCTTCCTTTCAGCGCTGCTGGTTCAATCCAGTACAGCCGCGGCTGATGATGCGACGTTCGTCACGGCCGCACCCCACGCTGGGTCCGCCGTTTCAGATCTCTACCCTCCATCTGGTAGTATGTACTACCTATTACTGTCGAACCATTGAACCATTCAGACCTGGATAGTCAGTAGAGTCGTACAACGCTAACTAAAAAAAACAAGCATCTGTCGACTCCGTGCTCTTCCCGCCTGAATCCGAAGTCGGCTTTCCGGGGCCAACACCAACGGGAGTTCAGCCCGCGGCCATCCAAACGGCGCTATCATATCCGGGTAATCGGGGACCGTCGTACCAATTTCCTCTCATAGCACCGCAGCCGCATGGGCATGACAGCACAGAGAACGACTTCGATATCACGAAGTATTGGGGTAATTTGTCGCCCTGGTATTCCCTCGACTCTGCCGACTATGGGTTACCGGACACCAGCCCGCTCGCTCCCGAAGGCTGCAGTGTGACCCAACTCCATCTGCTGTACCGTCACGGCGCGAGATATCCAACTACCGGCGCCGCGCCGGCCCAATTCGCCGACAAGATCGCAAATGCTACTAAGACAGGGCTGCAAGTCAGCGGTGATCTAGCTTTCCTAGCTGACTGGACCTACAAGCTAGGCGGCGAGCTTCTCACCCCGTTCGGCAGAAAACAGGAGTTTCTTCTTGGTATTCAACACCGACAACTCTACGGCCACCTCCTAAATAACTTCACCGAAGCCGGTACCATACCCGTTTTCCGGACCGAGTCTCAAGACCGCATGGTTAAGACCACTCACAATTTTGCTGCTGGCTTCTTTGGCGTACCCGAATACTTGGATCAGGTAAGCATCGAGATTCTCGTCGAAGCAGCCGGTGTCAACAACTCGGGCGCGCCATATGATGTATGCACCAATGCCAACGTGGCTAGCCGAGGAAGTATTGGAACTGCGATGGCTACCAAGTTTGCAAAGAATGCTTTCAATGCTACCATTGCTCGACTCAACTCGCAGGTAAGTCGACGTCGAACTCATTCCAGAAAGGACCCGCCAATAATTTACAAACTGTCTCTAGATCTCCGGCGTCAATTTCACATCTACTGATATCCTTGCCATGCTCCAACTATGCTCATACGAGACCAACGCGCTTGGTTACTCTGCATTCTGTCCACTCTTTAGCCAGGAAGACTTCCTTAACTATGAGTATATGTTCGACCTTGTATGTTCTCATGTGCCAAGAATACCCTTCGATGCCTTATCTCTCGGATTAGCTAACCTCTCTTAAGACGTTCTACTACGAAAACGGTCCCGGCTCTCCCGTCTCTGCTGCCCAGGGGAAGGGCTATCTGCAAGAATTTGTTGCTCGCTTCACCGGAGAATACCCCGAGAATTGGTCAGGTCTGAATGAGACGTACGACAACTCATCCACCTACTTCCCCCTGAATCAATCCATCTACGCTGATGCCACCCACGAGGTTGTCGTTCTTGACACCCTCACGGCTTTCAACCTGACGGCACTGTTCAAAGGACCACCTCTAAGTATCACGGGGAACCTTCGAGAAAACAGCTTCGTAGCTAGTAAGCTTGTTCCGTTCGCAACTCACTTCACCGCGCAGGTCCTCGAGTGCCCGACCTACCAACCAACCAAGCAGATCAGATTCCTTGTGTAAGCTCCCCCTTTTCCTCACCATTTCTATCTTACGTCTACACGCCTCAAAAAAGCGAGATGTACTTATAAGCCCTTTAGGAACGACGCCGTTATCCCAGTTGCGGACTCATATGCCGGGTGCCCTGTCGATCCTCATGGTCTCTGCTCGTTCGACCACGTGGTTTCAGTCCTCAAGGACCGTATTGACGAGATCGACTACGACTATGACTGCTTCGCCAACTACACGGCCGCACAAGGCGTTGACTACAATGGCCGTGCACCTAAGAGCTAGGATTTTGGCTCGCAGGCCCCGAGCCTGCAGGACGGAAGCGGAGGTATGGTCCTGGCAATGGCAATGGCAATGGCTAAAGCCTTTATGGCCCTAGGAAGTCTGGCCGTGATAGCATGTCGGATGTACTAGGTAAATGAGAACAACGATTTCGGTATCTTGGCCACCTTAGGTTTGGGACTTCTGTTGGTGTTCGACTGGAAGTCCCTAACAATTGGACAAAATGCATCCCTTTGAAACTCATCACGACTTGACGACGGATATTCTTGGGGCGTGGCATAGGCTCGTAGGGGGCGCGTGGTATTGGTTCTATTTAATTCGATAATTGGATAATATTATAACATATTCAACCCAACTTAACCAGAGCTAGAAGGAGATCGTGTTAAACTCGCTGTATAAGCTCCACTTCTCGTTGAAGCAATTCGTTCTCACTAGTAATGGCGAGATCGGTTGTGTAGCTGGGGTACATATGTAGTCCATCTTATCCTAAGGGATGCCTGTACTTTTCCCTATACTGCGAGTGCACAGTATATGATTCCCTACTCGAGGATCTGAGTTAGCTCATCCGGAACTCTGTGTCGAGGTATATCTTGCACTACGCCACCAATCCTTGACCCTCGTGGGTTATATACCGATAAACAACAGCGATTTCTTATTTGTTAGTTTTTCTGATTCTCCCTAATCCTCAAACCCAAATTGGAGCTCACCACCTATGAAATGTCAAAGTCTACAGCATTATGGATGTTCCTAACCTAACACAGTTGATAGAATTTAAAGGGGGGAGGCTTAGTTCCTCCAAGATTTTGAGGTGACCAGCCCAGAGGAATTCTAAGGTGGAAACATACTTTGTGGCGTTATGATTTTTCCCATCTACAGTCTAAACGTATGAATGGATATGGATTAGCCGACATAGCAGTCTGTGAATAAGTTTCTTCTATCTCCGATGTATCCCAGAAAGCCACAGCTTCGTTTAGAACCTGGCGTAACTCAAAGTGACCATGTTATATATACATAAGAACATTTCGGTGTCGAATAACGAAATCTCTTTTCTCTTCTCTTTTTTAATCACGAAGAAAACATTTTCATGTTGTCCATGAGTACATGTTCGAAATAAACGTTAACCCTCTCCATAACCACGTACTCCGGTCTTTTGGACGACGTACAATTACTTCATATCAAGCACATATCCACCTATTTCAAGATGCCTCCTCAAAGAACCCCATCTTACGATCCTTACAGTATCCTTGGGGTTAGCCCTAATGCTACTGCCCGACAGATCAAGAGCAGCTACCACAAACTTTCATTGAAGTTTCACCCGGACAAAGCTGGCTCATGGAGCCACGATAAGTTCGTACAGATTCAAGAAGCTTACGAGCTCTTGTTCAGCAAGGCTCAGAAGCTCGAGAAGCACTTGAAGGAGCAGGAGAGACGTCCTAAAGAGCCAAGTCTGCCAAAACAGAAAACAACTTCAGACAAGGGGAAGGGAAAGCAAACTGAGAGCCGCCCTATACCTAAGCCTGCGCCGCGTCAGAAAAAGAATGAATCTGAGAATATTCCCCCTCCTAGGGACGAAGCACTAGTCAGAATACGTGACCGAGCAACCAGGCGCCTCGACGCTGTCTCCAACCACTTAAGAGAGGCCGACGAGCATCTTGAATCCTTACGTCACGAGGTCGAGGCACAAACAGATGACTCCAAGATAGGGATCTTGAACGCCATACAACACGTCTCTAAATTCATTGACGAGAAGAAATCGGAGGTGGCAGCAGCATCGGAGCAGATCAAGGGGGTTCCCGATTCCGAATGGAGAAAGAAGCCGGAGGTTCAGGAAGCCGTGGACGCCTTACCTCACCTAAGTCACAAAGTGAATCTTCTTGCGGCCGGTGTTAATACCATTGAGCACGTGGTGGAGGAATTCAAAAGTGTTGAAGACGAGAAGGAAAGGAAGCGGCTGTACCTAATGCTAGCCAAGGTAATCTCGACGTTGAAGTGACCACCTCTGGGGTTATTGGCAGAGGCAGTCGATACTAGCGATCACGAATCGTACCATGTTTTGGAAATAGTTCAACATTATTACGTTTCAATCTTATAATCTTTCAACCATCCACTGGCATTCAATCGGAATCCTATTGGGACAAGTAATGTTTCCCCTTTTTTAAATGGCTTATATTTATATAGCCTCACTTTTCGATGTACTACTTGAGTAGTGCTTACTCCCTTTTTTATTGATTTACTTAGATATGGTAAACGACGATAGTCGTTACCATAATCGCCCCCGAATGTATCCGTACCTCAGCAATCTAGGAGAACGTCGTTTCCCTTATTAGTAAGCAAATATGTCTTACGTTCCGGAGCAAACGCAATAGCATAACCAAGGGGCAAGGGTATATGAACCTGTCCATATGCCTATCAGATGTTATTTCCATTTACTATGTGAAAATAGCACCAGAGTAAATGTAGTATGTGCGAAAATTGCTGTGTATCGCTGGTCCTATCATTTATACAGTTCATACAGTGTTATTAATACATAGTGCCCCTTTTCTGACCGCACTACTTTAAGGTTAGGGTTTCCCATGGGGGAAAAGGAGGCGCAACATAGTTCTGTCAAGTTTTCTTGTTGTGGAATCATCCTAAATGTAAACTTCTGTGCTGTCAACTACGAGCTAAGAAATAAGCGCGATTCTGGGAAGTCCCGGAAGGGGGGCCGGTAAAGTTATGCGATGGTCTGTTCCTCGCCCGGGCTTCCGTGATCGTGGTGGTGGAATTTCTTTTCGTACTTCGTTCCCTAGGTATGGTTCTCTGTGTATATCTACAAGTAATGAATAACATCGCGAACGTACTCGTCGGCATGAGATGAATAGTTGATAGGAATATGAGTCTGGGGATCCATTGTCACCGGAGACACTTGTGACAGTACGGACGCTTCTGACGGGCCAGTAGCCGCTTCCAACGTATGATTCAAGGTATTTGAGCGTAACGCGTTTCCGTCAGCTTATCCCTCGCAATGGGTCACAATGGGAGGAACTCGTTCCGAGCGTTCGCCAAACTCTTCACCGAAAATATTAAGCTAAAGCCTCGTAAAGTGTAACATCGATAATTGAGTTGTAAGACTGGGTGGTAGAACGCCACCCGCTGGGCCAGCCTATGATAGGTGAGGCAGGGCCTCCTGAGATTTTACTACTTGCCATTGGGTAATCTGCCACATGTAGCCCTCTGGTGGGAGTAACTGAGGTTCTCTTGGGATTATTGCCAAGACTTTAAGGGGCCAAGGCGAGGATAGGTAGTGACCAACATATCGGTACCTAGGTGACTGTGGCAATATAACCCTCCCAAAAACAGGTTCGAATTTGAACGGCCCTGTCATTTGATCCCATATGTCAGATGTATAACTTTAATAGTTGTGTTTCAGTCTCGGCGGAGTTAAATTTGGTACCGTGCTTTAAAGGCCTGGGCAACTCATTTCCTAGCTGAATAGGAAAAAAAAATAGCTGGGACTGCGATATTACTACGAGGAGGAGCAAGATGTATTGCAGTACTAGGAAAATACAACATCATATTTTCTTCTATTGTGATCGATATGAATAATTGTAGAGATACTAATGCGTATTTGAAGTGCTACTTGTTCTATAATAAGCGTTGGTGGAGATGTTCTCGTGGCTAAAGCATGGATGTATTATCAACTGGGTCAGCTTACGACGATAGAACTGTTTGCCCATAAAATCGAATCTCAACTCACTACGACTTAGCGACGGTCACTACCTAAGCATGAAATATTGAAGAGCAGTTGATTAATGAAAGAAAGGAAATTCGCTGTATACAAATTCAAGTTGAAAGTCTGGTGAGAGTAAAGTCCACTTCATCCTCCACTGCGTACGGAGTCCGTTTTCACCCCAATAGCGGCCTGGGTATTTCCCATATCCTCATGGTCCCTCCAATCCAGCACCAAAGCAAAAAAGAACATGATGATCCATATGTATAATAGGAAATCATTATGTTTGTAACGCCTATTCACCCGATCCCGCTTATTCCTGGGGCGTATCCATGAATGTCGGTACCAAACTACCGTTATGTATACCAGGAAGTGTAAACCGAAACTAAACGACGTTTGTAGTAATTTTTTTTCGAGTTTGTTGATTTCAAAACTGTCCTTTTTTTGTGTGTGTTTTAATTTTTTTTTGACGATGGCGTTGAGAAAGGTTAAACACTGAAAGAAAAAACCAAATGATCGGAGTAGAATATCGAAGTTGTGGACGAAAACGCTGGTGTCGTCACCAATGCCGTGATGTCGAGCCATACGTGTCAGAGAAGAGCATCGCTGCTATGTGAGCGAACCGTAGGTTGGCGGTCATGATCAGAATTTGCAGCTGGGAGAACTGTAGATAACCTTGCCTGTCTTCAGATTCTTAATGTAGACAACCTTGCCATCGTTGAATGTCAACTCGAGGGGCTTGTTGGCGTCCCGCTCATGGTGGTAGATGGTAACGTGGTTCTTGATATCCTCAATGGAGAAAAGGCGACCGGGGGGTCCATCCTTGTAAATTTTCCAGATACTAGGCAGTTTAGATAGCGTCTCGTCCATCGGCTCCGGCTTATCCTCTCCTTGTGCTGATTGCTTGACCTCAATCGACTCTCGGATGTTGTTCACGGAGACTCGACAAGAAGAGGTTCCGGAGGATCCTGAGGAATTACGGCTGAAAAGAGCAGGCTTGGTGATCTTTGGGTTCCCTAGGAGCTTTGCCTTTGGCTTAGATGGGGTTCGCTGTACTGCCTTGCGCGCAGCTGCCGAGGCCGGACTCGGGGTGGAGCTTGGAGTGCGGCTTGAAGAGAGACCAGAGGTGCTGCTGCCCATGTTGCTTTGAGAGCGGGTCTGCATCTTGGGATGGTGAATTTGACGCGAAAAGACGTCGATGTTGTGTGTGTCGAGTATGTTTTCGAGTAAGCTTAGGTATGCTTACAAGGAAACGGATAGATAGAGTGTCTGTAAATGGATGGGAGTGGGAAGAGAAAGGAAAGAAATTGCGGGATACTAGTTTGTGGATGTTTTTCTTTGGATAAGAAAATTGCTGGTATCGGAGATGGAAGTTGGTAAAAGTAGGAGTTAGAAAAAGTAGCTGGCAAAAGCGGCTGGCAGAATAGGGTTTGTGAGGCTTCACACATTTTTCAAATTCCTTGTCGTTGCCTAGGTGGTTAGATGGTTAGGAGGAACTTAAAGCGTCCGAGCGGTTCCTAAGCACTTTCTTCTACGCCCCTACAAAAAATATTAACAGCTGCCAGTTGTAAGCGACTGTTCCTAGTTCATGATACGAAAACGGGTGATAGTTTCTTATCCATGGATGGAAGTATAGCGCCACAACGAGAAGAACACTGAATACCTCCTAGTGATAGTTCCAATAGAAAATTTTACCGTATACTTTCCAAATACAACGAATACAACAAAGATGTATAAACTGTGTGTCATTTGGGCTGTTTGGCGGCGCGAAGTAGGGAATACTGCTAAAGGGCCAACTTAAAGGTCATGACTGCATAAGTGGACAGAAGAAAAAAATCAATATGGCATATTAATGTGAAATATTTCATTACACCGGTCTAAATATAGCTAGAGACCATCGAAGCTTTCGCGCTTGCTCCTCGCTTCCTGTCCAAGTCTCTCCTTACAAAAGGACAACAGAATGTACTTGAAGGAACGAATTGGGAGAGCAAAGGTGCATATATGCCAAAAGTTATGCTACTGACGGCATTATCCACTAAGCGTAAACTCGTCTGGCTTGATAAGGAAGATAAAACAACTAAAGCTCACATTTACTAGCATCGTTCATCCATTATGCTTTTGCCTTCCCTGCCCACTAAACATCATGAGAAACATCCACTCGTACATCATGACCTCAACCCTGCGCCAATATTCTGCTTCACTTGGTTTCTGCTGGCTTATCTTCGGGGGAGAAATTCAAGCTAATACTGTTGACGCAGTGTCTCTCGTCGGTTGGCGTAGGGTACCCCTCGCCCTTAAAAACATGGCCTAGGTGACCGCCGCAGTTGGCACAGCATATCTCAGTTCTTGCCATACCCCAAGACTTATCCTCGTGCCTCGTGACAGCGCCAGGAATGCTGTCGAAGTAAGCCGGCCATCCGCAGCCAGACTTGAACTTGTGGTTTGCCTTATACAGGGGTGCATTACAACCGGCACATGTATATACTCCAGACTCGGAAAAGAATTTATCGTATTTACCAGACCCTGGGGCCTCAGTCCCCTTTTCCCTAAGAATTCTGAATTGCTCTACAATATGCAAATTAATAAACATGCTCGTGCCGAAAAGGGGTTAATTCAAACCCTACCTTTGGTAAGAACAGCACGCCACTCATCGGCGGATCTCTGGTCTGGATACGACATGGCGCTAGATTGATTCGGGCTTGATCCAAATAGGCTCCCGAGGAAGGGTATAGTCGGCATAGACCTCAAAGTCGATGGATTGCGTAGTAATGAATGTTGGGTTTGTTGAGTTAAGGGGCGCACTCTAGCAAAGTAAGAGAAGGAGTAGAAAGTACGAAGCAAATTGGAGAACGGAGGTAATCGCATTACCTATCTGTTGGAAAGCTACGGTATATATATTCGTACAATGATAAGAGGTTTACACAGGATGGAATCATGAATAGAAGGAAAAGTGATGATTTGGAATCAACGTTGGCTATGCATAAGAATTTGAAGGTATCATTGTATCGGACCCTTGGTAGCTGCGATTGTCCAAGCGATTGATGTCGTCAGAAATCCCCACTGCGTCCCGACCCTTGCCACATGAGCGCGCACTAGCTTACAATATTTCAATGCTGTTAAGATAACGGATTAACTTAATCTAGCAACATCCGATCTCATTGTACGAAGTACGAAGTACATACTCCAAAACGCAGCGGTACTTGTCTACCTCGAAGGGTACACTTGGACGCTCGGACCAGATACATTGGATATATTGAAAGCCACAGTTTCATCGAGGCTCATTCAAGATAGCACCTGGCAGAAGTTGGAACCTGGAATTCTACTCAATAACATACATACCCCCTTTCTCACAACGTTGAAACATAGCCTTCTATCTACCCTTACCTTTTCGCCTTGCCGGCGTTCACCAGCTCGACTATACATTCAACGCATACTACTAATTCCTCGCCAGTAAGGATTGCATCATGTCTAGACGGCCTCCCAATCCGGCTGCTGAAAGGGCGGCCCAAAACTCGCAGACTATCAAGAGCCTCTTGAAATTGGAAGCTAACAAGATATGCGCCGATTGCAAACGAAACAAACGTATGCCCTCTTGAACATAACCAACCAATTTCCCTTATAGTGTTTATAGTGCTTACGTTTTATATAGACCCGCGATGGGCGAGCTGGAACTTGGGCGTCTTTATCTGCATTCGTTGTTCGGGAATCCACCGAGGAATGGGAACCCACATATCGCGAGTCAAGTCTGTCGACCTAGACTCCTGGACCGACGAGCAACTACAAAGCATCTTGAGCTGGGGAAATGCGCGCGCCAACAAATATTGGGAATCTAAATTGGCAGCTGGTCACGCTCCCTCCGAAGCCAAGATAGAGAACTTCATCAGAACTAAATACGAGTTGAAGAGATGGGTAATGGATGGGCCAATGCCGGATCCCGCCAGCTTGGATGTCGAGGGCGACGACGATGTTCCGTTAAGCATTGTAAAGGAGAAGCAGAGCATAGACAGAAAAGAGTCGATTCGGAAAAGTTCTGTGGGCCATCAAGCTGGACCACGAGGCGCGGTCCCTCCACCACCTCAAGCAGACCTTATCGGCGGCGACGATATTCCACCTAGAGCGAGCACTGCCGGGCCAGCTTCGTCGCAAGTTCCTCCCAAGTCAGCTCCAGCACCGCCAAAGGCAGTCAACCCGAAAGACTCGCTTCTGGGCTTGGACTTCTTGGGCGAAACGCCAGCTGCCCCCCCGCGCCCAGCAAGCACAACCAATGCGGGCGGTCTAGGAGGCCAGTCGAGACCTGATCTAAAGCAATCTATTCTTTCCCTCTATGCTTCGGCTCCGCGACCTCAGCAGCCGCCTCAGCAGCCGTCGCATTCCTCTTCTGGGTCATTTGGAGGGTTTGGAGCGATGCAATCACCGCTGCAGTCCCCAACAATGGGGCATCAGCCTCAGAAGTCGACCAGCGGAGGACTCAATGATGCCTTTGCAGGCTTGAGCTTCGGAAATGCTTCAGCTCCGAAGAGTCCTAAAACTGATGCCTTCGCGGGCCTAACGACTATGTCTAGTAACCGATCTAGTAACCGGTCTACCCCCCAACCCGCAGGCTCGTCATTCTCGAGCCTTGGCGGGGGAAGTTTCTTTGACCCGAAGCCCGCTCAGCCGACATCGCAACATAACCCTTCGACAAGTACATCTGATGCTTTCAGTGCATTTAGTTCGCCTTCCGCCGTGCCGAAACCAGCACAATCTTCCTCAGCGGCCTTAGGCGATCTCTTCGACTGGTCTAGCTCTGCTACTCAACCGGCCGCTGCTCCAGCTGCCAAGCCAATTCCCTCGCCAACATCAACAGGCTCCGTCTTTAATCTTTCCGCAAATCAACCGAAGCCAGCTCCTGCGCCAGCGCCTGTCGCTAGTACTACTGCTTCTCTGAACACATCCGCGTTGAATAATTCGGATGTCTGGGGAAATGCCTGGAGTAACCCTGCCCCGGCTGCAGTCCCGGCTTCGAAGAGCCCGCTATCTGCTAAATCCCCGTCGATCAGTGCCGGTAACGACTTCGGCGCCTGGGGTAGCACCGGAGGATCTTTCGCTACTCAGAGTATAGTGCCAGGCGCCTCCGGAGGATTTACTCCCGCGCCAAAGGTGGCAGCTGATGAGGAATTCGGTGGATGGACGAGCAGTACTGGAACGTCTAACAACAATGGATCAAAGGCTGCTGGTGGATTTGGGAGCGAGGATTTGTTCTCCAACGTTTGGCAGTGATATGCTAAGCCCACGAGGCACAGGCCAAGGAACTTGACCACACTGGAACTTTTGTACAGAATAGGGGTTGGGTCTATGAAAATTGAGTTCCAAGACATCCATTAGCCGTGTCTTCTGGCTCTGCCCCAGGTAGTCTTGTCAAATAAAGAGTCAGCACATAAGATCGAACTAGATAAATCCATTGGGCTGTCAATTGAAAACCATTCATTCCGTATGAACAAGGCTAAACTCATAACGCCTATGCTATGCTGCTATAGGGACTGCTAACTCCAATATTGAACCAGCCCAAACTTAACTGCTTTATCCTCTCATATAGAGCTGCTACTGATGCCAACTAGATATGTGAAGGCACAAGCACACAGGCAATGCAATCCCGCCCGAAGCATTACACATTTTCATGACCACACGAGGGCAGAGCACGAATACCAACCATACTATTGACTCCTTCATGAATTCCTCCACTGTTTGTATGTCCTTTCGTATGAGCGACATCGTGCTATCGGGTACGAAACTGACAGCGTATGATTTTGCAATCATTCAAACTACCCCATTGGACCTGGGTCAGTGGTGTTCTGTTTTGTTGATCGTATGCCGTTACGAGAAGAGTCGTCTAGAAAATCCACCTAAGGATATAGTATATGACTAGGAAGGTGCCGATGAGGATGCCCGAGAGTTTGAGGATGGCGACTTTGTTTCCCGACGCTGCCATACGACCCAGTCGACCGGCAGACCCTTTTAGCTGCATCGACATGGAAGAGAAGGTATCGGACTATACGGGTTAAGCCCGTAGTTAGCGGGTTTGTAGAAAAAGAAGGTGGGCAAGGGAGTGTGCGGTGGCTCGTACAGTATTATCGATGACATCTTGCGCCCTCGCGTTGTCGTAGATATCAACGGTTACGCCACGCAGCGACGACACCTTCGCGGACAGTTCCTCCAATCGCGCATTATTCTGGCGCTCGCGCTCGTAAGCTTCCGACATCTTAGGCTTATAGGATAGTGCTCGTTTAAGGACTCCGGCGGAAACGGTGGAATTAAGAGGGAACCAACTACTCGTCTAATTGGTGCTGTTTCAATGCGAACGTGGTGAAATACAAGTCCTTAGGTAATCGGAAGGCTGAGTCGGTAACGAATAAGAGATCGGTACGGGTTTACTGAATGATTTTTGTCGATATGAAAGGCCCGCCGCGGGCGCAGGTTGATTGTCGTCTTTGTTTTCCCCAAGTGTATCATATGCCTTTTACCCAAAATCCGGCTTTAATGGAGAAACACGAGATGGCTCCGTGACAAAAAGGAGGCGACAAGGAGTGAAGATGACGCAGGCTGTGGCTGGTGAATCATTAGTTCCAATTCGAGTGGCTAGTTAATTATGTACAGCGCTGGCACCGTTAGATGTATCGGTACTAAAATTGTACGGCCTATGATTTGCACAGACATCTACCCCAGCTTTATTGCTTGCTGGCTGGTGACTTCATCGTCCGTACTTGGGTACCTGTAAAGTATATGGCTGTGCCTCATACATTCATGGATGCGCATCTTTGGCAGTCACTACGCCGCATAGTACCTGCCTAGGTACATACTTTACCAACCTAGGGAGCTTCCAAGGCAGCTACATTGTATACCCAGGTAGGTTCGCAGCAGGAGCTGCCGTGGTTGCCGCCTGCCCCGCTAAGAGTGGCAGAGCTACCAATCTCTCAGCTGACGACGCCATAATTCATCTTTCGATCGTACCCAAATAAATAATGCCTAGTTGTATATCGCCAACCTTAGTCATTGCTTGACCTTACCACCTACCTACCTACTTGACCTATGCGAAGATTCCGCCACGGAAACGGTGCGATCTAGACTCGAGAATCCGGACAAACAGTCAATCTCTTCATCATCCCTTATTCATAAGTTTTTGTGCTCTAATTCGGCGGCCTCTATCCCCGCAATTGGCTTTCGCAAGCTAGAACGATAATCGGCTTTAAGTAGCTTTATTTACTGTCGCAAACAACTCCAACTCGGCAGTTCCGGAATCTAAACATCACTCGTGCTTAGACACCTACGACCATCACTCATTCCTCAAAATGGGTATCAACAACCCTCTACCGTCGTCTATGGCGTGTAAGTCCCTAGCTTCAAGCAGGCGCAATCCCGCGTGGCCGAGCGCGGTCGAGCACCTGTAATTACCTCCACACGTTTAGAACTAGTAGCTCACGATCCTAACAGCGGAGTGCAAAAAGTGTGGCAAGATCCTCACATCGTTCATCGATCCCCGCCAAGCGTTCGGTCCCGACAAAATTATCCCCCCGTCGGTCCTCGCAAACGCAAAAGTAAGTGAGGTCTAGCTTGAAGCCTAGAACGAAGCCATAATCAATAGTCATATGTACCGAAGCAATAGCTCATAATCAAATAGGGTCTTGCGATTCTTACTGTCATTAAAGCCGGCTTCCTTGGATCCGCACGTTTCGGTTCCGGCCTCGTCGTCGCTCGTTTAAACGACGGTACGTGGTCTGCGCCGTCTGCCATTTTTACGGCAGGAGGTGGATTTGGTGGTCAGATAGGTTTCGAATTGACCGACTTCGTTTTCATCCTGAACGATTCCCATGCCGTCAAGACGTTCTCGCAGCAAGGCTCTATTACACTCGGCGGAAATGTGTCCATAGCGGCGGGGCCGGTTGGTCGGAACGCTGAAGCTGCTGGCGCCGCCTCCCTAAAGAGCGTGGCTGGCGTATTCAGCTACAGCAAGACGAAGGGATTGTTTGCCGGCGTATCTTTAGAAGGCTCGGTAATCGCAGAACGAAGAGATGCAAACGAGAAGCTGTACGGCCAACGATGGACAGCAGCGGAACTCCTCACAGGCTCTGTGCGACCGCCCCCGCAAGCCGGGCCTTTAATGTCTGTCTTAAACTCGAGAATATTTGCAGGCGTGCGTTCAGGCACCGTAGACGACAATATGTACAACGACGTCCCGGTCTACGACGACCGTCATGACGATGTAGTATGGAATGGCCAGCGGGGAAGCGCTTATGGTGAAGCCCAACAACCTGCCGCTCAAACTGAATTCGGTGGACCAAAGCGAGCAACTACTTGGCAGGATGATGTGTACGACCGACCGACTGGGAGCAACATCAATCGATCCAACACGGTAGCAAGATCTCAAGCGTACGATAACGACTATTCATATCGCGATCATCGAGCCTCGGCTCCAGTTGGTGGTTACCAGGATGATAAGAAAACAGGACCCGGCAGACCCGCAGCACCGAAGCCGAATTTCGCAAGCAAGCAAGCGTTGATGAAGAAGAATGAAGCCATCGCTCTGTTCAACTTCGAAGCAGACCAGCCGGGTGACCTGGGTTTCAAGAAAGGTGATGTTATCACGGTGCTAAAGAAGACGGACAGCGACAACGATTGGTGGTAAGTATACGATCTGAACCACGAAGCTAATTGGGGCCTGATGCTGATTTTACCTTGCAGGACCGGCATGATTGGCTCGAGGCATGGCATATTTCCTAGCAATTATGTAAAAATGAAGGAATAAAAGGGTTGCCTTGCTTAAGCTAGCTTCCTCGGGATCAACTGGGATACGTACGGACGTACGCGGATCGTGGCAGAGGCGTATGGGGGGGAAAGGGGGGAGGGGCGACGGCAACTACGAGATTGATCGATTAGGAGATACCTGAAACGCTCTTGTGATATTTAGATTCTACTTCTCACGCAGGGTTTACGATTCGACCTGGTTTGCGCGGCGCTTTGTTGATTCACATTGACGATGACTTTTAACACTTTTTTTCTCTATTCATGATGCAGTGGCTGGCGGACTTTGCAAAGTTAGGTAGCATCTGAAGCGATGATTCAAAATAGAAATTTTCTATTCGGTCATCTTGGTATGGACTATGAGTGTCTGATAGTAATTGGGATTATAGGTTCGCTTGCATATTTTTGTTAAACACGCCTACGTTATACAATTACACATCCACATCGATATGGAGCTCCAAAAATATTGAGGCTTAATCAGTATATCTTTCCGGCCTCCCGTGCGCCACAAGAGTTTCAATATCAAACTAAGTTCCTAGGGATTCTCTGCCCGGATGCAGGAGCTACCGTTGGGACCCGGACTCAGCCTTCCGGATGTCTCGGGGGCCGACGAAGATCGACCCACTTTTACCGGCAGCGTAGCCGGCAGCGTAGACGGTCTTCGCCACTCAACTTCGCCTGGGGATAAGATTAATCTTATTCTAACCATTATTCCAGCATTCTTGGCTCTGGCTCCGAGTTATCGAGTTGGGGGCTTAGAAGAGCTTTTTGAGATATTGAACTTGGCTTACCAGCTTACTATTCTTCATTGCCGACTGTGTGTTCTCATTCGTTCAGGCAGCAAAAAGGACTGGTTTGACATGCGAGTAATATTCAGCCAAGCTTAGGTATCTTCTAGGTAGCAATATATGACGAGATACTACGTGTTTCTAAGGAGATAATCCACGGAGAAGATCAATTCGATATTATCGTTTCTAAAATTGGTTTAGGCATTAGTATGCGATGATGTCTGCAGTAAAGAGCAGATCCAAGATTCAATAGATCCTACATGTCTAGTTGCAACCTGGAGTCTCAAGTGCTCGAAGCGCGCTTCATCGGCATTTTGTTGCCCCGTAAAGGTAAGCAATTGATATGAGCTTAAGCTGACAGGTTGACCCTAAGTCCTACTAAACAGATTCAACTCTGTCATTAGAATTTGAAGCGTTGTAGAGGCTAGATGCAGTAGCATACGCCCGATTAACCATCACGAGCTTACGGCCGGAAAATATTGACAGTCCTTCTACATATCGAACCGCCTTGTTGAGATTACTAGTATGCAATATAGAATGCTTACCGCCGAACCTTAACGTATCGGCCCACGATACACTTCTTACGCCGGAAGGATTCGACGTCCGAGCGTGGAGAAATGGGAACGCCCCGTATAGTTAAATTACCGTGTACTTTAGCGGTTGCTATTTCTACATACCTACTGCTCTTCTAAACAATTTTTTCAACAAGTATTTTCTTTTTTTCATAGCGCTGCGATGGAGCCGCCCTACGTCTTGCTGCCGCGGGATGCTATTTTTGGTGCAAATGGCAGATGTTGATTGGCTCTGGCGGAAATTAAGCGCGTATATACATGGGGGGAAAAGGGGCCGCTCGGTCCTCCGAGCGAATATTTCATGCTCATATACACGTTCATTATTACTTACTTAATACAGGATCTGGGGTTCGGGGCGATACGGGTATGTCTGCATCCATATGTATGATGTTCCTACCCGGATCTTTCCACTATGTAAGCAGGTATATACCTAGACATGTACATACCTTGCATGTATGCATTGCGAAGCGCGGCGCTTGGTAAAATACCCCGGGAGGGACAAGACGGGATAGCTACGTCCCGCTTTCTTCTCCCGTTGCGCCTGTTTTGAAACGGGGCGGCTCGCGTTGTTTGATGAGGATTCCAAGGGAAGCAGATAGCCGCTGCACGGGAGCTGGGATCGCGGCATGGAAACAAGCGATCTGATACGACGGTAGCCGCGCCGTCTACGTCGTAGCAAGGCGCCGGCATCTAGACGCGCCCCAGCCTCGAAAATACCGCCAGGCCTCCGCTTCGCAAGCGCTGTCACTGCTGCTGCTGCTGCTGCTTTAGAGAGACGGAATACGGAATTGCGTATCGCATCGCATCGCATTGTCTATGTGTAATGAGATATGCGTGTTTCAGCGAATTCGGTTACAATTTCTGGTGTTTGAAGCTTGTGGCCGAGACTTGGAGACACACGGACGTACCGGGCCAGCCTATCTGATGGGAGCTTTTGGAGATAATGCTAGTGTGCCCTTCCATCCCGTCGAGACATGCAGTTCAGCCGGACAATTTGGTGTTGCATCTACTGGGAGTTTCTACTTTGTCATTTGTCAAAACCAGAGACAATAATAAATAACATCATCAATATGTCGTAAGGTTTTTTATAAACTGCTGCTACTACTATTTGGTCACCGGGGGCCCAGCAGGTTGGGTGTGTGTGTGTGTGTCGGCGATAGTGGGATGAGTGCGTCCGGCGACGGGCAGAGCGGAGCAATCGGATTGTGCAGGTTTGCCATCGCAACGGCGTAAGAGAGAAACATGCAGCAGTATAGAGGCCCCCGTGTGGCTGACTTTGGATCGTCGACACCACCCGCGACGCGCAGCAGACTGAGGCATCCGTCAGGTATAGGATATAACGGCCGCAACGGTAGACTATAAGGGTAGAAAGGGCCGAGTATAAGTTATATCAAGAGACGAAAGCCCCTCCCTCAGCGGGACTCGCGAGACATACAGCAGTAAGCCACATTCTTAGCCCTTCCCTTTCGGGAAAAAGATCGACGATTTTCTTCAGCGTTCATCGAATCGAATTGCGTAAAAGTGTTCGATGAGCCACACCTCTGGGTTCTCCATAGGTATCTTGACGGATAGCTCGACCGAGGCTCTTCACAACCCCCATGTGCTGCTGAAAAAGGTTGGGTTAGAAAAACAGGTTCCTATTCGTGCAGTTCAGCAGGTCGTGTTGAGCGATTTGTTGATGTTGTCCGAGGCATATTTCTATATTCAGAGAAATCCGAACATCGTAACGTCACGTCCACTGCAACGTGCAGATGGATGATATTGATTATTGTTTGTTTGTTTTTGGCCTACTTTTTTCGTTCGTGTATGTATCATGTATGTATGTATGTATGTACGGGTGTGCTGTTCATTACCCAGAATCTTCGTGAGGCCGAGGCCAAAAGCACGTATACCTAAAGTGGCTGACTATATGCACCTGCCATTTAGTCTACCGAAAGCCAATGCTTGTCGGCAGAAAATCCAGGGGTTCTAGAGTCTTCAGCCACACGGCATAACTTATAGACGGCCGCCTCCATTGGATGGCCCTCGACGACCTGGATTGTTTCGATTCAGATTCTTCTGGCCAATAGCGGAACTTTGTTGCCGTCAAACCATCCTTTTCTCTGGCCTGGATCAGATATGGACAACAAATAGCACGCATGCATACGCCATGTATACACCTGCAGGTACCCAATTAGGTTTTACATTCTATCAATTCCGTCTGGATGAAGAGATTTTATTTCATGCGTATATAGGCGGTACATATGTATAGTGAACGGCGGTGAGGTCTTGGCTCTGAACAGGTTCGTTTATCTTGTTTACCCCTGTTTACTCTGTAGTCTAAGTGCGGCGTGTACTATGCGTTCCTTCTACTAGATATACTCAAGCTACTTACTTCATTAAGAAAATGATATTGTTAATACGAAGATTTTGTGACGTTGCAATCAAATTTTAAAGTTATTGGGGCCTCTCCATTATTGCGACCCTGGCCACGATGTAGGCTACTCAGGGGTCCAGGGATGGTGATGAGAGCGATAATGTCATTTTGGATGACAACGATTGATCGGGTCTGTGATACTTGCTAAGATCGTTCGCTAGGGCTGGATAAGACAACACCAGTTCATTGTTCATTGCACGGCCAACGCCACATGGAGAGGTAATGGAATGCGAAGCCTTAGGAGAAAAAAAGGCCCCTCCCCCTGAGCCAAGGGATCGAGCTCGGACAGAAGGGCAGTTCCATTCCAGTCAGATTGATGTATGTGATAGTGATGTCAATTCAGATATTGATTTGAAGGGGGCGCGGGAGTGAGATCTCGGATAAATCTTGAAACGCCATAACGGCGACAGATTGTCTACATTAGGAAACACTAATCATATTGAAGGAGTCGTCTTTCTAGATATGTAAACCTATAGAGACTAGTAGAACAAGCATACGATTTTGCCGGGAGAATACACTAGTTGTATCTCTATACCTAGCTCTCCTCCGTCAAGGCTATCATACCTGTTATTATAGAGTAGCATCTCTATCCCAATGCCAATGCCAAGGCGTTGTATGTAATTCAGATAAGGGGCATACATAGGAGAGGCGGGGGTGGCCAATGGCAACAAGACCATCCGCGACAACAGGTGCTATCATCACTTCTTTGGAATGTTTCCTTCGCCTCATGCGCAGACCTTGCCACTATTCGGTAATCGCAGTTTGTTCCTTTATTCCGAACATGTACCCCGCCAATTAAACAACAACTGCATCGTCTCAATACATAGTATGCCTCGCTGCTCGAGGATGCGTCAACGTCTTAACTAGGTAAGCTGGTATGAAGAGTCGGTCAAAATCTGCCAAGCGTGGGCAGCCCTGGTAGGATGGGATGGCCCAAACGTACCTTGTAATGAAGAATCGAAAACTGGAGAAGACCTGGGGTGACTAGGTGATCATCTCGAACACCCATGTACGTTTCGTTTCGACAAAGCAGAGCATTGCAGATCTTGACTTGGGATGATCATAAGTGCTATTAGAAGGTAGTAGATGCTAGATAGACGAAACTGTCATCGAAATGATGGGAATACAACGAACCAATATTCCGCTAACGTGTAAGGTCAAAGCTCTGGTCATGCAAGATTGATTGGCTTCGATCAGGTGTAACTATTTACCTAGGTACCTTTTCCCGAATTCATCACCACCATGTGTCGACGCAGGTCTATTGGTAGGCCACTATTTCGACAACAATAATAAGTAACTTTGTCAGATGTTATCAACAGCCAAGGTCAAAACACGCGCGGAAAGGATACCTTAAGCTAAACATAGGTCGAAGGGGTCGCAACGAAGGCGGCCTATAAGTCAACAATTATTTGCTCAGGTTTTGCCCAGGGCAGTTTCGATTCCTAGTTGATTCCTAGTTGATGCGGATATTCTATGCTCATTGGTCGAAGGAACAAAGAATACAGAACAATTGGATTTGCGGCTAGTTCTCGAGTTAGATGAGTGCGCTAACTGGAACCTCGACGTGCGTATCGAGTATCACTGGCGAATGCGTGTGGCCCTGTGCCCAGCGCTATCCAGGAAGCCCAGGTCGCCTGCTACGTAGTGTCTCTCCATAGTGGCAGAAGTGGGCGACTAGCCACCCTAGTAGGCGGCCCGGGTGGTTCCAGCGAGTCTCTTGGCCCAGTACCCCGACCCCTCTCTCGCTTGTTTCATGTCTTGAATCTCTGAACCACTTACACCAATGAATCACCCACCCGCCACTGTCATTCTCAATCCAAGGGATCATGCGGCGCATACTGTAGGCGGGCGGGCCCTGAGATGAGTTGTAAACCGTTAGCCATTCACGACCATTCACGGCCATTCGTGTCGTCGCGGCTCCAACCTTTCGGGGGGCTCTATGTTTGTATTCATCCTAGATTAGGGGCGAATAGGCAAGACGGGCTGGCTGGCCTCGATGGGGTCCCTGGGCGTCCTACATGCCTCACCTATCAACGTACATACTCGCGATTCGCATCAGATGAACCCTATTGGGAAACCCCTGGGGAAAGTGAAGAAAGTTAAGAAGGGACAAAAAAAAGTAGATATAGATCTAGAAACGCACACTCCTTTCCCCAGATCCCTTCCATCATTATCTTCCCTTCCATCATCCATCATCGAGAGCATCAGGTATTCGACATTCGACCACTAGTTGGCCCCCAAAGGAGAAACCGATAAACCAGGAAACCCACTGAGTGGAATGAGTTTGTTCTTGTTTCGACAGTATTGAATACATAGTAAAAAAAGGGAACCGGCCTATCTTTTTCATTACGACAGACAGCCACCCACGTTGACGACTGATACGAGTTTCTACTTACGATACGAACCCACCTTTTTCTAGACTCAGGCCAGTCTATCATCATCGCCGTCCCTCCCACTGGACTATCCGGCAATTAATGGTTATACATTTCTTCAATCTGACATTGTGTGCCCCTCTTTTCCACGACAACCTCCTTGATAGGATCGACAGCGCTTCCCCGGTCTTAATAAAACTTGGGTAGATCTTATTATATATCAGGCTTCGTTTGCACCTTTCCGCAAGGTCTTTTTCTGGGACACAAGACACGATACCGTACAAGACACAGCTGGTCACACACAGCTAGGCGATCAAAGCAAGTTGCGGTCTTCCGTTCTGGTTTTGCGTTATTATTATTCATTTCGAAAAGTGTTACGACAAACTCCTCGTGACTCGCATTCATCTCAGTCTTTTAATTCATTATTATAAGACCCCGGCTACGTCCCGAACCAACTGCGCCTTGAGGCTCGGAATAATCGGGCGCCCATTTTTGCTAGTTGCTAGTTTCTAGTTTCCAGTTTCTAGTTTCGTCAGCACCAATCCCAACGATTCGTCAGTCTTTTTCACCTCACGGCGGTTTAGCCTACGCAACGCATTAAACGCATTAACCTACCGATTCGGAGGATTACCTTCTCTTAGCATTCGACTTATTCAACACCAAGGCGCAATCGTTATCTTCCCATTCGGCTCCGCTGAATTTGTTTCAACCAACTTTCAACCAATCCAGCAAATTCTAGGTCTTCCGCCGGTTCGGGAACCTCGCCTTCGTTTTTTGGGTTTTGTGCATCATCGCCACTCATTACTGAGCAGGACAGCTACATTCACCTCCGGAGCTTAGCTGCTTAGTTGGATTTTTGCCATCACCTCTAATTGAATTCGGTAGTCTTCTGGTGCTTCTAAGTACTTTCTGAATACTTCCTGAATAACCTGACCACGTCAGCCACCATAGGCATTAATATTAAAGCCTTCGCATCGCATTCGTACTGCGCTAATAGCCCGACGTTCCGAAACGGGAGAAAAGAAAAGGAAATCCACTTCTCAAGATCGAAGCCACATCTACATTGCGTGGACGCATAGCTATTGAATTCGTTACCCCGGCAATCTTTTCTTCAATTCTGTCCTCTTTTGTCTCTTGGCTCAGAAACGCGAAACATTTTCGGAACCTGCCACGACTTCCACGATTCTATTTCCATCATCATTCACTGCCGGATTCAGGCGTAGCAATTTGCATCAACAATCGTTCAATTTTATCTTGTTCAACAAGCCCAACCGAGCCTTCGCACCGATCTCCCGAGGCAAAACCCCGGGACTGCCGCCGCGACCGACGAGTTACCTGCCGTAACGTACCTTACCGTTTCAATTCGACTTGGGCAACTGGGAAACAACCCCCGTCGGCCACATCCGGACTCCAGACAGACTATCCTAGCTTCGTTAGCTTCCTGGGCATCCTAGGCAGTTTCCTTCCCCCTCCCCTACCCCCTGCATTGAACACCCGCTCGAGCAGCTGCACCTAGCACCTGCCACTACCCTAGCTTAGCTGGTTCTTGCTGCCCACTCCATTTTTGGTAGGCTTTGCAGTACCCCTGACACTTGTCTCCACTTCTTTTCTGGAATCCAGCCCAGCCCGCCTAGTCACCTTTTGCGCGTCAGCGGTCGATCTTTCCAGGGAGAATCGATTAGCCCAGATTTAACCCAGCAACTGGGACTCAGCCTCGACCACCCTCACGTCACACAGACTTACGCACCCCTTCACAATCCACAGTTCGGGTACGTCAGTACTTAGCTACCGGGATACTTTGAGGAAGTTGCCCTGGTGGTTGTTCACTGGTTACGCCTTCTAAGTCAGTCTGTCAGTCTGATATGACCTTGGACTTCGCCTCGTGATACACCCATCCACTTCACATCCTCCCCATCCCATCGCATATTCCCACACGTTACCCCCTAGTCGTCTATACCTAGGTACCGCTAGTCGCTACGGCTGTTGGGTGATATATTATCAATCGTACATCCCGACTCTATCGTCTTCCCCGGATTTTCTTTTTTAGACTATTACGTTACTCAGCGTTGCCGTTGCTGCTTCTTGCTTCTTGCTTCTATATATTCCAACCCGTGGGAATATATCGACACACTTCACACACATCTACCTTCACCACATCGTCTTAGCAACACATACCTAAGACACATACACATATCCACACAATGTCGTCGACATCTAGGATACCTATGAGCGAGCTCAACGCCGCCGCTCTTGAGCACTTCGTCTACAAGCCAGTCAGCCCGGCAATGATACAATATCTAGCACAAGCAGCAAGAGACGTCATCCAATGCGATCCTAACATGATGCCCCCGCCGGCTCACAAGTCGCAATACCCCTCGCCACCAAGGACACCGTCGCCCAAAGCCGTCCGAGTCGACGACAGCGGTCTACCGACCTTGGAGGAGTTCATCACGCAACTAGTCCGCTCATCTAACGTCCAGGTCCCCACCCTCATGTCCACGCTAGTCTACCTAACCCGTCTGCGGTCCCGCCTGCAGCCCATGGCCAAGGGACTACGGTGCACGACGCACCGGATCTTCCTGGCGGCGCTCATCCTCGCGGCCAAGTACCTGAACGACAGCTCGCCCAAGAACAAGCACTGGGCGACGTACAGCCACATGAGCGCGGGCGGGTACGGCAGCAGCTTCGGCTTCAGCCGGACGGAGGTCAACCTGATGGAGAAGCAGCTTCTGTTCTTGCTCGAATGGGAGCTACGCATCACCGAGGACGACCTCTACCGCGAGCTCGACCCCTTCCTGGCCCCGATCCGCGACCACATCGAGGCCTCGCACGCCCGCCGCATGCAGCGCAAGGAGGACCAGCGCAAGATGCGCGAGGCACAGGCCTGGGCCGCCGCCTCTTCTACTCAGTTCCCTACCCCGCCTTCGTCGCGCGGCAGCTCGCGGGCGCGGACGCCGCCCGAGCAGACCATTCGCATGGTCCATGATGATAACATGTCGCCGCCGCAGCTGGTGTACAGCTCATCCGCCAGCAGCAGCAGCTCTTCCTCCTACGCCTCGTCGCTGTCGTCACGCCAGCACTCGCGCTCGTCGACGCCGTTGTCCGATCCGGACGACAACAGCTATCTGTATGATGGCTCCCTGTATGCGTCGCCCGTCGAGGTCGTGCTCGACATGCCGCCGCAGTCGGCTGCGACCACGAGGGGCTACCCAACGGCGGGAGGCAAGAGCACGAAGCAGCTCCTCCCCTACGAGATCAGCGCGGACGACCTGCGCGCCCTTCAGGACGGCAGCGCGAAGGCGAAGCGCGCGAGGACGGGACGCGGGATGTGGGGGCGCATGTTCGGTGGCGGGATCGCCGTGCGGTGAATTTTTACAAATTTTACTGCTATTCCCTTTGTTGTAAACCGGTTTGGACTGGTTTTTGGTTTCACTGCATTATAGCCAGGAGTTCTAGGTTTCTTTGGGAGATGGATGGGTTGGGGCTACAATGGAATGGGCGTTATTTACATGCTACGAAGAAGTGCTAGGCACGAAGGGAAAAAAAGGGGGTTGTGACGTTTGCTGTTGCATCTTTCTCTTTCTTTTTTTCTTTTTCTTCATTCATACACTAGAAAGAAGGGTGGAACCCTTATTGTCATGATACCTACACATCGCAGCAGCTTTACATTTCTCATCTTTGTTTTGTTTTGTTTTGTTTTGTTCGTTTTACTTCTAATGGTACGGGCGAATAGGGATATTCGGGGTCAATTAGGGATTTTACGGATGGGGGGCACGGGCATAATTAGGGTTAACTTGTGTTTTTGTCTTTGTTTGGCAACGGGCGGAGTAGAAGAGAGAAAGCATTCACCTATACATTTGCTGCATTTTGGCATCGCGAATTCGTTCTTCCGGACTGAACACGGATCGGACGGGACTATATTCTATTGGAAGCTTTTTTTACAATGGGGAAAGAGGTTCAATATACACACTACTACACAAAGATATCATTGGTGTTTCCAGGTCTCAGGAGAACAGAAGAAAAAGTGAATTCCGTTATACATACTTACCACTACGCGGGCTCGGTGGTACTACGACGCGCTGGTGTGCTGATGTTGGGCATCGAGCGAGAAGGTATCACGGTGGTTGGGGACCTTGACTGACCTGACTTGAACTGTCGGTCGGACCGATAGAATTAAACTACATAGTCGGACTTACTGAATTGGAAAATCCAACATTCGGTAACACATATAATTGAGTTTTTTTCTCCGAATTCGTGCGATGTGAAATGTTTATGCGTATAGAAGCGGTGAAGTATAGTATAGGTACTAAGGCATATCGTAGGAACGTAGGATGCATGCCTATAGGCTCCGTAGGCTCCATGTTCTAGGTATTGTTACAGCTCGTGTTTTTTTCCCTCTCCTCTATTTACTCGGTCCTAATTATGTAATTACTACTCTCGGTCTGAACATGGGGAAAGCATGTGCCTTTCGTCGACTATATTTGGGTCATATAATCCTCTGCTACGTACGGATATGCAAGATCGACTTGATCGCATCCAACAGGATAGTTCCCGGCCTTAATACTTGTTTACCATCCGAGGTAGGTGGGTGTGCTAGCTTATAGTAAAAACGTCTAGGTAACGTTTTGTTCGGATGCACCGATCTGCTGCTGCAATGCACGTCCTCGGTATTTGGTAGGTAGGATTCCAGAAATAGGCGACAGATGGCGCTATCAATCTGGGGTTGGTTTGGGGGCCGCGCTTGTATTATTATGTACGTACAATCCGGCTTCTCTGATGCTTAACGTACATACATGAGCTGTAGTACCCCAGAGCATTCCGAATAGAGTTGATGCGCCGAGACCTAATTACTATGAATACCTACTTATGCGTCGGTGAAGTCCTATACTCTCTCGTGATAGTGAATAGTGACGTTGACATTGGTCGACTATTCTTTACACATTCGTGGGAGGAGGCAGTTGGCACTTAGCCGCGTGCGCTGTGAAACTGTGCCGCCCTACAATAGCGCGCATTGAAGCCGAGCGCATGCAGGGCGAAAGATGTCCATTCCTGGAAATAGAAAGAAGCTAGAATCCGACGATCCGCATAGCAGTATTGCGGATGCTTCATCATTCCCGCGCTAGCAAGCAACGTCTATCAAAATTTGGGGGGGCGCAAGCGCTGGCACTCCGAAAAAGATACTCGAGAAGGAAATAGGCTCTTCGCCGAAACGAAGCGCAAGGAAGGGAAACCTACCATGGTATTATGGACGAGTTGGTAGAAACAGATGGGCCCAAAGTCCCCACACGGAACATCCGTAAGGATGGGCTAGACAGCAACCGGTACCAAATATTCTCGAAACCGCTGATCGGATTCGATCAAAATCCTTCCGTGTTTCGCGGGAGACCTGGGAGGCTCTTCCAAAGCGGCCCTTTTGCTAGACGATATAGGCATGTGGAAAAACAAAGACGTCGGTCCAAGCGAGGCAATGTGTCACCGTGCAGCTTGTGTGGACGATGGGTGGTGATAAGCCGAGCCGAAGGATTCTACATTCTAACTAGGTAGATCCGAACCGTAAGGCTCTTCTGCCGGGCTTACTCACCTAAAACCTCGCCAACATCCCTTTTAGCTGGCCATCGACAGTGATCGCAATTTTGCCCATGCTTGTCGTCACACGTAAACGTTGGGAAACTGGGAGCTGGCGGATTTTCCATTTGTTACAATCCGCCGATTCCCTCTACTCCTATTAGGTAAGCGGGTGACGATTGCTGATGGCCGTCGGTGACGATGACGGGTCCCTCGAAAGAAAGGGAGGAATCGAACGTTGGCCGGTGGATTCGTTACGAATAAGCCAAGAGGATGGTTTGAGCCGCCTTTTCCTCTATCACTCGCGCCCAGCAGGCTGGAAGGCGATACGCGAAACGATGTTTGTTTGTATGCTGCTGCTGTGTAGCCGTGCCACCGTTTTGGCGAAGCATCATGCGGCCCAACGGAGCGACCCGACGGCCTGGGAATCGCGGCTTATCTGGGCCTTTAATCACCGTTCATACGCGACCCCGATCATCAGATCAATTCCGTGATGCCCTCTCCTTTGGAACACGTCGATATCCCGCGGTACTGGGTATGGAAAACACCGCGGGCATAGCCACGTTAGGAATTAGGATGAAGCACTTCGCCGCGATATACTATGGAGAGACAGCCATGTTTGCTAGGAGACCGTGATATTGGGAATTAAGGGCGATGGCACAAAAAAGGTTACATATTGGAAAAACGCCGAATCTTGGTTCACGACGGTAGATTGATTAATCGATTAATTGATATCAACACGGACGATCTGTAAATGTAACATTCGAACTTTGGGGGCGGGACGGCGGGTGGTAGAGAAGGGATGATGACGTATGAGGCCGCTTACTAAGTGTTTCGTTTCAAAGCTTAGGTAATGTTTCATCAATTAGACGATATTTATCCCTTTCCTTTCCTTCCCTGCCCCTCCGTCCCCCTACCCAACCACGTTTCACTTCCATTCCTTCGACATGCTACTCATTCTTATCACGGAAATCTTCATATTACACTTATTCTGACGGGCGGAATCACTAGATTCAACAATTGCGAAGATAACCTTGACTTGAGCTATTCGCTCTGCTTCACCGCTCATCGCTCTAAGCTTAGTGACCAGGGCTGATTCTGCCTTAAGTCCTACCTGAGCATCACTAGTCCCGGGGCTAACAGTGAAATGCCCGTCAGCCGCATCACCTCCGCATATAAAGGTGCCTCGCAAGGCTATCTATAATTTACCTCGGAAAGGTGAGAGTGTCGCCCGGATCTACCGTCGCAGTGGATGCAACTCAAACACCCCCGGACCCAAGGCAGCGCGCGGCGTAAGCCGTATTTTGGCCAATCCGCGATCCCCATTGCAAATGCAGCCAACGTATTATCGTCGGATCTAGTGGTCTAGCTAGCTCGTCAGTTTATAATTCCATATTTTAACTCAGGATCAGAGAACAGGGCATCAACCATAAATTTCTTCGGCTGGGACACATCAAGACGATGCGATGATGAGGCTCAGTTAGTGTATTACCCCCAACCCGGAGACATCAAAGAGACTACGGTATCCTGTCGCGGTGTGAATCCCGGACCAAGCTACTGCAGTTATGATACGATGCCGGCCTTCTACTTAGAGACTAGTACATGCCTTGTTTTAAGCAGAACAAGCTTCAATATCAGCACCATGTAAGCCCCCGCTCAAATTTTCCCATCCTAGAACCAAGGCCGATAGACGGATGGCGCCTGGTTTCGTAGGTCGAATAAGACGCCTTTTCCATATCTGTTTTCATGTTCAGAAATCCCGTTTTTCCTCCATCAGACAATGAACTTTGACTCAGTAACTCTACTGATGAAAGTCTATGGGGTTGAGTGCTGTTAGTATGTGTATGATGGATAGTGAATAGCACTGGCGAAGTCTAGTCTACTGTTATCAGTCTAGTATAGTATGTTGACAATTCTTATTGTATTCCATAGTGGCATTGAAAGCGTCACTTCCTCCTTCTCATATTAGTAAAACCTGAAAGATAGATGTCTTAACAATACGCTTTTTGTCCGGCGCAATGTCACTATGCCATGCTCTGTTCGGTTTACCATACAGATCACTGTCATTACGATTCTCAGAGTCTTACAGAATAAACAATACCTAGGTAGATGAGCCTCAACGCTAACTTCCGCACGATGAATTTTCTCGCTTAACAAACATCATCACGCAACAACTACCAGGCATTACAATACTATATCTCAGCGATAACCGATTCTTACGCTTCTCTAAACTTAGAGAATTCTCTTGCCTTCCGCCCCTTTCCACGTCTCATGCTAGGTACTGGAAAACTCAGTGCATAGCCTTGCTGCGCCAGATGGATGAAATTTGAACCCTTTTAACCGTGTCTTGCTCCCGCCGGCCTGTTAACCTTGGTATGTCGCGTATCGGCATGGCCTGTTTCATCTGATTAACTCATAATACGATACCATAAATGCCAAGTCATTATATCACGGCAGTTAGATCGTAGCAAGGGAGTTATTAGCATAGCTCTTTAAGCGTATTTCCTAAGTATTTCAAAGGCAGTGCTCAACTGATGGATATGTATACTCAGTTACATGTTATGAACAGCAGATATGAAAGGTCTTGGGCCATGGGTAAATGTGTGGTAAGTTTGAGCCCCTCGGTGACTCGTGATCCTGCATGGAATGCTCTCCGATGAGTGACAGTCGAAGTTACAGACATTGTTCAGGAAGTTTCGAAGGGATGTTTCTACGCTTATAAGCTTTAACCTAATACATTCCTACGTATCTACCTTCGAGTTATATAAACTGAACAATCTGACTCCAGAATCAAATCCTCTCCTTTACTCGATAACATCTATTGACTATTCACATCAGTATATTAATTTTGCTCTGGTCCCAAAACAAGCCGAGATGGCATCAGCAACTCCAACGTCAAACAACAATCGTCTTGTCAAGATCACTCTCTTCATAAAAAAGAAAGATAGTATTTCACACGAAGAATTTCACAGATAGTGCGTTCTCAAGTTCCTGTTCGAAATTTCAACGCCATGATCTAACTGGCTAACCACTGGCCTTAGTTGGTCTGAGGAACACTCCAAGATATTTCTTTCGCTTCCTATAAGCCGCCGAAACCTTGTGAAATACTCGCAGTATCACTCTGATACCTCTATCGACCTAACCAGGTTCGGCTTTAATAATATGCTGGGCTATGATGGAGTCGCGAGCCTTTGGGCAAACAGCTTCGAAGAATTGCTAGCAGTATGTCACTTGCTAGATTACCCTTTTCATTTTCCTCGACTGACTTGGAGGTTTATAGATTTTCACTTCTGAAGATTTTCGTAAGACTTTACTTCCGGACGAGGATAGGTTCATCAACAGAGCTGAACTTGTCTCCATGGTCGGGTGGGATGAGGATAAATGGGACAATGGAAAGACCCTCTGAGTTGGGGATATTCACGGAGATAGAGTAACTGGCACCTACTAGAGTATAAGTTAAATGCTTGTTTCAATATTTTTTGAGTCTATTGTCAGTCATGAGACGGACTTACACGTGGAGCTAAGCTGATTCGCCGTATCACGTGATACCCCTTGAAGCCACCATGCCCCTTTAACCGGCAGTCCTCGCCAATCGGGGACTGCTACGTAGAAGTCGGAACATTGGAGTAAAATTGGCGCAGGGCAAGTTAGGTACAAAATTATGCGCCGTTCATGTTCTTAACACCTATATACCCGTTCCCGAAATCTCTTTCCCGAACCTAGGTAATCATTGGAAAGCGATCTCCCGAACCAACCCCGACTTAACCCACCCCCTGGCAAAATTCCTCCCGGAACCTAAGAGAACAGCAACCCACCAAACTCTCCCAACCCACCCATCATACCACATCCTCTCCTCCCACCCCCTCCGCTTCCTGCTCTTCCTCACACCCCTCCTAACAGCCTCCTCAACCACAACCGCAACCCCATTCAACACAAAAAACCTCGCCTCCCCAACCGCGCTCGCCCACTCCCCGCCCAAAACCCCCCTCACCGAAAACGAATGCACAAACGCGCTCGCCATAAACCCTCCTAGTACCTTCCCCACATCAGCCGGTTCATCGCCCCCCTTCCCCGAGAGTTTCCGCTCAACCCACTCCCCGGGCCAGACGCCGTACACGAGGAACAGGCGCGCGAACAGGCGGTGCCAGCCGTAGGACCAGAAGCCGCGCACGGACGCGACGGCCCAGACGCGCGTGCTGTACAGCGGCGGGAAGAAGGCGAGCGGACTGCCGCGCGCGAGCGGGCTCAGCGCGATCGCGAAGAGCGAGTGGCCTAGCGAGAAGGCGGCCATGAGGAAGGCGCCTAGCGAGGCCGTGAGCAGGATTTGGACGGGGAGGGGCAGCGCCGTGTCGAACAACTCGCGGGATCGGACCTCGTCTGTTGGGCTTGATGGAGATGGGGGTAGGGGGTTGGGAAGGGTGGTGGGGGTGGTGGTGCTTGGTAAGGCGAGGTACCGCACGTACGTGGTCCTGATGACGAACCAGCTCGCGAGGAGGACCGGTAGGGCATGCACGAAGACGCTGTGGATCCGGTTCCTGACGGTGGGGAGCCATGTCTTCCGCGTGTGCCGGACGTCGGCGGTGGTCCATGTGAAGCCGACGCCGCGCATGCTGAGCTCGAGCTCGAGGGCCCACGAGGCGCGGTCCCGGAAGGATTGCGGCCAGCCGGACTCCGTCGTTGCGGTTTCGAGGACGGGACGCGGGGCCGGTCCCGTTAGGGTGTGCTGGACGGCTAGATAGGAGGTCCGGGCTGCGTCGGGGATGGAGTCTGACATCCTACGCGCTATGTTGGCGGAAAAGCTGGAACGTCTGCCTTGGCTAGTTTGTGATTTTTCTGGTTCAGGGGTAACATGCTCGTCATTGGTAGTGCTACTCTCTCTACAAGGGCGTAACTCCCTGACTCCTCCGTCAGACCATTCTTTCGACGTTCCTATCTCTTCCGGTACAGGAGTTTCGAGCCTGGGCTTGTGCACATACTTGACTCGCCGAGGAATGTGCTTGAAGAAATAGGGGCTTATGAAGAACACGTCTATCACTCTACACCCACCGTAAAGACCGACAAGGCCGAGTTGGTATGTAAGTCCGATGCTCTGAGGGACATGGTAGGCAAGCGGAAGACGAAAGAAGAGAAACCCGGCAGTTAAAGCAAGAACATTACGAATTGTTTTGACATAAATCGAGTTGATAGCAGGTGGTGGTGGCGGAGCAAGGAGCAGGAGAGCAAGGTAGTACGTCAAGGGCGGTAAGATAGCTGCGCCGAAAGTGAGATGCCGACTTCCAGGTATGGGGTGTAGACCTGGCCGTGGTTGAGGATCAGTCACTAGAGCGTGGAGCTGAGATGTCAGCTTAGATAGAAACGATGCCATTTGCTGCTGTATCCGAATACATGCGCCTAGCTACCAACAAGAAAAAATATATATATAAATTGTAAGACAGGATGTGGATGGAAGATTGAAGCTCCAAACTTCGAAGAAACATAGTGGATTCAATATTATTTGGAGATGACCCCAAAGCATCCGGTTGGATGAGAGTGGTTATGACGTGGGTATGAATTCAGCGGGTGACTCTCCATAGTGCTTACCCCAGTAGCTCTGCTTCAATAATTCATGTTAGACTCACCCAATGAATTACATATAAAGGCTATGTATGTTACGATTACCTCTTATATATCACGCTGCCTAGTAAATGCAAGACATTTGTGCGGACGTGAGATGCTACTTTGAGCTAGACAGATTACTCGGTCAAATCGGAACACGGTCTATTGTCAATGTGCGAAGCAATTATAATTCACGATTTTGACTTCCCGAAAGTGTCGTAAATGTTTACCATAGGAGCGCCCAAAATCACATCTAGAGTCGGTTTGATTATATCGTTGACGCCCCCTTAGTCGTCGCTGAGTGGGTCTCGGATCGTAGAGTAATACTAACAGTGCATATATCTTTTGTAACACCTAATGATTAGGTGAGTTTATTGACGAGCAGTGCTTTGAAAGATTAGATATAAAAACCGCGAAAACCTTTGTATGCAATTACTTTGTTTGCATTGTAGTCGCCTCTCACAGACTCTCCTTTATTCTCCCTCGTTGTCTAGCATTTCCCAATTAAAGGGTCCACGTTGCACCAACAACCAGTATTGGGTTCTTTAAAATCTAGGAGGTAAGTATATATCCAGTCAAATATGCTGCATTAAAAATTATTCAGCTAATTATAGTCGCTCATTAGATCGATTGAGGTTGTACCTGACGTCTCCTTGCCTATCAACCAAACACACCAATTTCGAATATTCTGAGCAACATCGAATTTCTCAAGTTCATCAGCAGGAAGCGGAAGAATGAGAATTCTCACACAGACCGTTGCCTTCCTCTTGGCGACTACCGGGGTTAGCGCAATGAAGGACTTCAAGGCGGTCGAGTTCGAGACGAACGACTGTACTGGTTGGATTAAGCACTCTAGTGTGGGACTCAAACCACAGTACTGGCAGATTAAGAGTGAGTTACAAGTTTATATTTAATTCCCTAGAGTCTTTCTCGATGTTCCCCTAGATTTTTCTCATGGAGAATTTCTTGCCCCAATCTAGACAATCACAGGTGTGGGGGGAATGACTTCGTAACTAACAACATATTCTTAGTGGACAACGAGACGAAGAGCGTGTACACGGAGACCACAAATGACGGCATCTATCGATGGTATGCCTTTTCCGACACGAATGAGCAAGGCTGCGATGGAGAAGTGTTGGGCCGTCTCTATCAGGGATGCTCCAGCCTCGGTAGGTATAACCAGAAGATCAAGTGCATTCGATGGTGTAGCTTGTGGTCACACAGTGACCACTCGTGCAAGGCCATTGGTCAAGGTTAGGGTATACGATATCGCAAAAAAAGGGCTACTATCAGGGGATGGTGGCAAACACCGGGCTCGAGGGTCTCTATCTCACCTCAAACCTCAGCAGGGCCGGCGGTAGAGACGGCCGCTTATTCGTCTCGTTAATTAATAGATACCAATACACCACCATGAAAACATTCGGCTGAGGCAGAAAATAGACATAGGCGGGTGAATAAGGTTACACTCGCCGCCGTGTTCCAGTGAGTGAAGTATATCTGAAATTTCATATGCCCTGCATATATCTATTTAATATCTAGTTTCAAATCGCTATACCCATTATGCTCCTGTTTCCTCGTTTCTATATGACCTATGACATGGTTAAAAGCATCGAAAGACTGTATAATCCCCCTACCTACTTAGCAGGTCCCGCGTGTGTATGAATCCGTTCAATAGTTGTTAGCGCAACTACTTTATCCCCATCCCCTTTCAGCTCCATGCTACCAGCAGAACTTGGGGCAGAGACCTGGACGTTGCCCTGCTCGATATCCTTCTGTAAAGCATCAAGACGACTGGGTCTCTTGTTGGGGCGCCACTTTAACGACGAATCAGCAACATTTTCTCAGCTTGAACATTCAGGGGGTTTCAAGTATGTCCCAGGAGCACTAACTCCCGGAACTGCTCTACTAGGTAGCTCGATACCTAAAAAGAGAAGCAGAAAAGAAAAGAAAGGAAATCTCGGTGTTACTCACAGCAGGCCGCCCCGAATCAAACACATCATCCATCTCCTCGAGCGTGAGCCCGGCCGTCTCGTGCGCGAACAGGCCCATGTGGAGGCACGCGGCGCCGTTGCAGGCCGCGAAGATCATATACATCTTCCAGTTGGCGCTCCAGAACAGCGGCGGCACGGCGAACGCGAGCACCATGTTCCACAGCCAGTTCGTCGCCGTGCTGATGCTGACCGCCGTCGCGCGGACCTGCGGTGGCGGGATCTCCGCCGCGTACGCCCACGACGTCGGGCCCCACGTCGTCGCGAAGGCCGCGACGAACAAGAACGAGCTTGCTACTATGGCGGACGACGCGGGCACGTTGTCGACTACGACCCATGTGATGTCGATGTTACCTTGGCCCGTGTTTGGTTGGCCGAAGATGGCTAGAAGAGCCCCTATCTATGGTGTTAGTTTGAGAGAGCTAGGCTACGTATGAAAGATATATGGAAAGGACATAATTACCTGAGATGAAGAGGAATACCATCATCAAGAAAGAACCAACGATGAACGTCGGACGACGTCCGACCTTGTCCAAGAACAGTATAGCAGGCAACGTCAGCACCACGTTAAGCACATACTGTACCGCGGCTGTCGTAAGGGGCGAGCCGATTTGCGCTGACTCCACTACGAATGATCAGACTAGGCCAACGAGTAGTTTTTCGAGCTGTAGGAGCGCTTACCGATATATACGACGTAATACATCATCGCGTTAATCCCGCTTAGCTATTCGGTCACCAATAGTCAGCACGATATTCCACGCCCAGCCATGTCCTCGAGTGCCGCTTACCTGCGACCACATCTGCACCATCATCCCAAGAACCACCCTCTTCAAGATCCGCGGCTGGACCAGGGCGCCGAAGCTAGAAACCGCCTCCTCCCGCTCGAACCTCAGCGCCTCCTCGATCTCCTTGTACTCGGCAAGGACCTTGGCATGGTTAACGTTGCCTCCGCCGTGGAGGTCCGCGATGACCTGGACCGCCTCCTCCCAGCGGTCCTGCGACGCGAGCCAGCGCGGGCTATGCGGGAAGAAGAACAAGCTGGCGAAGAGGAAGAAGGCGGGACACATCTGGAGACCCCAGGGGATGCGGAAGGCGGCCTCGGACTGGCCCGGGTTGTCGGGCCCGCCGCCGGCCGTCGCCGCGATGTACTGCAGGAAGTAGCCCATCAGGATACCCCAGGTTATGGCCCACTGCTGCAGCGACACGACGCGGCCGCGGATCTCCTTCGGGGCGATCTCGGACATGTACACTGGCACGATCGAGGACGCGATGCCGACGCAGAGGCCGGAGATGACGCGCCCGGCGCAGAGCATGGTTATGTTCTGGGAGGCGCATTGTATTCTGTTTAAGTGAGCCAGGCGATCGCGAGGATGGAATCATGGTAGATAGATAGAATCATGGGAGAGGATAATAATGGGTAGACTCTAAGGTAGGGGGAGGTAGTTGATGTTTTGCAACGACATACATCGAACCGATGATCCATAGGATACAACCGACCTGGAGAGCGACTTTGCGAGAGAACCTATCCGCGATGAAGGAGCTCGCAAGCGAACCTATGCCAAGCTTCTATTAGTATCTAAAAAGATGTAGCGCTAAGCTCCTACGTTACTACGTACCGACAAACGAACCGGCGGGCATAGACGCGGTGATTCCACCTTGGCGATACGACACCGGGTCACCGAAATATCGCTTGTACGCAGCTGTGCCGATGACGCCGCTCATGGAACTGATATCATAGCCGAAAAGCCCTCCTCCTGGACACCATGGGGGCGACGAGTTAGTAAAAGGGCGACCGATCTCAAGTGTGGATGCGCCAACGTACCGATAGCGGAAAATCCACAAATGAGGTATACATTTTTAACTCGATACATAACAGCAATTGAGAGATAATCTTTATTTGCTCGTCTGGGAAATATTGATAGTTGGAGATGTTAGGTAAAAGGGAGGGTAAAGGAAGCAGACAGCCAAGTTCGGGTTTCGCTCATAAGGGTTTCTCTTCGTAAAACTAGAAGAGTGTAGGTAATACAAATATGACTTTAGAAAGAGCCAAGCTTATTCATGATAAGGTAATCCCTTGTCAGCTACACGATATAGTGACACTTCTTATGGTGGTACTGTTAAATCTTCGATCCGATATCATACGAAAGGAATATCTATCGGGTAAGGACTCTGTGTCCTCTAATGGACCGCGGAGCTATCAACTGCAATTCTGGAGCATCCTGTAGCCGTCACACGGCCGTTGGGATGACAATCTTCCCTAACTCCGGAACAAGAAGGGGTATTCTTCAGCATTGAGCCGAGTGAAGAATAATAGATACCACATGGTTTGATTCCTCAGGCTAGGGTTAATAACCGGAGCCATCTAGTTCATTGAAACCACCGTCAACTAATCCCATGTCCTTTAACTCTGGTTGACTTGATTAACTTAATAATCGATCTTCTCCACGTGTTGTATGTAGAACATTGTGTCTACTAAACTCTAATGGTCGGCGATTGTATATGTGGTAGCTTGTGTTTGCCCCTGACTTGGGATGGAATAAAAATCCATAGTAAATTCTAAGTTAGGATAACGGACGAAAGAAGACTTGGCAACCTCTCGATGGTCGACGAACGCGCATATGATTGGAAGATATCATAATCTTCAAAGTTCCCAAAAATCGACGAGATGCGATGTGATGTTTGGAGTTTTGTAAGCAAACACTAAATATGGTTGATGAAAACTAGGAAACACCTGCCAATTCCGATCAAATCGAATGCAAAGAACCTTGCAATCCGCTGCCTTGGGGAGTCCCCTGGCAGAAGGAAAAGGGGAAAGGTGAAGAATAAGTTCACCTTAACTTGTGCTCGATATCACCGAAGATTCGAATACGTCGATTTCGTTATACCGAATCCCGCGATAAGGGACGTCTGTTGCCCTTGCAGATACGGGCCAGGATGAGTTCATGTGTGCTGCCGGATACAGGGTGACAATAAATGATACGAAAATCGATGTCGACATCCCGAATCAAAAGCGTACAAAAAGAAAACGCCATCCCGCTCCCCAGAGCTGTGATCCCTAGCCCCGGAATCCGACAGACTGGTTACGAGTACTGCTACCCAATCCTAAGGCTTGTACACTGTTTGCTCGGGTTCCTAATGCGGGTGGTCTGATATCTGCATCTGGAAACCCTGAAAGGATCCCCGGCATAGTTGGAAACTCCAGTCTCGGCCGGTAATCCTAGACTCGTTACTATTTTTATCATCTTCGAATCGAGGTATAATACGAAGAGATATGAAAACGTCGAGGTTGGCTACCTACCCATTTAGTAGTTGATGAGTATAATCAAACCATCCCCACGATGAAGCACTTAATAAGGTAAGACATTCATGTGCCTGCGATTGTGCTTCCAACGCTGGGGATCACAAAGTTTGAGCCTGGTCAAAGGAAACGTAATCGAGGGGTCTAGACGTTTAACAATGCAGCATAAGAGGCGACATCTTTTTTGCCTTGCCGTATCGTGCAACCACAACATGCAGTCCTAGCGGATTGCATTACAGACATGGCTAGATGTTGTTATACTCTTCAACCTCCTCTCCGCCGCCAGGCATGAAGCCCAGCAAGCGGTGAGAAAATGAGCAAGCACGACTTTTGAAAGAGAAGTGGCTTGCATCGAGTGAAGCATAACATCTATGGAAAGGTTAGCAGAGTGCAGGGTGAAGCTTTTTAACCTAGAGACCCGTCAGTAGGTCAGCTAACCAAGTCAGTCACATCCACAATCTCCACTGGAGATAATTTTAGGCGAAAATATAATAATAAAGGAAACGTCTGCATTATTTCCCTTGCGACTTGGTCCCAAACCATAAAGGTTAGCGGAGGTGGCGCAAGGGGGCGATAAAATCGCGGGGCTGGAAATCGACGAACGACGTAAAGCGTGTCGACTCAAGGTTCCAGGCTGCTATGGTACATAAGGCCGCGTTCTGCATGACAGTAAATGAGTAACAGAAGGAAACGGGGAAAAGGAAGAAATCAGGGTAATATCATTGGGCATTACAATGTCTTATGCATGCCACAATTTCCGGGGAATCCAGGGAAACATCTTCTCCTAGCCGCCCTCCACAAAACGCCATGCTATGCTTCGTTATCGTGTAATGACCAAGTTGGATCCTCTAGTATATCCAACTACTGACGGAAGTGGGCTAGGAGCCCTTAACCTACCACTCCGACCAGTAGTTATACGGCTCCCTCATAGGCTTGGGTATCTTTGATAATCGTTCTAGGCGTTCGCGCTGAGCCACGAACGAACTGTAGTCGCCACCATAGAGAGGACCAAGGACAGAGTCACCGAAAGGATCGTCCTTGGGGTTCTCACCGTTCGCTACTTCCACCATACGGCTTCTAAGAATCTGGAAAGCCTCCCGGAAGCACTTTAGAATCGTTGCGGCATTGTAGGAACCACCGGCGATATCATTGTCCTTGTTATTGGGATCCAGAATACAGAGTCGATCGTAGTTCTGATACAATCCGGGCACGTTGGTCTGAATTCATAGTTAGCATGCATAGTGAAAGATACTCTATAATACTTGCCTTGCAGACGAGCCGATGGGGATTGACACAAATGGCTACCTCCTGGTAGCGGAAATGATTGCCATAATAATTAAAGAATTCCATGAGTATGTCTCCGGGGTGCCATTGGGGGGACATGTCCCTACTTTGAATCTGCGGTAGCTGATTCAGAACGTGAACGACCATGCACATGACCGAAAGCCCACCAATGCCGCCGTTGACGGGCTCGTTGAGGCCTCGCATCAGTAAGAACTGCTTGACCAGTGCCACAATGGTTGGCATAATCGGATACCGCGCTTTCCAATCTACGAATGTCTCGATCGCACGGCGGCCATCCGTCTTCTCGAAGGAAAGATCAACCTTAAGAGAAGTTAAGCTGTCGGTAAACTTCACCAGCGGAACCCTGGCCTTAGCAATGACCTCTACGGCATCGTCCTGTGCGAGTCCAATTTGGCGAATATAATTCTGCAGTTGATAGAGATTGTTCCTCTTGGAATACTTGGGGATGCGCCTGGAGGTATAGCTTTCAGAACATACAGCGATGTCCATGTCTGCTGTTGGAAGGTACATGCCCGACATGTACGATCCAAAGGGTAAAAGATCGACATCGGGCCATTTCTTCTGGATTGCCTTTGTGAGGCGATCGACTAGTTCCGTTCGGACATCATATTCGAATTGACGCGGAGCGACAAAGAAGTGAAAGTCAATGACTTCCCGGTGAAGCCTGTGGGTATTAGAAAGGGTCTTAATGAGGATAGAAGGAATACACTTACCGAGTACCAGGAGAGCAATCCTCATCGACATGTTCCGGGTGAAACCATGGGCATGGTTCTCCTTTGGGTTGCCATGAGGGCACAATAGCTCCGCCTTTAGCCATCCGATTTGTTGACTTGAGTGACGCACGAGGTTTGAGCGAAGATGAATAGGATTTGATGATGTCGTCAGAGGTGCGCTTTCGATTTCCGAGAGCAGAAGAAGGTGTTAAATCAATAGGGTTTGATTTGTTACCGGGAGAATTTGAGTGGGAAATGGAATTATGTGGGTGGGTTTTTGAAATTCCAGCTCGGGTTTGGGTAGAAGTGGAAGGTGGCAGAATAGATGATTGGGATTGTTTAGGTGGGAGGGTGGCAGTTGTCGTGACTGACCCGTGTAAATTGTGTACAGTGGGAGTTTTAGCGTCTGCCTTGGTGGTTAATTCTTGTCGAATTTGCACCTCCGAGTCACCGTTGCCGGGCAGTTCATGAACCTTATCGTCGTTATCATTGATATCACATGAGATAAAGTCCAACCCCTCTATCTGCGCAGCTGGTTTCTTAGCTTCTGCCTCTACCCTGGCCTTGCGGATTAGCTGCACCATGTCCTTCTTTTTACGCGAACTCTCATCAGGCGGAGGGAGCGCAGTGTACGGGTCTGGATTTGACCATCTCGGCGCCTCTTGTTCTGCAGCAGTTGCAGTAGCAGATGTGCGGGCGCGTTTGCTGGCAGGTTCGACGGCGTCTGTGTCTGAATTGTCTGATATATCCATTCCGGTATCATCACTGTTAGAAAGTTCATCAACGTCTCTATAAGTTGCTCGCCCTCCTGTGTCCCCCAGCATGAGTTCCGGATTCTCATCATGCTTCTTTACCAGTAGGAGCCGCGCAGATGGCCTCGGCTTTTCTTTGTAGTTGCCCCGTCGTCCATGCCCAGTAACCTGCTGGGAATGGTACGAATTATTCTGACGTCTGTGATCATCCATACGACGGTGGCGGCCATTACGACCTGACTGTCTATCGTTCTCACCACGACGCGATTGATAGGATGCATTTCGTTCATCGCTGTAATTGTTGTTCCTGTTATTGTAAGTATGACGAGACGATTGTCGGGGGCGGTGTCCATCATACACTCTTGAACCATGTTGATCCCGTTCTCTATCTCTCGGGCGGTATGTGTCGTAGGGCTCGATGCCAGGCGGAGCCTCTACATGAAAGGTGAAGTCGCTTTGAGGAGGACGGTAATTATCGCGATCACGGTCACGGTCACGGTCACGGTCGCGCTCGCGATAATTTCCGTCATTTCGACGGCGATCCTCCGTACGGGTTCGGCGCAAATCAGAATAAGGGCCTCGGAATTGATATTCATCTCGGCGGTCTTGTTGGGCGTAATGATCGTTCCATGGTCGCGATGATCCATCCGCAGGCGGTGGGTACGAGGGCTGCGGCGGTCGGTCATACCTCTCATTGCCATAGGAAGATGGCGGAGGCGGAGGCGGAGGCAGACCAGATGAGGACGGCGGAGGAGGCGGTGGATAGTCGTTCCTATACATCGTGGGCAAACAGGTTGTTGAATTCTTGTCTGCCGTTTGATGCGAAGTTGAGAAGGTTGGGTTGTGAACTTGAGAGGAAGTGAACGAAGAAATGATGAAAGTGGGAAGGATTGAAAAAATGGTGGATACGCCTAACGCAACAAGGTAACCCAGGTGAGTCTAGGTGAAGATCTCGGACGCCTAAGCACGGGTGCCCCTCTAAAAAATCACCTGTACGATACGTGCTAAAGGAGAGACCTTGGGGATACTCTGTTGTGATGCTTTCCACACTTAATTGATAGGGCTGTACTAACGTATATATAGTCACTCAAAGTATCCAGCCCTATCAAGGTTCGTCGAACAGATTTAAATTTACATAATCACGACATACGGAATTTATATCACTTCAATGTTACTCACACAGTAATTCGTTCACATAAGATTAACGCCATGGAAATCTTCAATTAACAAACTCGCTGCAAATGATCAGCACAAAACTTATTATACTCAATGAATACCTCAGTATGAACAGAACATGCGCTGGATGAGTAACACTAGGGAGCCATTCATGGCACAAGGCGCAGGCATGTTTGATGGCCTGGTCCGATTATGACTCCTATGCCATCCCATGCCCGATCATGAGGGCGCCGAACATAATCTCGAAGGGACCCTAATCTCCGTGTATCTTCCGAGTATCACAAGAGAGAGCTGATACCAATTATTCACTACCGACCCCATGGGGAATCAAGTGACGGGAGGGCGGTACGGTAATTTATTACCTCGTGTGGGCTTGGCTTGCACTTCTACTGGCCGCCTAAATTCCCCTATATTGTCGCGGACTTCTAGGCGCCGCACCCCTAATTGGTCTTGAGCTGCTCTACCTATAAGTGAGCCGACGAGTCCTAGGTCGTCAGAGTATCTAGAGGATGCCAGCCCTCAAAGAACTCGAACTGGTTACTTCAAACGCGCACTTGGGCAACAATGAAGGTACAATCGATTATCCTGGGCCTGGCGGCTTTGGCCTCTGGCCATACCATCTTCCAGAAGATGTCTGTTGACGGGGTAGACCAAGGCCAACTCAAGGGCGTTCGTGCCCCTGATAGCGATTACCCTATCCAGAACGTTAACGATGCCGCTTTCGCGTGTAACAAGGATCTCAAGCATGTCGATAGCACCGTCATCTCCGTCCCGGCTGGAGCGAAAGTTGGCGCGTGGTGGGGACATGTGATTGGAGGCGCGCAGACTGCAAATGACCCTGACAATCCCATTGCGAAGAGTCACAAAGGTATTTACAAGTCTCTTAGACATATTCTCTGGGTATAGCTAATCTCATCAGGTCCAATTATTGTATACCTCGCCAAGGTAGACAATGCTGCTACGGCCCAAACGACCGGCCTTAAGTGGTTTAAGGTTGCCGAAGACGGACTGAGCAACGGGCAGTGGGGAGTCGACAAGATGATCGCCAACAACGGCTGGCATTACTTCACCATGCCTGAGTGCATCGCGCCAGGTGATTACCTCATGCGTGTGGAATTGATCGCTCTGCACGGCGCCCAAAACCAAGGACAAGCCCAGTTCTATATGGAATGCGCTCAGTAAGGCAGATCCTCTCTAAATATGTTATTACTATCTCTAACATAATGCAGAATCCGTATCACTGGTTCTGGAACCAACACCGGTTCAGACTTTGTTAACTTCCCTGGGGCATACAAGGCAAGCGACCCCGGCATTCTGGTTTCCATCTACGACGCCACCGGAAGCCCGTACATGGGCGGCAAACAATACACCATCCCAGGTCCAAAGGTCCTCACTTGCTAAGTGTAGGGTATAGCGGTTCCAAGAATTCACTTTCCATCTACGAAAGATCACGACCGACATATATAAGGCATATATACCGAGACAATGTAGTGAAAGAGACTTATATATATGTATATAGTCTCAGTAGGATTCAAAAGCACTATTTAGCAAGCCATATCTCTAGCATCTGTGGATAGAATCTGATTCTCTTTGGAGAAGCAACATGTACCTAAATGAAGACCAGTAATTGGAATCTTATGCAACTTGCACCTATCCCCCCCAAGTACCATGATTTAGACGGGCCCGCGTATTCGAAGCGCACGATTTTATAGCGATCAAGTAGACGTCGGTCATCATTCAGATGGACATTCTCTTGCAGCCCACATAGTACCTGAAATATAGCAATTATGGGGAGCTAACGGCTTGCTAACGAACCTAGTAGGGACCTATGCATTCGCCCACAGGGCTTCCTCACTATTGCCTTATTTGGTAACAGTCAACCACAAATGAAGGGTTTGATTGGTCACAACCTAAACACACTAGGACAGCCCAGAAATAATTAGCACTCAGGTAGGTACGGTAGGTAATCAGGTCGAAATGCGAAACGGCGTAGGCATTTGAATCATGGTCGATAGGCTAATATAAGATATTAATTCTATTCGGTTTCATATTTTTCTCTAAGTATGGCATTTTTAGGGATTCATACCCAAGGTTTATGTATGCCGAGCCGAAATAAAATGGAAGGTATGACAACAGAAAAAGGCGTGAAAAAAACAGCTAAAAATATATAGTATGTAAAGGCGCGGTCGTTCATGGTAGTTCTATAGGCCATCCTTGGTCTCGTTCTCACATTCTCCGATTTGTGGCTCTGTAGATTTGCCGTCTACAGAAGACCCGTCTTGGCTCTCCTCGGCGGGTTTCTTCTCTGGCTGCTTCAAGGATATCCAGTCCATAAATAGAGGCCCGAAGATAGACAGCGCGCTGACAGCAACGGCAACGTAAAAGGTTTGGGTCACTGCATCGTTGTAGGCCTGCAGGACAGCGGGGAGCTTATCAGGTGGGACCAGATCCCTGATAGCAGTGACACCGCCGTTGACGATGGTGCTCGAGTTAAGATCGGGAGCATTCTCAGTAAGGTTTTTGATCAATTGGTTCTGGAAAACGTTTTGGGCTACGGCCAGGAATATTGAAGAAGAAAGTGTCTGGGTAAAAGTCATGATTGACGTCGCCATAGCCATGTCTTCCATGGGAACGGCTACCTGCGCAACGAGCATGACATTCTGAGCACCTAAACCGGCACCTGCTGCAAGCAACACCTGGTAACCGAACCAGTACCCGATAGTAGAATCGACTTTAAGAGTGCTTAGGAGGCCCGCACCAACGGCCGTGATAGCCGAAGAAGCGATAAGTAGCGGAGTAAACATCCCCAACGCAGTAGCCAACCCACCACCAATTATTGAGAAAATAACCAGCCCGAGTATACTAGGCAGGTTCATAAGACCAGATGTGGTGGCATCTACTCCCTTGATTGCCTGGAACCAAATCGGTAGGTAATAGGAAAAGACGAACAAGGCGCCGCCCATGCATACACCATACCACACGCCACCCAGGATATTCTTGTTCTTCAGGATACGCAGAGGAACGGTCGCTCGGTCTTTCTGATACATCTCAACACCCCCAAAAATGATGCCCAAGACACCAAAAACGACAAACAGAGCGATGACACGGCCGTTATTCCAGGCGTATCCCGCGCCACCCCACTGTAAGGCCAATAGTAAGCAAATAACTGAGGGAATCAGAAAGAAGGTTCCGGGCAGGTCGAATTGTTTGACCTGCTCTTTCCAAGGCAGTCCAGGTTGTATCGGCGGTTTAGCTGGCAGGAAGAAAATCAAGCACACGACGGTGATGCCGCCGAGCGGAAGATTGATGTAGAAGCACCAACGCCAGGTTACATGATCAGTGAATGCGCCTCCCAAGCTATCGTTCAAGTTAGAAGATATTGATACAACAGGAAAGGGGGAGTTTCCTACAGCGGGCCAGCAACACTAGCAATACCATGCATACTTGCCAACAGACCGGTATAGATGGGTCGCTGCCGTAGAGGTACCGATGTTGCTAGAATAATGATAGCACCGGCAAAAATTCCAGCTGCACCCATACCAGATACGGCTCTTCCAACGATGAGCACGGCGGAGGAAGGGGAGACGCCAGCGATGAGAGAGCCAATCTCGAAAAGGATTACACCAGCCAAGAATACCCATTTCACGGGATACATGATGTAAAACTTGCCAAACATCAACTGCAGAGCGCAGACGGCGAAAAGGTACGAGCTCCCATACCACGCAACATCATCTAGCGAGTTGAAATCGTTGGTGATGCGGGGAATGGCAGTTGCGAGAATGGTACCATCCTAAGGAAAACATGAGATTAGAAAATTGTATTCAATGGACAGGAGACCTACCAACGACACGACAAGCATGGCCATGCAAAGAGCAATTGTCAAGAGGACCAGCTTCCAGAATGAAGGATACTCCTGCTCTACATTGGCAGCCGCCGTGTCAACGGAAGGCTCGCTCTTCTCTACATCTCGAACATCTTGAGATGCTTTCTCGCCTTGTTGTCCTTCCTGGAGAGACTGCATGGCCGCCTCTTGGCTGCTGACTCCCTTGGGCGCTGCAGGGCCCTGGGTCATGGGAGGCAGCGGGGCTCCAGCGGCGTTAGAGGAAGAAGCAAAAGTATCGTCGGGAGGCCGCATTGCCGGCGTCTAGCATCTAGCGCCTAGATCGAAAAACCAAAATAAAGAGTGAACCGGGAAAACCATGCATTGTAGAATCAACGCAACATCACAAATTGAAGCGACTTTCGTGGATATATCTACGACGTAGGTGAGTCAGACCGAGATTTGCAGTCGTATCCACGACCAGTGATATCGAAGTATGTATGATCTAGTGGAAGCGTTCCGCTGTCGTTCCAACAACTGCGACGCTGAAAGAAGGAGCTGCAAAAAATTATCCATAATCCGTAACATCCATGGATGGGGAATTTCGTCAATGAAGAAATGCAAGAAGCGATAAATCGCTTTCCCTATTGCAACCAACCTAGTACCCAGAAGTAGCAGGGGCGAACCGATGAGTCAACTTACGGCACCTACGAACTACAGCCGGGGGTATCACAACTGCCGTCTGGGGAACTGCAGGTACCCACACTCCACTACCGCTCCAGCGGAGCAAGAGCACCACAATGCGGGACTATTATTGCCGCGGAAGGACCTATCTTATCCATATATTAGGGCTTCGTCATGCCTTCGATCGTTCCCTCAGTCCTTCACAATACCAATTCACGACTATATCGAAAGCAAGATTTTGTCTAATCGCTCAATAGGACGCTCTAGCTCCTTGAGTGCATCTAGGCAGACATGCAGTAAAATGGGTGCGACTTAAAAATCGAGCTTGGAGAGATAGGGCATAATTTGCGACATTGCTTCTCGAATTTCACCAAAGTGATCACTCAGATCGTTGGTCTCTTACAGTGGACCTTCTACCTCCAAAGCCACTCGAAGAAAAAAAAGGCCTAGTTTATTGAGAGCCCCCGACGGAGAGTCCTTGGCTCTATGTGCGGGGGCCAATCCGCAGGATCAATGGCTTTCCTAGGTGCTTAGTGGCAGAGCTTCCTGCTAGAGGCTACATTGTCAAATCAACCAAAACCAAAATAGGGGGAACTAACATAACTCTAATAGGGAAGTGGTACCTACGAAAGTGGGCAGGTCAAAGGAGCTTGAACGAGAAATTCAGTAAAGCGCACAAGTTCCGGGGGAGAATATTAATAGGTTATTCCTAGATGACGGTTAGTCAAGCATTACGCCAAATGTTACGGGGTACTGATGGTTGCGAAGAATCTTTGGCAAAGTCGTATAGAGAGAACATACTTCCATCTATCTACCTACCTAGTACCTACTTATGATAAAATCACCATGCCTCTCTGCCTACTTTACGTCGTGAAGGAGGCCTTGTATGGTCGGTTTTTTCGGCGAGAGCAACCAAGAGCAAAGGCGTTGTGTTAAGCTACATCATCATAGACGAAACATGTTACTGCTAGATATAGATAGCATACCATGCCCTTGCGTCTTTTGGGGTTTCAATGTTAATAACGATTCTTAGCAGCCTTGTCAAGCACGCCCCGGCCAGCATGGTGATGGATTAAGAGTTGAGGCTTCTACTCAAATTCTTTCCGTGCACCATGAGCAATTTTCGAATCGGTGTACTCTGTTTCTATGCTACCAGCAACAATATAGTTTCCGGAAAGGGTTTTGGAGAAACGAGATGTTGTTGTAGCAAACCGAATGTTTTTGACATGGTAAGAATCAATCGTTGAAGTTTAGTGGTAAGGGTCTCCGATTTTACATCTATGTAAGTTTCGCATTTTGGCCCCATTACTACAGAGAAGATGCTGCCACTTTCCCGTATAGGCTTTGATGGCATGAGCAATATGCGAGCCCCTATTTTTCATCTCACAAAGACGATCGACGACGATGATCGATCTTTTTATTGAGTTTTTTCACAACAGCAGACTAAGAACAGGATTCGGGTGCTCCCAGAAGATATCAGATCATAAGCAATAACTTATGAGAAACGACAGAACCCAAAAATGATTTACTACTAGGTAAACGGATGCGAGATTGAGTCTGTTGGTGCTACTAAGGTGGTAGCTGAAGCAAATCTACTCGACTAATGCACCTATAAACAGCTTAGCTCTTTCAGCTGATGCATGCAGCTTAAGCTTACTATGAAAGGAAATTGGTGACACCCACAGGAGCCCATGGAGTAGAGGGTAGGTATCCATGGATGTAATTCAGATCACACATAGCTGTCGATAAAAATAGAATCTTTATCAATCAATACCGACCAGCCCTAACAGCGGAGGCGTAACTTTAATTTCCACCATAGCGTCCAGCAAATACCATATCAGGATTATAACAAACTAAGGCTTCGTTACAATATGCAATACTATGCTAGGTTCCTAAGAATCGACCTTCAGGAAAAGTAGTGAGCAAAAAGAAACTTCTCACGCATCAATACGATCGACATACCCTTGTATACCAGCAGTATTTTAATTTGAAGTCGAGGTCCTTGGCCAATATTGCTGACGCCAACTTCTGATGGCAGCTAGGCGACAACTCGGCAGATCCCCCGCCCATCAGCTCAGGGGGACCGATCCTACAGAGCCTCAAATGTATCCGAGCCGTCCCTAAAAATAAACACCTTCAGCCCTCGGGGATACAAAGCATGGCCGTCTCCACGGACCGAAACCTTTGTTCTCTATCCTCTTCTTCCTAAGTTTCTTATCTCGAAAACAGTATTTTCCGTGGAAGGGGATTTCAGATTCGTCAAGATGCTGTCTAAATCAGTCTTACCAGCCATCCTAGCTTTCGCTGGCGCCAGTGTTGCCACCGCTATACGTAAGGCACTGTTAACCTGATCTTCAAAGCAACTTACTGACAACGAGGACAGCTCTCGACTCCGCGAGCGAATCCACGCAGCCGAGCAAGCGATGGCTTAACGGCGGCAAGGTCCGCGGCGTGAACCTCGGCTCGCAATTCATCGTCGAGCCATGGATGGCCGGTGATGAATGGCAAAGCAGTAAGTGAATCTGCGTATATACCCACCAACCAACCAATCCTACAATAGTATCTAACACCCAGCACCGCAGTGGGCTGCGGCAGCGCCAACGACGAATGGTCCTGCGTGCAAGCCCTCGGCCAAGACCAGGCCGACGCCGCCTTCAAGAAGCACTGGGACACGTGGACGACGCAGTCCGACATCCAGCAGATCGCGAGCCTGGGTCTGAACACGGTGCGCATCCCCGTGGGGTACTGGATCCGCGAGGACCTCGTGGAGGACGGAGAATACTTCCCGCGCGGCGGGCTGGCGTACCTGGACCGGCTGGTGGGGTGGTGCGCGGACGCGGGCATCTACGTGATCATGGACCTGCACGGCGGTCCGGGGGTGCAGTTCCCGAACCAGCAGTACACGGGGCACTCCGTCGACCAGCCCGGCTTCTACACGCCGGACAACTACGAGCGCGCCTACAAGTTCCTCGAGTGGATGGCCGAGCGCGCCCACACGAACGATAGCTACCGCACCGTCGGCACCCTCGAGGTCATCAACGAGCCCGTCCACGCCGGCGACTACCCCTCCCAGGCCGCCGACATGGTCGCAAACTTCTACCCCACCGCCTGGACGCGCATCCGCGCCGCCGAGCAGAAGCTGAACGTCGCCGCGGACAAGCAGCTGAACATCCAGATGATGGTACAAGCCCCATCCTACGAATCAAATCTAGACCGATGTGCTAACAATAATAACAGGACAAATCCTGGGGTTCCGGCGACCCGAGCAGCAACCTCCCCTCAACCACCAACGCGCTATACGATGACCACAAGTACTACAAATGGGACACCTCCGTAACAACCACCAAAGACGGCTACATATCCGCCGCATGCAACAGCAACCTCGGGGGCGACGACGTCATCGTCGGCGAGTGGTCGCTCTCCGTCGCCGACTCCGTGCAGTCCAACGACGAGTTCCAGATCCAGAACCGGCCCGACCAGGTCGACTGGTACAAGAAGTACTGGGCCGCCCAGGTCACCACGTTCGAGAAGTCCGGCGGCTGGGTCTTCTGGGCCTGGAAGTGCAACTGGATCGGCGGCATGGACGAGTGGCGCTGGTGCTACCAGTCCGCCGTCGCCGCCGGCGCCATCCCCAAGGACGCCGGAAGCGCCGCGAGCCTCAACCCCTGCAGCTAAGTTAGCAGCGGCAAGGAGACGTCTCAGACATTACTTTGATCTTCTCTCGTATATATAAATAACACGCTTCTTCTTTTGTTAGATTGTATATAAATTTTATAATAAGACGTAAGTCATGTTCTATTCGCATGATGAATAGCCTTGTGTAAGGAATTCCATGTCGTGCTACACTGAGCTTTTTCTACCTTTAGTGACTTTCCCCGTATGTCTTTTGCTATACAAACCTTTTTTTTTTCCTCTTTACCTCGCGGCATTATTGTCGTAATCACGAACTCCGTGCTTCATATAAAACGAGAAATAAAAACAGAAAAAGGGATGCGATGGACTGGCCTGAAGTCGCCATGATAGGCTCTACCCAACGAGCCTAGCATCCGAGAAGATGTGATGGCAATGCCTTTTCCCTTGTGATGATTAGAGACTGAGTTGAGCAGTCTCGGCTTTGGAAATGTAGTCCTGGTATGGTTCTAGTTTTTTCTCAACCACACCTCCTTTGCCGCAGTATCTTTCAACCTAAGACGCCTTAATTTAGCGACTACTTCCAGCAAAGGACCCCTAGAAATATGGTACGAAATGGGTGGGGTAGGTGATAGGGACTTACAATTACGGCGCTTCGGCCAGTGTAAAGCTTGGGGTCCAACATCGCATCGAGATCATCCCAGATGTCCTTAAAATAATCGTCCTTCTTGATGCGCTCGATGAGGTCATTATTGCCGCCCTCATGTTTGACGACATGGCTCGCCTCGTGTGAGAGCACTCTGACCTTCTCATGGGCCTCCTGTCGGGAACCTCCTTTAGATACAATCTTCATGAGGATAGCTTCGGTAATCATCTAATATTTGAAGTTAATAGCTGTTGATCTCAAGAAAATGATTTCTGGGAAAACTCATGTTGCGCTGGTTAATGAGTCTAGAGGGGGATTGGAAAACATTGAATGGACATACAAAGGGAAGTTCCTGTCTGTTACGCCAGTCAATTCGCTTGGGGTAAACCACCAAACCGTTAGTCACGTTGTCAAGTCCGATCAAGATAGCGTCTGCGAGGAGAAACTAATGACTGTTAGTCCTCATATAATTCTCCCAAGGGCGATATTGTATCTTACCATTTCAGGAATGTCAATACGACGAATGGCTGTGAATTTTACATATTAGCGACATCCATTTCAATCAAAACCACTACTTACCGCTGTCATCCAAAGACCTTTCCAACCATTGCGCTGAGAATGTGTTGGAGAAGTTGACCGGGAGGCTTGCAAGTTTGCGGCCAAGAGAGCAGATACGCTCAGAGCTAAGGTTGATCAGGTTAGCTGGATATATTAACATGCGAATGCCTTCCCCTTAAGGTGCTCAATTCGTCTTGCACATGAAATTAACGCCTCAAAAGCAAGGTATGGCGTACCGCATGGGGTTCCTCTTGTATGCCATAGCAGAACTTCCGATTTGATCCTTCTCAAACGGTTCCTCCCTAACACCGGCTGTTAGTCTATGTGAGTATAATCTCAAGGGGGAATGCTACAAACAGTTCCTTCAGGTTTGCAAGATGGCGAACTAACATGGTCAGCATCTCGAATCACATATTACGTCTTATAGGTTTCGAGATACTTACTATCAGATGTAATGCGTTGTGCAGTGGCACCTAATCCGGCGATAGCGTTAGCTACCCGTAGGTCGACCTTTCGCGTATAAGTCTGCGTGGAGATAGAGTAGCACTACAACAAGCATGGTTAACACTTTGCCTTTCGTGAAGATTCGAGAAATCGCTTACGCCAGGGAATCCAGCCTTTTTGCATAGAAGGACGTTTAGCTGATCAACCTTGGATTCATCACCGCCGAATAACTCAAGAAAGGATGCCTGGGTTCCGGTTGTTCCCTGTCCTCCTCGAAATTGGAGTTCCTTGCGGACATGTTCAATGTCTTCAAGGTCCATGACAAGTTCTTGGATCCATTGAGCGGCTCGCTTTCCCACCGTAATTAATTGGGCCTAAGAATGAAAGTTAGTGGTCTTGTTTGTTTAAGATGTTTGGCAACGCTGATATCTGTGTAATTCTCATCGAATGTCTTATAGCGGCTTAGGTTGTCCGCGACGTTGGGAATCGAAAAGTCGAGGTCGACATGCGAAGCGTAGATTTTGAGTACTACTTACAGGCTGGTAATGGGTGTAGCCTAAAGTCGGCTCATCTTTCCATTGCCGTGCGAAGTTAGATAGGTTGCTACGAAAAGTTAGCATTTTTCGTTATGGAGTCTCCTATCAAAAAAATCGCATTATTTCTCAAATGCGCAGCATAGGACACACGCCGAAAATGGCTGTCCATCTTATTACATACTGCATTATATCAGCAGCCGTATCATTTGTAGATATTGGATCAAGCCATATATCCAATCCCAAAAGGAGGACTTACCCTGATGACCTTGGCTAGTTTGGGAAGCAGAAGGTCCATGGCCTCGCGTAAGAGGATCAGCTCAGTATTATCAGTGACTACAACAGAATTAACGGCATTACAAGGCAAAGGAACTGCATTGCAAGTTACCATAACATGAAGTGGCCTACGGGACATTAGCACGTGGAAAATTGCACAGATTCACGATATGATCATACCCCAGCATGGATAATGCCAGCCGCCGCTGGTGCTGCAACGCCATATGCATGGACATGACCCATAACGTCGTGTCGACGACGGCGCTCCTCCTCTAGTGCGACATCGAAGTCGTCGTCGGTTACAGTAAGGTGGGCTCGCATCTGCTCGAGTGCTTCGTCCGTGACTGCAGTAGCGATACAAGTCAATACGCATATCTAGAAACGCAGAACCAATAGTCAAGGTCTTACTGGACTCAAGACCAAGCTCCTTCTGGGATTCAGCAAGCCATAGCCAGAGATGGCGCCAAGTGCTGTGCCTGCTTCTCTGGCTGAAAAGCTTTTTCATTTCCTCGCTAGAATAGCGGGAATCAAGAGGCGTCTTGTAATAGTCGTAACCGGCCATGGTTGAATATCGCGGTGGGAGGCTAGATAGCTAGGCAGAGGTAGATGATCGACGTTCAACTAGGATTTATCGCGCAGTGAGTAGTAAAACGAGCGCGCGGCGCAAACTTCTCCTCTCATCAATGGGAGAAAGGAGAGAAATAATTCCGAGGCAAGGAATCTCTTGGGAATAATCTAACCTGATCAGCCCAAGGTAGGTCACACGGGACGAAAAGAAAATACTAAATTGGCTTGATAACCTTGCGTTATGTTTTTTATGTATGATCTGATTATGCAGTAGATGCGGCCGATGCAGCAAATATGCGATCTTTTTCTCTTACTTAATCGTAATTTTCATACTGCCAATGGCGGGGCGAAAATTCTCGATGGAGGGGTAAATCAACCTGGAAAGGGTAAGCGGTAAATGACGAGCCAAGCTGCCGGCTACAATAGCTGACTCCCCATTGGCCAATTCAGTCGCGTGCGAACTAAATCATGCGAGTATGCGACAATGCGGAATCTTGCTTATCCCCTATAACATATGACCTAGAACGTTATACTGCCTTCAAGCCGATCAGATTGATTTGATTGGTCGGATGATATCTGCCTAGACGAGGTCTTCCTATACCATGCGAGTCACACTATCCAGAGCATAATACTATTAGTTTAGAGCGTTCAACGTGTGGAGTAGCCAGACGTACTGGATTTCCTTTTATTTACTTTGGAGAGCGTTCTTCGTCCAGCATAACCTCTAAATGGCTATGGCTGTAACCTTCGTCTCGCTATAGTTTCGAGGAAAGGGCTGAATAATGACTATTCGACTTTGATATTCGCAACACGTCAATGAGCCACCTTCATGAACCAATTTACTGCGTATCGTCTGGCGGCATGTCCCAACTTCTTACGGGTCTTCCCTTTTGCTTCCTCTTCCCAAGGGCTGTACCACCGCCACCAACAAAATTCATAACCCATTCTTGTACCTTTCTAGCCTTTAGTAATTGTGGGTGTGCCGGTTTCTTCGATGAGATGTCCTTCACATTGTAAACGCCGCCCTGGTCGTTTCTGTCCAATTTCCTCCGGTAAAGAAGGTCAACCTTGGTGAGACCCTTCCTTAGACTGTGCCCATGAACTTTCTTCATGAAGACACTCAGCGCAACATTGCGTAGAAGGACAATATCTTGGCGGCGGAGCTCCCTAAGAATCTTGCCAGAGGATTCGTCAGATTCTGCCGACAACCAGAAACTGACGCTGAAACCAGACTTTGTCTCGTCTCCAACTAGTAACTCAACCAAAGATTTGGTTGATCCCCATCTAGTTTTCACGATCCGTGGCTCGGCGATTGAGATTATGCCGACAATGAGGTTAACTGACATTGTCTGGGGCGTAATAGATTGAAGATACGACGCAGGTGGCAGATCTTCAAGGTCGCTTAAGTGTCCCGATTGGGGAATAAATTGCTTGTTTTGACGGGCAGATGAATTGCTGTCCTGTGTTGACAACCGGGTACTCCATTCCTCGGTTGTATTGAACGAAGACTCATCGGTACTCAGGCTCAAGGTGGGTAGTTGAGATGACGGTATGTCATCATGAATCGCGAGAGAATGGTCGTAGAACTGATCTAGTATTTCCTGGCTTATTCTGCCAGTTCCAGCCAAGCCCGAGGCAGATCCATGAGAGCCGGTAAAGGTCGTGAAGAAGCCTTCATCTCCATGATAGTCCGGACCTATTTGATGAAGCTGAGAAAAACCAGTTGGTAAGGCTGTTTTCTGTAGAGGTATGGATCTCCAAACAGCAACATCCAAAACGGATTCTTCGTCTTCGTCTGGGCTTGTGGAATTTGTTATGCCGGCAAAGCGTGCAATAGGATCTAAAAAATAGTCCACGAGGTTCGACTCTTTCCAATCAAGTTTATGGTTCTCTGGTGCACCTGTAAGGATCAGGATTTTTCGCACCATGGCGACACAAAGGAAATCATCCTTCGGGGGTTCAAGATGTCCAGTTTATATAGGCAAGGCTTTATGATTGAAAAGTGATGAGTTCTATATCGTTCGAGAGCTAGTAGTAGGTAAATAGACCAGTTTAAAGCGAAGGTTACTGAATGCCACTAGATCCCAGCACTTACCGTAGTGTTTTTAGCGCTGTTTCTTCTAGCGGACCGGCCCCACATCTCCACCCAGTTTTAAGATTGGGTTTGTTGACGTAGCCTTGCATCAGCCAATCATAAGGCCCTGTGCTTTGTTTACTTAAATCGGGGAAATCGGGCACCGACAAAATGCAAGCACTTGGCACCTGCATTGAGCCATTCATATCGACGGCTTCTGTTTCTCCAATCCAATCCCCAACCTGCGGAACTTTACAGGACACAAACTTTTGGGAACCTCTAATCTTATTAGAAGACAAGCAGTTCCTCATTTGCTTTGCACTTGCATTATTTTGCATTTTATCACAATGTCCCAAGAGACGGGACTTTGGAGTGTCCGTCGTCCGCGAGAGGTATGATACTCAATGCGCCCAACGTGCGAACACTTTCTTCCTGTAATTCCTGTGTCGCGCGCAACCAGAATGTGTAACTAATTAATTGAATCACGGCCAGACTCTTGGTGGCATCAATCCGAATACCGCTATACCTGTACCAGCATCAGCAATGAAGAGGTCGAACTCGATTGGCGGAAATGGCGGTGGCACGTTTTCGAGCAGCCATATGCGATCAATGTCGGGATCTAGGCAATCCCTCCTGGCTCGCCCTAGCCAGCCTATGTTTTCGCGATCTTCGTCCGGCGCCAACCTAGCCGATGTAGGAATGTCATCAGTGAAGCGTTCATCCTTTCAGAATGTTCCCGGCTCTACGATAAAAAGCTATGCTTCTGGCGGTGTGCCCATGCGAAACTCGGAGAGCGAACGAAGGAGCAGTGTCTACCGATCTCGAACGTCTACAAACGGTCCCGGAAACCATCAGAGCTTCTTTCAACAAGCACCACAAGCTGCTGGTGTACCACGCGACCCGCGACCATTGAAGGATCGTTCGTTCCAGGCGCGAATCGGTCAGGAACTCTTAGATTATTTATCGCAACACAACTTTGAGATGGAAATGAAGCACACTCTATCGCATAACATAATCAAGTCGCCTACCCAGAAAGACTTTAACTATATGTTCCAATGGCTATACCATCGCATCGACCCGAGCTATCGCTTCCAAAAGAATATCGACCAGGAGGTTCCTCCAATTTTAAAGCAGCTACGTTATCCTTACGATAAGAGTATCACCAAATCTCAAATCTCTGCTGTGGGTGGTCAGAACTGGAGCACCTTTTTAGGCTTGCTACATTGGATGATGCAATTAGCACAGATGCTCGAGGGCTATTCATGCAACCGCTACGATGAAGCCTGCATGGAGAGCGGGGTTGACGTGAGTGGTGATCATATAATTTTCGACTTTCTAAGTTCAGCGTACCGAGACTGGCTTGCTATGGACGAGGACGCCGGTGACGATGATGCTGAGAGAGTGCTTGCGCCCCACGTAGGAGCTATGGCTAAAGCTTTCGAGAGGTCAAATTCCAAGTATTTATCAGAACTTGAGATGCTCGAAGCAGAGAACGCTCGACTACTCAAGGAAATTGAGGATCTAGAGAAGTCGACCCCTGATCCTCGTGTTCTTGATAATCATTTCAAGATCATGGAGGAAGACAAAATCAAGTTCGAAGAATACAATGCGCTTGCTGAATCAAGGACTGAAAAATATGAAAGCCGCATTAAAGTCTTACAAGAAGAACTTGATAAGTTATTGGAGGAGCTAAAGGAAGCAGAAGAGGAGCGCCGTGAGCTGCAGAAAGAAGTCGACGGCCAAGGCATTAGCATGCAGGATATTGACCGCATGACTTCGGAACGGGAAAGACTTCAGAAGGGCATAGAGTCCGCTACCCAGCGACTTGACGAAGGAAAGAAAAGGGTCGCAGAGAAAGAAATGGAAGCGAGCCGCAAGCTCGATGAGCTAGAGAGGCTCATCGACAAATACAACACACTCGCTTACCAGATCGGCCTCATTCCTTCGTCAGCAGTAAATGCTAAGGGTGTCGCATACGAATTGGCAGTGACTGTCAATGAGTCAGACTTCACGGGCTCCATCATGAAGGGATCGTATTCGACCGGAGGAAGTGAACGCCTACTAGCTGATCCAGTAACCGGCTACCAACCAGCACACATCCTCAACTTAGATTTGCGCGGGCACGTTAAGAACGACTTCATAGCTCTGCGAAAGGAGATTTCGGAGCGACGGACTGCAGCCATGGATATCATGATGAAGGAGCACGATCTACTCGACGGTATTAAGGAGGCAATCGAGGACAAACAGAACGAGGTCGAGGCTCTAGAACACAGAGTCAGAGCCGCAGAGGAGGAGTACGAGAAGACCAAGGAGGTCACCATGACGCAGAAGCTGGCCTCGGACACACAGATCGAGAAGATGGAGAAGGAACTTGCCAAAATGCGAGCCCAACTTACCGAATCTGTTCAGCTGATGGAACAAAGAGAGATGAACACCAACATCGAGTACGTTTTCCTCTTATTGATCACCCCCTATTCAAGATAATTCTTACTAATGGTAAATCCAGATATGAACAATTAACTCTCCGAGCGAACGCGCTGCGCGAGGAACTACACACTGAGATCGAGAGGATGCTCAACGATATCATCAAATTCAAGGTGCACATTCAGAAGAACCTGGAAGACTACGAGGGCTTCGTAGCAGACGAGCTTGAGAAGGAACTCGGTAGTGACGAGATGAGAGAAGATACCCGCGGCATTGAGATGTGATTTGAATTTCGTTGCTTGGTTAAATCAAGCCGGTTGCTGCGTTGGCGTTTCGCGGTGTTGCCTTGTACGGAGTTCGGTTGGACTACAAGTGATGACCGTAATGATGATGTGGTAGACGTTCTGAATGATGGTTAGGGATACCTTTTACCTAGTATGGTCTTATTCTTACGAACGATTGTTATAATGCAAGTTTCAATATATGAGCAAAAATAAATTGGTGCTTTTCATATGTGAATTGGAACCTTGTCTTAAGAAAGGGGTATAAACTGAATAGGGGCTTTTAGTGCTTGGCGCATAGACTATCGATAACCATGGCGGGGCCTAAGCTCAAGGGTAGCTTGGCTCGAACATGAAAGCCCCGCTAAACCTCAACTTCACACCATCTACTTATCTACAGACTACCGTAAGACCTCGTCCAGCAGCGATCTAAGCACGATATATACCGTCGCATACCCCATCCTCACATCGCCTATCCTCATTCACAATGTCCCTCCCCTCGACCTCAACCCCCACTCCCGCCGCCGCCACCCCCGCCACGCCCTCCTCCTCCTCCACCTTCGAATTCCCGCGCGAGTACAACTTCCCGCCCTTCTTCACCAAGCAGACGAACCTCACGACCCTGCACGCGCAGCTCGAGAAGTGGTCCTCGCTGATCCTAGCCTACTGCCGCCACCACCGGCTCTTCCGCCTCTCCCTCTCGTACGACGGCTCCGCGTACGAGGACCTCTTCCGCAACCGGCGCCTGAACAAGTCGCTCCGCCTCGCCGACGCGCGCGAGGTGCTGGATTTCATGCGCCGCGAGGGACGGGCCGAGCCTGTTTCGGGGGCCGGCTCTGGTGGGATAAGCGGTATAAGCGGTATAAGCGGTATAAGTGGCATGGGCGGAGGGGGAGGGGGAGGAGGAGGAGGGAAGGAGGGCAGCGGCGATGTGTTCTGGATTTACTGGAAGACGCCGGAGGAGTGGGCCGAGCTGGTCGAGGCCTGGGTCGAGGAGACGGCGCAGAAGAACAGCGTGCTTACGCTGTACGAGTTGACGGAGGGGGAGGGCACGAGGGGGACTGGTGAGTTGTTGGGCTTTTATAATCACGAATATACGAAATTCAACCCTACCTATTCAGGTCTTCTAAAATAAGGGAGTAGGAGATCAAGTTACTAATTCGTTCAAATCACAGAATTCCACGGTCTCGACCCTGATATACTTCAAAAGGCGCTACATGTCCTAGTGAAGCGCGGCAAGGCACAGATATTCGGACAGGAGGACCAGCAAGGTGTCAAGTTTTTCTGATGTGGAATTTTTGTGTATTGCATGTTCTAACGAACATCCATCTTCATATGATATTTACAAAAAAGTCTCGACGACCATGGCCGGCAGCTATGCGAGACGATGATAGGCAGGTGGGAACAACAGAAATATCCCACCCGCCGGGCCGGAGACCAACGCGCAAACGGATGCGGCAACACGCACGAACGCCATCCTCTACCCCCCCCGATCACCGAGCCATGCATGCAACGGAACTCATAAACGTCAACATTAAAAGTGGTATCCGCGAAAAACGCCTCACCTTGCCTTGCTTTGCCTTTGTTGGTGGATCCCTCAAGTAAAGAAATTCGTCACCAGGTACTTCTCGTCGAACATAACCTCCTGATTCATTACCACGTCCAACAGCCAATCGGCGGCAACGATGCGCGGCTCCATGTTGCCGTTTCGCGCCATATCCTCAAACTTCTTCCATAGTCTCTTCTCTTCCGGACTCGTGTTGCTTAGCAGGTACACCGGGTCCGGTCCACCTTCGTCATCCTCAGGCTTGGTAGGCTTGATCGTTGTACCGCTTCTTGCGCCATACATCATGAAGAGAGCGCCATTGGCTTCGGCAATAAATCGATAACCATCCGGTCCGTTCTTGATATTGTTCGTGCAGTAGATAGGCGTATTCCAGAGGAGTTTGCCCGCATTCTGGCGAGCCCTGCGCACCGAGGTGGATAACTTAATGCCAAACTTCTCCTCGTTCTCTCTGTCCTTCAGAATGAAATCCTGCGGGTCTAAGAGCTCTTTCTGATCAAGGCACTGCTCGATCCAGCTCGAAGACACGATGGTGGCACCCTTCGATAGATTGCGAAGGAATTTGACTGTCCGAACCAAATGGGGGGCTACAAGATAATCGCATGTCTGTCCGTCTGGCACGACAGCGATACCGAGGTCACGTAGCTTCTTCTATAGGAGAAATTAGCCAAATCCACGATGTAAAAGTTCGGCAAACTTACGCGGTCAGCATCCTCGCGATGTTTATCGTTAACCCATCGCTGGAATCCAGTGAGCACTACTCGCATATTGACCTCCGGTAAAGTAGGCCTCGCTTTCTTCGCCGGTCGCTTCTCCGTCTTGGCCTCTTTCTCTTCGCTTGCTGTGACCGGGCTCGAAACGCTGCGGCGATTGAGGTGCTCTCGGTCGATGTGATCAGCTGCCCGCTTACCTCCCCAGAGTCCGTGACCGTCCTTGAGCCCACGTTTCTTTTCCTTCTCGTACAACTGTATATCGGGAGCAAGAACCGATAGTCTGTTCAGTGCTTTGTCTTTTGCACTCCGGCTTGATGAAGAGACTGTAGAAGGAGTCTCGTTCTCTTTGCCAGTCCGGACATGGCGACCCTTAGCCGGAGTCGCGAACTGGCCCGTTACAGCGCGACGCTTTGTCGGTGCAGGTACTCCAAAGACGTCGGCCGTCTTCTCTGCATAGCCGTCTTCAGTATCCTTCATAACATCGAACTGCTTATGAGCTTGACGGCCGATTACAACACCTTCGGCTGGGCCATCTGGAACTGAATTTTCGTCGGCCATGTCCAATATCTTACGCTTGCGTGTAGGCAGTGAAGTAGGCGGCGAACTAGGATTCTCTTGCCCACCCGGAAAATACAGCTCTCGCAGTTTCGTCCTATCGAAGGATGTTTTGCCGATGACCTCTCCAAGGTTTGTGCGGTCTGGGAAGCAATCGTACTTGCCTCCCGATATTGGTAGCATTTCGCATTTTGCGTAACTCTCCTCAATCCAAAGGTGGTTGATGACCTCGATGTTCCAGTCCTTAGCGGCCTCGCACTTTTCGCCAACTTTTCGGGCAGAGATCAGATGTGTGTTGTCGGCCTTCATGGTCTTTGTGAACTCCGCACCAGTAGCGACGATCAGATTTTCCAGGTATATACGGGCCTCACCTCCGTAGTTAGACACCGTAATCTTCTTCCCCTTAAACCCCGGGATCCCGTCACGTGGGATAGGGTAATGAAGAAGTCGCATGATAGGAGACGTCCACTGGTTGCGGGTAATGAGATGGTACAACCAAGATAGGTTCCCAACTTCCTTGCCGGTCTGAGAGGCGCGTATATACTGCGGTCCCTCGCGATATTGGCAGATGTACCAGTCGCAAGCATCAACGTCATCAGTCATCTGGCCTCCGCCGTTCAGGATCAATCCCTTCAGGATTTCCCTAAGACGATCTCTGATCGATAAGTCTGCCGACAACATAATCGACTTGCCCTTAAACACAGTTAGGGTAGGACGGCCCTCTCCGGCGTCTGGAGAAGGATTGGGCATGTAATCCGGGCGAGCAGAAGTAGCACCCTCAAGATGTTGGCTCGATGGTACTCTAACCGGGTCTTCGGGATTGGCGTGCTGTATCTCGGGCTTAGGCAAACAATACGGCTCTTCAGAAATACGCTTTCCCAACTTGAAGCAGTCATCAAACCTAGACATATTAGAGCTGAACTATCACTTGTCGAGCAGAAAATATTGCTTACCAATGAGGGAGGACTATCTTGCACTTCAGCTTCTTGCTCTGGGCCAACTGACATTTCGGATGGTTCATGGACAGTGCGCAGATGTGTGTGGTCAGCTTCGTGACGTTGTCCGAGTCCATTCCGCCCATTGCCATTGTAGCACCGATGATTGCCTCCTTGTCAGTAGAAGGTATATCGGCGCACGACAGTACCACGTCAGAGAAGATCATTCGAGGGTCTGGTGTAAAAGGGCGTATCTGGGCTTGTTTTCCCTTTGCCAGGGACGCTGAGATCCACTTAGGCTTAATGACAGGAATCATTCTTGCTGTCGCTTCCGTGTACGCTTCAAACTCGATCGAGGTAGCGATGATGTGAGTTAAGTCTTCAATTTCGACCAGCGGTCGGTCTGGCTCAGTCTCGACTTTGCCGCCATACTTAATGACAGTCTGCGTGAGCTATAACAAAGTGAGCATTGCGGTCCATTTATACATATTGTATTGGCTGCGACAAACCTCGTCGATCACGCTCTGATTTAATTCCTTACACGGGACAAAAGCGAATTTGCAAAGGCTGAAGAGCCGCGTCTCATTTTGGTCTGGCATTGTGCCTTTCAGACGCGATTTGGTGTATGCAGAGTAAGTGGGAAAGTTTGACGCATTCCCTTTTAAAAACAATATCAGACGTAATTGAGGCGGAATAAGAAGAAGCTAAAGGGAGGAAAGAATTGTTGTAGACTTTCGCATCAAAGCGCGTATTTGCAGGTCGTTGCCTGGTTGGTAAACTGGAGGGACCAAGATTGGAAGTTTGGGATTGACATCAGTTTATGGATGATAGAAGAAAAAGGTGGGACAATTGTTTTCTAGGGAATATTAAACCGCTTGACGCGTTTAGAGCATTGTAATTAACGCGAGATTGAGTCGCGGTCAGGTGATACTTCTACCCCGCGTAAGTGCATGTCCTACCTAAATGGATGCACATAGGTATGTATATAGGTGCTTAACCGTAGACGTTCCACAACCTTAAGCACTGTGATTTCTCTCCAGGTCATTTTCATCTTCCAACACATTAAACCGATACAACATGAGGGAATTATGAGTCATTCTACACTACACGCGTCGTATATTAATGGTGTGTAGCTTTCAGCACGACTCAAAGTCACAATTTTCTATATACATGTCTTGTTTGCTAGGTGTTCTGCAGAAGATTACATGCATATTTCTGCCTGCGACATCCACGGCACGGCTCCAAAGAACGATTGGTCTAACCCACCATCCCCAAGCCTCCTCTAGCTGGCCTCGATCTGGTGCTGTCCACTTGTCCCTACGATGGTGTATAGTTGCCTCTTACCTGCTGCTTCGACAGTTTTCCCGGAATCTACTGTTAGTGCTTGGCTATCTACTGTCAACTTGTATTGCACACCATTTTTGGAGACCGGGAGAAGCAGTGTGCCTATAGTACCCTGCGGCACGGTATAATTCAACGTATAGCCGCCGTCGTTCACCGTCCAGCTTGCCGAGAACTTTCCCAAGCTAGTCGTGAAACCGCCCTCAGCATGAGTGAGATCTCCGAACTGGGGCGCGATTTGCCAGCTCGATCCAGCTGGGCTAGTCACACTAAGGCCGACGATGTACTCCGTCAACGCTGAAACGGGTCCAGTAGCCCATCCATCTACAGTGGTCCACGTCAGTAAAATCCGCCAAAAGAAACCTCAGACGTAGGTGGCTAAATGACGATTAATGTGCTTACGAGAATGAGACGTGTATGAGTAATCTTCCCCATACCCAGCGTCGTGGCGATAGCCGAAAGTGCCATCTATGAGATAGCCCTCGATCATAGTGGACTGAGTGCCATTCTCGTTGTTCAAGTACCAACCCCAACTTGTCCGGATCAAGTCGAGAGCCCGTTGCGTCTGTCCTGCCAAAAAGTGTGCTTGAATTTCGAAGGATGAGATGAATGTAGAGACCTCGCCACTTAATTCGGGACTCTCAGCTCCGATTGGGGTCCAATTCTTCGTAAGGGTCGAAGAAATAGTTTGCCCCTCGTCTGCTGTAGCGTTTACCACTCCGAAGAGCAAAGCGAGGGCATTACCATCTTGGGGATATAAACCGGTCTTGTTGTTGCGAGACTCAATGCTATCGTAAAATGCACCAGCAGTTCCGTTCCAAAGCTGCGAATTTATGGCACTTTGGAGTTTTGCGGCAGTATCGAGCCACGTTGAGTTGATGCCAGTTGTGTCACCAATCCATGTGGCCAACGAAGAACCTGCAATCAACGTCCGGTAATAAAGCATCTGTGCCGAGGCTTGGGTGTCGTCAACATGGTAACGCCCCCAGTCGTGTGTGTAACCCGTGATATTAAGGATACCTAAAGACGAATCAAGCTGGCTCGAGATGAATGACATTGCTGCGACATACTTGTCCCAAATTCCTCGGATGAAGTCTAGATCTCCGGAATATAAGACATAGTTGTACGTCCCAATCATGGTCCACCTAGCAATACAAAAGAATTTAGCATAGGTCATCGGTAGAACAATGGAAGGGAGAGATCTAATGCAGGTAGAGTCTTACATGTGATACGTATCACCGTCTGTGACCAGAAGCGGCGGACCGGAACATGGAAGCAAACCACTCTCTGCCTACTCGCAAGGAAACATAATTAGCAAGAAGCTCCACATAGTTGCCTACGTCTATGGAAGGGAGCACTGACTTGATAAGAATATAAAGTTGCCAACGAGTTTTTAATGCTCCTACAGATAGTTAGGGAAGAGACTTGGAAGTCTGTAGAGCATCTGGGAAACTAACTCGAGATCGCCGGTGCTGTAGAATGAGGAGGGCACCGCAACACCCATGTCGCCTGGCCTAGTTAAGAATTAATAAAATGAGATGAAAATAGATAATGTAATAAATAAAGAATATCAAAGTGAACTGTATTTTACCAGATAGTTCTGTCGCGCTTTGCGCCATCGGTATTGACGGTGTCACCTGTACCAATGTTACCGTCATTAGCCCATTGGCTAGCTGGGGCAGGCCAGGCTCGTCCGGTTGAGGGATGGAGCGCATTCGTCTGTATAGTCTATAGTCAATGAAGTCAGCATTTAATTCATTACTCTCGAGGCAAAAGCTCTAAACCACATAGTCCGTTCTGCAAGCTTACAATCGACGAATAACCTTGTATAGAATCGCAAGGGGGTAAATACACAACCTCAAATCGTACTTACATAAGCACCGCTGTACCAGATTTTGTTGAGCGTGTCGTCGCTACTATGGAAGTATCCTTGGTAGGCTTGAAGGTTTGACCAGGTTGGTTGGAAGGACAATTCCAAAGAAACATTGTTGATGGTGACAGAGGAGGTAGTTCCGGTGAGGAATACTGTCATATATCGAAATCCTCCACGAATATTCTCGACCGGCATGACATAAGTCTGGTCTCCTGTGGAGGAGAAATTGGCATAAAGTGCGCCATCTTTCCTCGAAAATACGCCACTAGATGAGTCCGAGACAGGCCCAATCCAGTCCTTAGCTTCCGTGAAAGCTATGCCGAGAGCACCATCACCATCTGTAGACGAGACAGAGAATTGAATTGTAGCAACGCCTCCCACTTCACGGCCAAAGTCGTAATAGACGCCCGATTTTGTACTCGCGAACGAGACAGACTTTATATCAGAGGTTTCTCCAGTGCCCAAGTCGAAAACGGCCTTAGGCGTGACAGTTCGTGTCGATGGGGAGAAAATATTCGATTCCCATTCACCAGGAAATGAAGCTGTCTGAGGGCCCGTGCATTTGGTATCCCTCCAACAGCTCTGAGCGACAACGTCCGTACGAGAAACCAGAAACCAGAACGCGAGAGTAAACAGGAGAAATGGGTGGTGAAACGCCATAAGGACCGACAGCGCAGGATCAACGCGTCGATTGTACCTATATAAGGGGGCAAGAAGGTCGACGAGTGTCCAAAGTCATGGATGCTTTATACAATGCCTATGAATATCTATAAATATTCTATTTTTCCAAGACTTTTGGGTCGTAGAGGCGCATCGAATACATGTATCAGATATACAAGCAACAATTTATATAGAAGCCGTACGTAGGTATCTACTCTACTGAGATGGATAAATATGTACTTACGCTCTCGTCACATCTTCCCACCGAGACTAAAGCGGCCAGCATAGCCACCCCGCTCAAATTAAGGACATAACCTGGCTGGCAGTTGGGGTTACTGGGGCGGCACAGCGGCTCGGATGACAGCACCGTGGAGACAAAGGTTGGACGAACCATGCCGGTGATCATTAATCGTCAGGCATTCCCGAATCCGAACGAAACTCGGCCAGGCGCGATGCTAAAATATCTGGAAATATATTGGTTCCGGAAGTTTGAATGGATTCATAGTCCATCAATCACATTCACCTTCCGGCTGATTTACTCCGTGGTTGATCCACTTATCCCGGGTATATAAACCCCTGGGGCCGCGTGAATTCCAAGAGTGTCTTGGACTAGGTACCTAGTAATGATATAACATTAGTAATCTCAGGCGCCTCCTACAATTCTCATGATATGTTAGAATATCTAGGCTCCAGGGGAAAAGGCGTGACTGATGAAAGGTGTTTCTGTTTATGAGATTAAGTTTGGAGATATCCATACTGTCGGGTTCCGTGGTACTAGTGAACAGTCCAATGTCTGTCGATTGTCGATCTGGCCGAATTCTAACCTTCCAAAATAAAGCCCGGGTAAGAGAGTTCTGGGGTAAGATAAGTAATTGCGTGAATGACCCTAGTGAATGAAGACGTTTTTCTTCAGTGCGGCAGGGGATCCAGGCCATAATTGAATTAGCAGGCGAACTCTATCGTCGAACCAGTTTGAATAAGCCGGGCTAGCCATGCATCTTAAAGCCACTTACACAACTCGCAGTGTGGTATGCAGTTGGAAATGCCACATACGTGCCATAGAGCTGTAGGGGTGACGTAGAGCCGACTGAATTCCAGCTTATAACAGACGACATTCTTCGAAGATGGAAGCATGGGTGAGACCAAGCTAAATGCAACTCGTGAAGAAGAAAGTCGGTATGATGGAAACATGCTACCTGTCCATATTAATGAATTATAAACATATCCTTCATAAGTCAGCAAGCAGTGTAGGCTTTTGTGGGTTAGAACCGCCAGACAGATCTCGTAGAGATGTCGTATTACTTGAGCCCGTAATCTGCTATACGCATGTTGTTTTATGAAGAGTGCGGCAGCTCCCAATGCCAGGTAGAATGGCGGTCAAATATGACTACATAATTGTCAATGGAGGCGTAGATATTAGACCTTATATAGCAGGTAGGTAGGTAGGTAGGTAGGACGCGCATGCTTCCGTGAGCTGTAACCGAAGGAAGAGAATCGCTGCAGATTCATCCCGCCCATTTATATTGACAAGAGCTTTTGGCCCACGATTCCTATCAGGAAGAGCCTCGCCTTGAATAGGAGTGACGATTCAGCGAATTGAGAGACCAGGTGTGGGCTATTTTAAGATATCGACGCCGCTGGTAATTTATTGCGATTGTCGAAGTTGCTTATCGCATGAAGTTGAAGATTATAATTGAAAGGACTCTGCTTGATTTTCTCCAGTTTATAAAGTCGAATAATCGTCGAGTCATCCATGGGTAGCTGTGGGATACTCACATGGAAGTACAGATGGAAGCAGGCACGTTCTATGTAATATTCTGGGTTGATCCCCTGTAAAGATCCAATAAAGATCCATTGACGCATTGCTAATCATTTATCTTAGCCTTGTAAGGTTCCACTAAGCTTCCGCTAAGCTCGTAGTTGGTAGTGGGACGCGGCGGCAGCTAGGAGGTATTGCCCCCGACTGGAAGGAATAGCGAATAAAATAAGGCTTCCAATTGCTTGGTCAGTCACGGTCGGTGGGTTCTTTTGGTGGGCACTTGGCAGTTCCTACCAGCCAGCAGCCCAGTAGTCCAGCCAGCACCCTTTGTTCTTCCCATTCCGGCGGCTCACACGTGACATTTCACTGGCTTAACTGGGACATCCGATCCAGGTCATCCAGGGGTTAACCTGCCTGTAAAAATACCTAACCCCGACAACCAAAAGAAGGGCCAGGCGCTGGCTTCTGAACGGCGCTAATGCAATGCTCTGAAAGAGCACCCAGACTGGATCAATCAAATGTTGGAACATCGATGGCTAGCCCTGTAGCCGAAGAAGAATTGGTTGTTCTCCATCAGATCGGTGGGCGAATGCCACTGTAGGATTTAACCTAGCATCTAGGATTTAGGGAATACCTGACTCCATAACCTCTCCATACCAGTACTCTGTACCACACAAATCTCATACCTTTCTTTTACCTAGGACTACCTAGGTAAGCATTCGGTATTATTCAGGGAACCCCTTGGCGAGAAATAGGAAGGGGAAAATTGACGAGACATGAATTCGAACCCTTCGAACCATGCACCGCTAACTTCGTTATCTACCTAATAAACATCGACCTCGGAGCCCAACAACTCTATACTTGCAACTTTCGGCCGACTACCCGGGGCACCCCCCTTATTTACTTTAATACAACCTTGGAACACACACAGTCTTTCCCGACCCATTTCTAATATTCGAAGTTATTTCGCTCGAATTCGCTAGACATATCGTCTAACCCGTTATCGAACAACATTGTCACCTGACGCGACTCCCGCGAATTTGTCGACACCAAATCGAACCCCGGCTCCAACCCCGATCCCGATACCACCAGCCTAAACTTGCCTCCTGAATCATTCTATTGCATGCGTCTACGAGTGTTTACATATTGGACATTGGACATTGGACTTCGGACATCGGAAAGCGACAGCGACGTTAGAGACCAGCTTGACCAGCCCGACATTGTCACGCCCATGATAGTGCCGCGATCCGGACGAGACTCTGCTTCGTGCAACCCGACATTATTATAAGGGGCAATCTTGGAGGTTAAGACCTCACGCGAGGTCGTTGCTAACACCCTCGATGATGGTACGTCACCTTGCCCGGTATATATGATGGATATGGTCGCATGTCCTGGAATCAGCTTGAGAAGATCGACATTTGACTATATCCATTTATTAACTCATTATGTCAACAATGTGTTGATGTCGAGAGTCTCCTACTTTGTCACTGAGACCATTCAACTTCCCTTTGTATATGTTGAGATTACTCGCGACTAACCTAACACTACATACCTAGACCTCTCGTCGTCCTCGCGATGTTGGTGGAAGTTTTGCGAGTCGGCGTGGCCATGCCAACCAACTCTCCATCTCCGATCCGACCCACCACATAACCGAGACTATCGGAACTATGTACGGCGACGATGACGATTACGATTCGCGCCCTTTGAGCTTCATCTCCTCTCCTCCAGAGGGTGAGCAAATAGCCCAGCGTCCTGCTCCGGAGCCTACATCTTCCGATAAGCAACGGCTTCCGCTTATTCGAACAAGCTCAGATAAGACAAATTTACAGCCTCCCGCAACGAACGGAAACTCCGCGCAGAAATCCCAGACGCTTCCCGGCCAGAGAACTACGAACTCAAGAAGTAGCTCTTTCGAAGCGGCCCCGAAATCTCCAAATTCGCCTATGTCGCCCACGCTCCGTGATATGCGCGACGATGCTCAGCAATATCCGATAACCAACATTGACAATCCAAATGATATCGCGCAAGAACTAAGCAACCTACAAGCCCTACGGCGCATGTCCATGGACGTCTCGAACAACAGCGACCCCGACCTTCTTCCTTTCCAGGGCATGTCTCTCATGGCGATGCCGTCCATAGCACCGAAAGGAGACGATGATGCCGACCCTTCGAGACTACTATGGGTTCCTGCCGGTGTTCATCCTGAGCTGGCCCCTACCGAGTTCAAGAATTTTGTCGAAAAAAGAGTTCAGTCAATGAAACGGAGATCTTCCGAGTCCACGCTGTCCGTGGATGGCTTGGAGAGGAGCGATTCGGGTGGGCTGCGGAGAAAGAAGTCTATGCTTTCCAGACAAATCGATAATGCGGGCGGACACGGTGCGGAAGGATACGTTGACGGTGCCGAAAGATTAGAAAGGCAAAAGTCGCTTAGGGAGCCAGGGCAAGGACCACCAGAGCTTAGTTTGGATGAACTTGTTAAGGACCCATCGAAGATCGTCCAGAAACTTACTCTCGAATCTCAACGCCAGGATCTAGGGGCTGAGGCTTCGAATGCCGACGATATGCCTATACTTCCTGTCGCGCCAGGCATGGGCTTACGCCGATCAACTCGTACCACATATCGAAAAGGTGGCAGTCTGAAGAATCGACAAGGTTCCCTCAGGTCTGAGGATCGACTCCCTTTTTCGAAACGTATCGCGGCGAAGAAACCCGAAGAAGGGACAGGTGCATCAGCTGGCAGTGAATCAACTGCTGAAGCACCACCGGGATACGGCTTGACACGGGTACAATCAGAACCGATTTCCGAGAATTTCTCAAGACCGTCGAAACCTATGCGGCGGCAGCAAACTTTCTCCCAAGACCCAGCGTCAGATACGTACGAAAGTTCTCAACATGACTCACAAGACTCAAGCCAGGGTTCTCCCACCAGACCGCAAGGACCGAGCCGTACCTTATCCGCTGAGGCTATTAAGACATCTACCCCGACATCGCAGATCATCGAGACATCCATTGCTGAGGAGGAACCTTCTGAAGCGCAAGCCATGGAAACGAATAGGCCTTTCCCGGAGCGATCATCCTCACAGCGGAACGCCGCCCAGCCTGTGTCTCCGCCACCGTCAACACCGGCTGAACCACCAGCGCGTTCGAATAAAAGACCGAATTATGGGCAACCGCTCCAGAGTTCCTCACCGCCACAGGTTATAAGTCGAACGCAACCGAATAGATTAACAAGCACTACTAACCGAAACATCAATGATATGCCACCGAACTCTTCACCGTTTGCAGCCAGCAGCGCCACTAGTACCGAATCCCTTACATTCATCCCGACATTTACAACTCCCGAAGACAGAAAGCCGGAGAAGAAGGGCAAGAAAGAGAAGAATGAAAACGAGGGTGAGAAATCCAAGGCTACGTCCTGGAAATGGTTCAACAAGGGCGAGGATAAAGAGAAGAAAAAGAAGGACGATGAAAATAGGAAGTCCAAGACCAAAGCATTCGTGGAGAAAGCGCACGATAATGTTCGTCTCGACGTTCTGCAAACTTCGATTGATACAGCACTTCATAAGGGACGGGAGAGTCTACTGCTTGATCGTGACGCCGTCGACAGCAAACTAGAGGAGGAAAGGAGAAAGGAAAGTAGCCGGAAGTCAGGTGAACAAAAGAAAGAAAAAGATGGCTTCTTCGGCTCGTTCTTTGGAAGTAGCAAAAGGAGAAGTGAGAGGGATTCTACCAGTAAGAAACACCAGGCCCAGAGATCGTTGTCCCCAGAACCAGCTCCATACCGACCCTTACGGCCCGATGTCGACTATCACTGGACGAGATTCCCTATTCTAGAGGAGCGAGCGATCTATCGGATGGCACATATCAAGCTTGCAAACCCCCGCCGTGCGTTGTATAGCCAGGTCTTGCTCAGCAATTTCATGTACTCGTATCTCGCAAAGGTCCAAGCCATGCACCCACAAATACAAGTTCCACAATCACCTCAACAGAAGAGACTGCAAGAAGAGGAGAGACGGCGGCGTGAACAAGAGCAGCAGTATATGGAACAGCAACAGGCGCAGGATAGCATTGATCGCTACAACTTTGAATACCACCGAGTAAGTTAGCACAACCAAATCTAACCAAACTCCTAGGTCTAACATAAATCCAGTCAACGACTCAATATGGGGATCCTAGCATGCAGCAAGAAGCTGGAGACTACCCGGAATCTGCCGAAATTTACGACTATGAGCATAGCAAGGATCATATGGGTGGAAATAATGACTACCAAGATATGGATGATTACGGTAGTCAAGACGCAGACAAGGATTACTATTCTACTTACGTTCAGTACACTAACAGTGAAAACGGGCGCCGCCAGCACCAAGACGAAGACGAAGATATGTGGTGATACGCCAAACGATGAGGCGGGATCGCCAAAGGCACCCGTATAGCGATCACACCGACGCATACTCTCCAGGCTTCAAAGCTGGGATATGATGCCTTTCGTGCAGGGCAGATCATCAGGAGCCCGACGAACATATGAATTCCTTTAGCCACATAACCGGGCGCTCCTCTTTGTTGGACGGATAACAACCGCATGTGCTTAGGGTGGATATTTTGTACGGCATTTGCAACATGGGAAACCAGAGATGTCTTAAGATTCCCGCTCCCGTTCCTGTTTTGGAGTTTGTCGACTGCATACCTCTCCTTGCTAGGAGCGAGATCGACATTGCGGGACACGAAGAAAAAAAATTGAAGGGCCAGTTTAGGGGGCCAGAATATATTGAAGGTAGCATCTGTTATGATGTCTATTAGGAAGCATACCATGGGCCTTTACGCACGGTGGAAATCAGCTGGAGGTAAACCCCCTTGGATTATAATCAGAATTAAATCGACCTTCGGGCATAAATACATCATCTTACGAGTGAAGTCCTGTGTTGTGATACAATGCATTGCATGTCCGAAGCCAGGAGTCAATTGTGCCTTGGTTTGCTCTTAGAGAAATAGAGACGAGGCATCAGCTATGTGATTAACTTAGTCACTTATGCTGGTTATATACATGAAGTAATATTTTCTCTAAATTTCAGTGGTATAAATAGAACAGCATCATTACATCGTTCTATTATGCAGCAGGTAAAGAGGCTCATGGACGCCATTATTAGTATTAACGAAGCTTATCCTCCTAGGTCACTTAGCTGTATATGATTTTCCAAGAGACATTGCCAGGAAGGTAGCTTAGTTAGATATTTTCAAGGAAGAGTCAAAAGACAGATGGTATAAAAATCATATCACAATATTCGTTATAAAACCGTATCTCGCATGATTTGCTACCTCGTTTCTTTAAGGTCATTTTTAGGCAAGTAATGACACCAACATAAGGATAACTTGGTGAGCTTGAGTTGATTATTATGGATCTACATATCTATGTACCGAGGTAGCTAAGACAGTTTAACGAAGGCAACGGTATCTCATTGTGCTGTCTCAGATCATCTCGAGGCTACGTATGTCAATTTTTGAAACTGTTTTCAAGAGATAAAGTTCAAGTATCAAATAATTTTATTCTTTTAGAAGCCACTTAATATCTTATGTAAGGTATAACCTATATGTGAGAAAGGAAGAAGTAGTTTAAATCAAGGCAGAGTAACTCTAAATATTTGGCATATCAATATTTCATACTGCGACGTCGAAGTATAGAACATTAGGTACATACATAGGTAACTTGGAAATACCTACCTAGTAGGTACCTAGCAAATAGAACGTTCGACGTTTTGTGCGTAGAGCATTTTGAGTAAGGTACTTAGGTACTTCGATATTACATAAACATAGGTAAGGCCCGGGTTGAATCAACCTTCCAAGATTGAAGTACATACATGTAGCTAGGTGGTAGGTAGGTACGCTCGAATATGTTGAACGTGATAATTATTGATTGGCTCAAAATACCGAGTGATAGCTGCCTATGTGCCTAAAAATGAATATTTGCATTTTGCTCTTGGTTAAGGCGCCTGCAAGTACCTACCTAGGTATCTTCAAGTAGATGTTTCCTAAAAGTAAGTGATTTTGGGTACCTTGTACCAGTGAATCACAAAGCGGGTCGAGGCTGAAGCTCCTAGCCAATGATAAATTAGCACAGCTTGTGATTGTCGCGACTTCCCTATCCCCAGTCGAACTTTTTGACACCCCAAACCTTCGTTCACTTAACTGTCGCCTCGAAAATTCAAAAGTTTCCGAGCTTCCATCATCACACTTCGACATTTTTCTGCTCGACGGTTTCCACCACCGATCCTGCCTCCTTCATCATCGCACTTCCCTCAATCCTTAACCGATTATTCTTTTTTCTAAGATACCCTTACCGTTGTTGTTATTGAATCGTACCTTAACCGTCTCTCATTCTGGTCGAGCCACTTTGCTGGCATTTAAACTACGATCACGCACACGCGCATTATAATCGTCCACCATTCCCACTCTTCAATTCTCGGTTCCGTACACACACCTCGCGACCATCGCCGGTGATACGATTTTACAACGACCACTCAATACTATCCTGCAGCTGCGGAATACCCCATGGCAGTAAGTAGACCACCTGTTTTCCTAATTATTCGTTCGTGTTGGAATCATATCACCACAAGATGGGCAAGCTTCCTGTTCCTCTCCGGACACCATCACCACCACGTTTTCCTTGTTTCTCTGGAGATATCCTTTGTGATATGACTTCATGATCCCATTATCCCGTCCGCGATGTCTCGCAACACCTATTCCAATTTTGAACCCTGCCCCCATCCTCCCATAGCAGGGCTTGCTGCACCTGAGGCTCTGATGCCTCATCCACCTTACCATCGCTCCACCGCGACTACTCCTCAGCTTCCCCCATTCCTCACTCATCCGACTTTGCCATGCTGTGAGCAGCAGCAGATGGCTTGGGATGACACTCCCCAACCGTATAATCCCCAGTGGGAGAATGCGCCTCCCACAGCTCCTCAGCATAACTATCGCGATCGGTATCGCGAACCTGGTCGCTTTCGCTACCGACTGATCTCGGGTGACGAAGCTCGTTCCTTTCGGCCACCCGGTCCTCGTCATGCTAGTCTTGCTACATTTAGGCACCAATTTTCGATATCTCTGCCTCGATCAATGTTTTCTAACCCTCTGCAGTCCCGTAGTTACCAGAACCAGGGTTACATGCCCAACGGCGCTACTAGCGGCCACCCGAACGCTGGCCAGCCAGCCCCCGGCGCCGTCCCCCTCTTACCCAACCAAGGACGTGTCATCCAATCGGGTCCAATTCGAGTGCTATGCATAGCAGATGTCCGAGGTAGGATAACAATTATTGTATCAAACTATAAGGTGGGGCTAAGGATTGTGTTATAGGCAATCTACGATCGTTGAACGACCTGGCGAAGACCGCACGAGCAGACCACATCATTCATACCGGCGATTTCGGTTTCTATGACGATACATCCCTTGAGCGCATTGCGGAGAAGTAAGATACACATTTTCAACCGAGATTTTGGACGGCGGTCTAACTATTGCGAAACAGGACTCTCAAGCACGTTGCTCAGTACTCCCCTTTAATTAACGAAGAAGTTAAGAAGGCTATTGGCCAAGGTGGACCGGGCTCCGTCAAGGCTCGATTCCCTCCCCAAGAACTTCCTCTATCCGAACTACCTCTGCTCATCAGCGGTCAAGTTAAGCTCGACGTACCGGTTTACACAGTCTGGGGCGCTTGCGAGGATGTCCGTGTGTTAGAGAAATTCCGATCAGGGGAGTACAAGGTGCACAATCTGCACATTATCGATGAGGCTCGATCCATGTTACTCGAGATTGGTGGCGTCAAGTTGCGACTGCTCGGACTTGGCGGAGCCGTCGTCATGCACAAGTTATTCGACAATGGCGAAGGTCGAACCACTATTGCCGGTGGTCAGGGTACCATGTGGACAACACTGCTTCAGATGGGCGAACTGGTTGATACTGCCACCCGTGTCTACGACCCGACTGAGACCCGCATATTCGTTACTCACGCCTCCCCCGCTCGCGAGGGTATTCTAAACCAGCTCTCAGTCAGTCTTAAGGCAGACTTCTCTATCTCGGCAGGTTTGCACTTCCGATACGGCAGCTCTTACAATGAGTTTAGTGTTAACCCGACACTGGACCATTATCGTGGTAAGCTTGCTGCTTCTAAGGCATCGTTCAATGACGTCTGGGAGACGGTGAAGGGTGAGGTCGAGCCAGCTATCCAGCAGAATGAGGCTCAGCAGAATCTTCTCCGGAACGCGCTAGAGCTGGTAGATAAGATGCCTCGAACCGCTGCCGGCGGAAACCCTTTTGGTGGTCCTGTTACCGGACCTGGCGCTCAAGGTCAGGTGGACGAAAGCGCATTCAAGAATATGTGGAACTTTAACTTGGCGGATGCTGCGTTCGGTTGGCTTGTGTTGGAGATTCAAGATGGCCGCATTGGTACGGAGATGCGAGCCCAAGGTTTCAACTTCTCTCACCGCGGAGCCAAACAACAGACTGTGCCCCAGAGCACCCCCTCGCCGGCTCCTGGCCTAACCCCAGCAGCTCCTGCGGCTTCTGTAGCCCCCGCATCGACGTCCACACCTGGAATCTCCGGTCCGCAGAGAATTCCTTCAGCCGCGGGACAACAGAAGCCTAATGCAGCCACCCCATTGCAGCCTCCGAAGTCGGCCACACCGAAGCCGACTTCCTCGTCCCCGGCTCCCAGCGCGGCCGCCGGTAAGGAGAATGAGAAGCCTGCAGGCGCCAACGGATCGACTAACGGGCCAGAGACCGTACCATCCCCAGCACCTCGTACCCCTGCCGATAGTATCATTGGCCTCTTTGTGATGAATGTGCAAAGCGACGAACAAGCTCGCGAGATCTTCCCAGAAGAGCACAAGGCGAAGATTGTTAAGATCGAGAAATGGGGAAATAACAGCAACAATAAGGTTGTGCATTTCCAGACCGTCGAGGATCGAGAGACAGCTTATACTGGTCTCTCCGATGAGTTCAAGGTTCGCCATTCCGAAGATCGATCACGTCCTTTGGTGAAGATCTTCCAGCCTCGCGAAAACAAGCAGATGTTCGGAACCCGAGGAGCTGGTACTTGGGGAAGCGGTCGTGGCCGGGACAATGCAAGCGGATACCGCAGCGCGGGTGACCGCGGCGCTCTTAGTGGTGGCGAGAGCGGTCCGGAAACCGGCCGACAACGTGGTCGAGGTGGAGCCCGAGGTGGTAGAGGAGATCGAGGTGGTCGGGGTGGTCGGGGTGGTCGCGGAGGCATGGGCAAAGGCGAGGGAGGAACCGCCTCCCCTGCTCCTGCTGGCGACTCGTAAACACCCCGTTGACTTAACCCCCCCTACCTTATCACCTACGTACATTCTACTAATAACCTCGCGTGAAACCGCGCGGAATTTTGCTTGTTTTCCGGCACTTCGCAACGGAACAACTTTCTCGTCGTTTTTTATCAGGTGGAGTTCAGAGATTCTGCCGGCCTGCGAAGGAAGTTTTTTTTAGGGGAAAAAAACGTGAGGGGGCCTTTGCGTCATACTGGTGGGAATGGATGTGTATTCGGTTGGCGCGATAGCTCATCGGCTGATGCCATTGTTCTCTCGGTTATGCCAGTTATCTGCTTTCGCGGCTATTGCAGGCAAAAAGGGTTCGGTTTGTTTCTTGTGCCTTTTTTCCTGAGATCCCGGTCCCATACCGGACGGGAATCATTGAAATAGGTTCTTGCCAATACACAACCGTACGAATGGATTATTGAGAAATCTCTGCGTCTCTATGTGATTTGTTATAATAGTGACTGTATACTTATTCGAGTAAGCCGTGGTTTTTAGACACTATGAACTTCGCACGGTTTGCCCAGATAACTAAGCTTCATAAGCATTCTCCAAGCTACGACATTAAGGAGGGAAGCTTGTTACTTGAATATCTAATGCTACTGCTTGACGTCTTGGATTAGTGGGAACCTTACTTATATCAATGGTCGTAGGTAACTTTCATGACCACAGTTTACACGCCAAAATCAAGTATGGCCTTGGTAAATTTTTCAGTCATATGCAAGTTCTTTATTAGGGGAGAGTTATGCGGAGCGAGCCGCACGAGTTCTGCTCCAGCTGCTATGCTACAATGAGCCAAGAGAGGTGGTCTCTCCCGCCTTTTTGCTTCCTTTTGTCTATAGCCCCCGTACCGCCGAGGGTGACCGGATAATGCAAGTGTAATGTACAAACCTCTTCTTTTCCCCCCCTTATTTCCCCCTTGTTTTCATCAGTCATAGGCTCCGGTACCCAAGCCTGCTTACCTACCTAGGTAACTAGACTTCAAGACCCAAAAAATCGTAGAGGTTTCATGCCCTTATGTATAGCCGCCACGCCGCCAGTCAGGTTCTCGTACCCGTCGCCGCCAACGACAAACCCGGCGTCCTCGATCAGGCCGCGGAACTCGTCCTGCGAGGGGAAGCGCTCGATGCTCTCGACCAGGTACTGGTAGGAGTCGCGGTCGCCGGCGACGAGCTGGCCGATCAGGGGGATGGCGCCGAAGCTCCAGCGCTTGTATACGGCGTCGAATAAGGGGGATCGCACCTTGCTGAACTCGAGGCAGGCGAAGACGCCGCCCGGCTTGAGGACGCGGTACGCCTCGGACAGCGCGGCGGGCACGTTGCTGAAGTTCCGGATGCCGAAGGCGACGGTGTATAGGTCGATCGAGTTCGCGGGGATGCTGGCGGGAAGCGCGGTGGCGTCGGCTTCGAGGAAGGAGAGGTTGGATTGCTGGGACGCGGGGAGCGATTGCGAGCGCGATTTGCCGACGGCGAGCATGGATGGGTTTATGTCGGAGATGGTTACGTGGACGCCTGGGTTCGCGTTGAGGTTGTGCGCGTGGTGCAGCATGCGGAAGGCGATGTCGCCTGTGCCGCCGGCGACGTCGAGAATGCGCTGGGGTTTGGGCGGGACGGAGGAGGAGAGGCCTGGGTTCAGGGTTGAGACGAAGTGGTCCCTGTGTAAGTTGGGGTTAAGTTAGCTTAGGTTTCGCGGTTACGTCGAGGAAAGGGGAGAGAGGAGGGTAGGTAAGTGACGTACTTCCAGACTCGGTGCCAGCCGAAGGACATCAGGTCGTTCATGCGGTCGTAGGACTCGGCCACGCTGTGGAAGACGCCGGCTACCCGCTCCGTCTTCTCGGACTCGGAAAAGCCGTCCTGGAACCCGAAGTGCGTTGTTCCGTCCCTGTTGATCTTACTGCTCGAGCCATTACCGCCAGGCGCGGGCGCGGATGTTGAGGAAAGCTCGGGCTGTCGGTTGCGCGTCGTAGTGCTGAAGGATAGTCTCCCGGGGTGAGACGGAGAAGCGAAAGGAGCGAAAGGAAAGCAATCGGGCTGTCTCGATGGAGCCCGTAATGTTCGTGAGGCTGCGCGAAGGACTGTCGAGCGAGCGGCCATGGTCATGCGCAGTTTTCGGCCGTCGCCAGTGCTCGGGGGTGAGATCCTGCGGTGTTGAGGTGGGAGGTTAGCAAAACCGGCCGGCCGAAAAAAATACGGTGCGAAGCTACGGTCAGAAAATTGCTGGTTCGGACGGGGAGTGGGACGATCAAGGTCCCCGGCATGTGCTTAGTGGGGGGTAGCTTCGGGGGTGGCTGCCGTGAAGCGAGAGGTCTGGGTGGGCGATGGATCGATGGGTGTATTAGCCACAGTGGGCCATGGATGAGCCCCATGTCTAGGACTAGGGTATTTGGGGTGGAATGCCAAGACTTTGGAGGTCAAATATCTGGGGTATCAAAGACGATTGGTCGGATTTAAGGCCTTCATCTTTCAAGTAATAACCTTGGCCTTTGGCCTTTGGGATTTATATCATAGGCACGGCACAGCTTCTGACGACAAATATCGTATAAACAGTAACTCAAGATAGGCACTTACATTGGCGACCGACCTCGGCCACGTTCGACGAAGTCCGCGTCGGCGCAGGTGTCTCGGTTAATTGGCTTGCCTCGGCGGCCTGTTCCTGCTGGCTTTCCTCGGTCTGCTGTTGTTGGCTCTCCTCGGTCTGTTGCTGCTCGTTTCCGTGGCCGACCTCCCATGTCTGACTTGCTCGGTTCATAACGTTTCCACCACCGCCTCCTCCCGGGTTTGACAGCATCTGCTGTTCTATCGCTTGCAATCTTTCCAACACTTGTCCTCCTTGCTGCCGTTGGCGGAACTCTCGCTCGGCTTGCTTGTTGCGGAACATGATCCTGCCAAAGTACTTGGTCGATGAGAGTCCCCCGTAGATGATAATCGTGATCACGAGCACGAGGATGAAGACCACGATGGCTGCTGCGACGTTCTCCGCTAGGCTCATCTTGAAGGATGCTAGTGGCTTGGTTCTTCTCTTGTTGCATAGATATAACAACCCAACGTCTTGACTATCGAAGCAAGATTTATATCGGCTTGTTATATCCCAGCTGTGGAATGGACTTAAGAAGGTAGGGCAAATGAAGAGGAACGTGGATGTGGTATTGTAAGGTACATAGGTGAAAGGAAGTTGAAGGGTGGATGGTAACTAAAAGGTATGTTTAGATCCGTGATGCGCATCTGGATCGATAAAGTATAGAATATGCGGAGCTAGGTTGCTGTGTTGCTATGGGCAATAGTCGAACTAGGAGTTGACGGTATGGATCACGGTTTAGGAGTCATCGTCTCTCGAACAAGCCCGAGTCCTGGGGCGTCGTCTTGCGTGCGCAATGATAGTGGGACTAATACTAATGCTACGCATAGCCAGCTTCATACCTGCTTATTTTTCTTTGAGTTCACTATTCACTTAACGAGTGGCCCATATATCATGATTGTCTAATAATTCTACAAGACGGTCATATATAGACGATAGCTGGGGAGCAAGATCCTAATGTCCGTAGAACAAATACCTACCACATAAGCGATAGACGACGACATTCAATACACATAAGTATAATACCGAAACCTATTTTGCACACCCATATAGTAGTATTGAAATATTAAAAGATAAACTTATTACATCAGAGGAAAACATTGAACTATAACTCTAACTTTTAATTCATGTAGTTGCTGAGCGTATATATATTACATAATACTACTAGGGGTATATTAAAGGCCGGAGATCCTTCTCGGTCTGGATCGGCCTTCGCTTTACGCCGGCTTAAGTGACGTCGTTATCCTCGGAAACCCGTCTATTACTTGGGCATGTCAGATCAACAATCATAAAGTTAATTCTTCCAATTTAAGTCTAATGGCAATTTAAACTACTTATTTTCATAGAAACACTATGTTTTAGCAAAAATGAAGGTACACATGTTACCGAGGGCGTCATTACGAAGGGTCTTCAGCTCTTCACCCCGCTGTTCTAGTTATCTCCCCCTTAGCTTCCAGCACTCAATAATCCGATCATCCAGCAGCATATCGCAACGACTCGGTTCGAAGCATGTATCGTTCCCTGGTGCTGTGAAAAGCGAGTTCACGAATGACCTCAAATACGTGTTACCCGCCAACCTTCCTGCCTTGCCAACGTATCGAGCGGTCGGTCAAGATGGTAACATTGTTGATCAGTCGTTTGAGCCGGATCTCAGCGAAGAGGAAATTGTAAAGGTGTATAAGACCATGTTAACTATTTCGATAATGGACCCCATAATGTACGATGCGCAGAGGCAGGGCCGTATAAGTTTTTACATGGTATCGGCTGGCGAAGAAGCTATTAGCATTGGATCTGCCTCGGCTTTGGATAATGAAGACGTGGTCTTCTGCCAATATCGCGAGCAAGGCATTTTTGCATACCGGGGTTTCACCTTAAAGCACTTTATGAACCAGCTATTTGCGAATAAGAGCGATATTGGGAAAGGCAGAAATATGCCTGTACACTACGGCAGCAAAGAGTTCAACATTGTATGTTTGGGCCTCTCTACATATTATCGGAACAAGTTGCTAACCCTTCCATGTAGCATACGATCTCGTCGACCCTAGCGACGCAGATACCACAAGCATCCGGTGCGGCATATGCTCTCAAGATGCAGCGCATCAACGACCCATCTCTACCTCCCCGCGTAGTAGCCGTGTATTTCGGCGAAGGCGCCGCAAGTGAAGGCGATTTTCACGCCGCATTGAACATTGCCGCCACGCGATCTTGTCCTGTTATTTTCATATGTCGAAATAACGGATATTCAATATCAACTCCGATTCTAGACCAATACCGAGGCGATGGCATTGCCAGTCGGGGAATCGGATACGGAATTGACACTGTGCGAGTCGATGGAAATGACTTCTGGGCTATGAGAGAAGCCACCAAGAAGGCGAGGGAGATGGCCCTTGAAGACGGAGGCAAGCCAGTCTTGATAGAAGCAATGAGCTATCGCGTCAGCCACCACAGTACCTCCGACGACTCCTACGCATATAGAGCAAGGGTAGAAGTCGAAGACTGGAAACGCCGAGACAATCCTATCACGAGACTACGGAAATACATGGAAGCAAAAGGAATCTGGGACGAGGCTAAGGAGAAGGATGCTAAGGAAACCATTAAACGAGATGTTTTGAAGGCGTTCTCGGAGGCCGAGCGAGAGAAGAAGCCAGCTATTCGGAACATGTTCGAGGATGTATATGAGGAGATGACCCCTGACTTGAAGGCACAGATGGAACAGCTGAAACAGCACTTGGAGAAATACCCTAACGAGTATGAATTGGGAGAATTTGAAGAGGGAATTAACAGTTTGAATTCGTAGAGGATATGCATAGTTAGTTCTAATTCTAGCAAGCTAGAGAGGGGGATGGGCTCTCGTGATCATAGCAAATTTGTACGCCATCGAATGCTGTCAAATATCGTTGAAGCTACCCGAGTTTTTTTAGCATTTGATTTTGGTGGATAGGTAGGTAGCTACCAGTACCTACATATTTCAAGCCCATATCTTGTCTTCGTTACGCGACGATGAATCAAAATGTCCCTAGACGTTATGATTGGTAGGCGCTGCGAGATGACCAACGCTTGTCAGCCACGTCGAACAAAAAGAAATGGGGAACTCGACAAATTTTTACGGAAGCTCTCATCCTATCAATTGGGGAAGAAAGTTATAATAGAGCTTCTTTGATGCCTCGTGGGATGTGTATTTGCTCATACGGCGCTTGCGTTGAAGGTCAAATTATCAATGCATATGGTCAAGGTGTATTGAATAAATATGAGCACTTGAGTAGTAGGTAGGTTTGTCTTTAAGGAAAGGTGATGTCATAATTTGTATGGTATTGTTCTAGGCGGTACATGTTGCACCTAGGGCCTCTATTAGTGCGAGTACAAGCAATGAAAAGCAAGTAATTATGAAGAAAGCCGCAACATGAGCAGCTGCATGAGTTGATTTATGATAGCTCCCATCGATAGTGAGGCAGGTACCTACTATTTTATTGATAACGGCTAGTTGCTGCTACTAGGTATCGTTTGTCTAGCGAAAATCCAATAGATATGGATGTAAAAGGTAAGCGTTCATAATGACACCCCTTTCACCAAATCGCACATCATACAGTATAGAATCACAGTGACATTGAAAGCACTAAGACAACTATCATTCGTATGCATACGGTTTAGCTTGTATGGATATTTTTATTCCAACCTACCAAGTGTAAGGTTACACAGTAAGTAGGTAGCTTCTCTTTTCTATTCACACGCCCGTTACACCATTAGTAAAGCATCGTACACTCCCTACCCGCACGAACTGCTACAAGGAATGTAGAGGAGTACGGCTGGCGGCCGGGTCTAGGTAAATTCTGGCACAACGCACACACCACACACAACCCACTCATAACCCACCTTTACCTATGTACATAGCCCAACCGTCCAAGCCGCCCGCTGATGCATCTTCGAATGAACCTCCTCCGATAAACGTCCAACTACGCACGTCTTAAAGCTTCGACGAGAAAGACGACGACGACAGCAACAGCGACGACAAGTTTGTCTCGATCAAACCATTTCATTGACTTGATTCGTGACAGGTAAATATAATTGTCCGCATTCGTATCCACAAAGCCGAATACGTATTGAATCGTGGTCAATCGACTCTGACGACATACTTTTATCCCACTCCCACTTTCTTGTCCGAATCAGCAGGACAAGAATCTTTAACCGACAAGAGGGAAAGACGAAGAACGAACTACAATTATAACAAATAAAACAAGCGATCCGAAATATTCGAAGTCATCCGAAGCCAACCCGTCGCCGTGCCTCATGGCGTAACTCATGGCAGACCGAACACCCTCTGCTGCGAACCCGCGCTCTAGATCGGCAGTCGATAACGGTCCTCAAGCAGCGCGACTTCCTTCCATACCAGACCTGACGAACTTGAACTTGCGATCGGCTGTTCCTACCTCGCCAGCATACTCGAACCCGTCATTATCACCCAGGTACGATATACAGCCAAACTCTCAATCAAGTACACCTTCCTTCTTTCTCAGCCTTGAACCATCCAAACACATCCACCTACGTACACTATACCTTGGTACATTTACATCCCGAGGAGGCACCACTTTATTTTTTTACCCCATATCAAACTTCGATATTCTAAGCCTTCATTTTCGTCCTCTCCATCATCCCGAACTCCTTTGATTCTACCACCCACTCGTCCACTGTTCGTTACCCTTTACATCATTCTTTCCATTAGACTCAAGTCCTCATCGTGATCAATCACCCTCCAGTGCGGTACAGCTCTCGGCCAGTGCCTTGTGGTTGGCCATCAGATATTCGAGGGAGAGGGGTACGAGCTTTGGAACTTGAGCATCACTCAGTTGACGCCTCGATCCATACTCCATTCTCGTACCTTCTTTGTTGCCGCCTTACCTAGGTAGTCACGACCGTTCACCTGCGCTGGACGTATCCACCTGTTGGCCGCACTGTCTGTTGCCCTTAGAGCGGCAGAAATCGCAGCAGTAGCCTCAGGCAACGTCCAGGTGAACTTGCTGTCACCTATCATTACTTCTAAGAAATTTAAACTTAACTTCCGTCCCACTGTGTTTAAGTTTCTGATGCGAGGCTTATCAAAATCACCCTCACTTACCTCATTGCAATATAAGCCTCCTTCTTGCTTCTTGCTTGCCTCTTGCTCTCTACCCTTTCTTCTCGAGTCCGACCATTTATTTCGCATGCGTTCTTCATAACAAGTACTCATGTCTTCCAGAGTCACCCGCTCCTCTGCGCGCAACGCAGCGAGCCAAGGAGCGTCATCAGCAGATCCCTCTGCTGGCCAAACTTCTGGCAACCAATCTGCCAGAACCAACATCGGCGCCGTTGCCGAGGCGAACGTAAACCAATCCCCACAGAACTTGAGACCGACGTCATCGCGAAAGAGAAAACCGTCCCCCACAGAAAACAACTCACCCAAGCAACAATCACACACCGAACCACTTTCCTCTACACGTAGACCTAAGAGGCAGAAGGTTTCCGAGCCGACGCCCGAAACCAACCCCGCCACTACTGCCGCATCTACTTCAAGGAAGCGGAAAGGAAAGAATACTGCTTCCATGTCTAGTCCTACTGGGTATGTTTTATTAATTTTCTTTGCTCTTATTCCCTCGAGCAATTCACAATTACCATATGATCACATCGTAAATAAATGCTAATCAATGTTTGTCTGATAGCTCCGACCCACCCCCACCCGCCGCCAGAATGCAGGACTCTACAAATGCACCCTCAGCCTCATCTAGCCGCAAGTCGAGCCGTAACAAGAAGGCCGTTCCGGCAGCTCAAGGTATGGAATTTTATTATTGTCAGATTGAAAAACTCTTTTGGTGCTTACTTTTTTCCAATTAGATCAATCTATGCCGGCTGCCTCTGGTTCTACACGGCGATCGAAGCGAACGTCTAGCAATCATCCACCGCCTCCCCCTGATCCAGACACGACTATGACAGGAACCAAAGAGCATGAGGATGAGACAGAACCTCCGCCTCCACCTCCGCCTCCTCCTGCGCATGACCCCGACGACGATAACAGCGATGAGAATGACGATGATGATGAAGAGCCTCACCGTCATTACGATGACGACCCGTTCGGTGGTTTCGGTGGTCCTCATGGATCAGGTCTCTCTAGTACACTCAGGGCATTGACCGGCATGATGTCCGGCATCTCTTCAAGACTGCGTGATATTCTTCACAATCTTAGGCAGAAGGAAGACCCAACCATACAGCTCGTGGCATTACAAGAGTTGGCCGAGATTCTCCTTGTATCCAACGAGGACAACCTATCCGGTCATTTCTCCCCCGATGCTTTCGTGAAAGAGTTGGTAACGTTGATGCAGCCCAACGAGATTACCGGCGAGGAAAATTCCGAGATTATGCTCCTCGCATGCCGATGTCTTGCCAACCTAATGGAGGCTCTTCCGGCAAGCGCTGCCAACGTGGTATACGGCGGTGCCGTACCAATCTTATGCCAGAAGCTCCTAGAGATTCATTATATTGATCTTGCGGAGCAAGCTCTCAGCACATTGGAGAAAATTTCCGTAGAATATCCTACAAGCATCGTTAGGGAGGGCGGCTTGACGGCTTGTCTAACTTATCTAGACTTCTTCCCAACAGGCACACAAAGAACTGCCGTTACCACTGCCGCCAATTGCTGTCGCAATATACCAGAAGATTCGTTCGGCGTCATTACTGGGGTTATGCCAATTCTCCTTAATGTGCTGAACAGCAGTGACCAACGAGTCGTCGAGCAGGCCTCGCTCTGTGTTACTCGTATAATCGAGAGCTTCAAGTACCAATCGTCGAAATTGGAACAGCTTGTCAGTGTGGACTTGCTCAAGGTCATTTTAAGACTTTTAGTCCCAGGCACCACGAACCTCATCAGCGCCAATATCCATACACAATTCCTCCGGGTCTTGGCGATCACTGCTCGTGCCAGCCCGAGCTTGTCTGCAGAGCTCTTTAAGCTGAACGTGGTCGAAACACTCTATCAGATCCTCACGGGCGTCTCCCCCCCTAGTGAGACAGAAGATGTCGCCTCGAGGCTAGATAGTGTGGTGATTATGCAGGCACTAATCCACCGCCCACGTGAGCAGATTATCGAGACACTCAACGTCGTCTGCGAATTGCTCCCGGGTCTAAAGTTCAACGATGGCTCGGCAGCCCTACTCGCTGCTGATCTTGATCGCCCTGAGCGTATTATTGCGTCAACTCTTGGATCTCATAGGAAGACATCCAACGAGAAGAGATTAGAACTGCTCGACGACTGCAAAGATCAAGTCAGAAGATTTGCGCTGATCCTATTTCCTACCTTGACGGACGCATTTTCAAGCACCGTGAATCTGAGCGTGCGACAGAAGGTGCTCACCGCTCAGTTGAAGATGTTGTCCAATTTAGACAGAGACATCCTCGTCGACGCCCTGAAAGCTGTTCCTTATGCCTCGTTCCTGGCCGCTATACTCTCTCAGCAGGACCATCCATCGCTCGTCATGTCTGCTGTCCAGATCACGGAACTTCTTCTGAATCGTCTGGATGATATCTACCGCTACCAAATTTACCGCGAGGGAGTGATCACAGAGATAATGAAGCTGGCAGCTGAATATCAGGAACCCGAGACTAGGCCGGCCGAGACATCGCAAGACCATAGTATGGCATCCGGAGACGAAGGTGACAGGGTCTCTATTCACAATGGCTCCGATGATGAGGACGATGAGGACCGTGAGGATGAGGATGAGGACGAGGACGAGAACGATGAGGATGACCAAGAAAATGATCACCATGACGACGATATGTCCGGCTCCCCCGCTAGTTCAGATGGATCTACTATGTCTGTCGACGGCCCGCAGCGCCCTTTCGTTGGTGACATCCCATCTATGAAGTCACGCATCGCGGAGACGGCAAAGAAATTCTTGGAGACTCACGAGACGGAGAAGCATAGTAAGAATATGAGAAAGAAGGCTAAGAAAATTCTTGAAGATCTCGAATTACTAGCTAGTGGACTCAACTCGTTCTACCTCCAAAGGACCGCGAAGGATCTTTCTCCCGCCAACGGGACTGCCCTCTTTGAAAGGCTAGCGTCCTATTTCGACGCGGATGTACTTGACAGTGTGACAAGCGCTGAATTGCTTGCATCAGGTCTCGTGCGTGTACTGGAAGACGTTTTCAGCAACCCCGACGAGACGCTGGCCAATGCGGCGAGAGCTTCGTTCCTCGAAGTCTTCATGGGCCGCTATGTTAGCTCGCGGCCGAAGACTGCAACTGCAGATTCTCCCGCTACGCCATTCAGCCTTCTTATCCATAAACTTCAGGATCTCCTTAGCCGATCAGAGCATTTCGAAGTTATTACTGTCCACCACAGTACATTTGATGGCAATCGCAGCAGCGCAGCGTCTATGTTGGCGAAACAGATCAGGCTTCGATTAGTCGCAGACGATGACTCTGACATCCCTCGCTCTTTCCGAAGTATTAATGTCCACATCCATGCCATTGCTACTTTTAAGGCCCTCGACGACTGGTTACGCCCTAGAATAAGTCTTCACGAGCGTCCCCGCGGCCCGAGATCTCGTGATGGATTGACTAGAGCATTAGCTGCAATGGCTAGTTCAGCAGGACTACCATCAGGGCTTACATCTGCTGAGCGCCTTGCCGAGCGATTAGGATCTCGGGCCGAGCAATTAGCATCGGGGTATCCGAGCAACCCGCCTCCGATCCCAACGCAGGCTTCAGGTTCTCGTCCCCCACGAAGATCCAAGTCAAGACAGCCAGGACAGCCTGATACGCCGTCTAGTGCGACGTCGACACCAGGCTCCGGCCGAGAGAAGGCTATTCTTCGCAGGTCAACTCGGCGCCAGCCAGCACAAGCGAGTGAATCGCAAGCCCCACCGCCCCCTCCACCGCCTCCCGATGACGATGAGGGCTTGCAGAATGCATTAGAATGCGCGGATGAAAAGCCGATAACTGACGAGGACGATGAAGCGGAAGCTGCTGATAGCAGTGCTCTCGACGCTATAGTAGGCGAGCTCGACGAGGATATGGAAGATGCACCCTCTTCAGACCCATCTGCGGTTAACTTGGTGGAGGCTGCCGGTGGAAGGATTACGGCCAGAAAGGAGGATGGGACTCGGGTTCCTACTCCAGCTCAGAGTGGTTCTGCAAACTTACCAAGCCGTAGTGCGCCTCCACCTCAGCCGTCGGGGTCGCAGCAGGCTACACCAACCCCGACTCCTTCGGCATCTCGACCTCTTTCTTACGCGGCTGCCATTCAGTCCGTACCCCAAGACTGGCATATCGAATTCAGTCTAGAAGATCGAGTGATTCCAAATGAGACCACTATCTATCGAGCAGTCCATAACCTTGCCAACCCTGTAGAGGATCATATGGGCCGCAGCGTCTGGTCCACCATGCACGTCATCAAATTCCGCCGAGTTCCGGGACCGCCTCCCGCTGAACCTATCGGTTTCAGCTCTTCCTTCGATGGCTCAACTGATGTGAATGGCGTGCCGACTTCGCTCGCGAACAATCCAACAACAGCCTCTATTCTCCGTCTACTAAATATTCTGCATGACCTGAACGCAAACATTGACGATATTCTAGTAGAGAATAAGAACACGTTGAAGTTGAATGTGGAACCCTTATCACAGTTTGTCAATACTAAGTTGACTGCCAAGCTCAATAGGCAGCTTGAAGAGCCCCTTATCGTGGCAAGCAATTGTCTACCGGGATGGAGCGAGGATTTGGCTCGGCTATATCCTTTCCTCTTCCCCTTTGAGACCCGTCACTTGTTCCTTCAGTCAACCTCATTCGGCTATGCGCGGTCTATGAGTCGGTGGCAGAACGCTCAACAGGAGGAGACATCGCGTCGCGACCGACGGGACGAGCATCTATTCCTTGGACGACTTCAACGTCAAAAGGTCCGAATCTCGCGGTCGAAGATCTTAGAGTCCGCCTTAAAGGTGATGGAACTTTATGGTAGCTCACAGAGCATTCTCGAGGTTGAATACTTCGAGGAGGTCGGGACAGGTCTTGGGCCTACTCTCGAGTTTTATTCCACGGTGTCGAAGGAGTTCTCGAAGAAAAAACTTAGACTTTGGCGCGACATGGATTCCAACGATTCGGGCGAATTTATCTCCGGTTCCACTGGCCTGTTCCCTCGGCCGTTGAACGACGATGACCCAAGCACCAACGTCATCCTCCACCTATTCAAGATGCTTGGAAAGTTTGTTGCCCGATCTATGATAGATTCTCGGATCATCGACCTCAACTTTAACCCCATCTTCTTCCGCATTAGTGAGGATTCTTCTGGCGTAAAGCCGTCATTGGGTGCCGTCAAGATAGTCGATCCCGGGTTGGCTCGCTCCTTGAAACACATCAAGAGGTTTGCTATTGCGAAGAAGGCTATCGATGAAGATCCTCGTCGCACACCTGCACAAAAAGTTGCGGATACTGAAAAGATCGTCATCGACAACGGAACACTGGAGGACCTGGCATTGGATTTCACATTGCCTGGATATCCCGATATTGAGCTTACACCAGGCGGTTCTCACATACCTGTCACCATTTACAATGTCGAATCTTACCTAGAGAAGGTTATCGATATGACTTTATCCCGCGGTGTCAAGCGTCAAGTTGAAGCCTTCCGCACTGGTTTCTCGCAAGTATTCCCATACTCTGCTCTGAGCGCCTTCACACCTGATGAATTGGTGGCACTATTCGGGCGCGTCGAAGAGGACTGGTCTCTCGAGAGTAAGTTTATAAGACCAATCGTTACCATTTATAAAGCTAACCTACCTATTCCAGCTCTTATGGACTCGATCAAAGCCGATCACGGTTTCAATATGGATAGCAGAACAGTCCGAAACCTTCTACAGACGATGAGCGAACTCACTGTTGCGCAACGACGCGACTTCTTGCAGTTCACTACTGGTAGTCCAAAACTCCCCATTGGAGGTAAGCATCATGACATCTCCCCCACCCTCAGGACCCATTTTAACCGTCGTCGCAGGGTTCAAGAGCTTGACCCCCATGTTCACTGTAGTGTGTAAACCCAGTGAACCGCCTTACACATCTGATGACTATCTCCCAAGCGTCATGACGTGTGTCAACTACTTAAAGTTGCCCGACTACACTAGTATTGATAGCATGAAGCGACAGCTCTTCACTGCTATCAAGGAAGGTCAAGGTGCCTTCCATCTCTCTTAATCGCCAGCACGAGGGTTTTTATGAACAACACAGTCCGAACATCACGCATCAATATTGTGATACGTGGACATCATTGATGAAGGAAAATGAGGCATTGATTTTTTTTCTTCTCCGTCGTCCTGGCGCACCTCGCATAGGTGCGTCGGGTTTTTTCTTTTCTTGGCACACCCGCCATAATTCCCTTCTTACGCCCGTCATGAACCTCGACAACGAAGATGGAGGTCGGAACAAGGCACGAGATACGGAAGGGTTGAAAGGGAACGTCTGATGCATGGAAAGGTTGTTTCGGCGTAGGAATGAAACATGATTCCAGGCGGGATTGAATTTAAGCATCAGACTGGACAGCCCTGGCAAGGACAGTACTTGTTTTGCTTTTTACCTTCGCAACCGGGTGGCTTCACATCTTCTTCATCGGGTAGATAGATTGGCCAATTTGTCTCCAAGTATTGATTTCTAAAATTTTCTACCCGTTCCCCCAAAATGGCGTTTTGCTACTTCGCTGTCACGCTCTTCGAGTCTTAATACAAACCCCCCCTTTACTTAAAAGAGGATCGGGGTCTAAGTGATCATGATTATTTGCTGAATTAGATTGTGCATGTGTCTTATACATGATAATGATATGTATGGAGCATCCTTCCTACGTAGTTGTTTCTATAACTTAGACTCCGTGCCCACTACAGACCCGTTCCCCTTATTCCCCTTCCTCGTTGGTGGCCGACCGACATTATCGAGGAATTTCTCACTCAGCGTAATCTTCTCTCGAACCGGTAATCTAGTCCATTGCTCATACTCACGCTCCTGCTCCCGCCACCGCTTCATCTCCTTCCCTATCCAGACAGCAGCATGGCGCGCGCACTCGGCGGGAATCTCCATGGGGAATAAATGTCCCCTCCCTTCCATAACGACCGAATCTACGCGACCCTCGGCAATCCCGCCAGAGCCCCCGCCGCCCGAACCGCACGCCTCGGTCTTCAGCTTCCGCGCCTCTGGAGTACCGAGCTCGCTATCGCCGCCGAAGACCCAGAGCACGGAAGGCCGCACCTCGGGCAAGTGCTTTAGGATATCCGGACCTTCGGAGCGGTAGAAGGGAAAGATCTCGGGGGTCAGCGTCAGCTTATCCTGCATCTCCGGGTCGAAGTCCGGCGCGCCGACGCGGTCGATGGTGCGGGTCTGCTTGTCGACGTACGGCCAGAGGGGCCGGAAGAAGGTGAAGACTTCCTGGTGCTTGGTCGTCCGCAGGGTGGCTTTGTCGGCGGCGGGCGAGGTGGAGGGGAAGACCGCGGTCGGGGTCGGGCGCACGGCGTGCGTGCTCCACGCCGCGAGCACGCGCGGGTCCCAGGTCCGGTAGAAGGAGGACTTGTTGAAGGACTCGACGGCCGCGTCGACGGTGGGCCAGGTCTCGCGCCGGAAGGCGGAGGCGCGGGCGGCGGACTTGCCCGGGCCGTCGCGCTGGAAGGAGAAGGTGGTTATGGTGGGGTCGAGCAGGACCAGGGTGGTCAGGAGCCGCGGGTGCAGCAGGGAGAGCTTGGTCAGGGTGGCGGCGCCGAAGCTGTGGCCGACGCCGATCAAAGGGCGCGGCATCTCGGCGCGGAAGACGTTGGTCATGTGCAGCAGGTCGCGCGCGTGGTCGTGCCAGGACGGGTCGTTGCCGAGCACGTCCTCGTTCACGACACCGCTGTACCCCTGGTTCGTCACGTCCGCTATCCAGATCCCGCGGATGCGGAAGCCCCGACTGCCCTCGCCGTCTTCTCTTTGCGAGGCTAGGGACTGCGCGTGCAGGTCCGCCCACAGCGGCTCGTACAGCTCCTTCGGAAAGCCGTTCGCGTGCGCGCCGATGATGGTCACGTCGCCCGGCTGCGGGCTAGGGTTGTCGATGGGCACGTACTGCTTGATACTGATGTAGAGCACGTCCTCCTGCGAGCGCGAGGTCGCGCGCGGGTACTCGCGCACGTGCTGCGAGGGGATGACGTGCTCTTTTATGTGGAAGGGGAAGGGCGACATGGTTGACTGGGTGGTTCGGTTGATGAATTTGAATTAGCGTCTGGGTACCGCTGGTTTGGCGAGAGTTGGTCGAGAGCACAAGGCTCTTGGGTTCTTGTGAAGTATACCTATGGGATATATAGGGTGGTAGTCGATGCTACGCAGCACGAAGAGTGCCGGGAGGCTCTTATTAAGCACCCGAGACTTTTGCTTAGGAAGCGTCGAAGGTCTGGGTGCTTAAAGATCTGACACAGTCATTATACCCATACGAGATTGCCTTGTGCTGCCGTCGAGGTTCCAATGTTGTTTCAGTGAATTCTCGGTGTGGCATTCAAGTTTGCTACTCCAACTAGGTATATAGAGCGTGGTCGATTTAGCCGCGGCTGAGTGCCGTCCGCTGGTACCGTCCTACAGTTTCTCAACGCTAAGATTTTAAGGCACTCGGCCGAGACAGACACGGCTTGTTGTTTCGGCGACAAACAAGAAGCAAAAGATATAATTTATAGGATATAGAAATCAGATAGAACTAAGGCCAATTCCTGATTCTTTGTTAGATATGTAAGTGAATTGTATAGGTAGATTTTACCTCGAACATCAAACTTACCAATTGAAATATTTCATTGATACTATTACATAGCAGAAATTTTGAATCAGTCAAATAAATCTAAGTGATTCACCAAAAGCAACTTGCCGGATTCAAGCTGAAAGCCGATCCCGACTCTATGATCCGGTATGTATACCTATGCAGATATGCAGGGGCTGGAGACACATACCTCGGCCCATGTCCCGATGCAGGCTACCGGACTTGGCGCGGGGAGCACAAATCGATGCATCTATCGAGTGCGGATACACCTTGTACTACGTAGCCCCATATTTATTAATTGATATGCATTTGACGCGATAGCTTTAATTGTGTCCACTCCACTTTAACGCTTAACCGCGTTTATGACGCATCTTCATTCATATCTTACTTCCTGCACTGCCCCTTACTAACATCACCCTCGGAAGGTGAATCTTATCTTAACTTACTTACTGTTTAAATCAGATATCCAATATTCATCTCTGAATCACTATTCTTTTGGGCTCACAAGAATATCGCCGTATTCAAATTGATTGCGCACCTGGCAGGATTCAGGTATCGACAGGATCTGTGGCACTTGGGCCAACAATGCCACCCCAGACACGATCCCGTGGCAAACCACCCGCGAGTGGGTCATATCGATCAACTGCTGCAGCTCCCAAGCAGCAATTATTTCCTGCACGTCGCAAGCACGTCAAAACTTATGGACGCCCTCGATCTGCAAGAAAAGATCCCAAGCAAGGAACATTGACCCAGATGGACTTCGTTACGCCCTCCATGCCAGAGGACCCCCTCAACTCGGAGGAGGAAGTCGAAGATGAGAATGACGATGCTGAAGAGCAAGAGGCTCCTGCGCCTGTAGAACCTGCCAAGCCTAAGAAGAGAGTTCGGGAATCCCGGCGTAAGACAGCTGGCGATGAATTGACCAAGGATGGAAAACCAGGAGATGCGAAGAGACGCAAGACTTTGGGAGATATTCCGCCCTCCAATCCTTCCAGTAGCTTCCATACTCAGACTTTGACTCAACTGCTTTCCGTCAAGGGCGAAGATGAGGAAAACGATCCATGGCAGATCAACGATTCAGAAGATGACGATGCAGATCTCATAAAGGAAACCCCAACAAAACCAAAAGAACATGCTCCATCTAAGCTTCATGAGACCATGCCAGAACCACAAATTGGAATCAAGTCCTCCCTTCCGAGTCTCGTCCAATCTGTTACCCCAACCAACCGTCGACAGAGATCAGTCATTCCATCTTCTAGCACAACAGTGGCAACGCCTTCATCAACACCCATAGTACCACGTTTTGCCATGCCACAAAACTCACCTCTAGCTGGCAAATCTACCAACCTCAACGCACCGTCTCCAATTATCAAGAAAGTCAACAAGACGCCGAAGCTCGGTGATAGAGTGATTCAAGATTCATATAGCACATCTCACAGCTCCCCAGCTATGTCTCTCCGGTCGTCGATTGCTAAAGTGACGCCAAAGAAGCAGACTCGGTTCAAAATACCTCCTGAGAATAAAGAGAATATTACACCAAACAGGACCGAACCGAAGTCGCCAAAGCTGCCAAAAGATAGTTCATCTCGAACACCTTTAAAAGAAATTCCGGATTCCGATTATGACTCCGACGAAACCCATATGGAAGGTGAACAGGTCATTAGAGCACGTCAGAACGCTCCAGTGGAGGATATCCCTGCCACAGACGACCAAGATGACCCCGGAGCTGCAGAGACATGTTATGGTGTTATCGGAGCTGAAACACAGGCTGAGCTTGACCTTCTTCGAGGACTTGATGAGAGCGACTCTCGGGAGGAGAGCCGATCACGTTCGGCCACTCCCACGCCGAAGCCAAGACGAAGACAGAAGCAAATTTTACGCGCGTCCCAAGCTACAAGTGTCTCTACTCCTGCGTCAGCTTCGGCTTCTGTGGTAAAAGAGACGCCTTTGTCTTCCCCACGACAGGAGCCGCCTGATGAGGACATGGAAAATACGCACACTCAAGCCTACACTCAAGGCTTTGAGAGCCAACGATTACCCCTAGAAACCATCCGCTCTCTTGGTCCCCAGACTGGCAATTCTGATATCATGGTCTCACTTCACCCCGAGCCCTTAGCGAGAATCCTTGACCGTACAAAGGACCACGAATTCAGAGTCTGGAAGATACCCCCTGACGTATCTCGTATTTGGATTTACTCAACCAGGCCATTTTCTGAGCTGAAGTACATGTGTATTCTTAGTCCACCGAAAGTACCTGGAGAAATTCAGGACGAGAAGGGAATCGGAAATGCCGAATTCAATCAAGGAAAACAGACTGCTAAGTTCGCTTATGAAATATTACAGGTCTATGAACTGAACAATCCGGCTTCCCTGGACGAGATGAAAAAGAAAGGTTGGCTATCTGCCGCTCCGCAGAAGTACATCAAGGTTCCTCCGGCAGTTGTTGGAGAGCTCACGGCGAATTTGAAGTGCGCTTTGTTTGGTGAAAAGCACGATGCAGAGGGCGCACTCGAGGCGAGCAACCCAAATGTCACTGAATCACAAGAACTCAAAGCACAGCTTCAGAGTGATGCGGATTATTCGACCCAGCATCGTTCACCCGAGAATGTGAATGAAGTGATTCCTTCAACCCAAACACCGATCAAGTCATCTGGCAAAAAGAGCCAATCCGGTGATATTAGGGATTTTGTGAAACCGGCTGTGCCCAGATTGATGTCAGGCTCTTCGGTTCGATCACAGCGAGATCCCGTGAGTCAGAGATCGCAAGGTTTCGTTAGACCCTCCCAAGCTACTACAGTCTCAAGCCCCGCCGTATCTCCCGAGAAGTCGCTCCCTCAGGCTATACATATTTCTAGCGAAGCATCTTCCCACAACATTCATAGCAGCAGTCCGACAGCTTATCGGAATGCTCGAAATAACTCCCTAAGATCTTCACAGTTCCTGACACGAAGCCAGATGCTGCCGGACAGCTTGGTCAACGAGGAAATTCAAGAGCCACCGCCGATTATATGGGACTCGGCGGATGAACAATCAGATTCATGATTCATTAGCAAGGTTACGTGTTTAGGTATCCGCGTGGGCGTTGCATGGATGGGTTAGGCTTTTACCCTATAGGATAGGAGATGACAAGGGGGAGTGCGCACAATTTGGCGTTCTGGTATGCTAGGCTAGCTATGATGCCACGTTTGTTTTTCCAGGGCACATTGAAATCATGGAAATAATCAGACAGCATTATTATCAGGAGTTAGGTATCCTATGAAGAAGCTTCATGCATTTCTAAACCAAGCATGTATTAATGTTGACCTACGTGAAACAGTACATTTGAACCATTTACATACATGCTAGTGAAGAGCATTATTCCAATTCCATCGCTAGCTTGGTCCAGCATCGCTGTTTAGTTATATACTCGGGTTTCCAGTCTCGCTAACGCCAGTATACAAAAATACCACCGAAGCCGGATCATCGCGGCGGTACGTAATCCTCTCCAAACCCAGGATACACGATACCTTGAGTCAGTTCTGGATCGAGCAAAGCGGGAGTTGTCAGGCTTTTGCCAGGGTGACGCACAAAGTTAGCAGGGGTCACGTATGAGTCAGACGAAGAGAAGGGGGAGAAGGTAAGAAAACTCAGAGTATCACTAAATTCAAATTCAGAGGGGAGAAAATGAGAAAATAGGAATGGAGAAAAGGGAAAACTCACCGTCGCGGCCGACGTTTCGGGGGTCTTTGCGTCCTGCACGGGCATCCCGGACAGCCTAGCATGAATATCACGCACATTATGAGGAAACCGCCCAGGCCGAACAGGAGCCCCGTCGTCGGGTCCCACTTGACGGGCCGGAAGGGCTGCATGACGGCCGTGGTGGTTGCTGGCGGAGGCTCGATGATGACTGCTGCTGCGGAATCGGATGTGGTTGTGGATGGGGCGAGGGTGAGTGTCGTGGTGAGGTCGTCGACTGTTGTTGTTGTTGCTGGGGTCGGTAGCGTGGGTGTGGGCGTTGGTGTTGGTGTCAGGATTTGGACGAGCTCGGATTCGAGCTCGGCTAAGGCCGAGTCCGAGGCGGAGAGCGGACAGTTGTGCTGCCATGAGTCCCGGAACGAGGCTGGGAGGGAGCAGAAGTGTCCCGTGGAGTCATATCTAAGGGGTGTTAGTTACTTGGTTTGGTTTGGCTGGACCTAAGGGGAATGAGGTGATTGACTTACCGGTCGCAGATGTCCTTCTCTGATGCGTAGATGAGCACGTTGCCTTCTGACGTCGGCATGAGGATGGCACAGTTCCCCGGCGCACTTGATGTGGTGTCTTTGACGTCCATCGTGGTGTTTCTCTTGTGTAAAGTAGGTAGCTTCATGATGTCTAATGAGCGTCTTGATACAGCTAATACTGGTAATTGCTTGTATCTGTATAGGTGTATTATGGATAGGAGTAGTATATATAGCAATGGGCAGATATTATAAGGCACAAGAACGAATTAAGGCTTAGTAGGGTTCCCATTCTTGCTTATTCCGGACCAACCTTAGATGGGAGGCGTCATCTAATAGGGGATAAGACGCCTTCCTATCTTAACCTCCCATAATCCTATCGCTCGGATAGCAGCCGTGACACATGGGAGCATAGTTTCGTGATGTTCACCGTGAGACTTTACTTCCCGACGTATTTCCAAAAAAAAAAAAAAAAAAAAAAATTTTCAATAAGCCGGCTTCGATCTCTATATTCATACAAATTGGGTTGGGACGCAGTTTCTCTTGGCCTGCCATAACAAGTTTCGACTAAACTTAAGAAACTTCGACTGGATAGTATCCATGACTACCTACTCTTGATGTAGAAGGGTCTATTCAAGAAGCTTAATCATAATAGATACCTACTCGAACTAATAAAAGTATATCTTTGAGCTAAGTGGGCTATCCACGAGTTCGGATACACTATGAAATTCAAATATCCAAGGTTATCCTAAAGGGGTAGAGCTCTCATTCATCCACATCAGAAGTATTTTAACATTGTTTAGCACCACAGGCTCTTATAAACCTACGGGTATTAGTTACATGATACTATAATTACATTTTGTGGTTCAAGGCAGTTCGTTGAAGGATAAAAGATGTTAAGGTTAGGGGAAAATAGGAGACATAATACACAACTCCACGTAATCGCCTCAGCACTTTCATGAGTTATATGCTGACATGTAAGATACTATAGCTGTACCTATGTAACACTCGCTGCGGCGCTCGAGCAAAAGGGCAGCTCGCTCATCATCATCGCATTACCTTGATGAAAACTACCTCGTATGACACGCTTTCATACGTGTGGCGATACATCTGAGCGTAAGCATATGTTACGATTTTGGGAATGTCATTTAGAGAGAAAAGGGGCAAATTCAGAAAGGATTATGTCTCTCGAACTGTCGCCACAGCATCACGTTTTTGCCATTGCCGCAAAGAGAGGCTACAGCACTGACCTGTCCGTGTTGGGTGACGAGGCGCCCTGCCTTTCGAGTCAGAAAATCCAGTCGTGTTAATCGAAAACAGTTGATCCCCAGCACGCAGGCGCTGCGTTTGGTAAAGATAGTAAAATAGATGTACGCCCTAGTGTTCACCTAACGTTCACCTGACGAAGCACTCTTAGGGCCAGAAGTTGATACGGCCTCAAATCAAATACAACAGGGTTGATTTTAACGTTAACGATGTTAATTGTATCAAAGATATGTACAAGCCGCATAACCGGCCTCTATTTCTTAGGTTCCTCCTTCTTTTCCTCGGGCTTAGGTGTAGGCAATTTGAAGCTCTCCGGCTTGCGATCCTCACCAAGTCCGACGGGCTCCCATGCTGTGGAACCCCCTTCAAAGTTACGGAAGGCTTGCGTCATTTCTAACGGCTCGGTAACGATGCGCTTCTTCTCTTCGTCATATCGGATTTCGGTATACCCGGTGAGGGGAAAGTCCTTTCGGAGGGGGTGGCCCTCGAAACCGTAGTCCGTCATGATTCGACGCAGGTCCGGGTGGCCGAGGAAGAAAACACCAAACATATCGTAGACTTCTCGCTCATACCAGTTGGCGCCATCAAATAAAGAGGTAATGCTGGGCACTGGCGACGCCTCGTCGGCGTACGTCTTAACTCGGAGTCGCGCATTATGTCTCACACTTAACATATTGTAGACAATCTCGAACCGCTGGTCTCTGGTGGGGAAGTCGACGGCGGTAATACTACTGACTTGGGTAAACTCGGCAGCCGTGTTGTCTAGCTCTAGGTTAGTAACTGCGTTATGTTATTCTTGAGCGAATGGGGCCTTACACTTCAAGAAAGAGAAGACGGGTATGACTCCGGAAGGCGGGATATAGATAACCAGTTCATCCTTCCAGACGGAAAACTGTTGGATGTACTTAGGCAAGCAACCCATAAGCCAAGCTCCGTAGCGATGGAGGTCATCGGCCTTCGAGGAGTATTTGTCGGCGGGGTTTACGACGGGGACCTTGAGTTCCTTCGGGTGGTCCCGCGGCGCCTGCCTCGGGTTTGTGGTATCCTTGGGCATGGCGACATTTTGACGAGCAGTGGAGGCGATGCAGCGGACGACCTGCTCATTCCGGGACGATAACGAGGGCTTCGCCGGTCGCAGAGCTGATGCGAAGGCCCTGCTTCGGCAGAGCTTGGTCGCCATGGTCGATGACGATAGTAGGCGGGCCAATTGGTGGTAGGTGTATTAGAGCTGGTTGAGTATTAAATCGTCATGAGCCTCCGAATCCAATAATTGACCTAGTATTGGCGTAACTCAGGCCGTTACTTCTACAGTGCATACAGTGTACGGCAGGTCTGATCCAATCAGAGTGGGACAATTCCCAATTTGCGGAATAATGTTCAGCTTGCTCCGACTAGCATGAACTAGGACTGCTTAGGTAACATGCTTAAGTAATTGCCTAACTTGTGCAGCACCTGCCCAATTAAAATCCTACTCCCATATTTTGTGACGTAGCACATGACTTGCACCTCCAATTCCCAACTTCCAACTTTTAATAAACCAGTACCTAGACGTTCCTGCTCCTCGGACCCATCCAGACCGCTAAGAAGGTCACAGAAACTCTGCTACAGATTAAGAGACTGCGTTGGTGAATCCACATACCTACCTGTCAAGAACACGTTTCCTATCACCGAGCACTTTTCATCGCGTTGCGGTGACAAACACCAAGTCACATCACAAAGGAGACTTGGGAGTCCAAATTGAACAATTACCTATCAACTGCATTGTTTCCTACACATATTCACATATTCGCATCCGAAAGAGTGTATTAGACCCCACTTAATTACCACTTAGGTAATCCGCATTTGGTTACCCAGGTACCTAGTACCTCGCACAGTCACAGCACTCAAGGTGGGAAAGAATAGCTGAGGCAAATCCAAAATTGGCGCTAAGCCGCTAAGCCAAATTAGGTCACACAGGCTACTTAGCGCGAATCGGGTCAACGTTTCTTTTCGGCGACGCTCTGATCCAATCTTTCTGCATTAAACTCCTTTGCCTTTTCACCTTCACCTGCACTTTTATGTTGTTACCCTCAATCATCTCTGGTTAACGTTCGCCTGACACCTCTCTCCAAAGATTCGCGACGTTTCTCAACAAACCAGATTTGGTCTCCATAATCTCTCTTTTCCTTTAAACACGGTTTTACGGGGGTTTCGCATGTTTTTCCCTCGCTATTATCACCATTTCTCTCTTCCTGCATAATCACCCGATATTTCAACCCAAAACTTGACACATAGGCACGACGCGCCTCTTGAACACGCATCAACGCATACTCTACCAATAACTGGCGACCTAATACGCGAACTCACCGTTGCCGATTTGGGTTGGTGTTGGGGCTATTTTGTCGAGCAGCCTCAAGTTTGTAATCAAGCTTGTCCAAGATCGATATGGCTCCTCAAGATAGCTTCATCGATGATGAAGAGGATACCTGGTACGCCATCGCTCTGTTACTCCATATCCTCTCTATTGTCACAGGATTCAGTTGCTAACGTGTTGCATAAAGCCCTCTGTGCATAGAAGAGTTCGATCTTTCCGACAGAAACTTCAGGCCATGTCCCTGCGGATATCAAGTAAGACTTTGGGGCCCGTCCTGTCGCGGTGTTTGACTACGTTACTAATAGCCCTGCCTTAGATCTGTCAGTTCTGCTACAATAATCTGAAAAACAACCTGAACGGATTATGTCCCGCATGTCGACGGCCTTACGACGAAAAAGACATCAAGTGGAAAGTGGTTACTCATGAAGAGTATGTATATTATGGTCGATCTAAACCTGTTGAGGATATGTGGCTAATTCTTGTTAGGGAGGCTGAATTCCGAGCAAACATTCAGAAGAACCAGAAGAAGCGAGCAACGGAGCAACGCCAAAAGGAAGTTCAGAAGCGCGAAGCCGAAAAGGAAAGCCGCAAGAATCTTCAGGGTGTCCGCGTCGTACAAAAGAACCTTGTTTACGTCACAGGTTTAACACCTACTGTACGCGAAGACGAGCTGCTGAAGACGCTCCGCAAGCCTGAGTTCTTCGGCCAGTATGGCAACATCCAAAAGATTTCGATCAGTAACCGCAAGACTGCCGATGGGCAACCTCAATCGCTAGGTATCTACGTCACATTCGAGAAGAAGGAAGACGCCGCCCGGTGCATACAAGCCGTACACGGCTCGCAAAATGGCGATCGTATTTTAAAGGCGCAGCTAGGAACGACCAAGTACTGCTCGGCATGGCTTCGGCATGAACAATGTGGAAACCGACAATGCATGTTCCTTCACGAGCTTGGTGACGAAGAGGACAGTTACTCCCGGCAGGACCTCTCGTCGTTGAACAGTGTTCATACCCAACGGCCTCTCTCGAATAATGCGTCTTCGTCGCGCTCCGCATCACGACAACAGGCTCCATCGCATCCGCCGGCTGCCGGATCACAACCCATGGTCCGCACCTCTAGCAAGGAAGGCTCGGATGCTGGTGATGGCCCTGCTCTACCACCCTCGGCGAATTGGGCACGCACCACCCAGCAGCGAAGTAGAAGAGGAAGTCATGCTACTAGCGGTGCTGCCTCGAGTCCTGCTATATCTACTTCATTGCCTGTCACTAGCGAGTCTGCGCAAGAGACAAATGAATCTGCGGTGGTTACAGAGCCGCCTCCTTCGACTTCCGCTTCTCGGAAAGCTGAGAAACAGCCGGCAACTGAGGCACCTGCTAAGACCACACCTACTACTGCTGCTGTCACTGCTAAATCAACAAGTGAAGACGATATACCCGATTTTAGTATCATTCTAAAGCACCTTTCTGAGTACCCGGAAAGCGCCTTTGCGCCGATCAAAGACGCTGGCGATGACTATCCCCCTTTATTCGACGTCAATGGGGGTAAACGAAGACGAGCTATGAGAGACGAAGAAGAGAATCGTCTAGGCGATCATGAAGAACAGGTCGATAACCTGGAGCCCTCTGAAGGCGAACCTGAGAGCGGTAGTCTCGCCTTAGGGGGTGAACCTGAAGATAGAGATCAAGGCCGTAATAGTGGTCGCTTCGACCAGAGACGAAATCCGGCACAGCCCCCGATCCAACGGACGAACACAAACGACTTGTTCGGACCAACCTTATCTGGATACGGTTCAACTGCCTCAGCCGTCGGTTCTGGTGGAGGCCGCACTATCACGCCACAGCTATTCGTTCGACCCCAGAATAGTTTCGCCGATCAGATGCCGCCCGGTATCTTACCACAATCATCTTCGCTCTTCCAGGGCCAAGGACATAGTCGCCAGCAGTCTAGATTCAGCTTTGCGAATGAAAACAACTCGAGCTCGATCAATGTGAAGTCAACTGGTGACCCGCGGTACATGGCTCAGCAATCGTCGATGATGCCGTCCACGTATCGTTCGCAGCCGGGCAATCAGCTATATCCTTCATCCATACCGGGACCTCCGCCAGGACTTAAGTCGGCTGGCTCAACGCCTGTTAACGGTGGGATGTTCAGCCAAGGAAATTCGTTTGGGGGATCGGTGTTTGGTGTAGGATCCAAGGACACTTCGAGTGAGCTACTCCAGTCCATTATCCGCGGAAGAGGTGCGGGAAGCACCCAGGCCCACGAGGCGGCAAAGCGTGAGTACTTCCCTTTTAGTAATCAATACCCGTCTTCCTCCTCCTCCACCCCAGCTCCTGCTCCGGCTCCGGGCCTATTGGCATCGCTCCACGGTTCCCAGCCTGGGGCTTTCCAAGATTTCGGACCAAAGCAGAAGAAGAAGGGGAAGAAGCACAGACACGCTAACACTTCCTCCTCTGGGGGGAGTGGCTTAGTAGATCTTGCGGACCCGAGTATCCTGCAGGCGAGAATGCAACACCAGCAACAGGGAACCAGTACCGGAGTCGGACAGGGGCTATACGGTGGACAAAACCAAGGTGGGTACAACCCCAGCATGGTGTATGGGAGCGGCGTATACAGCAGATGGTAAAGAAGGGTGGCATATTTGATTTTATTCATTTGACTGGCTGGCTTCCACATGGCTACGTCGGGGGCGTCTTAGGTTTTTCGGAATGGGCAAAGGAAATTAATCGGAATACTCCGTCAACTTTTTTTAAGCGAGCATTGCAGAGGCATGGCCCAGGGAGGGTCTAGGTTGCATTTGGGCGTCGAGTATGCGATTGGAAACGACGAGGCCTTGCGCGAACAGTGCTTGCCCTTTTTTTGCTGAAGATACTTGATTTCTGGCGCTATTCATTTGTTGTTCGCTCGCATCATCGGTTACATGGGTCACGTTCAGGCAAGCCGTCGTCGTTCTTCCACAAAGTTCTTCATGTACGTTAACCCACAGGTCGATCCTCCAGACCAGACCTGAGAAGCTGCTCTCAAATATAGCATTTCTTCCTCATACCCAGTTGCTATAGTCATGTATAACTTGTGGAAGACGACGATGGAAGCTTTGTGACGTGACCTTTGCTTTTCTCGTCTCCTTCGTATTGTAATTCACCGCGTATTCATGGTGCCAGTAGCTAACGTATTTCTTTAGACGATGACCTCTTACCACCCGAAGCTTCCTCGTCCGTGGATGCTCTCGTTGCTGACGACGACGACGACGGGCTGGAGAATTCTCAACTGTCGTTCCTGTCGGATGAAGGACGGGTGCCGTCCGTGCCTCCGGGGCTTGGTCTAAGTCATGCACATCCTCCTACCGCGCCCCTAGTCGAGAGGTTTTCGACTCCCGTGCCGCAAGGCCAAGCAGGTCAAATTTTGGCATCTTCAAAATCACCTGCCATTCCGCGGCCCGTGACCCCGTTGGTTCCAAAAGCCGTTGCAAGGCGTGTTACTTCGAGTAAGGTAGAAAATGCCGCTGCTGCCGGAACAGAAGCCAAGAAGAGTATTAAGGAACTTGCCGCGACAAGTGGTCTGTCGAAAGACATCGCAGCTCAGTCCTCGAAGTCGTCGAAGGGCAAAGGGGTCCTCCAAGAAGAAGATTTCCCGGCTCTCGACTCCGTCAAGGCTAGCTCGCCTCCGAAGATCACCCCAGTCTTGCCTTCGAAGTCATCTTCTTCCGCTAAGGCGCCACAGGGCAAGAGAGTTACGAGCAGCACAGCAAGCCAAGCACCACCGGTAAATCCTACTACTAATAAATCTGACAAGCGTCCAGTGCCTGGCACACTTGACATCGCGGCGGCCACAAAGACAGTTCCGCAAACTAGTGTCAGTGAAACTCTCACAACTAGTGGAACAGATAAATTATCTAGTCAAGGTCCTAATAGTGCTACCCAGCCTCAGAAACCACAAGTAGCTTCTACCTTGCCCACCCCTACGCCTACTACGGCATCTGTATCTTCGCCCTTAGCAAAGGTCGCTCCGAAGACTCTCCGTCTCGTCCACACCCCAAAGACGGAGGCTCCACCTATTCATATACCTCCTGCGGCTGTTGCGTCGATTCGAGCTGCTGGAATAGCAAGTTCTACCCACCGACCCGCAACACCAGCCAGTGAGGTCATATCAGACACTGCATCCATTGTTAGTAATTCTGTCTCCGTGTCTCGGACAAGCTCGCCGCCGCCCTCAAAGCTTGGCTCTGCACCTGTGCGTGCAACTACGAAGAGTCAGCAGCGCAAACAACGCAAAGAAGCCTCGAAGGAAGCCGCTGCACAAATTGCCGAGTCCAAGCCAGTCGAGAAAGAGGTAGAGATCGCGCCCATTCTTGGAAGAAAGAAGAAGCAGAAGAAGGAGAAGAAGATGACCGCTGCGAGTCGTCCAGAGACGCCCAGCGGCACAGAGCCGCAGGCGGAATCCTCCGCATTAAAGAATGCCCCTACTCCGATTCCCGAAGATTTAGGCGAAAAGGCCAACAGAGGCACTAGAAGCTCTTCTTTGGCCGAGTCCCCCAAGATCGGCGTACAAAAAAACAAGGCGACTAAGAGCCCTCCTAGGAGCCCTGTAGCCGTTGACACGTCTATTAAGTTGAACGAGTCAACGAAGACTACGGTCTTAACTCCTGACTATGTCGGTCACTCTTCGGAGCCTAAGCTAGAACAGCCAACGGACGAGGATGTCGGTGAAGTTCCTCATCTTCGCGACGTATTCCGAAAACTTGTGGACGATGGCAGTCTTCGCGACGCGGAAACAATCAGCTTCTTCAAGCCTGCGCAAGGGTACCGTTCAGAGTTCATCGGCAACGTCGATATCCCATCGACGCTCGCGCCTACGCTGAAGGCAATCGTCACGAAGGAAGACGAGGAAAAGCTTAATGCATTCCAGTACGTCAGAAAGGTGGTGAATGAGCACAGCGTGCTCTTGACTCCTAACGGGGATTACCTGTTGAACCTGACTGATGATGAGGCCGAGCTATTCATTCAGCTTCAAGACCGCATCAGGATGGAGAGCGCACGCCCCACCACATTTTCAGCGCCTCGCCATACGCCCGCGACAGGATTTAGTCTAGTGAAGAATCGCGCGGTGCCGAACGGGACGCCCTCGTATTTCCCAGCTGGACCAGACAACTACCCTAGCGACCCGGTGGGCAAGATGCACCGGGAAGAGGCTATTAGTTGTATCAACCAGCACGTACTCCCCTCCCTAAACCTAAGCGGCTACAAGTCGACGGGCTCCGGGTCTAACTCCGGCAGGAACGTGAACCTCCAGCAGCTAGCGCCGTGGATCTGTCCTCCCGGGGAGAACGCCGAGGACCGCGGCAAGATGTTCTCCGGCAGGCCCGGCGAGGAGTTCGGCGACGGCGTGTACGGCTGCCACGACCACGCTAACGGCGGGGGACCGTCGCCGTCGATCGGCAGCGCGCCGCTCATGACGGTCGAGGACGCGGAGGCGGCGCTCACGGCGGCCAGGAAGCAGCACGAGGTCCTCGATAAGAAGTTCAGACAGCTCCAGTCTAAGAACCGGAAGCTGGTCGGACTGCTGCATTGACTGCCTGATACTACCCTGCGAGGTGGCGGTATCGCGGCATACGTCGTCGTCGCGGCGGTGTGGGTTGCGGGCGCGGTGGCTGCGGTGGTTATGAACCTTGCGAGGTCCGTCGCTGGCGCGGCGTTAGGGAGGAGGGGTGTGGAGGATTTGGGGGTTTACGTTTTCGCGCGGGATTAAGGGGGTCGCGGTGCCGCGCTTTGTATAGGCTGGTGGTGGTTTGCTTTTACGTTCGCGTTGGGTCTGGAGAGGACTAGGAGTCCATACGGGGTTAGGGTGAGGGTGAGGGTGTGGACTTAGTGTTAAGTACTACGATATTTGTACGAGTACCGGTTGGTGTACGAGCTCCGGCTTACACGACGGTATCACAACCCAGCATAGCTACGGAGGCGAGTCGGATTCGGCTTTGACTTCGATCATAAGAACGGCGTTAGGAAATTAAGAAAAGGGGAGGCATTCATTCACGGCATGAGAATTTGGCGCGCGAGCGTAAGCATGGTTTGTGTGTAACTTGAGTTACGGAATCAGCGGTACCTACTTCAGTGCTAGAGAGTAGTGGTACATAGGTATGGCTACGGTTATGGCTATGGCTCTGGCTGCTGTAGCTTATACGTACATGAACTACGCTGGTTTATTATGACATGTTTGGCTTTTTTCTTGCTGCGTTTCTGCGCATGGCTGTGATTTGATGAGTGCTTTGGGCGTAGAAATAGCTTGGTTCTAAGTTTTAGTTCTCGCGATGGCCTCAGGGATATCGTGGATGATAGTAGCAGTAAGTGGAGATATGCTCTTGCCCCCTTTTGCATGTCAATTTTCAAGGTCATCTCCTTCAGAGCACTGTAACACAGTAGGTACATAGGTAGGTAGCATGTCATTGCCCGTCTCATTTCATTGGCCGCATTTTGTCTGAAGCAAAGACAAATACTGGGCACACGGGAGAGAAAGCAACTCAACGTACACTCGCTCAGACTAAATCTAACTAAATATTAAAATTCCGAAGCTTTACGACGTAAATAAGCCCCAGGCTGAAGCAAGTCTCGCAAAGCGTCTAATACCGTATAAAAAATTGTCATAATAGAGTCCATCCCTTTAAGGTTTCAGTAAGTACCTATAGTATAGGTAGTTATGATTTCAATAACCGTTGTTCCCTGAACCATATTCCATTGGACACTCTCCAATAAGCCTTCAATAAGAATAGGTTTGTGTCATATACGTATTGTATGCTGATTCTTCAGTGATGGTAGAATTTCGTCAAGCCACGTTAGCATGAGATATCAGCTACCACGAGTTCTTCGTGCTTTTTCCGAGCCATCTTCATGTCTCATCCGGATCAGCCATAGCCGTGAACTAATAGCATATAACATGATCTGATATTGCCAACACAGATGTGGAATATGTTGGCTGATCCAGAAGTAAACTATCAATAAGCACGTAGAAATGACCTGTGGCTTTGTAAATCCAGCAGTACATCGAAGCAGTCCCTTGCCGCCTGGTGTCAATGTGGTTGTTCCGGCGACCAGGTCTCGTGAAGTTGAACTGAAACATAGCGCAATTTTGACAGCGTATGCCAGACGACTTGAGTCAAGTATTTGCAATCCGTGTACCACGTGGGCATGATGACGAGTTGGAGCTGGTCCCCTGTTGATCGAATGTCTTCATCGTCCCCTAATTGACTTTTGATGTGAACTTTTCTAACCTTGTACCTTGCCAGCCTAGCCATGGGTATTGTACGTATCCATATGATTTAAATAAATTGTTAAGAGTTAATCGTTTTCGCGGGCCTTACAACACCAACCGCGGAAAACTCATACACCCTTCACTCTCTAGAACTCGATGTTGGAATTTAGGGCAAACCCATCTGAGCGTGAAATTCTCCACACGAGAGTTGGAAGGCCTAGAAATTGACGATACATAGTATACCCTTAGGTGGCTGTCTCAACTAGACTGCTCGCGTGTTTCTGTACAGTCAACCGAGCAGGGATTCGAATAACGCCGGCAGACAAAAAAGATCGACGATGGACTTTTAAAATCCGACTTGATTTTGCGATGAAAGATCATACATGGCCCCCATAAGGCACGTGTGTTTTAGTAGCTGTAATAGCGTGCTGTCTTAGGTCAAACATGTTTCTTTTTCTCGGCAGATTAATCATGAAGAGATTGAGTTACACAAGCTGATAACAACACCTTGGTATTTTTCCGTTAAACGCGTGAATAGAAATTATCATTTTGGCTGAAGTATTTCGACGAGAATGAGATGAGGTATCACGTGGCGGCCGGAGGCTGAGTTCTGAGGCTGATTGTGCCAGCCATTAGGTACCAGCCGCTACATAGCAACTTGAAGGTCGACGCGGGTCGAGTACCGGGATGCCGGAGGTTACACAAAATACATAACATACGTCACACTCACCATACGAAGATACATAATTGGATGTACCTGCCCAAAGCGGACCCACATAGATTAGGTAAACATTCCGATCCAATTACGATGACACCCACCGATTCGCTTGATTCACTTATTCTTTCAAGATCTAAAGGCAAAGAACGCTTCTGCTGCGATCGGCCACCTGACAACCAAATACCGAGTCTGCCCATATCTGCAGATCCCCGTCTATTCTCGGTACTAGGAACCTACTTATGGATGCCTTACATATTATCACCTCGCAGCCCGGTTAACATCGAGTGCTGCGAGGCTTGAGACTAACGTCCTTCTCCAAGTTGACCGGCAGTACCCTTTGCAGCTTCACCGTCAGTCTGAGAATGTACTGTTCATTCCTTAGGTCATTCCTTTGGTCATTCCTGAGGTATAATTTTCGTCTGGCGTTGTACTACGCATGCAGAAAAAAAATAGAACAATGGATATTCTGTAATAGCATCGTGCGTGTCTCAGGGGTCTAAGAAGTTTCAGTAGTCTCAATATTGGACTACGAGATCTAAGACCTAGGATCTGAGACTGCGCATTAGTATACATACATACATGAACTTGTAGGAATCGGATTCCCGAATATGGGTCAAAGGCATGGTCAAAGACAGCGATGGACCTTACATATTTTCCGGTGCATAATAGATGAAAGATGGCGGGTGACGGTCCCAGGGCGGTCCCGTCAAAGTATCGGTGGCTTTAGACCGTTCCGGGAATGGGGTTCCGTGGCTGCAGATGGTCTACCTTTATCGTGCTCGATCACGATTATGACATCGACTGGCGGCCATCGTCCAACGAAAGAGCATCTGAACATCATACACTCGGTACGAATCCGTACTTCCCAAGTCCATTGGCCTAGAACATGTCGCTCGCCAATTTTACCCACATACAATCCAACTTTGACCTTTCATCGATACGAAACAGTATGCATCCTGAACTTAGTAAGACCACTCTAACATTACCATCGAGACCTAAGGTGCATGCCTCCCTGAAAGAGAAGAGGCACATGAGTCGGACGACGCCTAAACCCACCGCAATTCCAGCCTTGTCTCTACCAAGCTCATCCTTCAAAAGCTAATAAAAACTCCTTGTCGTCGTCGTCGTCAAAGACAAATTTTCCTGTCTGTACTATAATGAGCTATTATAGACCTACTTTATAATCGTTGATATCAACTTCTACCAAGCGCCATCTCCCACCATCAAACACCTAGTTCTCTCGGAGAGGTATCTAAACTTACTTCACTAAATCGCCAACTATATCCACAAATGGCTACTATCATGAACCCGTGGGAAGAAGAAGCACTACAGGTACGATATCAAAGTCTTATTACAGCCACTTCTATCCGTCAGCGACCATCGCTTCGTAATCCTATAATAGGAAAGCTGTATCAGCGTTACCGGCATAAATCAACCGCTAACATATTCATGAAATAGTATCATTATCAAGACGCCGGAGGTGTAGGCCCGTCTGCTATAGCATTAGGACAACATGATAACGTACACGATTCCGTCATCTATCCCGGTTTATATGCCCCGAGTGGTTTTGATATGATGAGCATATTGGTAAGGATACGAATTATACAATCTCCCATTCATGTTGTACCGGGGTCTTCTAACAAAAACTCCCCAGGTTCGAGTTATGTCAAGACCAAACCCAGTCATCGAACTTGGTCCTATCGACGCATCTTGTGCCCTAATCATGTGCGATCTCCAACAGCTAGACTGTCCGGTGGTATACGTATCAGAACCATTCACGGAGTTAACTGGCTATTCGCAATCCGAGACTATCGGCCAAAACTGCCGATTTTTACAAGCCCCTGGCGGCAAGGTTCGGAAACGGTCTGCGAGAAAATACGTGGACAAGGACCTCATCAAGACGATGCGACGAGCAGTTGAATCCAACCACGAGATTGCCGTCGAGGTTACAAACTTCAAGAAGAATGGCCAGAGATTTGTGAATCTATTGACTATGATCCCGGTTTGCTGGGAGAGCCCAACGCCCAGGTACTCGGTAGGCTTCCTAGCTGAGAAGACCTGGTGAAAGAGCAAGGGGTTGGGAAGCAAAAAGTCTAATTTACGGAAACCAAGGATACAATGAAGGAGTGAAAGGTGTTTGGCGCACAAATTTCCGATTCTAGATCATGATACCCCTTTGCCGATATTCGCTATTAGGCATCGTCTCGTCACAGGGAAACATTTGCTTTTAGGCATTGCATCCGCATCTGATACCCCTTTTCGCAATTTATATTGGAATTTTGTTGTATATCTGTATATAGCAGTATATTTGAGAATATACTTGACGCGTAGTACCTGGCTCTTACGCTCTTTGTATGACCTACATATATTCCAATTTTCAGAATACTAAAAGAATTATCTGAATGATATTATTTTGCTATAGAAAAGAACAATAGGTCTGTAATAGCACACCTATTTAGTGATTATTTAGAAAATTTTAACAGTGACCATCCTCCCGTGATAATGGGTAAGGGGTCGGACATGGGCAGGAACTTGTTGGTCACGATTGTGATATTTCTGATCTATAACCCGGTACCACTTATTCAGTGATCGATCCAATGGCCGCATGTTACTAGCCTACTTCTAGTATAGAATCTTAGCCTTTCCACGACATCAGGAATACGAATCCACTAAATCCATCAAGGCCGGGGAACCCCTCTTCCCGTACGTCCATAGCGCGGATCCTCGCATCTTGATCGTACTATGATGAGGGTCTAGTTCAAGATCTCATAGTCTATCAGACAAAAAAAAACCCCCCTTCGATAAGCGCAACATGCGTTATATTTCACTTCGTTTGAACATGTCATGTATCCGATGTTTTCGACTAGTAACTTATTTGAAGCTATATTCATAATTGCACTACAACATGTAAGTGTCTCCCGTTGTGCATGGACACCTAAGCAAGATGTAGTGCTTCTTACATACAAGCCTCCAACCCATTGACATGTCCCTGGACTGGATAAATAATTACCCATGTTTCTCCGTCTAACACACCCGCGAGGAACTAGTGAAAGAGCAGAGTTTCTCAGACACCGGAGGCGACCCCTCAAGTGATTCCCCCCTAATTTGTCAGACCATCTTAGTGATCGGGGGCGGGGGCCTTGAATATTGTTGAGCCAGGGCACCATTCGATAACACCGGGACAGCTGCCATTGTCACAGCATGGAGGCCCTTCGCTGCAACCGTCTTCGCTGGGACAGCACTGTTTTCAACATGGTTAGGTTAGATATGTATTTATATGCTTATGTAAGGTTGGTCGTAGCTTGAAGCAGAGGACTTACGCAGTACCAGTAAGCTTGGGTTGGTGTGCTTGTCGCCGATGACGTAGTCGTTGATGTAGTTGTTGACGTCGTCATCGACGTTACATGTGCCGATGCTACTACAGCGTAGCTTAACGCTAAGACGCTAGCGATACGCATGGTGAGAAGATGGCTAAAATCGAGAAGATTTGTGGTGTTTACGGGGATTGAAAGAGTTTCAGGTGAGAATGAGGTCGCGGTCTACGTCGATGCGGCGATTTGAGAGTAAAGCTCACGGGGCAGCTCTTTGCTGCTTTATAGACTACCTACTCTCCATAATTTCTACCAACTTGTCTGATAATACGAGCCGGAGCGAGTCTCCCATCACAAACTGCAGCAGTTTGCGAAATCGACGTCGATATCCCTCCGTTCCCGAGTATTCAGTCTGAGTCTCCAACAGCAAAGAAAAGAGGGAATCGCATGACCAAGTAACGGCTGTTTGTTTAGGGGAAGCCAATGATATATGGGAGAGCGAGAGGAGGTTTGGGGTTCGGAAACGAGGTGTTTGCTGCTACGGACGTATGGCATGGATATACACTCTCCTGAAATCTGTTGGGAGCAAGACTTGTCTAGTTAAGACAAAGAAAATATGTAGGTTGTTTAGTTTTGATTAATATTATATTCCTTTACACTTCTCTCCGTTTTATTGTAGGGGTAATTTATTAGATCATCAGAGATGGACGTGTCTTGGCCGCAGCAGGATGTTGGGCGTTGGTCATAAGGGGTATGTAAATCCATGATGTATTTGAATGAGGAAAGAGGACATATATGTGTCAGCTAGGTACATTATCACTAACACTTCAAAATCGTTTATTGTGCTGCGAATGGAAGACACTATTGATTTCTATATCTCATGACCCTGCGACTTGAGCGACTTGACTTCATACCGAACTAGATGGTTCAGCATCTGGCATTGCCATATGCAACACCGTCTCCTTATTGCCAAAATTAGTAGATTAGGTAAGTAAAATTCGCGTCTTAAGACTTATAAGTAATTTTAGTAGTAAGAATAGGTGAAAAGAAATAGGCAAAACGAAGCATAAGCCTACTTGATGCCTTGCAAACTACTGAGACATCATCCTGCTAGGATCCATGTTTTCGAGTCCTACATGAATTGACATTAGCTGGAGAAACGCACACATCTTCGACTGGGCGTTTAAGACTTCGCCTGATACGTCCCGAAGTAAGTTTATAAGGATACAGCTCGGAAGTAGAATGGAATAGACGCTGATGTTAACCGCAGTCCTCCCCTGCAGCAGAAAACTTCCCCCACCCTTATTAAATCCCTGAAAACCATGGTTACTTTTCTACTAGACAATTCGATTATCTCTGTTATTAAAATTTCTGATAAGTCTATCCGCTCTGTCATCTGACCGTTATATTTCATCGACATTCTATAGATATCCATATATCATAACTAGGTAAACAACTGTGCGTAGAATATGAAATCATTCAATAGCCCAAGTGGTATATATTTACTATTCAACGTCCACGGAGAGGGTTTAAGGCAGACGATATTGGGTATCCCATTAATCTAAATCACCTGATACATATCTCCCGTCTCTGCCTTCTAGGAACAACTATCAATAAACAGATTTCCACCGTGTCAATACGCCCCTTTTAGAATACCTATTCCTCCCTGTCCTAAGCTGTGCTAAATCAATGAACCGAGTTGGAAATATTTTGGCCTGGGCCTCTCAACCGTACATCTGTGTCGCAGCCCCCCTACTCTTTTTTCGTATGGAACGTGCCTTTTCTACCTCGAATCAGGTATAGGCATAGATAATAAACAACTCCGGGGGCGCCAGAGAATCGTCAACAAAGCTTCTTTCTCCCTGCTCTCAAACCCTACTTGCAGCCAGCCAGACTAAGCAGCCCTACACTTCCCCAGAACCAAGTAACCGGCGGATTTCCTCAAACACCGCACACTACCCCCGAGCTCGAACGCAGGATCTCGCCACAGTATAAAGTAGTACATCAAGCCTTCTTGACCGACACATATACTGTCTCCAGACCCACAACAGCGAGGCCTAGAACGCTGACGGATTAAAACAGCACCCAAGCCCTAAAATAAATAATACACAACCCCCTCCCCCCTTCCCCAGCTACACTACCCGCGCATCCACGATACGTGCCGTATCATCTCGCCTCAACACCAAGCCCCTCCTCCAACACCCCCAGACTACCCAGCTTATCGTCCAGCCAGCGCGCCAGCTCCTCCGCCTGGCGCCGCGTCGCCACGACCGCGGTCGCGGCGACGCTGGTCGTGGTCGCGACGCTCGCCGTCGTCGCCGCGCCCGCGCTAGCCACGCTCGCGACTTCGGAGGGCGAGCCTAGCGGCGTCTGGGGGTGCGCTTCGTGGCTGGCGTTGTTCGGGGTCGAGGGCGTGGGCCGGCCTTGGCTTTGGGGGGTGTGAGGATGGGAGGAGTGACCGTGGCCGTGCGTGGGAGTCTGGGGAGTGAGGCTGGGGCCGAAGTGCGAGCCGGAGTTGGGGTTGAGATTGGAGTTGGAGTGTGAGGTGGTGTTGGGGTTGGCGTGGGAGGTCGAGGTTGATGGTCGGCCGTCCTCGCCTAGGGGCCCGATGCAGACGAATAGCAGGCCGCAGCGCAGGTGCCGTATCACCATTACGCCGCCTGTTAGCTGGATGGTCACGGCGTTCGGTGTGGGCGTCGGCGGAACCGAGAAGTCGCTGGTATCTAGACCGCTATGTTTCGGAGGCAATGCTTCGATGACGGTATACCTCTCTCCCGTCGAATACAGCGCCCATATCGAGGCGGCGACGGTGCATTGCGTGCGCAGGGTGCCGACGGGGTGGGGCGACGCGTGCGCGAGGAGCTTGCCCGAGAGAGTGGTGAGCGCGGCCGTGTGGATCTGCGGGCTGAGGTTCGAGCTGAGGAACGCGGTTAGGCGTTTCGTGAGAAGGAGGGAGGGCGTGGGTGCGGAGACGGAGGGCGGCATGATTAACGGCGGTGCGTATGGTCGGCGGGACACACGTGCGTACGAGAAGATAGATCGGAGAGTATGTACCGACTATAGATACACAGGTATTACACTAGGTAGTTCGGACCTTCGTATAGGATCTCGTATAAGGAGGGTGGTCGTTGGCCGCTGGTGGATGATTAGACCCTGACGACGGCGCGCCGTGCTAATGTTTACCCAGGACTTCGCATCGACCGTGACGACGGGACACTTTTACTTTCTCTTTTTTCTCCTTTTCACCGTCCGAACATCTGAGCTGAGACAGAGCGACGTGGCCTCACTTTATCACGGTTGTCATGATATCGCCGGAAGAGGAGAGGTGAGAAAGTAAGAGTTAAGAATCGTAAGCTTGTAAAAGTTGATGTGACGTCGAGCGCTCGGTCTCTTGATCCGTCAGTTTAGGTAGTCAGGGGGGTAATTGAATGACTTGCATGGTCCGAGCGTCGAGCGCTGCTCTTTCCATCGGCCTGAAGGTTCCTGCGATAAGATAAGGTGGGGGTTTGCCCCATAGCGCTAACGCCGGTCCTCGCGCCGGAAGTCACTAGTTGTGCCATAATCGGAAAGGACAACATCTTGAGAGAACGGTAAGGCACTAATGACAGGAATTGGGTTTAGTAGGTCGTCGAAAAGGGGAAGGGGTACAAATCAATTATCTAGGCAGCTGCTAGGTACTATGTATTCTCTTGGTTTAGTCCCAGCCGACATTTCAAGGTCTGGGGGAAGATCGAGGATCTTTACGAATTGGGACAACAAATGCAGCCCAGTTGGTATATTGATCGATTTATGACGTCGATTACATTAGTGGCTTGACATCGCCCTATGGGAGTGGAAGGGCGAGACATTTCACTGGATTCAGACGAAACTCGTGTATAGAAATCTTTGACTGTTGGGTCTTTGATGTTGTAAGTGTCCTACTGGAATTACTCAAGGACCACTATGTCCCAGATCCGGCCAGCTGGAGTATTGCTTTCATGGAAGGATGGACAACACAGCTTCGGCTATAGAAGGAAAGCCGAGTTTGTAGAAGATAGCCCGAAATATGTTATGGTGAAAGTTTGAAGGCTGTTCTGGGACACAAGCAATGAAAGATGTAGGAGAGCGTAAACCACGGCAGACAAAACCAAGTCAACTACCTACCTATTAGATAGGCTGGATACAATGAACCTGGAAATAATGAATACCTAATCATAAACTACTCTGGCCACCCCAACGGCGTTTAGTTCCAATAGTAATATCCATATTGAAATACTTCAGAACCACTAATGAACCGTACTCCCGCCGCCGGATGCGTTATAGTGCATTACCTGCCAAATTTTACCAGTTATGTTCTCCGAAGCGTGATACGCCGACATTACTCTAATAGCAACAGGGACCAACTATGCAACCCCCCCGGTGCTAGCCGTGGCCGAGATATCAACCTCCTTCTCCTTCTCCGGTTTCCCATAAAATACCTCAACCAAGTTATCTTGTTTCTCTAGAACCCGATTAATTTCCCTTAGATATTCAATATTCTTTGCCATATCTATATCGTCCTCGTACTTCTGCTTCCCCAACTCGACCTCAATAGGTATCATCTTCCTTGCTTCCGGATGGCTGGAATTGAACCATGCTTCATATTGACGCTGGACATTGGTGCAAGCGAGGGTAGTCATATAGTTCCGGCCTCGTTCATTCCACCTGTACTCTCCGTTCTCTAACTTCTGGTCCGGGTTGAATTCCATCAGCCATACCACGATGTTCTTCAGCGTATGCGAGTAATCCACATCTTTGAGATTGTTATACACTGTATTCTCACGCATCGCGGCGACGTGATTGCCCTCGTAGCCAGGAGATACCATCATCGCTTGCAGGATTTCCCCAACCGCTCTCAATTCGCTGACCCTAGTGTAGGGCTGATTTGGCTAGAAGGATGGTCAATTTTTGTATCGAGAGGGAGAGGGAAAAGGTTCATTGGACTTACCTGCTGAGGATAGGTATGACTGAATTCCTCGTCCAGTTTGATAAGCTCTTTGAGAGGTTGAAAACCTTGGTCTCGAGACGGAGCTAAGGCTTCGCTTCGAACTCGTGTCTGCTCGGGCTTTTCCTGGTATCCATTATGGTGGCCGGATATGAATGCGTTGCAGTAATTGCCTAGCTTGCAACTCCCATACCACTCGCTGCGCTTAGGATGCATGAAGAATATGTTCTCGGGGACGATATTGCGGTGCAGAATAGGCTCCCAGTCTACATCAGGGGCGAATGTTATTCTACCGTCTTCCCCCGGTGGGACTGGCTCAGAACCCTCATGTAACCATGCCAGGGCTCTTATAACCGAAACGAGCACATGCCAACATAACGACTCTGGCAAGAACGTATCTTTTGTTCTGCTCTTTATCTTTTCGAGGAAGTTTTTACGTATGGTATCACCCTGATCATCATCATAGACGATAGGACCCCCTTCATCCTCTTCATCCGAAAGCCCCTCCATGATCGGCCCAGACGCCTTGGGGAATCTCCGTTGACCGCTGACGAGGAGGTTTCCTAGGTTTCCGGCATCACAGAACTCCCAGACAGCATAGTGCCGATCGTTGAGCTCGCTTCTAGCATCGGATGTCTGGACGGAGAAGATATCTATCAAGGAGACAATATGCCCATGATTCAAAATAGCCTTGAGCGGTTCGATGATATTGGTTCTTTCCGAGGTCAGGAGCTGCTGCAAATCGGTAGGGTCCCCTTCTGCAGTATTAGACGGGTTTGAGGTTAACTTGTCAGTGATATCATGAGCAAGATATTCCATTCGGTCAACCTTGCGGCATATCTTCCAGACTCCCGGCGTAAGCTCGGTGATGAAGTCATATTTATTAGCATCTCGGAGCTCCTCGTAGGGTCCTCTGTAAACCATGATGACGGAGTATTCGGTAAACACGCTAAAATCCAGAAGACGAAAGTAATTAGTGAGAGGATGAAGTGATAAAGTTCGATTATGGAAAGCTGAATCTGGATATGGATGTGGGATATGAATGTGTGTCGAAGAGCGAGGGGCTCCTCTGGAATGTTCGCACTTCTCGATGGCTTTGTTCCTCATAACCGCACAAGGGATAGAATGGCATTCCAAAGACAGATTCGTCTAGAATATCCAGACTACCTAGTCCAACTCGCCACGGCGCAATTCCAGTCGTCTTCATTTAACTTTTCTTTCAGTTCACGTACCAACCCCCAAGCTAGGAAAAAAAAACCTCCTAGGTCGCATTGCAACCTGGTCTTTTCATATTCGAAAGTACGAGTAAACGAATATGACTTTACTTCTTGGCTTGTGGTCTGCTAAAAGCCGACACGCATAATGAGGATAAGACATCTCTTACCATGCCCTCATGCGCTTCTTGTAGTAGCAATAATACCAGTGTGATATATCATTAGTCGCGCGGTCTGCGGATCGCACTGACTGCTATCTCACTTTAGGAGAAGGCCGATGGAGAAAACGACATCACGATGAAGACATAAACGAAGGGTTTCCCTTTTCACTGGCCGATAGACAATGGCCAATGTGAGATCCTGTGGGCATCTTGCAGATCTAACCTAAGCATTCGTCGACCTTGCAATGCAGTGAGACGGAAGTGTGTCGAGCGCTTCGCCAAGCGGACTTCGGATAGGAAATCGGGGTTAGCCGTGTCCGGTTGATTCGAACTGATTAACTGACTGCCTAAACGCTTGAAGATCATGCAGGACAATCTCAACATTAGATCCCATTCACATACTTTGCTGACCCATGTTGAGGTGGACTGCGTGAGTAACGGAGTAAATAGTATATTTTTAACCGCTTGCTTATTTAAGGCAAGAAAAGTGTTTGATGTTTCTAAAGTTTCGATGTTTCGCGTTTCTTGTAGATTGAGGATTGTGTGGGTAAGTATTTTTATCATAGCCGTCAAGGTCGCAGAAGGTCGCAGTTCCGCCCAACATCCATCGAATAAGGTAGGTGCAGTACCTTCGATACGCTAAAAGAGGTACCCCCGCGCCCAATTCTCAAACCACGAAGGAGCCATAAGGGGTTCGGCGCTAAGCTGAATTTAGCGTCCGGTACCTTGCATTACGGTGGAAGGCGGCCCAATCAGAAACCGGATTGATCCACTGGAGCGTGTACGAAGTACGAAATACTGGGGTCTTGATGTCGTACTAATGCTGCATACCCGTTTCTGCAATCTCAAACCTCCAATACGGTAAATCCGATCGAGGCCAGCCAACGTTGAGCTTGCCCTGTCTCCTCGTCCTGGTTTCCTCCTTCCCCTTCCGAGACCTCCTCGCCGGGTTCCCTCCTCCCCTTTTCGCAGGCTGTCGCAAGAGTAAATTGACTCTTTCCATCTACATCAACATACGATAGTAGTCGTCGCGGACTTCTTTATGGAAAATTAAAATAATTAAAAATTGACACTCGCTCATTATAGTTATCTATCGAACATTACGCACACTCGCACGCTCACGCTCACTTCAATTAAATAAAATACCCACATATTCCCCGTTTGGCCCAATTCGATCTCTTGACACTCCAACCACGCACTTCCCACATCGTGCCCCAGAGGACGATCAAACAAAGCAGGTCAACATCAGCTAACATTGGACAACGTTGGCCCCGTTCTCCCCAAACTCGTCCCTTGCGCTGATTTTTTGTCACTGAATTGCCGGCAAGCCTGCAATCTGAGACATCACTCGGACCATTTCTTCAACCACGAAAAAGCAACTAAGTCAACGGGAAAGCTTGTTGCGGCGATCGAAATACCTAACGTCCCAAGAATTGCCCTAAGAATAGCCTCTGGCTGCAATGATACCGCAATAGCGCGGCCTCCCGCATTTCTTCGCAATCCTCAAACCCACTAGCCTATCTGGCATGTCTTTTCTATTAGTGTGCTGAGACCTGTCATCGTTTGGCAGGTAACCATTTCTATCGTCTCCTAGATTAGGACGACGTTTTGTCTCTCTTTACGAACCCCATTCCGGGAATCCCTTCTCTTCTCAAGTCTTTTCTCGACGCACTGCGAGTCTTTGCTCTCCATTCAATTCGAGAGCACGGTCGAATACTTCGCGGGCGAGGGACGACGACTGTGCAAGACGGCGGGTCCGCTTCAACAATTGATCATTGATTGACAACGACGACGAACCACAACGAAAAGGAATCACGACTCCGATTACGTTCATTTCGACCCTCTTCTTCGAAGCCGATCTTGCCAATTGGCCTTTTTTTGATACCCCGTTCTTCTTGACTGTGTTAGTTGCCTGTTTGGATAGACAGGTTCTCACGGTGATAGATTACCATTAGACAAGATGGGTTGCTTCGGTCGAAAACAGGTCGAAATTCGACCTGAACAGAAATGGGATGCAATCGTAGGTTATTCCCAAACACCTACGCCGGCCTGCTTCGTGTCATGCTAACACCGTACCCTAGAGTCTTAGAGATTTCAAGTCGACGTCTTGTTTCACTCCCCTCGCTTACGGTTATCTTTATTTTTCTCTTCTTATATCCATTGCCGTTTACGGCGTCGATACTTTTACTGCAATCAACTTGCTAGCCTTCAACACCTGGTCATCTACCATCGAGCCCACTCAACTTGTTCCATTTGATGTTTCGAAATGGATCTTCTCAATTTGCATCATCTTCTCATTCATTAACTTGGGATTCGAACATTTGCGAGCGATGAGAGTGATGAAGCGAGGAAGCGTGGCTGAATGTTATCTCGACAATCTAGCTGTGCGCCTAGAGAGCGTTCGGTTCGGGGAGGGTCAGGGATGGAGACGTTTCCTTGTTTTTGCTGAATTGACTAAGTCTAAGAAAGGTGCTGAATATGTCGCACTCTTTACCTACTTCAGTTTTCAAGGCAAGTTCCAATCTTGGTAATCGGAGAATAAGAGAATCTTAGCCGCTGACCTGGTCTTAGCTTGGATCCGAGTTATCTTCTGTTCTGGACCGCGTCAAGTCATCAACGCCTTGACTTTATATTCTGTCTACAACTCGGACCTCATTCCGACCGATGTCTCTTCGGTGCAGAGCACGCTCGGGACCTTCTTTGGCAAGCTCCAACACCTTGCCGATGAAAACAAGCAGCAGGTAGTGATCCTATCGGGTATGGTGTTCACCTTGGTTATCTGGGTCTTTTCTGTACTATTCCTGCTCATCGCAGCGTTGTTTTATGTGTTCTTTCTGTGGCATTATATCCCTCGACAGGATGGCGGTCTTGCCGGCTACTGCGAACGAAAGGTCAACAAAAGGTTGACGAGAATCGTCACGATCAAAGTCAACAAGGCTATCGCCAAGGAAGAGCGAAACCGAATGAAGGCGGAGGTTAAGGCCGCTAAGAAAACTGGCGAGAAGACACCGGTTGGACGACAGGCCACCTTACCAACCTTCATGGACGACAGCGACGATAAGCTTCCCGAGATGCCTATGCTCAACCGTAACGATACGATGGCCACGTTGCCAGCATATAGTTCAAGGCCGGGTTCTTCGCATAGTATCGAGCTTAACCCTTGGGATCAGAAACGCCCTGGCGCCACCCGACAAAACACAACGACTACGAACGCATCTAGTTCTAGTTTCTCTTCTCGTGCTCCTTTACTTCCCAGCGCTGCCGGCATGGGCTTTGATCGATCAGCGTCCCCGGCTCCAACTTTACCGCAAATTGATCTTAGCGACTATCAACCACCCCAACGACCGGGAACCGCAGCTTCGAATAGAAGTCTTGGTCCGGGCTTTGCGGGTCCTGGACCCAGCCGATTGCAAACCAGCGGGAATGGATTTGGTGGTGGCTATACTGCAAGCCCGTCGACATATTCTGCATCGGAATCTTTACGCTCACCACCTCCTATGGATAACTATAATCGACCTATGCCCCCTCGCCCGATGAACCAGATGACTGGTCGCTCTAGTCCAGCGCCGTCAAATTACTCGGGCCGTGGCCCTCCTCCCGGCCCTCCTCCCGGCCCAGCCTATGGCCCGAATGGCCAACCCTATCCTCCCCCTCGTAGTATTACGAATCCGATGCCTCCTTCGCAGAGAATGCCGCCTCAGCGAAATATGACGGCTCCCATGCCACCTCGACAGCCGGATGGATACTACGGGCAGCGCCCTGGAACACCCTCGAGCCAGAGAAATGCAGGACAAGGCTATAACTACGGCAGTGATATGGAGGCGCAGCGCGGATATCCGAGATACTAGTATCCTGTATTGAATGATGGTTGTTACGTTAGGAGGGGAGGTTCGGTGGATACCCTAATATCGTACGACTTGAGGGGGTAGCGATGGCGTTCTGTTAAGTTATGACCGAGGTGGGATGAATAGGCTCAGAAGAACCTGGAAGTCCATCTGATTTAGAAGACATCCCGGGCAAGATGGCGTTCGACGGCAAATCCGATGATTTTTTTTTCTTAATGAAGCTCTGATGTATTATATTCGCTGACATTCGGCAGCACCTTAGTTACAGCTGTCAAATTTAAGAACACGGATATTCTTCGGCTTTCTAACGCCAATTGATTCCTTAAATTCAAAACCCGCATGATGGCGTTTGAAAGGCAAGGCCCTGGGCGCGCCCTTCTTGATTTGTCATAGCCCCATCTCAAGGCGTCATACAGAATATCGTCATCTTTCATGGCTATCAGTAATCAATGCTACGTGAAGCCTTTTCTAAGAGTTGATGGCTTATATAAAATTGTCTCACGGGGGATGTGATTGGTATGGTCGTTTCTTGAATATGCAGGTTAAAAAGCATGGTATCCTAAGTGGCTCAGTCCACGATCAGAGCAGCCTCAAGGTATATTTGTGCGCATCGTGAATCTTAATTTCGAATCTGCATCATCACTGCATCGGATACCTACTTGGGTACGTAAAGTAGAAAGCTGAAATCACTTACCGAATAGAACTTGTGTGTCTGAAATGGTTGCGCAAATCGACTCCGAGCAATGGCACCCGGGCGAGCGGGCCATGCACCAACTTCTCCACGTATCGCAACGCGGAAACCCGACACACCACGGCCTCCCGCCCCATCTCGGATACCGCGTCGCGGAGTCGCCGCTCGTGGCCTTCGGGGCGCTGGACCGGCACGGCAGGCCGTGGGCTACGGTCTGGGGCGGCGAGAAGGGGTTCTGTAGGCCCATCGCGGAGGGCGTGTTAGGCGTGGGTGCTAGCGCGGACGTTAGGTTCGATCCGGTGCTTAGGGCACTGTTTGAAGTTCCTGTGCGGGAGGAGGATAGTGAGGATGCGATGGATGTAGACGCGGATGAGAAGGATGAAAATAGACGGGAGATGTGGGTGGAAGAGGAAGACGAGAAAGACGTCGTCGACGACTTCGTCGTTCAGCCTGAAGGCGGTGCGGTTATGGCGGGTCTGTCGATCGACCTCGAGACGCGCGACCGCGTCAAGCTTGCTGGACGCATGGTTGCCGGCTCCGTGACGAGGAGGTCGCCTGGCATCGCAGACTTGCAGATGGTGTTCCGGGTTGAGGAGAGTTTGGGGAATTGCCCGAAGTACCTGAATAAAAAGGTCATCGTTCCGCATACACCTAAGCCAAGACTCGCGAGCGAGGGGTCGGGCATTCCGTTGCCGAGGGATGCGATCGACATTATTCAGAAGGCGGACCTGTTCTTCATCGCCAGCAAGCACGGCTCCGACAGCATGGACGCAAACCACCGCGGCGGAAGCCCGGGATTTGTCCGCGTCCTGCGTAACGAGAAGGAGGGCAGCGGAGGCGGGGGCCTGAGCATCGTGTACCCGGAGTACTCCGGCAACCGCCTGTACCAGACCCTGGGTAATCTGCGGCGGGACCCGTACGCCGGGCTCGTGTTCCCTGATTTCGACACCGGGGACGTGGTGTACGTCACGGGCCGCACGACCATCCTAGTCGGCGAGAAGGCGGCGGACGTCATGCCGCGCGCGAAACTGGTCGTCAGGATCGACGTCACGGAGGCGCGGTTCGTGAGGGAAGGTCTGCCATTTAGGGGCGTGCTCGGCGAGCGCTCGCCGTATAACCCGGCTGTGCGCAAGCTCGCCGCCGAACAACGTGATGTGGGGACGGGAGACTTGTCGGATGCCGGCGTCGGCATCGCGACGCTGGTGAGCGGGAGGGTTATCACGCCCTCGATATCGCGGTACATATTCCGGCTTACGCCTCATAAGGATAAGGGTAGGCTCAGGGCGTGGCAGCCCGGACACCATGTCACGTTCGACTTCGCGGATGAGCTGGATAAAGGGTACTCCCATATGCGGGATGACGATCCGCAGAGCCTGAACGACGACTTCGTGCGCACGTTCACCGTCAGCAAGCCACTTGACCCGGCGGACGTGGATGGAGTGTTCGTGAGGGAGGGGGCTAGGCCGGAGGTGGAGATCACGGTGCGGCGGCACGGACCGGCAACTAAGTTTCTGGAGAGCTGGGACGGGAGGCGTAGGGTAGATATACCGATTTTGGGGTTTGGGGGCGCGGAGGGATTTAGGATGGTTCCGGAGGGGGGTGGGGAGGGCGTGAGCGTGGTTGTGGCGGCCGGGGTCGGTGTCACGCCGTTGATGGCGCAGGCTGAGGGTGTGCTGAGAGCTGTTGGGCATAAGAAGGGGCTTAGGGTGCTGTGGAGCTTGAAGGCGGATGATCTGCCTCTTGCTGTGGATGTACTGGAGCGGATCGACGGGTTGGGAGAAGTTACGAAGCTATTCGTCACGGGCGGGATGAATGACCGGGAGAGAGGTCTAGTGAATACGGTTCAGGGGCTGGGTGCCGCGGTGCTGGAGAGGAGGATAGGGAGTGCGGATGTGTTAGCGGAGGGGGAGAAGGGGAGCAGGAAGTTTTATTGTTGTACTGGACCGGAGATGATGAGGTTGTTGCTGGGGTGGACGGAGGGTGAGGAGGTTCTGTATGAGAGTTTTGAGTATTAGGGGTTATAAAGTGGTATGGTAAAATAGGGGTTAGTTATTATGAGCGTTATGAGATATGAAGTTAATATTGAAGGTTGATCTCTCGAGTATCAAGTGAAGCATCATAACTCTTTGTTCTGTAGCTACCTAGTATCTCCATAAATTATAAATTTTATAAAGGTCTTTCTCTAGTCATGAGCCATTCATAACTTGAATCATGAATAAATCTCAAGTCGTAATAGTAATAGATGTTTAGCCGGTCATTTTGTTGGGGAACTTGTACCGCGTCATTCGCGCTTTCTGATTGGACAAATCCCCTGAGTCAACCTAAAACGGAAAGGGTTATTGTGGATGACTTGGCACCCACTTGTAGCTCTGCCAAGAGCGGTCGATGCAAGGACCGAGTTGGTCGCACGGGACCAGCATTTGATGACGCAGGACAACTCATGCGACACACTTGCCATTCCGGAGGAAGCACCTACCATCTTAGGAACCTGCAGGAGCTCATCATTATCATCACTAGCATCATTATTATCATCACCACCAGAACTTAATCTTTTCATCAATTTATATCTACTTAGGTATTTACACATCGAGTTATCATCTACCCATGGTGTTTCTACTGTATCGCGTAGAACAGTAGAGCATCGTCATGGCTCGAATATCCAATCTCGTAGCCGGCGCTCTGCTGCTAGTCAGCAGCGTTGCCGCGGACGGGCTCTATACCCCCAAGCATGAAGCCGGACGCTGCGCCATGCGAGGTCATTGCGGAAAGAAGAGTTTCTTTGGAAAGCAAGTACCGTGTGTCGATAATGGATTAGCTACTACTCCTGATCCGGAATTCGCAAAGGAGATCGAAGCTGTGTGCGGTCCAAAGTGGAAGGACAGTAAGGTCTGCTGTAATGCCGACCAGGTGCGTTTGTTTTACCTCTTCCATATCGCGAGATACTTCAATAGATACACAACACGGCCATTTAGATGCCGGTATATCAAAACTATCACTAACTGTGAACGTGTAGCTCGATGCTCTCAAGTCCGAACTATCCACCCCTAACCAAATCATCGGTTCCTGTCCCGCCTGCAAGGAGAACTTCTACAACCTGTTCTGCTCCTTTAGCTGCTCCCCGGACCAATCGTTATTCATCAACGTAACACAAACGGTCGAGAAGGGTGGCAAGTCCTTAGTTTCTGAAGTAGACCAATTAATATCTAAAGAATATGGCGAGGGTTTCTACGATAGTTGCAAGGAGGTCAAGTTCGGTGCTTCGAACTCCAAGGCTATGGACTTCATCGGTGGTGGGGCGAAGAACTACTCGCAACTCCTTAAGTTCCTCGGCGACGAGAAGCTCATCGGCTCTCCTTTTCAGATCAACTTCCCCTTGGAGTATTCCGAGCCTGATATGGCGCCGAAGGATATGAAACCGAAGAAGTGTAACGATGAAGATCCGAATTTCCGATGTTCGTGTGTCGACTGCCCGGCCGTGTGCCCGGAACTTCCGGAAGTACACCAAGCAGGATCGTGCCGAGTTGGCGTGCTGCCTTGTCTGTCATTCGCCTCGATATTCACATATTGTATACTTCTATTCACCCTTGTCGTTGCCCTGGTCGGACACGTTGCTTGGGTCAAGCATGCGCAACGGCGAAGTGAACGTCTGCACCTACTCCAAGCAGCCGAGCCAAGCGACGATGAGGACGAGGGCGACCTTGTCCGTAACGGTGCTATGTTCGACCAGCCACAAAGAAACTACTCGATCAATGCTTGGTGTGATACCGCCTTTAGCAAGCTGGGCCATCTTTGCGCGAGATTCCCAGGAATCACTATATTCCTTAGTCTGTTGGTAGTTATTGTCCTAAGCGTTGGCTGGGTCAATTTCACTGTAGAGAAGGACCCTGCGAGGTTATGGGTCAGCCCAGACTCGCCAGCGGCTAAGGAGAAGGCCTTCTTCGACGAAAACTTCGGTGCCTTCTATCGCGCACAGAAGGTCTTTTTGGTGAACGATACCCAGTCGGAACCTGGACCGGTACTGAGTTACGAAACTCTCACATGGTGGTCGGAAGTTGAAGCGAGTGTGAGGCAGCTCAAGACCCAAAATTTTGGCACCACTTTCCAGGATGTATGCTTCAAGCCGCTTAGTTCAGCTTGCGTCGTGCAGTCTCCTACTGTCTATTTCGACGGCACAAAGGGCTGGAAATCACAGTTTAAGGAATGTGCCGAATCTCCCGTAAATTGTCGACCCGATTTTGGACAGCCAATAGAGCCCAATATGATTCTAGGTGGCTACGAAGGCATCGACAATGTCACCGAGGCGAGGGCTATGACAGTAACGTGGGTCGTGAGCAACCATCCCGAGGACACCCCGGAACTTGCCCATGCTCAGGATTGGGAGCGAACTTTGAAGAACCGACTCCTAGAGGCTCAGAAGGAAGCGGCCGAACGAGGTCTGCGACTTTCTTTCTCGACTGAAATCAGCCTGGAAGAAGAACTAAATCAATCTACCAATAGCGATGCAACGATCATCGTAATCAGTTATCTTGTCATGTTCTTCTACGCCTCTATTGCCTTAGGCTCTACTAGTATGAGCATCCGCGAGTTGGTCAGGAACCCAGCCGTTGCACTGGTTCAGAGCAAGTTTACCCTTGGTCTTGTTGGTATTGTGATCGTCTTAATGTCTATTACAGCCTCTATCGGACTCTTTTCCTGGGCAGGTATCAAGGCTACTCTTATCATTGCTGAGGTCATTCCCTTCATCGTGTTGGCCGTCGGTGTCGACAACATCTTCCTAATCGTTCATGAATTCGATCGTGTCAACCTAAGCCACCCAGACGCGATGGTCGAAGAGAGGATCGCTAGAGCACTTGGGCGAATGGGTCCCTCTATCCTTTTCTCTGCAATTACAGAGACCGTCTCTTTTGCCCTCGGTGCATTTGTCGGAATGCCGGCTGTCCGAAACTTCGCAGTCTACGCCGCAGGTGCGGTATTCATCAACGCTCTTCTCCAGATGACACTCTTTATTTCTATTTTATCTTATAATCAGATGCGGACTGAGGACAACAGAGCAGACTGCTTCCCCTGTGTTCAGGTCAAAGCAGCTCGCGTCCATTTGAGTGGCAGCAACGGCACCAACGGGTCTCGCCCCTATGATGTACCCGACGAGTCCTGGTTGCAGCAGTTCATTCGAAAGTATTATGCGCCCACTCTACTTGGAAAGAAGGTCAAGGTTCTTGTTGTTGCCACTTTCTTCGGCCTCCTAGCTGCCGGTATCGCTTTAATCCCCTACGTCAAGCTTGGCTTAGACCAGCGCGTTGCTTTACCCGATAACTCCTATCTCATCGATTATTTCAACGACATGTACAGTTACATGGATACCGGCCCACCTGTATACTTTGTGACCAAAGACTTGGACGTCACGCAACGCGACAGCCAAAGAGACATCTGCTCTCGTTTCACCACATGCGAACAACTATCTCTCACAAACGTTCTTGAACAAGAGAGGAAGCGACCTGACATTTCCTATATATCTTCCCCGACGGCTAGCTGGATCGACGACTTCTTCCTCTGGCTGAACCCCGATTTCGAAAAATGCTGCAAGGAAAGCGGTCATGTCTGCTTCTCCGGTCGAGACCCAGCCTGGAATATTACTCTTCACGGAATGCCTGAAGGCGATGAGTTCGTCCATTACTTAGAGAAATATCTACAAGCGCCAACCACCGACGACTGCCCTCTGGCTGGCCAGGCCTCTTACAGTCAAGCCGTTGTTGTGGACACTGAAAAGACCACCGTTCCTGCAAGTCATTTCAGGACTATGCACAAGCCGTTGCGTAGTCAAGACGATTTTATCAATGCCTACGCATCAGCCCGTCGCATTGCGAATGACGTCAGCGCTAACACCGGCGTCGAGATATTCCCCTACAGCGTGTTCTACATCTTCTTCGATCAATACGCTAGTATCGTAAGCCTGACTGGCACGCTTCTTGGCTCCGCTGTGGCCATCATATTCGTCGTCGCATCCGTCCTCCTAGGCTCAGTAGTCACCGCACTCGTTGTCACATTAACCGTTGTGATGACCGTCGTTGACATTATCGGTGCCATGGCAGCCTTCGACGTGTCCCTCAACGCCGTGTCTCTAGTCAACCTAATTATATGCGTCGGTATCGCAGTCGAATTTTGCGCCCACATCGCTCGCGCCTTCATGTTCCCCTCCGGATCCGTAATGGAGCGCGCTAAGAACCGCTTCCGCGGCCGCGATGCGAGAGCCTGGACCGCGCTTGTCAACGTGGGTGGATCTGTCTTCAGCGGTATCACCGTCACGAAGCTATTGGGCGTGTGCGTCCTCGCCTTCACCCGTTCCAAGATCTTCGAAATCTACTATTTCAGAGTCTGGTTAGCCCTTGTTGTGCTCGCCGCCACGCACGCCCTCATCTTCTTGCCAGTGGCGCTATCACTTGTCGGAGGAGAGGGATACGTCGATCCCGAGAGCGAGGGCGGGCTTGTCGAGGACCTGGCCAATAGGCGGTACAGGGCCCTGGTTCCGGAGAGTGATTCCGATGACGATGATGAGGCGTGAGAGAAATAATGGAGAAGGGAAGAGCGGAACAGAGGTATATTCGAAGTAAAGTGTATGATATAGAAGAACACGGGATCATAGACAGCACAGCATTCACGGAACCACGGGCCAAGCGCATTCGCTCTTTTTTTTATATCTTTTATTGGAGTAATAAAGAGAAGCACTATTAAATTGGGTTAACTTGGAATCAGATGGGATATGCGGGACGTGTGCTATATCATTGGAAGATGATAAACTAATTTGTAGAACAAACAATACAGCAGTTTGATACATATCACGACTTTCTTGCGTACCTATACGAGGGTGATACGAGGATGTGTTCATGAGCTGTTCGATCAGATCGTGTTGAATATTGCTTCGATATTTGCATGGATTATCATCGCGTAGTTCTTGATACTTGTGCCGCCTTGCTTTATGCAGAAGATACGGAATTCTAGTTTGGGGTCTAGCCCCTTATTCGGCATTGCGCCGTGATCGTTGCACATATGCTTCCGAAATGCGGGAATTTTGCGGTCTTCTTCCGTTTGCATCATCTAGCTTTCTTCTGAACCTTTCCATAGCATGAAGTTCCGTATGTATAATATTAGATCTACTTCGTTCTCAGGTCCTAGACCTCTGTGTTCATGGTTTCTTTATGTTCTAACGATAAGGTCTCAAGTTCCTCGACGTTCATCGGGTGCTTGGGTTTATTTAAGAAAGGTGTAGCTGTCGTTGTATGTGTCCTTGGGATAGCTCAGGGAAGGCGTGTCAAATCCACCCCCCCCATTATGGTAGGACGTTTGTGAGAATTGAGGTTGTAGGCATAGTTGTATTAAGTCAGGTTTTCTAAGACTTGCAAAGCTACGAAGAATTGTCATGTACCAAGTTAGCTAAGCTAGCTGCTCCTTGCTCTTGCCTTGATCTTGTCCTAATCCTAACATCTGCCCCTCACGAACGAAAGAAGATGACGTCCTCGTCATCATGGTCGTTTCTTCGTTGGCGTTATACGGTCAAGGACGTCCTCATCTCCTTGTTGTGCTAGAGCCTGTTTCACCTGTCTCATCTCTTGCAACACCTTGTCCAGTTTATCGTTCACGAAAAAATCTGTATCGTCGCAGCAAATGGAGTTCTTGTGGGCGTCGACACCAGTGAGTGCGCTTTAAGGTGTGTTGGACGCTTCGCAGGTTGACAAAATATCGTAGCTGGTAGTGGTGCTATAGGTATGTTCTGTTCGGGTTGTTCAAGAGGGTTGCCCCCCCCCTGGCCTTGGGATACTCGATCTGGATCCCAAGCGACGGACAGTCCAAAGTCTCTGACCTGCTCAAGGTTCTTCATGACGTTGCGATAAAGGTGACTAGAGGAGGTTCGCTGCTCGGTGGCCAACTTGGATAAACATGACATGATTTTGGTCGTATCGATCCAGGGTCGTATGCCTTCCAAAGTCATCATGCGAATGTAATATTCGCGTGGGTCGTCGACTACTTCCGTCAATGCTTCGACCTCGTCGTGGCCATAGGCATTATTCGCCATGTACTCTCGCTTTTCCTTAATAAGGTTGTGTTGGGGTTGCCCCCCCACAGCAATCATACCGTTCAGCCAATTTCCTCAATCGTTTCCCAAAATCAGGGTTTATTGCACAGCAGTGAACACCATCTTTCGATACCACTTCCGGAGAGTATTCGTAGGTGTAGTGGCTCCCAACGATGGGATATTCATTTCAGAGATATTCTTCTTGGGTTGCACCGTATGCCATATGTCCTTTGGACTCGCCTCAGTCGACTGTAAAGCGACATCCAATGCATCGTTCACAGTGAAATCTGCAAAGAATGTACATCCTTCCCCAAATTCAAGCGTCTGAATGTTGTCCTCTGAATTGAGGGCAGCAGCCTGTTGCCGTCGACGTGGAGATGCCTACAGACCGGGTCATAGGTTCCGACGCTGGGTCATGGGCTTGTGGTCTGTCAACACGATGGTCACCTCTGTGCAAGACTGCAACTGGACCCTCACGAGTCGACATAACCATACCAACCGTCCCCTTGCCATCGACTGTGAAGCCGAGAAGGATGATCGACTTGGAGCCGAGGTAGGACTTCGTGGGGGCTAGGGCTAGACCGACTCGTTGACACATGCCGAACAGCTGTCGCAGGTGTTGTCGGTGCTCCTCTTCAGAATCGCTGAACACAACTATGTCATCCACGTATGCCATACTGTGGTTCAGAGCTGAGTTGGGGTTGAGGTGGTGGTCGAGATGACGATGCGACTGTAGGTGAGACCGATGGTAATCTGACTTCCTCTGAATACATATGCCATGTGTTCCCCATCAACGCTGCCCCCCCCCCCCAACCTTTTCCCCTTTCAAATCGAGCCATTCGTACGGTTGGCAGAGCGAGTCCGAAAGTTGTCCACGGATCAATGACCAGGCTTATAACCCGGAAGTCCTCCAATCGTAACAGATACTGTATCCTTTGGCGTCAGCCCAACTCGCATGGACGTGTTCCTCCAAGTTGAATTGCGGTGTAGGAAAACAATCAAGTCGTCGAAAATCCGAACACGGCTGCGTCCTTGTCTCTGCTTTCCGCGTTCGCCCAGGCTAGCTGGGTAGCGTTGCTCCGGGCCCGGGATCGCTGGCTTGTGAGCTGAGCGACTGCCGCGTCGTCCTCCCTCCCCGCGCTTTGCAGATGGTGAGCAAGAGCCGCAATTCGTACTCAGGTTGATGCGTAATGGTTCATCGACGATTCTGAAATTTGTCGCTAGGCGATCTGATACGGTTCAAGCTTCCATCGCGGCCGATATCTGCGGTGAATACGGTCTCGAAGCGGCGATTGTCTATCTCGCGGGCTCTTGTATTGAGCTCTCATGTCTATCTCTCCCTGATCGCGTTGGATATTGCTGATGCCAGCCCTCAGCTGGTCGACTGGATGCGTTGTGATCGTTCATAGATATATCAAAGGATACGCCTATTCCGGGTGATGCTAGGTAGCCTGGTCAAGGACACAGTTGCTTAACAGCCTCTGTGATGGGTTCTACGTCGTTCTAATGCCTACCATCGCGTCTCCTATCTCTTTTATTACACCAGGTCTGAAGTAAGCCGCAAGAGAAACAGCCACCATATGTACGCGGTGCTGGTAGAAGTCGGTGGCCGATATGTTCAGTATCGACGACGCAGCAAGGTCTCGGTAGGTGTACAGCGCTCAAGCCAACACTCGTCGCAGCTCCGGAGTCATGAGGGGGCCGATGTTTACACCAGAGTCATCCAACCAACGTAGCGTCTCATCATGGGATAGTTCATTCTCGGACACCAGTGGTACTCGATGGACTCGTCTCTCAGTTGGGAATGGGGTCGGGGCAGGGCGTTCATCTATCGTCTTGGGCGGGCTAGGCTCAGATCGGCCATCAAGACTCGGACGTGAATATGTCGTCCATGTAGAGCGTCGACGGGGGGGGGGGGGGGGGGGGGGGGGGGGGGGGGGGGGGGGGGGGGTGGGGGGGGGTGGGGCGTT